GGTCAATAGCTTTTTCAAGAGCGGTCTATTTTTTATTTAGTTCATTCCGATGTATAATGTCTTAATCGAGTCAATTCTAAACTTGATTTTAAATATTTTGTTATTTTTATTGATGTTCATTCTCTTACACTTGGCTTTGTTTCATGAAAGACATTATAGTTATTCATGATCTTTTACTCATTTTGTAATGAAATTAAGAATTAATTTGATAAAAATATTCAAATACTTCATTCAAATAATATGAATGAGTATTTTAGTTTATCTTTTACACAATATTTGACCATCTAAGGAATCATTCATCAATCATTATGACTTCATACTCAACAAAATGAGATAGGTGAGAGAAAAAATCGTCATATCATCAAGATAGCTCATATATTACTTTTACAACGAGTTTTGGAGTGATGTCATTCTTACAGCCACCTACTTAGTTAATCAAATGTCATCATCAATTCTTAATCAAAGATTCCTTATTCCATTCTTTATCCTACTAGCCTATTATACAATGTACCATTGAAGATTTTTAGATGTATTTGTTTTGTCCATCATTTAGATATATATAGGTCAAGATAAAATTGATCCTAAGTCTGTGAAATGTGTTTTCTCATAATACTCTCACACTCAAAAGGATATAAGTGTTTTTATCCTTTAATTCATAGATACTTTACTTACATTGATGTTACCTTATTTGAGAGCACTCATTTATTTAATATGTCACAATATATTGATTCTTTAAATGAATCATTACCTCTGCCAATTATTATTGAGTTAGTCTTCGTGGATAGTTCTAGTGAGATCCTAAAGCAATTAGATGATAAGTTGGGAGATAAATGTCATCCAATCACATGTGTACACTTGGCAAAAAGCTCCCTCAGCACCTCTTAAAACATTTACTTCACAACCAATCTTTTATGTGCATGAGGGACTAGAAGCGAATGCAGCCATGACATATCTTTTCACATAACCTCTCCATGCTCCTTAGGTGATGACCATTTTTACCAAGCTTTGTGTATATGACATACATATGCTCCAGCGTGAGGGGGTGTGTTAAATGTAATGGGTTCCCTATGTCACAGCCCACCTAGTAGACTTTCATTTTATGATGATGGGCCAAACATGTTGTAGCCCATTACACTGCCTCTAAGGTTATAATATAAACCCTAGACCACCTTCATTGGTGATTGATTTTGTGATTCTTCCACCCTCTAGTCATTCATAAAGACTTGTATTTGTTTTAAAAGTAATATTTTATTCACCTCTTGATCAAATTCAAATTTGATGGTATCTACTTTTTAAACCAATTTTAGAGAAAAAATTCAACTCATACAACATATTGAGCATATCAACCAACCATGGAACTTGAAATCAATACTTAACTATGATTTTGCAGATGACTCTGCTATCGACACACATATATCAAGTTCTATTCTTTTTTGAAATCAAAAGTGTAGGAATTGAATATGAGCTCGTGTTTTCTTTAATTAACTCTTCAGCTAATAACTCTTTAACTTTTTTTCTTAGAGAATTTAATTTTCTTTTGAGCTCATTCTGTAATGTGTCCTTTCTCTGAAGAACTTGCCATGAGATATGAGGAGAAGATGTTTGCATTTACAAGGAACTAGGTGTCCTTTCTCACATCTCTTTTGATCTTCTTTTTTTTTTTTTAAACTATAAATTTGTGTTCTGGTATCTCAATTTATACACCACGGAAAATGTCCTTATATGCATCCATTATACAACATCGAATTGGGTATTCAAAGAGTGAAAAGTCCAAAATGAAAAATCCTTTTTTTTTATAGGAAACACAATTCAGGCGTATAATTTAATATAATACATCAGGAAACTCATATGTTGTCGCTGCCTTAATGGGGAAGCTTTGTATTATAAAATATTTTCCTAAATTCCTCCATGGTCAACACCTCACGTGGCATTGTGAAGAATTTGATGCCCCAAGAAGCCTTTTATTTGCTGTTGGGGCATTTGTTCTAGCTGTCTTCCATTATAATTATAATTATAATTAATTTGTTAGATTGAATTTCACTATATATGCCCATTGAAAATAACTTAAATCTATGTTTTTTATCCACATGAACCGTGGCTTTAATGCTTCATAGGTTTTAATCTTCCTTTCCTACTTCCTAAGTGATTAATGAACTCAGAGAAAGTCATTTCTTTGAGAAAGCTTTTTATTGCCCTCCTTTGATAGATGGATTATCTCGAGAGGAGACCTTAGAAACTGGTCATAGTGGAGCTAGCACATTGGTTTCACTGAAGAAATGGCAGCATCCCTCTCCGATCAGTAACCATTCCAGTCCATGTGTCTTAGAGTTTAATAGACTAATTATTCAAATTCCTTGAGCTCATCTTTTGACTGCTACACTGCTTTTTGCATCTTTTTCTTTTCAAAATAAATCAGATTGAATGGATTTCAGTGGTCAAACAAGAAGACCAGGTCCAGATTGGCAAGAGGATATATATCAAAAGTTGACTTTTTAATGAAACACTAAGTCGGTGGTTTATTCACTTATCGGGTTTAATGCACTATGAAAAATGTATGCCAATACGAGGATGGGTAGTTGAAAATCCATTGTCAGCTGCCATTGATTCTTCCTCTGTTCTATTAAAAATATATGTGTAAATTTTCACCTTGAACGTTGAATGAAGCATCTCAATTGCATGTAAATTTTCTTTGACTTTTTTTGCCAGGATTTATTCTCATTAGTAAGTTTATCATTTTCTCAATTTTTTATTTTGTTTTGTTGCGCATTTTTTTCATCAGATTATTAGTTACTCGTGTAATCTTCAGATTCTATCCATGCAGATCTCTGTGAAGCTCGTCAAAAGATCATCCAAAAGTGGCAGCAGGTTTTGACCAAATCATATTTCAATATATTTCTACTTCCTTTCATACCAAAATCAGGATTGCAGCTAAAAATATTAATCTGACTAACTTCGTGTTGATCTTGCGTCTGACTCTCTTCTTCCTCTCTCAGCATGAATCTCTAGTGCCACCATGGATGGATGCCTTTCAGAGCTGCTGGAATCTATGAAGAAGATGAAGCACCTGATGGATCACCTCGTGGTGCTTCTCCGGCCCCACCTCCATGAAGAAGTGTCGCACAATACGAGAAAGAAAGTAGGTACTCAATTTTATTGATTCAGAAGGAAGGGAAGTAAGTAGTTTACACATTATGAGCTTTGACTTCCGATCTGGAAACGGTGCTTTGGTCAACCCATGTGGGAATTCTGTTGACTTCCGTGTGAGGCAGTAAGTTGATGTGGGACCTCCACTTTTAGGAGACGTTTGAAGCATATTTATTGACATGAAATCCTAATTTTGTGGGTTCTACTCCAGATAGTTTGACCCCGTTTACTCGCCGCTGCTTGTAAGTTTCAACGCACAGCCCTGCCAAGATCCTCTCGGCCCATTTCCAGTTCCGTCAACACCAACGGGTGAACCCTTGCGATGCTGGGGTAAACGACCCGAGGACCAACTCCGGCAGCAGCGGTGTGGGAGCCCCCATGTTAAATATTAATATAAATAAATCAATATTAATGAATATTCAAGTAAATAGGCAAAATGGGCCGATGTGATTTTCTGTCATTTTTCCTAATAGAATGAAATGTTTTGTTAAATTGGGATGGAAAATCAAAGTATTCTAATGGTTGATAAATAAGCCAAAAAATTTCAAACTCTGGCGTAAAGAATCATCATCATCATCATCATCTCTCTCTGTCCTTCTCTCCATGGCTGTCTCAAGCTGAAGTCAAGGGCCCAAGTCTAGCTAGTCAAACCCACTCGGCATCTCTTCAAGATTTAATCAATGCTTCTATCTCACTTGTGGCAACAGCTAGTGTTGGTTGGCAAAATTCAAATTCTTGACAGCTAAGGTCATTAATTATCAAGAACAAATTATACATAAAAGGAAATATATCGCGACGCATCGCCTCGTAACGCTCGCCCTATGTCTCATGTGCTATATAAACACACACACACACACACACACTATGCCTCTCTCACCTTCTTCTTCTTCTTCTCTCTCTCTCTCTCTAGATCTTCGACTCATTCATGCTCGTTGCAATGCAACATCTAGCACTTGGGGTGGAGGTCCAAGGTTCTTAGTGAACAAGCAAAAACTATTCCCAATGGAGTCTACAAGTTGCAAGATGTACCTTTTCATTGGTAAGTTCTGGTAAATAATGCCAATGATATTTCAACCTCGGTGTTTCCGCCCCGATCATGCTCTTGATTTCACAATTATTTTGAGGATCTCAAGCTATTTAATTGATCTTCAACATGTGGAAAAATCATGGTTGGCAAGATCTCTCAAGTTATCATCATTCAATCTTCTTGGGCTTGGGTGACATAGAGCTATGCTACAATCTTAGCCATAGATCTTAGCTATGCTAGGATCTTGGGCTAGGATTAATTATCATGGCTAACAACATAGTGAGACATATTCTCACTCTATAGTTTTCAATGGAGGATGCCACATGGTGGTTGGACTTTTGATACCATTCCTCTCAGAGAATGTGTGAACCCAGACCGTGGCAAGCTCTGCCCATGATGGGCCCATTTGCTTGCCACGCGGAGACTGAAGGGCCCGTCCCTTTTTAGGCAAGATGGGTAGAATGTGTCGACAGAGGAGGATGCGCCACGTGGGGTAGCGGCTTCTTGCCTTTTTTTTTTTAAAGCCCGGGCCGGGCCTGATTAAGTATGGCCCCCGCCCGGTCCCCGGGTAATTGACAACCGTTAAAAACGTAGTGGCCGAATGGCAGGTATCGGATGACGGACTCAGTACGGCGGAGAATTCGATGCAAAGAGTTCTTATACAAATATTTATTTTTGATGGTTATATTGAAAAAGTATTTGGACAAGGACCGCCCGTCAGTCGGTCCGCGGCCTGCGAGTTTCAACTCTCCCCCTTCCCCCCGATGAGCATCTTCGCCATTTCCGTCTCCATCGATTCTCTCTGTTTGGTATCTTCGCGTGGCTTTCCATGGAGGGGAGCGGCGGCAACTGGAGGCCGGCGCAATCGGACGGCTCCGGCATAACCATGGACGCGGCGGCCTCCGGGGACTGGAGGTCGCAGCTCCAGCCGGACGCCCGGTCACGGATCGTCAACAAGATGTTAGGCCTTCTGCTTTTTGCCTTCTCCTTCCGCCGTCTCGTTTTGGTGCCCTCGGCCGATGGGTATTCGTCGGTTTTTTCACGTTCCCGCTTATCTCGGATGGTAAACAAGTCGATCTGTTAGTACCGTTGAGCTTTTTTCTCCGGGACGGTCGTGCGGGCAATTCGGCCCGTCCGACGTCGCGTAGACGGGCATCTGCAGAGTTGTTTTATGTTGTGTTCGGGTTGTGTAAACTTCGTCGTGGTTTTCTTTCGAGCTAACTTATTTTAAGGTTTGGAACTTTCTTTAAGGGGTACAATGGGGCTGCCTTGGCTACTAATTATGGGTACTTTCTTGATTCTCGCTGTGTTCATGGAAATTCCTAAAATATAGGGTTGCTGTTTTTAATCACCGAACTGGCAACTTTGTAAGCTTTCAGATTTGAACTCTATTCGTGATCCCAGAACGTCAATAGACCTCTTCATCCGAGGGTAAGAGAATTTCGGCTGGGCCACTGGGGTGGGTAGGGGCGTGTATTTTTTCTGGGTCTTATCAGAATATCATTGTCACTTTAGGCTTGGGTTCCTCGTCAGTCAAAAATCACAACCGTAAGTAACGGTGAATCTGTGTTTTGGAAGAGTAATTTTATCCCTCAGTAGAACGATCTTAAGTTCTGTCGAGGAGTTCCTTGGAAGTGTGATGGTGGTTTTGGTTTCGGTTGGGTGTTTTGCCAATTCTTGAGGAATGACTTTCTATTCTGCCTTGAGACTGATTTACAGAAACGAGAAATAATGTGGGCATTGGATTATGGATTTTTTTCACACATCGATTTTGATATATATATATATATATATTTATTTGCTGCCATTCAGTAAAAATCAGTACTCTTCCTTTTCCCCGGAATTTTCCGTATCAATCTTGTCTTGGTCATGCTTTTCCAGCTGCTTTGCTTCTCTCTTTGCCTTGGTGTTACTCTCTGATCTTGTGACCATAAGATCCCGTACTTGATATGTTCAGAAGGGGATTACCTTATGTGTAGATGTTTTCTATGCCCCTAGTTCGCTTAGTTTGTTTAACGTTGATTGCTATAGATGTCACTTGATCGAAATTTGGACATGATGATCGATCAGAGACTAGAGATCCATAACTTAGTGCATAAACTTGAGGTTGGCCATTGTAGTCTACATGTATCTTGCCTTAGATCCATTTACAAACAAATTGGATTATCTAGCCTTAGTCAGGCTATTTAGAAACGTAGAAAACAGGTATAGTCTGGAGCATGGATTAATTGGGGAACAATGATGGAATCGCCATTAAAGTATAGTCCACTTGATCATTTTGTGATCATCCCACTTTTGAGAGAGGTATTTACAGATATCTAAGCTGTTTCAAGGTAGAGCATTAATGAACATCAAGGTCGTAAACAGTCACAGCTTGAACCATGAGTGAATGGGTCCAACCAAATTCGGAATGTTGATACGGTTCTATCATTCTTATTTTCTTGCTGATTGGAGGTTGGCATGATTCTGACATTCTGTGGGGCGCATGATTTCGCTCAATTCTCAGTCCACCTTTCAGATATGGTGCAAGATCTTGTATAACTTTACTTTAGTAATTTGCTCAATTTTACGTCTTGATCTTTTGTTTCCTGTTTTTTCCATGAGCAACGTTCTAATTGGTGAAATTATCGGGTCTTCTTTCTCTGATGCAGAATGGATACTCTACAAAGACACATACCAGTTTATGGGCCAGACAATTTAGGAGAATTGAGGAAAATTGCCATGCGATTTGAGGAGAAAATTTTTACTGCATCCTCAAACCAGGTTCCTTCTTGGACGTTTTACGATATTTTGTGTAATTCATGTTGTGGAATCTCCTTTCTTCATTAAGAAAGGTATCTTAGATGTCCGTTTCATGAAATCGTTTTCTTTTGTTGGAAAAGTCAGGCCTGGGAACTAAAGCGAATGTGATTACTATGGTGATATTAGCACGTGGCATCTTGTTTGTATATTTTTCCTGCTTTCGGGCATAATGATCCTTGATCACATGGGGGATTATTTCTTGTCCAATTTTCATTGATAATAAAACCTCAAACTCCCATTTACGTCAAATAAGTCTGCCCAATCTTTGAGACATTTTAGGCCCACATGGGTAGCACAATTAGTGTGGCTGTTGAAGGATCATATTTCTTTTGATAATCATTAGAATATTTTCAGGAGGATGATGTGGGCTATTTCATGCCTAATACTGCATGGAGCATAGGGATTCAGTTAACCTGCCACTTTCTCTCAGTGATAAGAGGACGATTTCGTTAGTGGCCTGGGTCCGTATGGACCAGTCGTTTTCTAAGTCTTATATAAGACTTGAACCTTACAGAGCTTGTCGTCCTTCTATTCAATATGTGATAATTAGTCTTTTCTGGGAACCTTTTTATTTAACCCAATCTGAGATTTATTCCTTGAATTGGCTTTTCCTATTTGTTTCCTGTACAGACGGATTATCTCAGGAAGATATCACTAAAAATGCTTACAATGGAATCAAAGACCCAAAACCCAGGCGGTACCAATCAAATGGCATCAAATCCCTCAAACCAGAATACTCCAGAAGGTATGAAAATGAACTAATTAGTTGTCTCGCAATTTTCAAATATCATGCTGACGAAGAAATCAAACATGCTTATGCTTTAGCTGCCATGGTGCATTGTTTTTTTGGATGACGTTATTATTCTGCATGAGACTTGGACTTCTGTACCAGCTTCTAAAAATGTTTAAATCCTCAAGCAGATGAATGAATCCTTTCAAATAGTTGTGAAAATTCTCTTTGTTGCCTTGATTTCATGGAAACATTACTGATATGTAGGATTTTTAATACAAGTTCAACAAGTAAAAAACATTGTCATTCATGTTACCAAAGGGTCAACAAGAAGGGTGGAGTCATATGAGATAATTTGAAAGGTAAGTGATTTGTAAATTAGTTACATATTTCTCTATCAAAAGGTGATATTTATACTTTCGTGATTTAAGATACTACATAATGTACCCATAACAATATACTTCATGTTTGATGCAGTCTATATTCTAAGTACCTGATTTTTATTCGTATATTATCTACCCATTCGTGGTTTTAATACTATTTTGATATAATGCTCTACTGCCACTGTATGAGATGGGAATAACTAGGTGTTTGAAGTTGCATGTACCTCGGAGCCACATTTCGGGTGATTTGTTTGGCTTTTTCTCAGAGTGACAAAAATACCACATGCTTCGTAATTTTACATTTTTCAGGTTTTATATCATCATCGTCTGTCTTCCCGTCAAAATGCTCTTTTATCTTTGTTGTACAGTTATTGGTGATATTTTTTCCAGATGTCAACGAGGCTTGTTAAAGAAAATTATTCTTTTTTTGTCAATAGGATCACATGTTTTACAGACACAGGTGCAAAACACAGGGCAGTCACTACAAATTCCTTTGGCAGGTCAGTCTCAAACGCGGCAGCAATCGCTAGCACCAGGCATTCAAAATAACTTGACATCTACTGTGGTACAAGGCTCAGCTAGTTTGGCACCTATGGTGCCGTCTGTTAATGGACTTGGTCAATCAATGTCAAGCATTGGCCAGACATCAAACTTGCAAACAATGTCTGCAATTTCGCAGAACTTGGTCAATAGTGCTGGGCAAAGTATACCACCCAGCATTTATGGCAATTCACAGAGACAGATTCAGGGAAAACAACAGCAGCAACCTCATGTTTCCCAGCAACATCAACAGCAGTCACAAAATCCACATTTATATCCGCAGCAATTACAGCAACAACAAATGTTGAAGGCAAAGATGCAACACAACTCCCACTCCCTCTTGCAATCACAGATGCAGCAGCAACAGCAGCAGCAGCAGCAGCAGCAGCAACAACAACAACAGCAACAGCAGCAGCAATCCTTACTGTCAGCATCTCAAATGCAGACTCCTCAGCAACCTGTCATGCAAATGTCTAGTCTGCAATCAAGTCAAACTAGTCTTCAGCAAGGTCAGCCTCAAGTAATGCAGTCCGTCACCCACTCTGGGCATCATCAGAATCAGCCAAATCTATTACAGCAGTCTTCGTCTAGTTTGCTTCAGCAGCATCCACATGCAGTTCTCAGACAACAACAATCACAGCCATCTACTGGTCTTTCTCAGGCATCCTCTCTCCAGCAACAGCCTGCTTCAATATCCCAGCAATCTGTAATGCCACTGCAGCAGCAGCAACAGCAACAACAGCAGCAGCAGCAGCAGCAGCAACAACAACAACAACAGCAACAACTGCTGGGGAACCAATCAAATATGTCTAATTTGCAACAGAATCAACTTCTTGGTCAGCAGAACAGTATATCTGACATACAGCAACAGCGAAGGCTGGCAGTCCAACAGAACAATCTCATGAGCATGCAGCAGCCACAACAGATGCTCAATCAGCAGAACATGTCCTTGCACCAGCAGGTGGTCCCGCAAAGCAGCATGTCAGGGTTGCAGCAGCTGCAGTCACAACAACAACTACAGCAGCAGTCGCAGCTACTGGGATCACAATCTAACATACCAAACATGCATCAGCAACATCATACAATGCACGTTATGCAGTCACAGAAAGCTACTGCGCAGCAGCAGCCTCAGCAACAACCTCAGCAGACAGGTACATCATTGATGCAATCACAGGGACAACAGCCCCAAGCACATCCAGCTCAGCAACAACATATGCCCCAGATTCAGAACCAGCCCGTGCAGCTTCAACAGCAAATGCCGATGCAGCAGCAGGGAAATCCCTTACAAAGAGAAATGCAACAGATACAACAAAAATTACAAGCGCCCAATGTCTTGCTTCAGCCGCAAAATACATTTGAACAACAGAAACCAATGTATCAGTCTCAAAGAGGCCTACCAGAAGCCTCCTCAAGTAAGACGTTATGGTTGTATTGCTTGTTAATGATTTTACACATAACTGATGAGTATTTGTTACGGGTTACTGGAAATAGGTGGAAACACTTAATTAAAGTCCTTTGTCCCTTTTCTGCCGTCTTATACCTGTAGCTACCACAATCTTTCCGAACACCACAATGTTTTCTTAGGGGAGAAATATTTTTTATTATTTATCATCCTTGGTTGGGATCATCCATATGCCATGCCTAAACCGACCAGTCTAATGGAAAAAAAACTGTGGAAATCAACTTTCCATAAACATGTTTCGTTTCTTTAAAATTTTCTGGTTGAAGATGCTAGCCCTTTCCCTCTATTTTCATGGAGTCTAGATGTCCTCTGTCAAGGTACATCTTCTCTCTTTTCCTTTTTTTCCTTAGTTTGACGTTTCATTAAATGGTCTTGCCTTTATTGAGTTTTATAGCTGAACCGGATTTTTCAGAAAAGATGGTTCTTCTCCGGAATTGGTTTGTACTTCTTCATTCAGTTCTGTTGATAATAAGTTTAATCATCACGTAATCTGTGCCGCTACTGAGTGACATTAAAATGTTTGTTGTTTTCATGTTCATTGGACATGGTGCTGATGAATGGGAGTCAGTTAGGAATGAATATTGAGAAGAAGAAATTCAGGCCGCAGTACTTGTAAAATATGACTATAGGGTGCTATTTTGCTGGTCATCAATGAACAATGTATTTTTTTTTTTATATGCTTTGAAAATTATGCAAACATGCAGTTGGCTATCTAGCAGAGAGAGTGATTTTGGGAGCTCCTCTCTCTTTTTGTTGTGTGCATCTTGATATTCATCTGCAGCTGTCTACCTATAGGACTCCCGTTGTCTCATCTGCCTTTTTGTTTTGTTATTCCCGCAGGTCCTCTCTTTAGTCCACTAAAAAAAGGCAGATCAGATCTCCTTTTTGGTTTCTCCATTTGTATCTTTGTGCATTGCTTGGTGTACCCAGGGGACATTAATTGTAGTTTATGGATTCCAGTCAAGTGGTTGCAGAGACGTATTGAACTTTGGGATGTTAAGTGGTACCTATGATTTGAATGATGATTTGGATCATACAAACAACGGTAAACAACTTTAGGGTAGGCGCTTATTTAGATGTAGAGACGCTCTTGGAAACTCCCAGGGTACCGACAGAGGGGTAGTTATTAATAGGATTGTGAAAACTTCCAATCTTTGGGGCTCTTCACTTACCGATCCACTATTCTGGCAATATTGAATAAGGCGTTTGTGCTAGATGTTGGTCAACCGTTCATTCTGTTATTGCCAACCAGTTTTTCAATATGATCTCTCTGAAAAGGCATGGTTACCATGACAAATTAATTTACGGACTTTCTGGCACCTTTTTTTTTTTTGCAGATTCAATGGATTCTACTGCTCAAACGAACCAACAAGGTCCAGATTGGCAGGAGGAGATATACCAAAAGGTAACTTCTATAATCGTGTCTTTTCTGATTGGCACAAGTAAATTCCACAAAGAAAAGTCTGTGTGAAGAAAATAAATAATAAGCTATAATTAAAATGGTATTTTCATAATATTATTAATTTTATTTCAATATGAAATCTACTGATTTTATAATATGATTATGGCGCTACTATATAGTTCAGTAGAAAATTCATTCTCGATTCTCATTCTGATCAATAATTTGGCTGTAAAATTTTAATTTTTCTTCAGAAAACTTTTATTTCGTCACTTTCTGGGCATTGGGTTCCATGAAAATATTTGAGTAATTTTATATTTAATCTTTTAATATTTTAACTTTTCATAATTTAGTCTACTTAGTATGTTTCCAATTTGGTCAATTAACATTATTTCTCGAAACATTTTCGTTGTATACACTGTTTCTATTGTGGTTCACTCTAACAGCTACAGGTGTCAAGTTGAACCTGCGTGCGGTTGTCATATATAGTTTTTTAATGGTTGTTTGTGGCTTTCAGATTCAGAGCATGAGGGAGCTGTACTATGCAGATCTTAATGAGATACATCAGAGAATCATCCAAAAATGCCAGCAGGTTTTGAATTTTATTTAAAGTGTAGATCATTGTCAAACTTTTGCCGATTCTTGTTGCATAAGGATTGGTTTCTCTTTCATATAAAACATTATTTTGACTTAGCGGTTTTCCAATGATTCTTTTACTTGGCCAGCATGAATCTTTAATTCCACCTGGGAAGCAGTCTGATCAACTGGATAATATGAAAAAGATTAAGGGCTTGATGGACCGTTTATTAGCATTGTTCCAGATTCCCAAGAACAATATTCAACCTAACCTCAAGGAAAAGTTACCTTACTATGACAAACAAATGTTCAATTTTATTAATTCAAACAGAAGAAGAGTTGTCAACCAGCCGGTGCAAGGGCAGCAGCAGTTTCCACATTCTGGTGGAAACAGCCAATCCATGCAACAACCATCATCTCAGGCTCCTACACAGCAACATGATGGTCATGGAAGCCAGATATCACCACTGGTTGTTCAAGGTTCTGTAACATCAATGCAATCAACAGCTGTGTCGAGCATGCAAAATGGATCCATGCCTTTGCCAACCCATGTGGGTGTTCCTTCTACGCAGCAGAATATCATGAATGCACTGCAGTCTGGATCGACTATAGACTCATCACAAGGAGTTGCCTTGACTTCATTGCAAGATGGAGGATTGGGTTCCATGCAGCAAGCCAGTGTGGGATCATTCCAGCAAACTACTTTCGGTTCATCTGCTCAGTCAAACATGCACACGCTAGCTCAGACTAATAGTGCTATGCAACAGAACATTGGTACTCTTCAACAAAACACAACTGTGCTTCAGCAACATGTGAAGCAGGAGCACCCATACCAACAACTGATGCAGTCACAGCAAATGAAACAACAAATGCAGCAACGTCAGATGCAGCATCAGAAACAACAAATTCTACAGCAGCAGCCACAAATGCAACAGCAATATCAACAACAGCAAAAGCAGCCGCAATCTTCTCAGCTGCAGGCACATCAAATGCCACAGCTACATCACATGAACGAAATGAATGATTTGAAGTCTAGACAGGCTTCTGCCATCAAATCAGGACTCTTTCAACAGCATTTCTCCGGAGCTCAGCGTCAAGCATATCATCAACAATTAAAACCAGGGGCTTCATTTCCTATTTCTTCCCCACAGAACCTACAGGTTCCATCACCTCAAATTTCTCAGCATTCATCTCCTCAAGTTGAACAAGCTCTCTTATCATCCCTACCGAAAGCTGGTACCCCTTTGCAATCCACAAACTCACCTTTTGTTGTCCCTTCTCCATCCACACCCCTAGCTCCATCACCTTTACCAGGAGACCACGAAAAACAAATGGCTGGTATCTCCTCTCTGTCAAATGCACCAAACATCGGACACCCACAGGCATCTGTTGCTCCAACTCAGGTTCAACCGTTGGCTGTTGGTACACCTGGTATTTCAGCTTCACCATTGCTTGCTGAATATATTGGTTCAGATGGCAGTCATGCTAATGGCCATGCTGTTGTTTCTGGCAAGTCAAGTGCTACAGAAAAACCTATTGAACGATTGGTTAAAGCGGTGAGCTTTTTTAAACCCTTAGTTTCACATTCTGTTATCCCCTTTTAAACCTTAGAGTCTTTCTAGCCAGTTATATTTTTATTTTTACAATTGACAGGTGTGCCCATGTCATCTGGTCATGGTTTTCCTAGAATAAGCAACTCCTTGCTAACCATCTACCTCAGATCTTGTCTTTTTCCTCAATCGTGGTCATAATACCAATAGGCTTGGGTCCAAAATAGTCACAAACTAGAATGGTCCTTGGAATAAGGCATTGTGGGCCGAATACAGAACGAAGATATCCTTCATCCCTATTAAGGTAGCTTTTATTAGAATTGCTAGCTCCTCCAGAAATATTTGAAAGATGCCTGGTTTTTCGACATAGATCTGTCTGCATTAAATCTCTGCATGTTCATAAATCATACGTTTTCCCAGAAGGAAAAAAAGAGTTTTTGATTCATTATAAAGCCTCAATCTCTCAGACTTTCTCTGGTTAGCCTTTTTTCTTTGATAAAAGCAATATTAGTTATCCTTGGGAATCCTTTGTTTTAGCCAACGGGTTTGACATGGAAAGAAAAGACCGGAACCTAAAGATGAAATTTTTCTCACTCAAGGAAATATAAATTTCATGATACCCACTTAGTTACATCATCAATCTCAGATATTAGCTACGAAAGCTGATGGGTTTCCTAGTGTTTATAAGAATCAGAAGGAGGTATAATGCATCACCTGGAATCTTTAGGTTGTTCTAGAAGCTTTTGAAAGCTGGAAGATCTGTTATGCTTTTGCCAGATTTTTACTGTGCATCTGTATACTCCGGTTTTAATTTTTCTGACGTAGGTTTCTGAGTAGGATCCACTGGTTTATCAACCAGAACTCACAGTTTCAGAGGAATTTATGTTATTACTTCTCAAAGCCTCAACTGCATACCGTGGATACTGATTATGCATCCATTACTCCTGTATTTATTCCTTGATTTTGTTCATGGTCCTCGCTGTGCTACTACGAAAAAAGAGCACAGAAGTTGAATAATGCTCAGAAGTTGTCTTTAGTAGCTATCAAAGTTTCGGAGAAGAAAGAACAATGGAATTATTAAACGCAGTACATGATGGAATATGTATCTGATTCAATGCCATTTGCGGCCTGCTTTTCATTAATTGGATCATTCCTTCATCTCTCTTTATTTGGCGAGAAATTTTTTAACTGAAACAACGCTTTTGGAGTGTAGCAAAATATTACTGGATTAATACCGTATTTATTCAAGAAACCAAGATGTCAGGGGTACAGGTGCGGAGCTAAGGTATTTGTGATATGGAAATGGAGGTTGTGGGACTGTGTAGAGGATATGGTGATAATATAATCCGTCAAAGTACACTGATAGTGATGGTAATTCATGACGCTGTTGATATATCTATCGTGGAAGATAAAAGTCATATAATTAATGATTCGGAGGGAATTTCGTTCAATGATTGAACACCCGCTTGAGGCTCTCCACTATGGTGCATTAGTGTGACTGAGTATTTTTCTTAGAAAGTGTATGTTCTTATATCATGTATGTATTGCATTTTCTATATTGCTTTATTCCATTTTATCTGTTGTGAAACGGCAATACTTTATTGCATTTTACGCAGATATGCAATAAAATTCCAAATTTTCTACAGTTATGTTCTCACCGAACTCCGGACGACTTTTTTATATTTTCAGGTACAGTCCTTGTCACCAACGGTGCTTAGTTCCTCTGTAAGTGATATTGGCTCTGTTGTGAGTATGATTGACAGGATAGCTGGATCGGCACCTGGAAATGGTTCTCGTGCTGCTATTGGTGAAGATTTAGTTGCTATGACCAAGTGTCGTTTGCAAGCTCGGAGCTTCATGTCACAAGATGGATCTGGTGGCACCAAAAAGATGAAACGTCACACTAATGCGATGCCTCTGATTGCTGTGTCCTCGGCTGGAAGTGTAAATGACAGTTTCAGGCGAACAAGTAATAATGTGGCTGAATTAGAGTCGACTGCTACATCTCGAATCAAGAGACCGAAGGCCGAGGTATGCTTTTTTTTTTCCTGTTATTATTTTCACCGTAAATTATATGTATAAGGGCGTATCTACTCTCTGAGCTTATCTTGAATCCTAAGTTGTTAAAAGAAATATTTCTATTCCAACATCTTGCCACAGAAATATTTTCAATTGCTAAATTGCTATGTTCTATCTATTATGAACATAATGAATTTTGTCTGTCTTAAATGTAGAGATATACATTTGAGATGAACGTAGATCTTGTTTATCTTAATTTGGCCTCAAAGTGGCATCAGATGTATACAATGTATATCAATATATAGTATTCTAGCCAACCCCGTGGATTATTTTCTTTTTTTTCACCAATGTATGACTTAAGGGACGCCTGAGATCTTAGCCTGTCCACATGGCTCCATTTCAGACAAATGTCCTAAGTAGATTGTAACGTTTAAACCTGAAAATAGCAAGCTTGTTGTGATATTGGACATTCATAAGCACGAGATTTTACGAGGACTTTAGAAATGCAGTTAAGTCTTTGATGCTCGGGGAATAGGATACAAGAGAACATGACCGTGAGGTGTCAAGGATATGGATACCGAGAGGACAAGAGAGAATGTCTCGAGTAGCAGGAACACTTTATTGAAGAAATTCAATGTAGATTTAAGCTGTGATATTCAACGGCACCCAGGGGTTGCTTGCTAGAGAGTTTCTGGAATCTGCGGCCTTGGTTTTGTGGACAAACACCTCTCAGATGCGTTCTCTGGATGAAGTGGAGAATTGGGGTTGAGGAAACTGCGATGCAAGACAAATATGTCGATGGAGGAAGCAACGATTTGTCCAGAAATCTTTCTTGTGTGATAGAGGGGTTAATTTTTTCAAACATTGGAGGCCATCAGTTGTTTATCTTCCTTTTACCTTTCCACCTCCTGTTGGATAGTAATCAGCAGTGCATATTGTCATGGTCTTATGAACCTCAATCAGTTAAAAAGAAATTGTGCCATTAACATACATTACTTATAGTTCCGCTAGACGATTAAGACCCAGTGACTAACGTAACAGTAAGTTGATAAAGTAAGTACATGGTTATCTCCTGCAGACTAACCTTTTCGGAATATTTGACGGACCCTTTGTTTATGTGGTGGATTAAGTCGCAAACTTACCAGATGCTTACTACTTCATTTTCACTTCTAACCATCAGAGACCCTCTTCTCCATCAAAGTAGAATAAAAAGTGGGAAAATGTGATCCTCACAGTTCTGCCTCAAACGAGATTCGATTCGGTTCTTTTTGTGTCATTTTTTTTGTTTTTGTTCTTTTTCCAATCGTCCAATCCAGCAGGCAAAAAGGGGGCATCATGCAGGGTACAGTCCAAGTTCGGATCAGATTTTTCTAACTATTCCGTTTGTGGCTGTTATTAAATCTGTGAATCCTGAACGCTTGTCATCTTGTTCCATATCTTCTTGACTGATAGAACTGACGGAGCTTTCTGCAGGCAAACCATGCTCTATTAGAAGAGATCAGGGAGATAAACCGGCAACTAATCGATTCCGTGTTGGACATCGCCGATGAAGACGCTGATTCGATCGCAGCCAAGGCGGAAGGCAGCGAAGGAACAGTGGTCAAATGCTCTTACTGCGCTGTTGCTCTCAGCCCCAGCTTAAAAGCACACTTAGCTTCAGCTCAAGTGGTGAGATATATATATATATACATGAATTCCCTCCGTCCTCGCCGACCTAGATGGTTACTTTATCACAGGCAATTAACTGTTTGTTCCTGCAGTCTCCAATATCCCCATTGCGGCTGCTGGTTCCCTCCAGCTACCCATACTGCTCCCCGGTGCTTCTGGACAAGATTCCCGTCGAAGTAAGGTAGGAAGCAGCGCGAGTCTCTCTAATCTCCGTTCCAAGAGACGGCCGGTTTTGTTCTTCCCTCTCTTACGTTGCTTCTCTGCGATGATCAAATACGCGCAGCAAGGAGTCGCAGGATCTCTCAGCCAAGGCCAAGTCAAGGTTCGGCATATCCCTCCGCAGCCTGTCGCAGCCCATGTCGCTTAGAGAGATGGCGAGGACGTGGGACGTCTGCGCCCGCAAAGTCATAGAGGAGTACGCCCGGCAACATGGCGGGGGCAGCTTCAGCTCCAGATACGGCACCTGGGAGAACTGTGTCACCGCTTGATTGACGCCCACAAGCTCTCACAATCTGCAAACACAAACCCATTTTCTCGCTCATCACATCCAGTCACTGTAAGTGATTCGCTGGTTCAGTTGTGTGTGGAATCTTCTCTGGTTGACTAATGGACGCAGTTTGTAAGGTGGCGTGGAGGGTTTTTTCTTTTCTTTTTTTTCTTTCTCTTGGGAGGTAAATCAGGCGGTGGTTTTCGTATGGTGAGGTTTTAAGAGGATATTATTCAAGCATCCATCTTTTTTGGACGGCCCTCTGAACCCAGAAATGATAAGAAGAGTAAATATATATCCGCGGGGAGTTTTCTTAGCCCTTGTCTGTCCCTCATGAATGCCGAGTGCCCCCCATAAACCCGGCACTCGAAACCAAGCGCCGCCTATCTCCCTTTCCTCCTCGGCACCCTTGCATGCAGAGGCCAGACTGAGCTGGTGGTAGCCTGAACAGCCGGCACGGCGGCCAATCCCCTGCGCTGAGAGGCCGTTTTCCCGCTCATCTTCTTCCATAAGTACGCGCGGAGGGGCCGGAGGGGGAGGTGAAGTGGAGAGGGGTTGTGTTTATGTGTATGAGAGAGGGAGAGAGAGAGAGCCCTGAGAAGAGTAGCGTCCCATTCCTTTTGGCTCGATGGAGAAGCGGACCTCCTCGGGGATGGTCCGCTGGGTTCTGCTCGTCTGCTCCGTCTGCCTGTCGCACGCGAGTGAGAGGGGAATGACGGGGGCTCCGGTGAGAATGATCTCCTACCCGGGCCGGCAACATGCTCCGGCAGTGATGAGGGTCATGCAAAGGGGAGCGGCGGCAGCGGTGCCAAGCTGTGATCCGCTCTTCAGATACCTCTTCGGGAGATGTCCTCCGGCAACTCTTCCTCCCTTTCCCCCTCCCTGCGGGGCCCCTTTTGTTCGCTCCCCGTCTCCCTGCCGCCGCCGACGCCGCCGGCCGCGGCGGCATTACCCCTCCACGCCGTTGCTCCCGGATCCATCTGCTCCACCGGTCGTCCTCTTTAGACCCATATCGCCAACCGGGCCACCAACACCTCTACCTTCGACTCCGCCGTATCTCGTTCTGTCGCCACCACCCCCATTTATGCCTCTCCTGCCGCCATCGCCACCTCTCGTGCCATCTCCTCCCCTGCCGCTACCAGTCCCGCCACCGCCACCGCCACCCCCGCCGCCGGCAATCTCCACCCCACCCACAATGCCCTTCTTTCCTCCTGTCGCTCCGTCGTTCCCCCCACCTCTCGTTCCATCTCCACCGCCACCGCTTCAATGCTACTCGGCTCCCCCCGTCCCCTTCTATCAACCATTCTTCCCTCCGTCCCCGCCGCCGCCTCCATTAACATTGGACTCCCCATTTCAAGCTCTTCCGCCACCGCCTTAGGCCTCAGTTTGCATGGTTTTCCAGTAGATCTTCCCTCCTAGGAAGAAGAAGCCGTCTATTCGGCTATGGTGATGGGTAGCTTCTACTACCTCTAATCACTTGAATACCAACAGGGTTAGAGAAAAAATAAAATGGGTCGGTCATCAGGAGTCTGTTCTTCCTTTTTTCTGTATGACGAGCAAATCGAATAAACAAGATGAAATCATGTTCAGTACAGTTGCACAATCCATTCTACTCACAACACGAACCTCGGAGTCAAGCTCTCGGGATTGATTGTCTGTTGCCTGATCGCCAAGTGCTCCATGGATACTCAGATGAGCTGCCACTCTGGAGGCAACCTGCGGAACGGGAGGGAGGTGAGGGGACGAAGGGCATGCATGGTCATTTGATGGAGGGGTTTCAGGAGATAGCCTGAGAAAAATGCCTGATTGTGGCATAAGTTGCAGAGCAGCTCGATCCTCAGAATATCCCACTCAAGAAGCCCCTAAAATGGCAAAGACAGAAGGAAACATTGGAGATTTTTTTCAGCAATGGGTGTGAGGAAATACAGAGAGATTCACGGTGGTGTTACCAAATCCCAGCTCCTGCCTTCTCCTTGTCTCTGCAGGGTTTGGGACCAGATGTCAAACGCGACTATTCATTGTGGGCCAATTAATGATATAAATCCGTTTAGCTTCGATCTGGGTTGACTTACTTTGACTTTCCATCAAACGCGTCGTTGATTTCGTCAATTGTTGGCCTATTTGGGAATGTTCCAAGGCTGACGTACTTCTCCCCACCAGATGGCTCGTCAACCCTCTTGTAGAGCTCGTAGTGTGATGGATACGCCATCCTGAAAAGACATCAAGAACTTTATCTATTATTTTTATTCCTGAAATTTTCCGGGAGTCAAAGGGCCAAACCGAGAGCCGTTCATAGAGCCGCGCATTGTGGGGGGGGGGGGGGGGGTCTAACTTTCTGTCAGGGTTTTTCTACGTCATTGATCCCACGGTTGTTCTAAGTCAAACCCCCAATGCAGTTTCCCCAAGTGACCATATTGGTTCAAACCTTGCGCAGAAGGGGAAACTGCGTTGACTTTGATTACGATGGACTGGGAGGTTAAACTCTAGACCCATCTAGTTCATCATAATCAACAGATGATTCACTACTCGCATGGACTCAAGTTCGAACTCAAACCCCCAATGTACTTTCCCCAGGTGATCATATTGGTTCTGACCTTGACCAGAAGGGGACACTGCGTTGACTACGGTTTGTCCAAGAAAGTCAAACTCGGATGGACTCTTCTAACTCAAACCCCCAATGCACTTCCCCCAAGTGATCATATTGGTTCAGACCTTGAGCAGAAGGGGACACTGCGTTGACTTCGATTAGGATGGACTGGGGAGGTTAAGCTCTAGACCCATCTAGTTCATCATAATCAACGGATGATTCTCTACTCGGATGGACTAGACGGTTTGTCGAAGAAAGTCAACGATTTCGGGGGCATATTTGAGTTCCATGCAAGTCTAGAACATGAGCAGCTTTACTCGTTTAGCGAGTAAAAGATCCCCAGAGGCTGGAAAAATCTAGTACTTGAAGAATTCCTACAAGTCTAATACTGTTTGCTTGCCAGAGAACAGAGACATAGATAGCCAGAGAACTTACCTTATAGCGCCCATGATTGGATACAGAGTGCCAGCATAGTAGAGAAGTCTGAATAAATAGCAGTTCTCGAACGATGCAGCGTATTCTAATCTCTTGTCCCTGCCCATGGTCTTTGTCACAAGTCACGCGATCAGGGTAAATCTCAAAAGCTTCGGTTTGAATCTTCTTTCATTCAACCAGAAAAGACAGATGTAATGCCGCAGGACTTGACTTACTTGCATTATGCCACTTGAAGCTGGTAAATCCTAGAAATGAACATGACCCGAGTGGGAATCAATTAAAGATAAAAACAACCCACAGGCGGGTCTTTGCGCACTTTAAAAAATAAAAAGTCAAAAGGTAAACAGGTAAAGAAGCATTCAAAAGTCAATTCTTGTGAAAAATGCACATAAATGGTGCAAAGTCAAGTAGAAGATCAGAAATAGAAATGATCCAAGGAGACGCATTTCAAAGCCATGCATAAATAGCAATGACACAAAAACAAATTAAGAGCGGAGACGACCTTGAGGCGAGGATTGATGAGGATAACGGGGCGTTCACCAGCTGCCTCTGTCATTGCTTGCAGATCCTGCGTTGAAAATTAGGGTGCTGTCAAAATCAATGCAGGCCTATTATGGAGTGATTGATCTTCATGAGTTCCTCACATAAATTATACAGTTCCCAAAAGCATTCTGAGGAGCCACTAGAATAAACATGTCATCCTGATCTTCAACTTCTGTCGGGCCTGTTATGAATGAAAATGAGGGGAGAATTAAGCAGATAACAAACATAAATGCGCGAGACTATAATGTTCTTAAATGGCCGTGAATATAAATAAAACATGAGAACAAAAAGGGAGCACCAGGATACAATGGCTACGTTAATATCACCAAAGGCACACAGGCAAAGGTATGTTACTAGCATAGCCAATGATAACAACTACACACGCTTGCTCTGGCACCAGCACACCGGAAAATGTGGCACTTAAAAATGGAAAATGGTTCAGGAAATACGGGAAGATTCTAAACAGCCCAAGTAATAGGATAAATTCGTTCGAAAATTCTGGCGACCGCTTAGTTTTCCTCTCATTTTCTCAATGTTAGTTCAAATGTCAAATCTGAAAACTATATTTCACTTTTTGGTTTCCCTTCTAAATATAAACATGTCAATAAAATGACTAATGAAAAGGAATGTCAAATGCTTAAAAAAAAAAAAAAAAAAAGGCTGGCAATTGAAGGGGTTCACTTTTTTACGATGATCACAGGAAATATGACGGTCATACATATTTATGTAGCATGATTCTCTGAAAAGACAATGTCTGGTTGGATTAACAAGTTCTTCAAGTTATTCATTCCAGATGAACACCATCTTGGAGAGCTAACAAGTATGCTCGTATTGTCATCCTTACAATGAGATGAGGAAACAAGATACCTTTTGCCTTCTTGTTTTCATTTAAATTTTTGGATGAAAGAGAGCTAATTTTTCTGGTTTAGTATGTGTTCAGGTAACAATGATGGTCACGCATGCCTTATTAATATATATATATATTTTTAATGATTTGCATGTTCAATGCACCCTGGTTACCAACGTAAAGGGAAAAGAAAAAGTTGATAAAAAAAAATGGGAGAGGTAATTAGGAAAAAAAATGATAATTTCACGTTAACGAACCAATAGAACCAATCTTTATAAAGGTTCCCATGGCATCATACTCTCCCCAGTCCATAAATTCCATTATTTTGCGAGTTCCAGCAAGCTGCAAAGGGATTCCTGCAAGTGCACCTTCTCCCATTGACCCTTGCACACAGACCTAATGGGACAGAAAACTAATGTCACTCCAACATTCATACGCTGATTGTCACTACACTTCTGCACATTCAAAAACTTCGTCGCTGCCTGCTGTGAATAAATCGGTATTACCTTGACACGTTTACCATCATCAGCAAACGAAAGAGCAAGGCCTCGGACAAGCTCCAGCAGGGTGCCAATTCGATAAACATCCTGTAAACGTTAAAATCATGTTAACCTCTCATTTTTTCTACTTGGTTATGTGGCAGCTCTTACCATTTCTGGGTTAAGCTCGGGAATGTTGATCTCAACCTGTAAACATTCCACAACGACAGTGGCCGATATTAGTAAAGTCTCCTTCAAATGACATTCAACTATAAAAAAAATAAAAATTCAGGTGGACAAAGTAAGAAAATACGAAAATGACAGATTTAAGGGTTCAAGATTGACAGAGTCCTGGATAAATGAGTACGGATAAAGATGATGAATAAATACGAAACCTTAAGTCGGAGTATTTTATCTTGTAAAGCCCTTTGTGTCGCCTGTATCACATCATAGTAGAAATATTCCCTTATTTCTCTGGAGTGGGGTATATTATTCAACCTTGAAGGAATTCCTCTCCACTGTTCCTAGAAACCCAAAAAAGGAAGAGAACCATGTGAGTCACTCTGAGCAAGATGATAATGAATGTACGGAACATAGAGAGGTAGTCCCCACTAGATAGTATGCTCATCATGACCGTGAATGTAAGTTCGATTTAAGAACATGACGAGACTTGTAGCTATTCACCTGCTTGGGAAATGCAACATTTACTTTTATCTTGTTCTCGGGTATTATTTCTCCTGAAAATAAATAGGGAACATAAAATAAAACATTTTTAAACTCAAACAGAAGAAAGGAACTGAATGTGAAATATCTGGAAGACAATAAATCAAGCGATTCACAAAGGTTTTACCTCAACATTTATACAGATGAAGATGGCAGAGAAAATGATAAAATTTCAAAATTTTCCGAAAAATTAAAGGTTCGCTCTATCAGTCTAACAAATTATGTGATCGGTAGCATATTAGTCACAAGTTGGTCATTAATCTATTGATATTAGTCAGAACATAATATTATTAGGATATGGATAACATAAGAGTTCATGTACAGTAATTGGTCATAATCGCAACTAAAAATGGAGACCAATCGAATCCTAGCCTGATAAAGTCAAACTGCTACGGAATGAGAGATTGAAATTGTCTTGCGAGTAGAGTCAAACTAAGCTCTGTTTACTAATTCTATCACACCTGCGACAGTGACCTGCCCATGCCCAAACAAGAAAAGGTCGCGTGCTTTTGAGAATTTTCTTTCTAATCGATGTCCGAAGTGATAAAACCAGCCACGTATGACCACTGGAAAGGACTATTAAAATAGTTCAAGTAGTCATTATACAACAAACATAGATTTTTTTAAGAGCATAGGGTGGTTATGCTTCTTTCAATTTTTACAGAGTCTCACCGTTTGTTTTAGAGTAAAAGCTGGTTAAGCTTCCAAATAAATTTAATTACCAAGACACTGATACGACTACTCAACCCCTGTGACAACACAAGATGATGAAAATTTCTGGACACGATCTGTGCATGTACTTTTCATCAAACCTTGTGTGGAGTCCTCTCCAGAATCTGGTTGGATCTGCTGAAGCAACGTGTCTATTTCCCTGAACACTATTTCTCTTCCATAATTTCCATCAATCTGTGAGAATAAAAAACCATCAGTTTTTCATTGAACTCATCATGTAAGTTTTCAATAATAATGACGGCAATCTACTAACAATCAATCCCAAGTATGTATACCTTATTCAACACATCCAAATATGTTGATACGATGGATTCAGTATTTCTCTTGTATGTTTCTAGACGTGATTTAACCTATGCACAGAGAGCATAAGTTAGATTCAATTGAAGATCCATGGAAACATTGCGAAAGCACAAAACCGATGAAGAAAACAAAGATGACTTGATAGTGTATCTCGGCATACAAGCACGTGAAATAGTGCAGTGAAATCTAAAATTTTCCAATGCGAAGTGCTTATTTCTTCTCAGAAAACGGATCCTCAGACATTTACTCGTGGGATCCCTATTATGGCATCAAAGAGTTGACGTTGCATTATCAGCTTTTTCTCTTTTTTTCCTTCTGTAGATTTATCAGCTGATTTAGGTCAAACTCTCATAACAAGAAAAATTGTGCAATGGAAGTAACTACATTTTTGGAAAAATCTTAAAAACCTCCACATTACAACATAAATCAGAAGAATCTATCACTTGAATGTTCTAATCAAGATGCTCACTACATCCGAACGACCATTCTTAATGTAGATACCAAATACAGTCGTAAAGGTAATATTTATCATATTAAAGCATCGACTTTGCGTTGGAGGTAATTACGTGAACTATACGATGAGGTACAGAACTATGAATATTCCATAAATATTTGCATTTGAATTTATTTTTATATAAAAAAGAAGAATATCGGTTTCTACCTTTTCTTGAGTATCATCTGCACGGGTTATAAGACGAGCTTTAATTTCTTCCGTCTCAGGAGGAAAGTTTTTGACATGGTAAATCTTCCCGGTTACTGGATCCATCCTTCTTCCAACACATCTGTCGATTAGAATTTCATCAGGAACCTGAATATTCAGAAAGGAATTTCTGTAAAAGGCGTACTATCAAAAATCCAACAAACAACACAGGAAAATGAAATGATAGAAAAAAACGGTGTACAAAATAGAAAAGAAAATCAGGACTTTCTATAGTTTCAGCAATGTTCCCCCCTCCTCTGTTGGATCGAATTTCAAACTCCCTGCTAATTGCCAAGAAAATATCACAAATCTCTATAACATGCTCATCTATTTCAAAAGTCCATAGAAACATTACGCTAAGGCCCTGCCCGTATGATGATGCATAATCACACAAAGTGAAGGTGGTCGTATTACCAACCAGTTCTAAGGGATCTTTCGAACGACTCGCTCATAATCCTCTGCAATACTTTATGAAGTACAGCCGTCATTTGTTTAGGCAGCTGGCTAAGAAAACATTGCAAATTCTAGGTCCTAAGTTATCTCGTTCACCCAAGATGAATAGGTCATTATACTTAATTCTCATTACTATTGAGAAGTATATGATGTGTGAAGATTTTCTAGTTATGATGCAAGTTTGCACACCAGAAGAGCATCACAATTTCTGAGAAAAGAATGAGCTACTTGGGAGACCCATATAACAGATGATAACTGGAAACATAAACGAACAGTGCAACCCAAAAGTGGAAAGACCTCCTGTTGATCCAAAAGATAAGCGGAGCATTACTAGCTACTTGTGTGCCATCAAATTCCATTAATTCATGCTGTTATGACTTGGGGTTGATTGAAAATGATCCCCTTGGCATCTAGCCATGGAGAAGAACATGATCACGAGTGAGTAATTATTCTCAGAAGCTGGTGTTTTAGTCATGGAAATCTGATCGGCACTGTGGTTAAGAGAAAAAGAGAGAGAGAGAGAGAGAGAGAGAGAAGAAGAAGAAGAAGAAGAAGAAGAAGAAGAAGAAGAAGAAGAAATGGCAGGAACAAACCTCTAGAACAATATATATGTCGGGTCGAACTCTGAGTCTCTCGAGGCTTTCTGCCTGCGCGGGGCTCCTAGGGTAGCCGTCCAGAAGCCATCCCTTCTCCTTCACATCCTCTCGTGACAGACGCGACACCACCATCTGAATTCAAAACAGAGTTCAGAGAAACATCAAGCTCGAAGGTAAGCCATGCCGGGGAGTGCGTGGCATTCATCACCTCTGTCACAATTTCATCAGGAACCAGAAGCCCGTTCTCCATGTACTCCCTCGCCTTCTTCCCGATTTCGCTGACAGCCGAGACTTCAGCCCTCAAGAGATCCCCCGTTGATATATGTACCAGCCCGTACTGTAAGAGCGAAACCAGATGGATCGAGAAATCACGAAGGAAATGCTGAACAATGAGCCAGAAGAATCTGAGATGAAGCAGAGATGGAGATCACCTTCTTGACGATCAGTTCGCACTGGGTGCCTTTCCCCGAGGCGGGAGCGCCGGAGATCATGACCTTCAGAGGCCTTCCTGCCGAACATCGCACCTTCGACTTCTGCTCCAGGCACAGAAAAGAAGGAGAGCATTGAGTCAGCCTCAACGACGGCCACGGGAAGATCGCCGGAAAAGTCTCCGCCGCAAGCTCGGTGGCACGAACCTTCACGGCGCGGCCTCCCCCGGGACGACTCGGCCGGACTTGGACGGCGTCGCCGAAGCAGCGGGAGTGCGAGGAGGAGAGAGAAGAGTGAGCAGCAGAGAAGGGGGAAGAGAGAGAAGTAGAAGAGGGAGAGGAAGGGCGGCGAGCGCGGGGGGAGGACGACTTCGCCGGGCTACTACGGCAGCACAATCCGCCGGCGAGAGTCGCACTGTGCGCCATTTTTCACTCTCTGAAGCATCAACGATCCGCCGCCGCCAAATTTCGGAGTTCCGATCGGCCGCCCTCCCGAAAACGTGGATCGAGCTATCAAATTCGTGTGGTATTTGGAACCGGAGAAGGTGGGGTCGTCTCTTCCAGATCACCCGGCCCGCAGCAACCTCCGCCACCCACACCCAACGGCCCTCCAGTCCCTCCCCGCCTCCGCTGGTCCCCACCCCAATGACGCCATCACCGACCGGCAAGCAGTCCGACGGCACGGGGTGGCGGCGACTGACACACCCGACCCCCCTCCCCCAACCCCTCCCTTCCTCACTCACCGATCAAAATCTCTCGGGAAAGAACAGGAAGAGTCGATTCCTGAGTTCTGCGGAGGAGAAGAGCAGAGGAGTAGAGAAACAACGAAAACAGATTGCTCTGAAAGATCATCGATACAAGTTGGAGAAGAAAACTGGAGATCTTCATCTGGAGAGCAGACTGTAAAAGAAGAAACAAATTCTAGCTTTTCGCGATGAATTTAGACAAAGTATAGAGGCATCTCTCACAAGGAAAGTAAGAATCTCAGCAAGCTATTATTCCGTGTCGGTCCGAGAGAAACCGCCGGGGGTGTGTGGAAGAGCGCCTTCTTCAGCTTCAAATCAGGATTTCATCGAGTGCAGATCCGCCGGGCCTCCAGGACTTCAGTCGAGCTTCACCGACGAGAAGAGGAAGTGGACGAACCAAAAGGAGGACAGGAAGCCGACAGTGCCGGTGACGAGCATGATCGCGACCACCATGAGCAGCGAGTAACCGAGGTATAGAGTCGCGGAGACGGGCCCGCTGAGGTTCTTGAGATCAAACACGAGGTAGTTGATGGAGTAGAGGAAGATGTAGATGGCGGCGGACCCGGATGAGAAGAAGGATTTCCACCACCACCTCCAGTCCTCCACGCAGAGGTGCATGTAGGTGAGGACGAGGGACACCTCGGCGCAGACCACGACGAGGAGGATCAAGACGACGAATAAAAACCCAAAGACGTAGTAGACGCGGCCCATCCATATGCTGGACATGATGAAGAAGAGCTCAATGAAGAGGGTACCGAAGGGGAGAGTCCCGGCTCCGACGACCAACAGCCACGAGGGATACTTCTGAGGGGGGACCTCCCGGGGGATCTGGTTAGTTCGCACGGGGTACTCGATGTGGGCAGCCTTCGCACCGAAGTATCCACCGACGAGGGTGAGAGGCACAGAAATGCAGAACCAGAGCAAGAGCAGAACGATGAAGAGAGAAATGGGGATGGCCCCGGTGCTGTTGCTACCCCACAAGAGGAAATTTAGAGTGGTTAGGATGAGGAACGAGATACCAGGGAAGAAGCAAGCCACCCGCCAGGAGACAGAGATCCATCCAGAAGGATCGCCGACCCTAAGTGTCTTCCATAGCCTAATGGCAACATAACCGGCCGCGATCCCCAGAACCAGGTAGAAGAAGAGCATGCCAGTGACGAGCGTCCCTCTTGAGGCGGGGGACATGAATCCGAGTGCTGCAAATAAGATGGTCACGACAGCCATCCCCAGAATCTGGGTGCCGTCTCCAACCATGATGCACAGCAGTGTGGGGTTGCTCGGGGCCCTGAAGACATCCCCGACCACCAGCTTCCACCCCGAGAGCTCTTCGTTCATTTGTGCCTGGGCCTCTTTATCGAGTTCCTCGTACCGTGTCAGGTCCCGCCTAACCGTGCGCAAGAAGATCACAAGTACGATCCCTGCGAGGAATGCGATCACCATGAGGGAATTGAGGATGGAGAACCAGTGAACCTTTGCGCCCTCCATCTTAAGGTATGCGTCCCATCTCGAGGGCCACTTGATGTCTCTCTCCACGAACTCCACTTCATATGAGAACACGAGAGGTTCGTTCTCCTTGACAACCTTGGACACCATGTTCGGCTCGCACTGGATCTTCGATGGGTACTTGCTGTGCTTATTCAGGCCCTTGACGACCTCAGGATCGTGCTGAAAGCTGCAAGGTACTACTTCGAAGCCGACGACCATGTAACCTGGCGCACCGCCGGACGTGGCCACAGCGGGGATCAACTCAGCGGCGTCTCCGGTGCCCATAACGCGGCTGACGTTGGGATCCTCGTACTTGTTCACCAACACCCTGAACTTGAGGTGGTTGAAAATGTACAGGGCATCCTTAAAGCGTACACCAACAGGGAAACCAGTCCAGTGGAGGGTATAGTCATCCTTGCGGGTGTAGCGGATGGCTGGAAGGTTGTCGAGGATGAAATTGACCTGGTACATCTCATCAATGCGCTTACTAAGGAGGGCGAAGTCATCGGAGGAGAGGGGAGCGGTCTGGCACACGAAGATCTCGGATTCGTTGGTGTACATGCGAAAGGTGTAGGGGGAGTTCTCGATACGATCGCCCATGAGGATCTCACCAAGGTTCTCGGCGCTGTCGCGGATCTTCTCAGGCTGGCAGAAGGGGAGGCTGTAATAGCCGAATGGTATCTCCGTTTCCACGGAGGTGAGCGAGTTCACCTTGACAGACAGCGTATCCCCGACCAAATACTTGTGCGGATAGCTCCCCGGCAGGTAGAATCCATGCGCCCCTGGCTGAACCACCACCAACACGGCGAGCAAGATCCAGATCCCGCCCCCGCGACATAACGACGGCCTCATCATCTCTCCCCAGTCGGAAGAACGGCTACCACCCTCGCGTGGCCTCCGGCTTCAGATCTGGAGGCAAATCGGACGGCGAATTCGACGCAACCGATTCCCACAGCAGAGACGAGATTCCTGCGCGGGAGACAGAAATCAGACCAAGGAACGCTTGCAAAATTTCACGAGAAGACTGACATCAACTCACCGAACCGAGTTCCCGGGGAAGGTGAAGAGGTGGCGGAGGTGGGAGAGCACCGACGCCCCTCGACTGGCGGATCTGAAGGAAGAATGAAGAGAGGAACGGCATCCGAGCAAATATTATGATATATATAAATGAACAAAAAAAGGCTCCTCGGAGATGTGGTGGGCCCCGCACCTTCGCGAAACCGCACCGCGCGGGCTCCGTCGGTGATGCCAAGTCGCCACCGACGGAGATCCGCCGCTCGGCGACTCGGGAGACGAACGGATGGCTCAGATTGTCCTCGGCATCATTCGCACGTACGGAGTCCACGGATGTAATGCGATCGCGTCAGCGGATCGCTGCGGTGAGACGTCCGCCACGTGTGGCGGCTGGCTATTCAATAAGCTGAATTTAACAATTCGTGATACCGAAGAAAATCATTTAATGCTCTCATGGAATAATAAAAAAACCGTTTACTTTAAGGAAATCCGACGGCTGTGTGTGTTAGATCGTGGGCGCAGACATCGGACGGACGGGGAGGGGTCTGACGTACTCATTGGGAACCACCGAAGCGACGGTGGATGTGGGATTGATCACGTGACTTCCCATCAGCGAAGGCGCCAGCTGATGCGATTCCGCCGTTACCGCCGCCGCGGTCCACCTAGCCCGAGGCGACGCTGTCCTGATATGACGCAAATACCCTCTAATATACCGGTTCGCCGTCCTCTGTCGTGGCGCCAATCTGGTCATTTCGTTCCCTGGCAGGAGAGCCCATCCCACATGAAAGTTCCACTCCGAAAAGGAAATAAAGAGGAAGCCGCGGGTCTCGCCGCATCATCTCTCTCTCTCTCTCTCTCTCTCTCTCTTCCTGTCCCTACCCACAACGGGACATCCATCGGAGTCCAGCTCCGCTGCGCAGCGATGAAAACGGCGGCCAAGGTGTCAGAGACCTCTTCGCCTTTGTCGACGTGGGATCGTTCGATTGGGTGAAAATCATGAAAGTATACAAAGCGCTATGCATCAGCTATCTCGTTATTTTACTGGGCCTATTTATTAATCCCTGTCCCCTCTCGTCCCTCCCCTAACACCCAGAACACGGCTCCGCGGTTCCGAGCAGGCTTTTCTGCTCTCACGCCTGCAATCCCTCCGCCGCCTCCTTCTTCGTCCTCTTCTTCGTCCTCTCCTTCTTCTTGTTCTCGCGGTCCTTCTTCTTCATCCTCCACCCTCCGTCCTTCCTACCTTCGCCAATCGGCCTTTTTCTTCGCACATCCTCCCTAGTTTTTCGGGGATGAGCTGCCACGGTCCTCCGAGCGAGGATGTCGACGACGACGACAGAGAGTTCCTGGAGGCCGCGCAGGAAGACGCCGCCCTGGTGGCGAACCTGCTCATGTGTCTCTCTCGCCGGGAGAAGTACGTTCCCTGGTGGCGACCGCAGGAGTCCACGCCGCCGGCTGCATCTCCGTCGACGGTGACGGGTGGAGGCGTCGTGGACTTCCACAGGGCTCTCTGCAATTGGGGCTGCCGCCGGTGGAGGAGCAGGGGGATAGCCAGGGAAGGGATCTCGACGGCGAAGATGGAGGACGCCAGGCGCGCCAGTCCGACGACGCCCCTGTCTTGGAGCGGCGGCGCCTCTGGGACGTCAGGGAGCGTGTGCGAGGACGGGTGGGGCGTTCAGCCGCGGCCGCAGAAGCGGCAGATGGAGCGGAGTCTACACGAGCAAGGGGAGTCGAGCGAGCCGCCGGATTCAGCCCCGGGACGGCCGAAGGCGGAGTTCCAGAACGGCGCGGAGGATGTGCAGCCTTCTTCGCCGTCGAAGAGACCGAAGCCGGAGAGGAGCGACACCGGGGGAGAGAACCGTGCTCCCGCATCCACGTGGATGAAGACGGAGGCGGCGAATGTGGATGGGGCTCTTAGGGTCTTCATCCCCTTGGAACCCTCGGCCGTCAGATCCTCCCCCGTTGCCGGATCGAACAAGGTCAGTATCCCTCGACTCATGTTTCTCCCTGAATTTTCCTGTCGAAGATACCCCCTTTTTCCTCTCCTTTACATTTTTTTTTCCCTTCCTCCGCTGCTTCCTGCCCCCGATTTTTCGGGATCTCCTCCACCCATCTCTTCTCTTCTTCCTGAACCAACCCCTCATCTCCTCCAATGGAACCGCGGATTTGAAACCAGGCACAAAATACTGCCCAGAGTTGACCGCAGAACATGGGCAGGAGTGGGTGGGATAGGATGAAGCCCCCCTCCTCGCCCCACCCCAAACCCTCCCCCTTCTCCCTCCTTCAGGGTGCTCAGGATGGCCCAGGAGTTTGCCCACAAAGTACTCCGACAAGGTCTCCTTTCTACCCCCCACATCTGCTCCTTCCGTCTCCTCTTCTCCTCTCTCTCTCTCTCTCTATCCCAGAGTGACCCCTGGTATCCGCCGCCCTCCATCCCCACGTTCGGTGGGGTGTCGTCTGGTGCGTGGCAGTCGCGGTGGGATGTCGCCGGCCCCACCGCCGCTCTCCTTCCCGTCCCCTAGAATTGAAGGGAATATTAAATAGCACATAGCAGAAGATGGGGTTGGAGAAGAGGGATGAAGAGTCGTCGACTGGCGGGCGGCGTAGGGCTGAGGAGGGGTGGATGGCGGTTGGCGTCTGGTCTGGGGTTCGGTCGATGGGACCTGATTGTAATTTCTTAGTTTTACGGGGGGGGGGGGGCATCTTGGTAAGGTTTGCTCCACGTGGGAGTGGTGTATCTGCAATTTTTGGGCTTGCGGGGGGGCGGAGCTGAAATGCAAAAAGTGACGATGTTTATCCCCTTTCGTTGTCGGTGTTTAGTTCCATCTATGGAATTGATTCTGCTACTTCCCTTCTTGATGATCTTTCATTAAATCGCTTCTCGCCGCCCCGTCACCGTTTTTTAATTTCTTTTTTCTTTAATGCTCTCTGGTCTGACGCGCCTTTGACTCTCTCCCTCTCTCTCTCTCTCTCTCGCTCTCGCTCTCTCAGGAAGTCGTCGTGGCGCCGATGGCGGCAGTGCCCGTGTCGTCGATTCCGGCGGCGCGTGTAGAGCCGATGAGATTGCGATTGGCCGCTGAAGCTGCGGGTCCGGTTGCCAGCAGACGAACGGGGAAGAAAAAGGTACCTCTTTTGCCGCCTCTACTCCCCCTCCCCCTTCTCCCATTCCATCGTCTTTTCCCACGTCGGCGGACCTACTATGCAGGACTCTCACATCTCTCTACGTTTTATTATTGAGGGAATATTAAATATGAAATATTAAAAATATTTAAATAGGCCTGGGCTGATCAGATTCTTCGAAACTTTTGTTGAGTGCAGACGCTTCCTGAGCTCAAGATCATGGAGGAGTCTCTGCTGCGAGACCGGGTGGAGCTCCGGAAGGTGGGTTATGAGTTTATCTCTTTCTCTCACTCTCCATCCTCCAAATCCTGAAAAATATTGACCATGGGTTCCCGGGTCAACAGGCGCTGGAGGAACAGAAGAAGATTTTAGTCGTACTCCGTGAGGAGAATCTGAAGATAACGAAACTGAAGGTGACTTGCCCATCACCTTTCCCCCCTCTCCCTGTTCCCCAGATCTCCCGGCTATTGATGTTATGTAGTGCAGTGGAGTCAATCTATAGGAGGAAATATATGATCTTTAGATATGGGTGTTTTCCAATTCTGTCAGATTATAATCCTAGCTGTTCTTGTCGTGCAGTCGGACTTAGCAGAAGCTGAGAGATCTAAAAACCCCCAGTGGAACCCGGGGGCTCGTCAGACGGTGGAGGACGATGTGAGTGGGCGGCAGGGCTTTCTGATCGACCTCAATTGCACGCCCGAGGAAGAAGATCAGTAGAAGACGGCGGCGTTGACCTCGTCATCCTTTCCCCCTGAACTGTAGATAGAGCGACGGAGGGGGAAGAAGAAGCAGAGCTGGCGAGAGGCTGGCGACTGTAGCAGTAGGCTGACTGACTGGTTCGGTGATGATAAATTCTCGATTGCCCTCCCTCTCTAAACCCCTTCTTCTAGAGCCGCCCTCGACTACGACTAGGCATTCTTTGGGGCTGACCCCATTAACCACCGCCCCCCCCCCCTTTTTTCTCCTCCTTCCTCTCTCCTTGTTCTGGTTCTGGTTCTCTCTTGCTGCTGTTAATTCTCGGTAGATCGGAGCTGTGAGTGCCCACCCCCCCTTCTCCCCCTCTTCTCCAGCTGTAATCGACTCCCTGTTATGATATTATAACGTCCGCGCCTTTCACACTGTTCATGCTTCTGCGATCTCTTCATCGTGTTCCAGGGTTTCCACCTGTTTTAGATGGAGAGAGAGAGAGAGAGAGAGAGGGGTCTGTCAGAAAGACCAGGGAATATATTACCAGAGGGTGTATCGCGGAAATTTCATCCCAATCTCTCTCTGTCGCCGAGGATTGGAAGCCCATTATCACTATGTCTGCTCTCGTGTTCCAGCCCAATGAGAGCTGGGCCGAGGATATTTGAAGACGGAGTCCAGCCCATTTTATGTGTTGGTGGGCCCGTGAGGAGGAGGTTGGGTCCATTGATCCGGGTCGAATATTCCAGAAGCTGGGGCCCAGCTTGGCCAGCCGGATGCCGTGTTGGGCCACACGGGGAGGGAACGGCAACACTCTACCGGGCGCCTACATTTGGCCCTATTTAAAGGCCGGCGTGGGCCACCTGCCTTCGGGCCGGGTCGTATCTTGGTTCACGGGCTCCCCCCCGGGTCGGATCCTAGTTACTAAGCCCGGCCCGTTTGACAAGAACCGTTGTCTCGTCTTCCGAATCTGCCAACTACGAGCCCACTTGGATCGCTCTGACCTCTGTTGAACTGCACGTGTTACTATTAATATAAAATACGAAAAAAATATTTTTTTTACCGTCATTAAAAATTACCCTAAATTTTATTTTGTCATGGAATCCGAAAAATTCCGGCTTTTGCAATTTGCTCCTAGGAATCTGCTCATCCTCGTTAAAAAAAATAAAAATATTTCGTTAACGGGGGGGATTTATTTTTTTTACTCCTTGTGAAAGTGAAAAATATAAATTTTACCAAAGAATCCAACAGAATTTCTTTTATCCTCGTCATCCCCCCACCTGCTTCCCTCCCAACCCCCGCTGTTCACACGGTGCTAACAGGCAACCGCCGTCGGCGAGGGAAAGCGCCAGCTGTGCCGCCGGCAAGCCGAAGGTTCAGACCACCTGGAGATGCCCTTAGAGCAGAGGCGACCCGCCCCAACGGCAATATACATAGATAGAAGCGCTGGCCATCAATGGGGCAGGCTGCGCAAGTGGGTCGCACGACGCGTGGTCAACGGCCGACGGCCACTCCACTGGCGGCTGTTCACTCCTCCGTCCCCTTTGACCCATCCGCGTCTCCTCCCCTTTAAATAGGGGTCTCTCATGCATGCCCATAAAGAAATCGGAGAACAGCGGGGAGTGCAGCAGAATCGAGCTGTTGTAGCAGTTGGGGGAAGAGAAAGAGAGAGCGGCATAAGCAGGAGAAACAGGAGAAACAGGAGAGGGATTCATGGCGACGGCGCTGCTGGGGCTTCCGCAGGGCCTCCTTGGCGGGTGCATCGCCGCCGTGAACGCCGACAAGCAGCGCCGCCCGTACCACCGGAACTGCGGTTGCGCACTGCACGATAAGTCTCGGCCGTGCCCCAAGGGATCGCCGTGCAGGGCCCAGCTCTCTTATCCCCTCTGCCGGGGAGCTTGCCGTCAGGGAAACCTGGTTGCGGCGGCGCCGGCCAGCGCCGGCGGAGGCGATCTTCACAGGTCCTCGTCGGAATCGGCGGGAAGACCTTTCAAGAAAACTCCTCAGTAGGTGCCACGGCGATGGCGGAAGAGCGCTCTGTCAAACAGAAGCTCGAAATCCGCAGGAGCACACGCCGGGTCGCCGGAATTGGACGAGCTCGAAATTCATTCCTGTGATAATTTTTCATTGGTCGTGGGTTTTGCCCAATTGTAAACTGGTTCCACATACAAACGAGATCAACAAGAATTTTTCCTCACTCTTGTGATCAGTCTGCAAACTCCGGTCCAATCCCGACCTGAATCAGCCGACTCAGTGGGTCGAGAAGAGAGAGAGATAGATAGAGAAGGAAGTTACAGGGTAGATATCACCTTGAAAAGGAAATACTTCCCGCCGTTCACCTTCGTGAAGATCGAGGATCGTCGTCGTCGTCGTCGTCGTCGTCGTCGTCGTCTTGCCCTTGAACGCATGGATCTGGAGCATCCGTCAATGTCGCAGTTTAGTGTCAAAGACAGGAGGCTTCGGGGAGATCGAAAACCTCATAAAAATGCCTCATTTATTATTGTTTTTATGATGGGCGGCTGGTTCCCGTGGGCTTTTGGCGGAGGACAAATCAACGTCGAACCAGTAGAAAGATTTCATGGCGGGGCTGTTCAAATATGAGCGGCCGGCCGCCGCCGGCGATCGACCGAGACTGTGGGCAGTCATTCCACGATGGCCGGCTTGGCTTTCTTCTCCGTCTCTACGACTTACTCCTGGTAATCGATGGCGGCCTAAACGTTCCCCTAATGTCCCCTTGAATCGAAGGAATATTATTACTATCATCCATCGTCTTCATCCTGGTCCTCAAAAGTCAACGATTCGCGGCAAAATCTGCCTGTCGCTGTTGCTCCTTCAAGCTCATCATTTCGATTAAAATCAAAGTCAGTAAACAGCGCCTCTCTGTCTCTCTGTCTCTCTCGCTCTATCCGGGGAAACCGCCCGCCAGAATTGTGGACCAGGAACGTGGAGTGGAAGATGGAAGCTGTTCTGCAACCTCCAGCCCCCGTTTCATGGCTATAAAAGGGAGGGTGCGGGGGCTTTAGGGTTTGTTGCAACGAAGGATGGCGTCCACAGCGGAGCCATGGGCCCAAGGGCTCTACGTAGGGTGCCTCTCCTCCGCCGGCGTGGAGGTCAGGCGGAGGCCCTACCACAGGAACTGCGGCTGTGCCCTCCACAAATCCGGCGGCTGCACCGGCTGCCTTCCAAGCAGCTCGAAGGTCGAGTATCCAATCTGCCGATCATGGCGGAGCAGCTGCCTGACTACGGCGCCGCCGCCGCCGCCGCCCGTGTTTTTCTCTGATTCTCCCGATCGGTGCTCTCTTAGGGATGTGGTGGCTGTCGGGGGGATCCGAATGGATTCAAACGAGGTGGGAGATTCTTGGTGATCAGGAGCCTTGGTCTCGCTTCGGCGATCGTTGTACGTGGATTTTATTGTAAGATGCAGTCGCTTATCATAAATACGCGACGAAAAACGATTTTTTTTATGAACCCGTATGCGAGCAAAGTCTCGCCATAGTTTTAGAGCTTGTAAGCTTGAAAGAGAGCGGCGTGAATTCTCCCTCCTTACTTCTGCTTCTTCTTCTTCTTCTTCTTGGACCTGTCCGCATGTTGCTCCACATACAACATCACCATGCTAAAGATAGTCGTCCTGCGAGCAACGCGGCAGTCCGGAGAGCTGTTGGAGAGAGAGAGAGAGCGAGAGAGAGAGGGAGGGGAGCTTTCTATCAGTTTCCCATCGCCCACCCCCACACGTCTACCTGTCAAGTCCCCCTCCCCGACCCCATCGCCTGCTCCGGCGCTACGGAAGAAGAAAGGCCCGGTGGTGAGTTCCGAGGAGAGAGAGAGAGAGAGCCTCGGCATGAGCCCTCCTTCACGTCATCCCCCATCTCTGCGACGGGGAATTATTGTCCCCAGTCACCTCGGTCTGGTTCAAATCCCTCTGCTCCGCCCGACAGAGAGGATTTTTTTTATCGCTCAGTTGTTCTGTACCTCCCCGGAGAACCGGGTGGCCAAGCAGCGGGAGAGTCGGCTGCATCTTCCTCGGGCTCCGACGAGCCTTGTTGCCTCCCCGACGAGGCCCTCCCCGCTCCTTTCAACTCGAGAACTTCGATCTGCAACAGATCGCATCACATTAAGATCTTGCTCGGATCGTTCGAGAATTGTAAGCGAAGTTTTATCGAATATCGATTTCAAAGAAAGCTCTCACCATCTGTCACGTTACACGGCGTGGACAGAACGAGCTCAAGAAGATCAGCCGCGGCCCCAACCCCGCTGGCTTCTGCGTCGCGGCAACAGATTCTGTCTGCCCGACGCTGACAGATCCTCTTGGATCGCCTCTACTGGACAAGTTTGCAGGAGCAATAGGACCCTGAACATAAGAGAGAGAGAGAGAGAGAGAGAGAGAGAGAGAGAGAGAGAGAGAGAGATGAGAACAGTGGCTATGTTGGGAACCTGAAACAGTGACCCTATCACTACTGCTCTTCCCATAAAATCTTTCTGCCATGTAAAGATTATTCCCTATGAATAGTGATTAAAATATAAGCAAAACCCTGTTCCTGCTGGGCTAAAATAAAATACCCCATCGTTTTATAAATCGAAAGCGGGTGGCGGATTTTATGATCCTCAAGCGACTTAGATGACTGCACATATATTTTTCTATAAGTCAAAAGATCTCATTTTGAATGACCTTTTTCATTGTGTATTCTCATATTGTAAGATACTCGAGAAGTTTGGTCGTTCGAGGTCTCATATTCTACAGACGCTTTCATATGTATCGGCGCTCAATGGCTGCTATTAATATGGGGCGTCTTGAGGGCTGGCATCTCTCCGAGATGGAGCCTCGGAACTGGTTGATTCAGAAGTGAGCCAGCCAGCCAGCCAGCCAGCCAGCCAGCCAGCCGGGAAGAGAAGCTCGGAGCCCATCAAATCAAACCAGTCTCGTCTGTCGCCGATCTCGTCACCTCCTCCCCGGCGAGGCCTTCGTCCATCTCTCCAAATAGGAAGTTAATGGCGAGAATCATTTGTTCTAGATCTCCAAGTATCCCGCTGCAGGCGGCAGCGATGGCGGAACCAGAGGCGCCCCTCCCTTCCCCCGCCCATCTTTTCACGGCAGATGGGTACCCCGGGAGCGCTCCGGCGAGCTCGCCACCGCCGCCCGGCGGCCGTTCCCGGCGACGGCGACGGGCTGGGAGTTCTTTCTCCCTGGGAAGACGATGAACTCATGGAACGCCCCCTCTTAGCTGCAGGGAGATGATCTCCCCCATTCTCCACTTTAGACGATGATAAACGCGCCAAGATTGGATTTTTCACGTAGTTGAAGGCTGAAAATAAGGTGAATTTAGAGAAGAACTTGCAAGGGGGGGACTTCCAAATCGATTTGAAGAATGAAATCACCCGCATTACTAGTTGACGGGCGTCCAATTATCTACATTCCATACGAATCGTTCGTGCCGATTCTTGGTCGCACCCGTCGCTTCCGATTAAACGCTGTACGTGTTTTCGGACCGAAAGTGCGGTTTTTCTCGTATATTCCCACCGTAAGCCATGTACAATACACAAAGCAAGCTTCTATGGGAATGGGGGAAATCAAGCCGAGGGAGAGAGAGAGAGAGAGAGAGAAATCGCCAAGTGAGCTGTGTCAAAGACCTAATCAAAGACTACCTCCTGCAGCTCAAAGGGAATTCTCCTCACCTTTTGAACGACACCGTCGTCCATGGAGGAGCCGAACAACTGGGTGACAGAAGACACCACCTTGCACCTACGCCCGTTCTCCGCTTCGTCGCACACCTTCCGCCTCCTCCCCCCTTCGGAGCAGGCAGTGGCTGCCGCTGCCGTGGCGGAGTTCTTGTCCCCGGAGCTGCTGCTGGGAGAAGACGACGGCATCGGCACAGGAATGCAGAAGCTGGAAGGCACCCCGAAGTTGGTCCTCGCCTTGGAACCACGCAGAGTCCTCGCCGCTGCATCGTAAGCCTTTGCAGCCTCCTCGGCGCTGTCGAAGGTGCCCAGCCAATGTCGGCACCTGCCGATCTTGTCCCTAATCTCCGCCGACCATCTTCCCCACGGCCGCTTCCTCACCCCTCTGTACCTCCTCACGCCGCCACCAAACTCACCCTCGAGCTTCTGCTCATCCCCTGAGGGACTCGCCGGCGGCGGCTCGTCTGTCTTCTCCTTGTCGCCGAAGAGGACGTAGTAGCCGACGACTGCTGCAATCCCTTCGAGAACCGGCGGAGACCCTGCGGCGCCCACCGCCTCGTAGCTCTCTGGCCTTACGATGGAGAGCGGCAGCATCGACTCGTCCATGGTCCACCTATCTCTTCTCTCTCTCTATCTCTCTGCAACAACGGCGGCGATGCACTGTTGGTAGATTCCGGCATGCAGAAGTGAAACGAGAGGGAGGAAATGGGGGGGGGGGATATCAAATCTCTCCCCTCTTCTTATCCCCCTACGCTTCAACTGAGCGGAAGCTTCCCACGTCAGTCGCCGGAGAGAGTTCACGTCAGTCTCTCTCTCTCTCTTCTTCATTCACGTCGTCGATTTGCTGGGAGTTCGTCTCTCTGCCCGCCGGTCGCGTCGGACTCCAACTCGAGAAGCGACCGTCCGGGGCCAGTCAGTTCCTCATGCCGGCCCCCTGACTTGAGCTTCGCGTCACCTGTCGTCGATGGACGGGACCCTTTTGACTGTTGATGGCGAGCGCCTTCATCGGGGGGGTTAATCTACAGACTAAACCCTGGCTATGGTTTAATCCGACGCGTTCCCGAAGAGGCTTCCCCCGTGCAGCGGCCATGTCCGAAGAACAAGGTCTCGGGCCGGCGCATGGCCCCTCCTCCTCCTCGGGACTGGTGATCCGGAGGACGGTGGAGCTCGGCCCATGATGGGTAGGGTTGACCAAACCTCTAGAGTGCATGGATTTACACAGAAAACAAATCAGTACGACAGAGTTCCACCAAAAGAGCTGTTTTTAATCTCTCTCTCTCTCTCTCTCTAAGTTTGAATGCTCTTCGATAGCAGCAACCCCGATGCTTCCTGCCGCAAATTTGTTTCGCACGTGCCCCGTGGTGCTAAATTGACCGACCGAAATCTCGAGCTGGTAAGCTGTTCTTTTGGCGGCGATTATCCAAGTTTCCACACGACGAAACTAGACGAGGGATTGACTTTCGACGCCGTGCAAACCCTGTAGAGAGAAGTCAACTAATACTAGCGTGGTCCTTGGCCGCTGCTATATTAGACAGGAAGGGGGCTTTCTTTAATTCTACTGCCACCTTCTTGACCCAACCAACGATAAGCAGGGTGAGGACATGAGTCAACTCCAGGATGTCGTTGACCTCTCTGTCCTTTTCACGCGCGAATGACTGTCTGATAGGTTTCCTGAAGTAGAAAAATCACCTACGAGGAGCCCATATATAAGCATCCACAAAGAAGTTGACTGTCGGAGAGACAATTCCAAAACCAGTTACGACAAGCATCACCTCGTGAAAAACCAAAGACAATAATGGTATGTAGGGTTGACTTCACGGCATGCTCGACCGAATGTGGCCCAACAGCGTCAGTAAAATGAATGTAATAGCTAGAATTATTGTCACATACATATGAACAGATAACCTTGAAACGGGGCCTAAGCACATGATCCGATTCAAGAGTTGACTTCACGGGTGACGACCGGGTGAATCTAGAGATGTCACATTAAAAGTCTCGGATAAATCTACGAATTATGAATATTTACGCTGCTGGGCAGGGCCAGGGACAGGGCCGGGTGCCTATGCTTGGAGCTGCCCCTTCGGAGGGATGGCAGCCGCCATGGCTCGTAGCTGCTTGGAGATCTCGGCGAAGCCCGGCCTTTCCGACGGCTCGGGAGACCAACACCGCTCCATCAGGGATTTCCATTCTGGGTCACATGATTCGGGAATCTTCGGCCGCAGAGTGTTGCTCACAATCCCACCTGAGGTCAACGGGCGGGGGGGGGGGAGGGGACACGAAATTAGCACGAAGAGGAGAGAGATTAGGGTTGTTAATCTGGGCAGATGATGATCCGGGCACCTATGATGGCGCCGTAGTGCATGTCGGCGTAGGGTTCTTCCCCGGTGAGGAGCTCCCACATCACGATGGCGAAAGAGAACACGTCGACCTTCTCGGAGACCAGGCTGCTACTGCCGTTGAGAAGCTCCGGGGCCATCCATGGAAGAGTTCCTCGAACGCCGCCGGAGATTAATGTCCGGCGTTTGACCTTTGACAAGCCAAGGTCGCCGACCTGCACATGAACGAGTAGGATACAAGGTCAAAACACGGTTTTCTGATAAGAAAAATAAAAATAAAAATCTGCGGCAACCTTTTTGCCGCTTGCTGGCAGAAACATGCTGTGTGGGCAAGTATGAAAAGACGAACTTGCAATAAACTGAATTGAAGAAGTCAATCTGTTACATTTTCCGCGGAGTCAACGGCTAATTCGATCGAGTAATAATCAGAATTGGGCATGGACGGTGGAATCAGAATTAGATATCGAAATCAACAGATTGTCCGGGGAAAAAACAGGCGTTGACAATATTTAATACTATATTGGTAAATAAATATTCGGATTGAAGAACACCTTGGTTCTTCTCCTCCTTATGCAGGGAAAACATAAAAAAAGCATGAAAGCTAATGAAGTAAGCAGCAGTAGTATGCGATCCTTCCTTCCAATTCCAATGGGGAACCCTAGATTCTTCCCTTGAAATCAGACAAGGTACCAGAAATCTGTATTGACATTGGTTCATCTTCTTCATCCTCGAGCTTGGGCCAGCTCGGATGGATAACAGAGCACAAATCATTTCCTCCGGCAAACCCAGAATCACCATTAAATAGGACCTAAATCAAAGCATAATCTTGTATTGACCAAGTTCATTTTCTACAATCAGATTCAGACTTAGCGCGTGAGAAACTCTTTTCTCCGACTTACAGGCACTTGGCATGAAGGAAATGCCCTAATTGTACCTCCAAGGTGCCTCTTCAATGGGTAGGCCCCATCCTGATTGATAGCATGGGAAAGTATGAACATAAGTGAGGGGTAAAGATTTGGGTCCACCGTTCACTGGGTCACCTGTTCAATTTATTTCAGTGTATTTATGACATGAACAACCCCAAAAATTTGAGTGATATAACTCCCACCCCTACTATTCCACATGGCTCCAAGATCAATAGATCCCTCTGTTGCACAGTGAAAAGAGTGAAGAGAGATTTTGCGATCTTTCAGGCCAATTCTCTTCTTTATATTCCGTTTGGTAAAATAAGGTTATTATATAGAGTATCTGAAAATAAAAGGGAGATTAAAATTTTCTCTCAAAATAGAATAAAATAAATCATATTGATGCCCAAAGTCGTGTTATAATAGGCAGGCAGTGGGGAGAGGAATAAATTGAAGACTAGGAAGGCTGACGGAAGACAGTAGCCTGGCTCACCATCTCTCCATCTTCTATTTGCGCTGACAACAGAGATAAAGGAGACATAGGGACTAAGCAACAGAGACCTCGCATACATGAAGTAGCTGGCTTACACATGCTGGTGATGCCGAATATATGGATGCATTCCAGAAAGAGGGAAACCCATTACACATGCATAAAGAGATAGGTTCCATCGCATTGGATACTATCAGGAAGACAAATAGGATAATGACCCATCCTATTTTGATCTAAAAATTATCTCCAATAAAGTAGCACTTGAAATATGCAGACGAGCATATGATACTATAATCGAGCATATTAATGCCATTATATTTATCCAAGAGAATATCATAAACGTTTGTTATAAGAAAATTTTCGGAAGATTCCTCTTCTTTCTTGATAAATTATCACGAAAGAAAAACACAAGTAGTAGGAGAAGAAACAAATTTCATCAAGCAATTGACCAAGAAAATTTCAGGTAAGAGTTAATAAAAAAACATCAACTCGGAATTTATTCCGTATATGTGATTGGATTAAAAACAATAAATCCTTCTGTCAATAGATGCCGATTTCAAGGTTTGGAGGATGTGGATGGAAACGTTTCTAACATGAATACCTTGCATATGGGGCGTTTAGGATCCCTCAAATTGACGAGCAAGTTGTCGCTCTTTAAGTCGAAATGAACAATATTTTTTCCATGCAAGTACTCCATACCAAATGCCACATCCATAGCAATAAGCAGACGTTTGCGCCGGTCAAGTGTCCTAAAGAAATGAGACATTATACATTTAGGGTAATGTCACTCCTTTTATTGAATCTCGTAATAAGACACCTTTCATCTAATAAAATGGAAGGGAATGAAAGGCCTACTTATGACTCCTCTGCAGAGCTTGTCGAAGAGATCCATTGACCATAAATTCAGTTATCGTTGCAACAGATCCCCCGGGGCCGTCTAGAACAACACCATAAAATGCCACAACATTCGGGTGGTGCAAGTCAGCAAGTTTGCAGGCTTCATTCCAAAAGTCAGCCCTCTGTAAAAAGGAAGCGAGCACTTTAAGCACAGGCACCTAAAGAAGATTTTTTTTTAAAAAATGGAGTAATTCAGATTAAAAATAAAGGGAAAATGATTCTTGATACTTGCCAAGCGTTCTTGCTCAGATTGCTTTCCAGAAAAACACCTATCATTGATTCTCTTAATTGCCACATCGGAACCCCTCCACTTTCCATGATAAACCGTCCCGAAGGTCCCCGAACCTAATTCTTGCAACTCTTCAAGATCACTGTTTCTTATTGTCTATACCGAAATAAATATCAATGAGCAATCAAACCAATTAACAAGAGGAATATAAGTGATTCATTGAGTCATAGAAAAAAGCCTACAACCTGAAGGCGCCCTATGTCTTCCAGAACAGGAAAATCAAGGCTCGATTTATGTGACATTCCAATGTCCTGAACGGCCATATACTTCACGTTCAGAGACTAAAAATAAATTTTAAAGTGAGCAAAAGGATAAACAGAACCTGAGTCACCTCTTCTTTATAATAACCGAGACATGATGACGTCTGTGAATCCAGATGCGTTCCCTGAATTGTTCCATCATTGTTAGATTCATAAAAAGAAGCATTTTCATAGCCTAGAGGTTCATGCTGCGGAATAGATTGCTGGAGCACAGATGATGCCACACCCTCAGCAAGAACCAGCAACTCTTGCTTGATGAACTCTTCAGGGGTGTCTATAAGGAGCAAAGGAAAAAAAGAAATGCAAATTATTACATAAGGTGAAGAATAAGCTTCAATATATCATCAACTTAGAAGACAAGTCCTGACCTTCCACGTGATGAATTACATTTTTGCATGCGCTCTTACTCAGTGAGTCTATATCATGGTGATAGCTCTCTTCCTCTGACCCTGCGCCTGTGCTGGACTCACCACTATTCTCTGGGTCTTTTTCAATAAACGAGTCACTAGGAGCAATTATATCTCTGCCAGGTAGCAAGGGAGATCTGTCCATAATTTTCCATGGTTCAATGCTGTTAAAAAGTGATTCTGAAGGATCTGGCTCTTGAACATCTCCGTCATGGTTATCCCTGCATAAGGAAAATGTTTCTGTCTCGGTTGAAGGGGCAACAGCGTTGCCCACAGCAACCCCATTGTATAATGGTGAAGCTTCATCAGACCAATCACTGACTACGATGATACTAGATCCTTGATGAAATGGTTCACGAGGAACTGGTGGCTCAGTGCACAATTCAGGATTACGGTTTTGTGATTCAAGTTTCCCAAGTACTGGGCATACCTTGTTGGGATCCTCAGTTCGAGGATAGTTCAAGCACGTGTCCAGATCAACCAGCTTGAAAGAATATGTTTCACTTGCCATCTGAGGACTAACAACAGCTTTGCCCAAAAACGCATCTGCCTCTCTGATTCTTGGACTAATGTTATCCTGAGGTTTTATAACTGTTGACAAGTTATCTGCCTTTATTTCACTATCTGCAGTGGGATAAGTGTCATCTACTGATATCCATGGTTCGATAACTCCAGATCTCTCACATCGTCTCATGCAGAGACCTTGTATTGTTCCATCAATAGGAAAAAAATTGTCAACCTGGGAATCAAATCCCGATATTCGAAGATTATTTGGCTCAGGAGCTTCAGGTTGGCTAAAGTCACATGCTCCTTTAATTCCTTTCAAAGGCTTATCATCATCATATGAAAATTCAACTCCAGGGACTCTGACAGGGGGCTCTGAATCCTGAGTAACTCCATTCTTTTTCGAAGTGATATTGTTTGCATCTGAATTGATGGAAACAGGGTGTTCTTTAAGGGGGTATTGTGGCTGTGCAGTTGGAGGCTGCTGCAGCTGCAACAAGTCCTCATTCCAGGCCTGAGTACGATTGTTTAAATACTCCCCATAAGAGGCCGGCACAGCACTGGCAATGCTAAATAACAATGGACGGCGAACCTTATTTTTTTCAAGACTCACTGCTTCACGGGGACCAACTTCATTATCCTGCAGTGATTCAACAGCTTGTGAATATCTAAATGCTCCCTGTTGATGCATTGTTGCATTATCTGGAACGGCTCCAGCTCCGACTCTAACAGGGACATGTGAGCTTGCCATATACTCAGGATGGAGACTCTGGAATGGTTCCCCTCTTTCGGGATTACTCTCGTGCTGATACATCATAATGTCTGAATGAGCGTGTGGCAAAGCTCTCAGACCCAAAGAAGAATCCTCGAACCCCAATGTCTGCCCTGGCAGTATCCTTGGTTGTGGCACCTGATGTAGCAAAGAGGATGGAAAAGGTGGGAGCTGTGACTGTGCTTGAATGGGTACATAAGCTGGATTACCCGAGATATGTGTGGCCCCACCTCCCCAAACATTGTCAGAGTAAGTTTCTACCCCAGTCATGACTGGATTCCCACGACCCACTGGGGCAACTGGCATGGCTGCAGTAATATGCATAACAGGGAGATATGGATACCGTGGAGGAGAAACAAGGTTACCAGCTGCCCCTAATAACTGGGGGCTTATATATTGAAATTGACTGGAATCATGGATGAGCTCAACATGGTTAAATCCACCCTGAAGAGGGTCAATGAATGTAGATGGCAAATAATTTGTCCCATCTGGTGGAGGCAGTGGCTGCTCCACCCAAGTTGAAGATTGGCTCTGAGGGATGATACCTGAACCACATTGTACATCCAATGCTACGGTGGCCGTTGGTGATATTGAGAACATGGGACTCGTTGAAGTATCTGGATACGCCATTGGCGAACCCATGGTTGGAAAGGAAGTCGAAAATGACGTGCCTTCATTTGTGTTTTCGGAAAGCTCAGCGGGCCCGCCGTCAGACGCCTGAGTTGATGAAAGGCTCCCTGAACTCTCCTTCCTCTTGATTCCTGGAACCTCTCTTACCGTGCCATTGTTCACCAAGTCCGCATACCTCAGTCCAGAGTCATCGAAATCAGAAGCCAAATTGATACCCGAAATATCCAGCTCAGTGGGAGATAAAAGGAACACCCGGAGCTTTGCTGACCCCTCTGCCGATGCCTCCACGAGCTTGTCATATTCCTCTATCATGTTCTCGAAATCCTCGGGGCAGGAGACAGACACCAGGGCATCCAGGTCCTCATCTGGGAGCTGGTATTTTATAACTGCAGGCCCGCCGAATGCCTCGGTCATCTTCAACATGACTTCCTGAAATGAAGCATCTCTGTGGAGGGCGATGATGCGGGTGTGGCCACCGACGTAGCGAAGAACACCATCGCTGGGGCGCGGGAGGATCTTGCCGCCGAAGCTGCAGAGAAACTTCACCTTCTTCGACGACGGGGACCGCAACTTCTCCTGGGGACTGTGATGGGCGGACACGAGACCAGAGGTTACGCTGGAGGCATCTGTCTGTTCTCCAAACCCAATGGGGGGCAGATGCTGGCAGGAGTATGTGGCGGCGGACCAGACGCCGTGAGGGCTTGGGAAACCCATCGTTGAGAAGCCTCCCGTATGGCCAACGACAGAGGAAACCGCGGTGGCAACGTCGGAGGCGACGCCGGGACAGCAATGGAGGTGATGGTCCAGTAGGGGGTGGGCGTCGGTAGAAGGGAAGACCCCACTCTGAGAACCCGGAATAACCGTTCGGCTGAGATTCACGGGGCGGAGGTGTTTGATGAAGGCAGTCTGGCCCCCAGCCATTCACAATCCAGAACAGAAACGGAATTGGAGGTTTGTCCAGGACGTGAACGAACAGGAAACCCTAGCGGATGGATAGGGGGGAGGGGATCTGAAGATGGCGACGAAACCTAAGGAACAGAGAGAGACGGTCGCGACCTGCCGGAATCGCCGATCCACAAGATCACAGAATGCCGAGCACCTCCAGGAGCGACACCTCCTGAGCAGAGGGGAGGAGGCGGACGGAGGAAGAACTCGGGTGGCGGAGAAGCAGATGGCGGTGGAGGAAGAGGAGGAGGAGAGGGACAGCGGCGGTTAAGGTAGCGAGGGAGGAGGGCGGTGGAGGGAAACAGAATGGCCGTTGGCTCCACTGTTTAGTCATTTGAGCCGTAGGGAGTTTCTAAAATCGATTCGGTAAGCCCGGGTCTTTCAAACGATTCCGGAGAAAATGGCGGCGGGGGACACGTGTCCTCAGGACACCCCCTCCCACTTCCATACGTGGCCCGAGCCGCCAGCGGATAACCGGACAACAGAGAGCGGTTCCAGAAGACCGGCGTCGGCCGTTCCCACTATACCGGGCCCCACTGGCTATCTAATTCTCTCATAATATATTATATTTTAATAATATTAAATATGATTATTTCCAGAAAATCACAAATGCAACCACATTTTCCTTATAAAGATAATGTGTGGGATGGTTATTTCTTTATCCTCTAGAGGCCATTTGGGCGTTGACCATATATTGTACTGGAGCAAAGTATCTGACTAATCTTCGTCAACGACCAATCTCCGGACAATAGTCAACTCGAATAGATGAAATGTAGGGGTTTCTTGGTTTTAGTTACCCTCTAATTCTCCCGAATTGGATATAAACCCTAAGATCATACATGGATGGTTTTGGTACGAATATCCAAAATTCCGACGGGGTTTGGGGGATAGAAACTTGCTTCGCCGTCAATTTTTGATCGGACGGGAGGCATTCGCCTGGCTCGCTGCCGGCCGTCTTCCCCATCTCCGCCCCTCGTCGGCGGCGGCGCCGCCGCCGCTTGCTGACGTGCAAGACGACGAATGGGAGAGAAAGGTCGAATGCCACGAAGGAAGTTTCTACCGAGGCCCACCAGTCTCATTCCACGGCGGAGATGAGCGGGTCGGCCGCCATTATCCGAAGGCCCACCACCACCGGAGGCGGCGCCGAAGTTATTTCTCAGCTGTCTCCATTGAAGCCCTGTCGGCCCCCTGCCTCCTGGATCCTTCTTCTTCATCATCTCTCTCCGTCCTTGCATCTCTTCTCTTCGTTCCCTGGTTCTACGGCCTCCTAGATTCAAGGTGATGATGGCGGCCAGTTGGGAATCCATGGGAGGAACTCCACAACTGGTGAAGTAACGATCTAACAATGGCCGGCATGCTTCCCGGGGTGGAGTGCGCCAGGAGACGCCGACTCCATCAGGGAGGGGCGGCGGAAATCTCCAGCTGGACCAGGCGGCGGTCTTCCTTCTGCTTGTACGCAGGTGGTCGCGAGACCCATCTCGCCGGCGGATCACCGGCGCCGGTCTCTGCTTCTCTCCCTGGTTTCAGTGATCTACGACTGGTTTACCTTCTTATTCTTATTTCGGCATTAGCTCAGATGGGCATCTGTCTGAATTCAGAGGATCGCCTTCAATGGGGGGTTCCAGAGCGAGGGCCTAGGGGACGCCGCAACGGAGGCCAGGGAGAGGCTGGACGAGAGGTTGAGGACGATTCAGAGAACGAGCTCGGAGACCAGGAGGTAAGCCTGCAAAAAATGCCATGCCCAGCATCACCGGAGGCCTCTTCCCTGATGAAATTCTTCGAACCAGCTGCAGTGAAAGCAGTGGACCGGGGATGATGGGCTCCGGCGTGTTGGCCGGTCTGAGGAGGGCGGTGATCTCTTCGAGGAAGAGAGCGAAATGCTTCCGCCGGAGACCGCCGGCTGAGCAGGACGACTGCGCGGTGTGCTTGGAGGCGTTTCAGAACGGCGACGATCTGCTGCAGCTGCCCTGCGCTCACCGATTCCATTGCTGCTGTGTCTCCCCCTGGCTCGAGAACAGCTCTCACTGCCCCTGCTGCAGGATGGATATCACTTCAGAACGCCTTCTCTCTTAGAAGAAACCCTCTCTCTCTCTCTCTCTCTCTCGGCAGCTCCATGCCCTCTCGCTGCCGTTGATCGCTGGGCGGATCGAGGGATCATGTCTTCACACGTGTCTTCATGTAATTGGTTTCTGCTGAAAGAAAATAATTAATGCTAAAGTGGCTGCTGGTACGGTGCATCCTGATGTTGTTCCAATACTCCGCGGAGCAACACACAGTCGATTTAAAACCGTGCTTCGCATCCGCAACGGCTAGGTAGAATGTACCGTTGGAGCGGAGCTTTTCAAATCCAGAGCGGCAGCGAGACCGCACAGACTCTTATCTCCCTCGAGTCTTCTTCTCCTTCTTCTTCCCTGGGAACTCTCATCATCTTCCTCCGCCTTCTCTCCCGGTTCCTGGCAGTAGATCCATTTCTCCGGCCGTCGTAGTATCAACGAGGAAGGAAGAGAAGGAGAAGAGGCGGGAGGAAACAATGGTGTACACCTACACCCCTGCGTACTACTCTTCCGTCCACGAGACCATCACCACCCTCTGCAAGAACATCCTCCCCTTCTCCTTAAAGAGCCGGCGCCTGATCAGCCAGTCGGAACAGAAGCTCGCGAAGCGCCAGTCCGACAACCTCAAGTGGCAGCAGGAGTCTTTCCACCGGATCCTCAACCTAATCGGCCTCCAGAAGGAAGGGATCGTGTCTGATCAAGCGGTCGCCTCCTTCCGATCTTACCTGCTCGAAACCCTAGTTTCCTCACCGGCCGACCAGGAGACGCCGGGCGTCGTCAGGGACAAGCTTCTCTTCCTGCAGGTGCGAGATCGAGGATCGTAGCGTCCTCCGTTCTTCTTCGAGAATTAATCCATGGTTTTTCTTTAATGGTTCAGGAGCTTCTCTACGCCAAATGCATCTCCTCCGATGAATACCATTCGTCGAAGCGGCCGCTGCTTCAGAGACTCGCCTTGCAGGGGGTGGAAATCGACTGTAGAGACGTGATCGCCGGCGGGCACGATGTCCTACCGGAGGAGGAATGGTCGGAGATCGAGCTGAGAGACAAGGAGAGACCTGCGGTGGATGTGAAGCAGAGCAAGACGAAGCATCTGCCCTCGATCAAGGGGGCCATGTCCTTCGTCGGAATTTCTACCGGAAAAGTGAAGGAGACCACGAGCTGCGCCGCCTCAGAGCCGCTGCGCCCCGTCGATCTCAACCGGCGAACCAACTGGGAGGCTCCTTCTCTCAGAGAGAAGACCCTCCTCCGGGAGGGTCAGAAGGGCATTGAGAACCGCTCGATCTTGGCGCCGGTGAGCTTGCAGAACCCGTCGGCGGCCAATGAAGAGAAGGTGAAGAAGAAATCCTTCCGAGCTATATTCCACAAGGAACAGAGGGAAGGAAACGGGAAGACGGATCTCACCGCCGGCGATGGCGACAAGACGACGCCCCCCAGAGCTCCGAGGATGCATTGGGGGCTCGACGGGCTCAAAAAATGGAAGCGGAGCGCCTGCGACGACGAATCCACGGCCCCATATCTCCCCCCCGGGGAGAGATCAGACGACGCCGCCTCCCTCGGAGAAGGCCCCGACACGAAGCGGATCAAGAAGAAGATACATTCGGACGGCGCTGCCTCAGATTTCTTCATCGACAAGGTTTATAGATGAAATCTTGGTAGATCCTGTAGAATGCTTCAGTGGCTGACTTTTTTCGTCTTCCCCCCCTCCCCCTGGAAAAGGTTCTTGGCGAGAACATCAAGAAGGAGCTGTCTCGAATCCAGTCCGAGCTCCACACCACCAATCCAAATCTCACCTTCTCGTAATTCACCTCCACCCGCCGTTGTCATAGCAGCTCATCAACATGCGGATGCCTGAACTCCATCTTCATCTTCTTCTTCTTCTTCTTCTTCTTCTTCTTCTTCTCTTACAGGGATGATCAGATCGAAGCCATTTCAACCAGGTTGCCGGTCGACAAGGCCGACCTGAAGAGATTCTTCCCGAAGTAAGCTAGAGAAGAAGAGGGAACTCCATCTAAGTTCGCCATTGGCGGTGCGATTATGCCTGAGCTCCTCTCCTTCCCTCCCAGGTCATGGTGCGACAGGTACGGAGACGTCGTGCTCGAGGTCGTCAAGAAGGAGTTCAAGGACCACGTCGGCGAGATGGAGACGCTGAGGAACACGGTGAAAGAGCGGCGGCAGAGCTCGGAGAAGTGGGTGGCATTCGACGAGAACGACGAGAACTTCGCTACCAATCTATTCCTCCGGGATCAGACCTTCCTGAACGAGGAGCCCAGTAGAAGCTGCTTCGCTAACAATCCCTTCTACGATGATGATCATGCCTCTTCGTGGGCTCCTCGTTGAGAGCTTTCAGCACCAATCTGTTCCTCCGGGATCAGACCCTCCAGAACCAGGATCACCATAGAGCCCTTCCTGGGCTCGTCGTTGGTGATCTCTTCTTCTCTCCTCTTCTTCTTCCTCATGTCGTTGCTTTTCCTCGTACGTTATGACTGTGCACTGTGGGTGAAGATCTGTGGGATCTTCCCCTGTTCTTAGGATCTCGAAGAAAAATGTTGCTGCTCCTTCCCATGTATAGATAGAATAAAATACATATATTTATGGAGAGAGAGAGAGAGAGAGAGAGAGAGAGAGAGAGAGAGAGAGAGAGAGAGAGAGATTATATGGCGTTGCTGTGGTTAAATTATCTCAAATTTAACGAGAGTTTGCACTCAATATTAGTATTTGTTTGGTTTAATGATGGCAAAACTTAGTACATGACAATATATGACTGAGTTTAAAACTTGTTGATACGGTTCACTTCTTTCATTGAGTGAAGATTTGATAATATATATATATATACAATCAAAAAAAATAAAAAATAAAGTTTGCCCGGAATCTAGTTTTCCTTATTTTTTTATTTTAACAGCGTAAATCTGTTCATCCCGGGAATATATTATTATTTTCGGTCATCCATTATGGTCTACTTTGGATATATAATCATCCAATTATCGTATTTCCCAAGTTAAGAAAATAATCAACGTCTCGAACCCAGGAACTACGACAGGAAGCTGCTGTTCCATGCATGGCATGCAATCTGCCGGATCCGACAGGAAGCTGCTCTCTCTCTCTTCTCTCTCTCTCGCTTTCTCTCAGTTGCATTGAAGGAAGGAGGAGGACAAGAAAACTGCTGTTCCATGCATCAAATCCGAAGCTCCGTCGTCCTAACCGGCGGTGCAGCCTTTGAAAGTGCACGACTTCTTCTTGGAACCGCCGCGGCCGGCCCGGCGGGATCCCTTCTTGAGGATCTCGGTCATGCCGGCGGCGAGCGACATGGCGGGGTTTGGCCGCACCGTCCGGTTGAAGCTCCGGCAGACCTCCATGTGGGCGCGCAGGGCCTCCTCCCTCGGCACGCGCCGCTCCAGCTCCTCCTTCACGGCCTCCGCGCAGAGTCCGCACACCCACCGTCCGCAGAAGCGCTCCTTTACCCGCCTCACGTAGCCGCCGGTGCAGTCCTCCGCCAGCCCGCAGCACTCGCACTCCACCCGCTTCACCTCGCTCGCCAGCGAGACTTCGGAGACGGTGGCCCTCTGGAGGAGGTCCAGAGAGAGTCTCCTGCCGCCCGCTCTCGCCGCCATCAGCCCCCGTTGTTCCTCGCCGGCGGCGCCGCCGGTGGGCTCTTTATAGCGATGAGGCATCGAAGATCTTCTCCCCGGGTTGGTGAAGGTCACGGGGAAGAGGAGGGCTTCCACTGGTTCGTTGCCGCCGGTGTGGCGGCCAGATATCCGGCCGACGGCGGTGGCCACAGGTTGCGGGCGGCAGTGAGGTGGCCGAGGGAGGACAGTCCAGAGGTTCGCCATGTTGCAGAGGACCTCTTAAATACGAAAAGGATGTCGAGAGAAGGACAGCAGATAAAGAGATAATCCTCGGCGAACGACTCATGAAGATCACGAGCGAGTCTCCTCTTCCCATCCATACCACCTGACAGCGATAGGCTGATCCGAAACTGAGATAAAGACGAAATATCATACATAAATATCACAGATTTCCTCATGGAAAATACTCGATCAGCAGAATAACATCATCATTCCAGTGATAACAAGTCATAGGGAACCAGCAGGGCATCTATCCTGTGTGTCTGGTTCAACCCAATTTTTCCTTAGTAGGGGATAATCATATGCCTATATACATGGTAATGGAAGGAAATTTCGTCAGGAGCTCGGTACGATGCTGCTGCAGACGTCTCCACGACAAAGAGGACAGACCCTGCAAGCGACCAACGGTGGGGAGATCAATCCCAAGAACTCCAACGAGAACGAGGATGAAATGGGAAGAGGGCGGGATGGGTACCCATGGATCTCTGTAAGCCATTTATCAACACACGACTTGTGGTACTCGTGTAGGCAGGGAAGAACTCTGATTCTGTCGCCTTCTTCGTACTCGTCCAGGCAGATGTAGCACCTGTTCATCGATGGAGCAACAGATCCACCAGTGAAATGAGGCCATAGTTGATCATCATGCTCGAGAGGTGTTCTGGAATGTCTTGCTCATGATAACCACGGATTATATACTTTTCATGGAGTGTCATTGAGCTCGATGATAAATTATTCACCTTATCTGGGTTTTTGAGGATTTAAATCATGACCAAAATGTGCTCTAAAATGTCCTACTTACAATGGCAAACGGATTTAAATCACGGAAAAGAAGTGTTTTCTGAAGACTAAAAACCATATCTATGAACAGAAGGTGGTCATTCTAACATGGTTATATTGCAATAGCTTCTTGTTCTTTCTTCTGCTGTAGAGCTAACTAATGTCGATGAAAGATTTCATCAAAAAAACGAGAGATTTTTCCGTCTATGCAGCAGACTTATGCGGTCCTAAACCTACTCATTGGGTTCAGTTCTCCATCTTACTGAGGCAAGTTGTTTTAATATTAAGATTCCAACATCTAGCTTAGTTCTAATATTAGACATGGTCCATTTTTACAAAAATGTCAACATTAAAAAAAAATAAAATCAAGCCTAAGCACAAAAATGATAACATTAACAGAGAAAAACATCGTGTAATTCAGCAATGGTAAAAAACATTAAAGAGCCTTACTGTGGAGCATCTCCGTTTTCCACCACGCTTGACTTTCTGTGACTTTTAAGAGGAAAAGAGTTCACGACAGATTCTGGCGCCGGATGAGACAACATTGAGAGTGAAAAGGGGGAGGGCTGTCGATGGATTTCATCCAACACCTGCAGTATCATCTTAAGTAAGATAACAAAAAGCTGCAGGCTCGCACGGGGTAAATTCACACCCCGCCGATAGATGATCTCTGAGGATTAATGTACAACAGCTCAAAATAAGCATTTAGGAATTACTAAAATGGATCATGTTAGAGCCCCTGTGCTCCATATCTTACACATGCAGTCCACTTCAACTGGGAAATAAGATGACAAAGTCAATCTACTTTGTGCAGTATTTCAATAGTCAAATCAAGGTAAGTATCGGTTAAGCTAATGATTATTAAGCATCTAAACATTCATGAACGTATTTGTGAGTCCAGAATTAAATCGGCCCAGCAAAATAATGAGTCCAGACAGAACTTCTTTGCCTGTCCATGGAGGAGGAGGCAAGTCAGCTCAGAAATGGCGCCGGTTCTACATCAGGTATAGGTTGACAGCAAGTTTTTCAAGCTGGTTCCTAACAAATCACCTCTTTTTGAACCCTAACACGTGAGCCCAAGAGTTCTTTTCTAGACGATCTACAGAATTAAACAGCTTCTCCTATCCTACTCTCCGGATCAATAAATTCAAACCATACAGAAATGTAAGTGAGTGGTTAGCTGGTTTCCTCAGAACACACATGCTGGAAACATCAAGGCAGTCACTTGAAGGGCCTACCTCAAACAAAGCCTCAGCTAACATGACTATCCGTGAGATACTTGCACGAGTCTCTGATCCTTCAGTTATCACGAATGTCTCACATGAACATGTACCAGATGGGTGAAGTCCAGAGGGGCAAAGAATGGACCGTCCACTGTCCTCATCAACATCACCACGAGGTGCTTCTGTTACCTGCGGGAAGTCTTCGGTTAATTCCAAGGAGGAAAGATGAGAACAAGATGAATTACCAGGGTGGTACACAGGATATCCCCATGGAAAATAGTACGCTAACTAAGAGGATCAATAGAAAAAACAAAGCTCTGATATTGAAATTCAATATTATCAGATTAATTTAGGAGTCAGGTGCCATGCAACGATAAATACAGGCATGCCCACCATGATTGAATTTAATTGACTTGCAGCATACATAAAGAGGAAAAAAATGCGTAAGGAATATCACCTCGGATCTTAAAGTTCTCTGTTCAGCTGTATTACTACGTCCACTAGTCTGAAGTTGTGAGCCTTCTCCAGTTTCATTCCCAAAGACGTCACTACTCAAATCAAGGAGCCATTGGTCATGAGATGCAAAGTCATCAGTGCCCTCTGTTGAAAAGAATATCAAGGGAGGACCATCATCCCTCTCTGAACCACGTCTGGAAAAGGCCTCCCAGAACAACCTTCTACCATTTCTTCTTGCATCTCGATTTCTGCTATATCCAGAATTTCCAGAAACAGCACTAGAAGATAGAGTTACTATGTCCAGGTGAAGTATGCTTCCACCTCTTCGTTGTCTTGTCCTGAGGGGTATGAAAGAACCTGAATCAATAGGAGCTGCAACTTCATGAGGTTCTTCATGAGATGAACGTCGAGCTGCAGGTTGATTGGAGGCGGTGGAGTCAACGTCTAGCCAAGAGCTACGGACCCAATGAGCTACATTTTCCTGGCTTCTATTATCTACTTGCGGCATGTTGACTGAGGATACCCTATTTGCATTATCACGGTAGGTATAATCATCTGTGGAGTCCCTTGCAGCTGCAGCGAGGTTGGCATCTCTTCTCGCCAATGATGCTCTAGAGGGCAGCGGCCCTGAGGAACTACTAGCTTGACCAGGAGGGCCCTGATCGGGCATCATATCTTGATGAAGGGCGATTCTCTCAGATGGCAACAAATCCTTGCTCTCTGACAAACGTTTCCCAGGTGCATTAAACGTTTCACTAGCACTTCGGGAAGATGTTCTGGAGCTGCTGCCCTCGGAAGACATTATCGAGGATAACTCTTCTGTTGATCTCTGGAGATTACCAAGAAGAAGAGAATCACCATTTATTGCTGGATCCTCTAACGCGGTTGAGCTGGAATCATCTCCTCGTTCGTCGATCTGCATGCATAGGAGGTTCAACACTTATATTTTTCGAAATTTGTATCTGCTTTAAGATTAAGTGCAAGAACATGACAAGTCAAATCATCCATAAAAGAACAGTATGTCAAGAATAGTGGTTACATAAATTGCATCAACATATCCTCAAAAGAATGGTATTTCAAGAACGCAAAAGCATATGAAAAACTATAAAAAACAAAACAGGACAGATTTCATGGATAAAACATGATTTGCGATCGTGCCCATCAACTAGATGATCCGTGATTTCAAAACATGAGACCTTACCCCAGACCTAACAAATGGATGCAAAAGTTCAGGCAATATATGGTTCACTGATCACACCGTTTATGCTTCATCCAGAAGTACAAGCATTGGGCTAAATTCATCAGTGGCTATTAATTTGTGAGAAAAGAATCAACCAGAAGCATAAAGATTTGACCAGAAAATTTTGTTTCTTAATATTGAACCTCATGTACCGATTGCTGTACATGCGACACATGTTAGAAAAGTTGGGAGACAGAAAACATGAAGAGATGGATGCTTGATCCTCCATCTCAAATGTTTGATACGACATAAAAATATAAGGAAATTATTAAGATAGTGCCATCGATAGACAAGAATTACCCTTGTAATCATGATAGATCGCTATGCACTCAACATAGTACCAGGTGATGCACACACAGATATACAAATATAACAGCTAGTAGAGATAGATATCCTGATATATATATATATTGATAGAGAGACGAGGATATATCGACAGATCATAGAAAGTGGTTGATACTGTCCGCCAAATGTCAGGGAAAAACGAAACAATTTTACAAGTTTCCCTCCAAATTACTATAAGCAGGGTCAATGAATTAAGGTGGAGAAAAAAAATAAGAGAAGGGACAGAGACCTTAGTAAACTGCCCATAGACGCCCCTAAAGGGTGAACCTGTCAGTAGCCTCCCACAACATAGAAAATCCAGCAGTGGGTTCCTTCCTTGATAAATAACCAACAGCAGGCTCTTTTAAAGAGAGACAACAGCACGAGATGAAATAGCCAGAAGCAGGGTTTAGCAATGGAAAGGGAGGGCTAAAAGTATCTTAGCACCCACGCACAACATTACACAACGTCTTTGGATATGGTAGAGACAATGAACGGCATAAAATATTTGAACAAGAAGAGGATCAGCCAGTAAAGAGCATGATACCATCAAGGAAGAACAAGTATAACTATCTAGATCATAACTCCTAATCATTACGGATTAATACCCCATTGAGGAATCCTAAGTTAGCCACAAAAACAAGCATGAAGACCACTGACGCATATCCTCCACCATAATTCTCCCGTGGAGTGTGCCATATAAGAAAGACCGTCCAATACTTAAAGCCTAACTCTGTTGGCAATATTTTTACCAACTGTTGCTAGGTGTCAATAATGCCTTTTCAAAAGGTTTATAAAACCCATGTGATCTTGTAGTAACAAATCAGGGAGACGATCTTTTCAGCCCATCAGGCTTTTTGCCACACCCTTACCCAAGTTGAATTCATCCCCTCGGTCGCAAATAGGCGTCAAGGAAAGAAACAGAGAAGAAGAAGAATTGCTAATTTACTCCTACCGATTCTCAAATCCCATTAAAATAAGTCTTTCACAAACTGATGCCAATATTTTGGTTGCGAGCAAGCCTACCCCTCTAGAGAAAGGCAGTAAGGCGCGAGTTTTGGAGAAGAAGAAAAAAATCAAAAGAAACACCTAAAGTTCAAGTGGTTCTCGGCAGATGGATCTTCTCGTCATAGATGATTGGACGTCTAAAGCACCACAGAGAACTACTCTCTGTAGACGCGAGGATCCAAAAAATCCTTTCAACGCCAAGGCAACCTGTCCAACCAAATCCACCATCTAAAAGGTCAAAAAAAGCCTACGGTGAAAATTGAAATTAAAGAAAAAAGAGGAAAATATACAGAAATTTCAAGTGCAACGTCCGCAGATAGAATCAAAATCAACCATTCCACACAACGATCGAGAGGGGGGAGGGGGGACGGAAAGAAAGCGGAGCATGGCCAACGTTTTTGGGAGACGCTAGAACAGAAAGAGAAGGACCTGCGGAGAGTCATCCTCGGAGAAGGAGGTGCCGCAGAGGAGACTCAAGAGATTAAACCTGGGCCGGGGCATGGCCTGCGCCGCTGAGTTCGGTGGCCGCGGCACTATTCGGCTGACGCCCGACCCCATATTTCTTCGTATTTGTGGGGCTTCCCTTCTCAGTATCTCAGTGGACTCCCTTCCCTACGCCGATCCCACCTGCCCGGCGAATCCTGAGGGAGGAGAGGGTGAAGCAAGGACCTGCGTCTCCTCCAACCACAGACACAAATGGGGGGAGGGGGTTATGTGGGTTTAATTAATTAATTAATTAATTAATTCATCTAATTAAAATTAAATTAATTATTATAGGTCGAAATCTCGGGGAGCATTGGTCATGGAAACGAAAAAGAAGAGGGTAACCATGCATTCCGTTGACTATTAGAACTAACAGTTTCAAGAATCAGTCAAACGATCATTGACTTTAATTATCTGGCCTAAAAGAACGATTATTCCCACAAATACCCCTTATCCATCTTCCTCTCAAGAGGCAACTAGTTTAAATGGAAACAAGATGACTACTGCACTCGAAGTCGGGGAGAGAGAAAGATATAGATTAAGTGTAAGGTATTCGTGCATTTTTCCATTGCGATTGAAGAAATTAATGATGGCCAAGGACATAGGGGTGCATAACTAATTAATCCTAATTAGAGTTAATAATATAAATATCCTTAATTACTATTTTTAGCACTTTAATTAGGAGCACCAGTTGACCATTTGGCATGTAGTCAATCTACACACTTCTTTGGTGTCGATATTTAAGTATAATTAATTAATAATATAAATAATCCCAACGAGGTTGAACAGTATAAACTATTTTTAATTATTTATTTAGCATTTTAATTAGGAGCCAGTTGACCCTTTGGCATCAGTAGTCAATCTAGACCCCTTTTTGGTGTAGATAATTTAAGCATAACTAATTAATTAATGAGACAAATAATCCAAATGAGAACGAACAGTATAGAGTAGTTGTGATTACTTTTTTTAGCATTTTAATTAGGAGCACCAGTTGACCATTTGGCACCAGAAGTCAATCTACAGCCTTCTTTGGTGGCTTGAACAGAGGCACTTACTCAATACCCATGAAGTTTTATTTTCCCGAAATAAACCTGTTTATTACGATTATGATAATATAATCGAGATTAAGCATCATAATCGGCTGCGTTTAGGAGATCATGCGACTTGGGTGAAATCATGCAGGAACAGTACGTTCGGATCTGTGACGATGGATAGACCTACCAACTATCTGTTTGGATCTCTCAAAGGGCCCCCCCCCCCCCCCATGTCGACACAGTGACAAAAGTCAACAGTGTGTGTGTGTGTGTGTGTGGGAGAGAGAGAGAGAGAGAGAGAGAGAGAGAGAGAGAGAGAGAGGATTATTGAATTATTGAAGATGTTTGGTAGTCCATCAACCCACATAAATATCACTACGTAAAAGTTGTGGGTCAATTTAGAATTAGAATTATCGAAACTGATGAAGCGAGATATAAAAATTCAGAATAATGCCTTCTCATGAACAACAAACATCTCTCTCTCTCCCCACTCCCTATCTCACTATGTGTTTAACTTTCTATACTTGTATTTGACTTATTCTCTCTCTCTCTCTCTCTCCTCTCCCTTTCTCACTCCGTGTTTCAATTTGTATTCTTGTATTTGACCTATTCTATCTCTCTCCCCCCTCTCCGTCTATGTTTGACTTTCGATACTTGTATTTGACTTACTCTCTCTCTCTCCCCTCTCCCTCTGTGTTTCACTTTCTATTATTTCATTTGACTTACTCTCTCTCTCTCCGACTCACTCACTAACTCTGCGTATCACTTCCGAGGATACTTGCACTTGACATAGCCTGGCTTTCTCTCTCTTCCAGTAAGACTGGATATAGTTACATCTGAATGCACTATAGCCATGACAGGTCCTGGGCGTAAGATGCAGACCTGGCAGCCGCTCGCACAGCCTTCTCGGAGATCCGAGGGCAGTCCTCCACCATTAAAGTCTCCAGTTTCTTCAGACCCAGAAGTGGCTGAAGCCCGTAGTCCGTAACGCCCAAGCACTTGCGGAGAGTCACGCAGTTCAGGCGAGGGAAGACCGCCAGCAGCCGCAAGCCCTCGTCGCTGACCTCCTGGCATCTGATGAGCTCCAGCTTCTCCAGAGAGGAGGAAGAAGAAGAAGAAGAACACAGAGCCTCCATCCCCACGTCGCCGAAGATATGAGCCCGTTCGAGCACCAGAGAGCGGACCGGGCAGCAATGGAGGACGGCGAGAAGGCCGCTCAGGGAGAAGCAGCACGGGGCGGAGGGGGAGTCAAGGTCCGAGAAACATACATCGACCTCTTCGAGCGATAGGCAATGGTGGGCCAATGCTCTCAGGCTCTCGTCAGTCATCTGAGATGGGTAGATGTTGACCGTTCCGGGCTCGACGAAGTGAGACGGAAGCCGGAGGGAGATGCTTCTCAGGTTGCCGGAGTTGAGAGCCATGGAGATCATGTCGGAGTTCCTCAGGCTGTAGCACCTGTCCAAGGAGAGCTTCTTCAACCTCCGGCAGCTCCCCAGCACGGAGGAGAGCCCTCCCTGCGCAAATATGCAGTTCACCAAGCGGAGTTCCTCCAGAGCGTCGCAGGGAGGATGCTGACGAGGGAAATCTCCAGAGGCCGAGGATCGATGGTGGGCCTTGAAGTCTCGGTAGCTCGAATCGATCTCGAGCTCCAGGCGCCGGAGTATGCGCCAACCAAACCCTAATCTCATCACCTCGGCCTCGCCGATGGCCTTGCAGTTCTTCACCGTGAGGTCCTCCAGAACCCCAAACTTGCCGAGGTACTCCAGCCACTCTGAGCTCCTCACCTTCATGCATCGCAAGAGGTGGAGCTTGGAGAGATTCTTGCAGCCGACGACGACAGACAGCAACCCGTTGGAGCTGGTGGAGGGGGCGAAATTCAGCTTCAGGGATCTGAGATTCCCACAGGAGGACAGGTGACCTAGCCCTGAGTCCGTGATGAAGGAGCAGAAGCTTAGGGTTAGGTCCTCTAGACAGGGGCAGCGAGAGGCGAGGACGAGCAGGCCATTGTCGTCCAATTGCTTCCCCAGATTGGATATCCAACCGGAGTAGCTGATTTCCAGACTCCGCAGACTTGGGAAGCGTATGCAGAGCAGATTCAATGCTTCGGTCGCCGGGTGGAGCCCGCAGCCGACTCGTAGGGATCCTCTTTGGTCCCCCTCGGCCGAGTGGAATCGTTTACAGACGAGGGACGCGGAGTTCCTGTCCCCAGTATCGCCGATCCTCTTCAGAATCTCGGCGAGAATCGACAACGGAAGATCATCCATCGAGCAAAGGCTAATTTCTTCGGCGCCTAAACGTAAAATCCTCCCGTCCAATCACTAGCTGATCAGTCGCAAAACGAAACGTGAACAGTATTAACTAAAATCCGATGATAACCAGAGGCAATAGTCCTCAGCGTGGCTCGATCCACGCGATTACGCAAATCGGTCCTGAATAGAATCACTCGCAGGAACCGCTCTCTCCCAAGGTCCTCGATCAAAATCTGCACAAGAGAGAAAAACTCTGGAGCCGAAACCATCGTAATCGGCGAAGAGTATTCGTAAAAAAAGTAGTCATTCAGATCAGAAATAGATCTCCTTGGCTCCCCCAATCGGAAGTTTCTTTCCAGCAAAATGCAGGAAAGATCACGAGAATTTCCGCTTTCTGAAAAAGAGCTCTGTACTTCTAATCGAAAAAGGAGCCCTAAATCATGGACAAAAACGAGAAGATCGACCAACGAAGGGATACTCACAGGAGGGAGGAGCAGACGAAGAAAAAGCAGTAGCGCTGGTGCGATTCTGCACCTTCTCCCCCAAGCTTGGGGATCTCGACGGACGGCAGTCTGCTGTTCTTCCCCCTCCACGCTCTCCTCTGGCAAGAACAGTTGACGAGAAGGAGAAGCGGACAGTCCGGTGACCACGTGGACAAAAAAAATCCGAGGACGGTGATAGATTTTTTTTTTTATGGGGATTTTTATTATCTAGTCCTGACAAAACGCTGGAATTAGCTACCTTGTGGCAGTATGCAGATAATATTGATAAAAAATGGATATTATATTTCATACATAATTTATAAGGTATTAAAGATAAAATACTATTTGGACACGGCCCACTAATGAACATGGGCTTTGGACATTGAACCGAATGGGCTACTGAGCCTTCCCTGCCGCCCATATGAGCTCCATTTGGGCGAGTGGGGGAACTGAGTCGACTCGTGATGGGCGGAGCCGAGTTCAGGTGGAATCGTCAACTATCGTGGATGAATGGTCTCCGCATTGCTCTGTTCATCTCACAGAAGTTGGAGCTCTCAGAAGAGGAGAGATCGCCGGCGCCTGGGCTGCTGTCGCCGGAGGAAGGCATCGCCGGTGGAGACGTCGCCGGAGGGGACCCAACACACAGCTTCCCTTCCTTGGACTTCGATACGGAAAGATAAAAGATCAGGTTTAATGGCGGATTGTAGAACGCCCACTCTGCCTTCTCCGCGATTGCTTTTCTTTTTTCTCTGGTTAGGTATGGGAGGGTGAGCATGAGTTCAGCTCGGGGGGGAGGGGAGGGGACGAGGGTTGAAGGCTTGGATTTTGATCTGTTTTATTTTTCTGACATCCGATGTTGATACGGTGGGATCCAGTTGCCGTGCGGGGTGGTTGGCGTGATGAATAATAGTCAACCCTTGGCGGATGCACAAAATCTCTAAGGTAAGCTAGGGAAAGGGGGACTTACGGAGTAAGAGAAATTACTGCGCCTCTCCAGAGCTGGAATAAGTCGCCCTCAAACCCCGGCCGGAGATCTAAAAGCGTCGTGCGGAGACTCGCCACTGCCTGTTCTGCGATTTTCCCCGGATGCAGTAGGAGGAGGGAGACAAGGTGAGGGGGAGAGATGGGGTGCGAAGGGTTCTTCTATTCGCTGCTAATCACGATATCTGCCGCGCTCATCACCTACAACATCCTGGTGTCCTCCACCGCGCCGCTCAAGCCCGGGTTCCCAGGTCCCGGGACGTTGATTGAACCCTCCACCATCTCGGGAGCCCGTTACGTTGACCCCGTCCTTGAGATGCCGTCCGATCGGTCGAAATCCAGCGAGGGGGATCGGCGGAAGCGGCTCTTCCACACGGCGGTCACGGCGTCCGACTCTGTGTACAACACATGGCAGTCCCGGATTATGTACTACTGGTTCAAGAAGTTCCAGAACCAGCCGGGTTCTGACATGGGCGGATTCACCAGGATCCTGCACACAGGGAAGCCCGACAAGTACATGAACGAGATTCCCACCTTCATCGCCAAGCCTCTTCCCTCGGGAATGGATCAGGTACTATGCTTCTTAGTAATTTTCTTTCTCAATTATTTCTAAGCGTCGACCAACAATATAAGGAACAAGCCAGGCCAGGCCCTGATGGGTCCGGTCGTTTGGAAGAATGGGTCTGCGCGTGAAACACTCCGCCTGGGGAGTACAGTCGCAGGATCGAAACACAATGGAATTGATGGGGGCCTGAACAAGCGGTTCTTGCTTTTATCTAAGAGAAAAAGCTTGCCTTCTTCAACTGTTTCCGCTCACTGGGTCGCAAAGTTCTGCATAAACTATGTCTGCTGATGCAGGGCATTTGGCTCAGACAAAGGCAGCTAGTGAAACCATATATGTCCAAATTTACGTAGCATTTCACGGAGTACTATCCATATTTGCCATAAAAATCAGGTCTACGCCCTTGTGCAAACATCTGTGCTAGACTCGTCAATAGAAGGCCGTTGACTATGCATCCTGGCTTTCACCAGAATGAATGCACCATGTTCATCGCCGATTCTCTCCTTAAGGAGTGGGTCAGGTCCCGTGAACTTGATGCGATTTGTTCTTACATTTATCTAATGAAAGAATTTTCCCATATAGCAAGTCTCTTATTTAGAGCTCGTCTGGCTCTTAACGAGCAGAATTGAGGGTGAAACAAATGAAGGTCTAGCTCCAAGATTCTAATCATTTAGGCTCATTTGTGAATCCTTGAAAGACTAAAATTGAACTGCTTTCCCTTCATATGAACTGTTACTCGAATCATTTTTATAGTGAAGGAATTAAGTCAGATATGTAAATGTCTCCTTCATATCGAGATTCTCTGTGTATATTTCTTAGCCTGCTTATGTTTGGAGACAACACCCCCTATTCTTTAGATCACTTACGATAGACGTATTTGCGCAATTTCAGGGTTACATTGTTCTCAACAGACCTTGGGCATTTGTCCAGTGGCTTGAGAAGGCAGATATTCCAGAAGAGTAAGAAAAACTTCATCATTGATGATTCAGAGACGATAAAGCCTTTGTAGTCTTTCCGTGCCCTTTTTGTCTGACGGAAGTTAACTCCTATTGTACTGTGCAGCTACATCTTAATGGCAGAGCCTGACCATATTATTGTTAGACCTATACCAAACCTGTCAAAAGATGGTCTTGGAGCTGCATTTCCGTTTTTCTACATTGAACCCACAAAGTACGAGTCAACGCTGAGGAAATTCTTCCCTGTTAACAAAGGTCCAATCACAAGCATTGATCCCATTGGGAACTCCCCTGTCATTATCAACAAGGTATTCTTAAGCAAACGATTTAAAAGAAAGATTTTCGGCACTCGGTATTATTGTCACATGTATTCATAGTTGTTTCTTCAAATTTATCCAGGCATCTCTGGAGAAGATCGCCCCTACCTGGATGAATGTCTCTTTGGCCATGAAGAAGGACCCAGAAGCAGATAAAGCTTTTGGCTGGGTGCTTGAGATGTGAGGGACTACCCATCTTCCCTCAGTTTCTTGTTAATACACTTTAGAATGAGAGTCCTCTGACAGTTGTGCTAATATCTAAAGGTATGCTTATGCTGTTGCTTCTGCTCTTCATGGTGTTGAGAACATTTTGCGCAAGGATTTTATGATCCAGGTGCTTCTCTTTTCTCTCTCCTTTTACTAATCACCCTCCATATTTTATCATATAACTTACAATACTCCCCTTTTGGTTGCTGAAGCCGCCTTGGGATTTAGAAATTGGGAAGTCGTTCATTATTCATTACACTTACGGCTGTGACTTTGATATGAAGGTACCTCGTCCCTTGGTCAATATGTCAAAATTTTGTATCTATTGCACATGTTTACCCCGGCCATCAGATATGCCTCTACTCATCTGTGTCTGAATGTTTACGATTGCTTGCGACATTCAATCAATGCCAGGGCAAATCAACATACGGGAGAAATGGGGAATGGAGATTTGATAAGAGATCCTTTGAACATATGCCGCCCCCGAGGAATCTCCCACTGCCTCCTAAGGGTGTTCCAGAAAGTGTGGTACGTTATGGGATTGAAGCGTCTTTCTAGTTTACTACTAATGCAATGATTTATCCTACCATTCCTTTTTTGGTTCATTTCTTCTTATTGGTGAAAGTTGAAATATGGCCATTTTGAGCTTGTTAAATCAGCATCTTTACCCTCCCTGCAATTTCTTTGACTTGGATCATCCAAGTCAAAGAAATATTAGGTTAAAAGCCACACCCGTCTTGTTTACAACCGTGTGGCTCTTCACTCTCACCGAGGTGTAAGTTTTGTTGACGATAAAGATGTGGGATTCTTGCTGATCTTGTTGGAGACTCAGCTGACCAATTGACAATAAATATTCTTTCATTACTTCGATTAGGACAGCCCACCAACGATGTAAAGCCTGCAACCCCTCTTGATATTGAACAGGGCTTGGGCTTTAAGATTGAACAGTGATATTCATAAGGTGACCCAAAAACTTAGATATCTATTTCTTTCTTGAACACATGGTTTACCTTGTGCAATCTCTCTCTCTCTCTCTCTCTCTCTCTCTCTCAATAGAAGATATTGGTCTTGTGAGAGTTCACTGTCATTCCCACTGGTTTAATTCTTTCGTCCTGCTGTTTACAGGTGACCCTGGTGAAGATGGTGAATGAAGCGACGGCTAACATCCCCAACTGGGGAACCTGAGAAGCCATCACCGGCTGGACCCCTTCTCCACAGAAAGACCAAATAATTGCTTTCTAGTACCCTTTTTAATCACACTGAGTATATAAAATGAGAGCATTATATTTGTACTAGTTTAAGTGATCTTTTATATATCGTTCTTATGGAGGGAGGATGTGTACGGACGCCAGAGGGAGCCTTCCCGAAGGGTTTCAAAACCTTGGAGCTTTCTTAGTTGCGGCATATATCATTAAATTGTGTTAAAGAATTCGGGCATTAATGGTGGGAGCTAATCCGTCGTGATCCGGCGCCCGGCACAGCAGTTCACGTCAGTCTTTAGAGCTCTCGTTGCACGGTCAGTCGTCCGGTCACGTACGCAAATCGCTCTCAGATGGGCTCTTCGGCGTTGATTACGATTGAACAGGAGATAACGAGAACAGGGAATGGAATCTGATATCAATGCATGCGCTGGATAGAGACCCAGATGAACTATAATAGCTCAGAACTAGACCCAGTCCCTATCATCTCTCTCTCTCTCCTCTCTCCTCTCTCCTCTCTCTCTCTAGAGGCTGCGCCCAACCCATTATTGAAAACACTGATACTGCCGAAAAGGGCATAACAGAGTAGATGTACGGCCTCCACAAGGTCTGGCGCTTCCTTTTTTTTTTTTTTTCCTGTGTACACTAGCTTAGCGGTTCATCCAAAAGGGCAAAATTTTACACCAGGGGAATCTGATTCCCGTGAGATGCTCGTGGGGCATCGTCGTCCTCTCGGCCTAGTTGAGGTAGCGCCTGCAATTCTTTGAGCTGCAAAAGCAGGGGATCTTCTTACCTTCTTCCTCGTGGTTGAAATGGTAGTCGTAGGTTATCTCCTCCCCTGACTTTATATCCCTCTCGGCAAAGAAGACGACCTGCGGAAGGTCAACTACCATTAAAGCAGCTCGTGAAAGACCTTGGAACGCCCACATGGCAATGGTCAACTACCATTCCCCTCACCTTCTTCTCATTTCTCACGGTGATTACTTTGGCAACGCAGTTCGGCTGAGAGGATCGAGGGAAAATGTCAAAGGGTAGTTAGTCAACGATTTTTTTGGCATTTTTTTCAACTGGGTAGCGGTCAAAAGGCGGCGGAGACTCTTACCAGGCAAGAATGGTTGACGAAGCGCGCAATCCCACCTTTCCTGGTGGCATCAATGATGCTCTCTTTGTCGATCCTGAAGAAATAGCAGGCGCTCTTGTACTGCAGTTTCTTCCCCGACTGGTACTCGATCTCCCGCTTGTCGGCGACCCGAAGCCCCACGATTTCACCAACATACTCAACAACCTTAGGATCCATGGTAGATGAGCATTAAATGGTGATGATACCAAGAAAATGAAAGTGATTTCTGATATGTAGATATGTATGTGATGATGCGCTGAATCACCATTGCTCCACGGGGAATGAACTGAGAGGTATAGAGGCCGAGTGCATGGATGCGAGACTTGTAGACGACCAGTTGCTTCCAGCCCTTCACCTTTCTGTAACGGGCATACTCTTTCTGAGAAGGGAAAGGTGTTGGTGAGCACAGATTATGTTTCAATGAAATCATCGATCTTTGTAACAAAATGGAAGGTTTTGATCATATATATACTGCTACATTATGAAATAAATCGAAGGAAATGGACCAAAAAATGACAAATAATATGAATAAATAGGCAGATGCTTGGTGCCGGCAGAGATCGACGAGACAAAACTCTCTGAATTGGATGAGCGATGGAGAGAAAGTAGATGACCAGGTTCTTTAGCAGCCCGGCTGATTATTATGAACACGAGCCGATTAAATTCTGGTGGGTAGCATCTATCAAAATAAGTCCTGATTTACCAGTCGACAACAACAAACTAATGAACGTAGGTTAGAATGAGTTATTAAAAAGAAGAAGAAATCCTAATCAACCGCAAGCTATCGCAGAACACTTCAATGGTTGCGAGGTTGTGACGATACGAGTTATGACAATCAACCCTGAGCAAGTAGATATTCTCACGAAATACCTCAATTGTTTCTTAATCTGTTGAATGTGTCAGATCCGGGGTTTAGGCAGTGAGAACCCACATGCGAAAGTAGGAGTGCAGATCAAATTCGGGGCAAAATGGGGGTATATTTCGTCAAATTCAACCAAAATTTATCTTCGAAGGGAAAAAACGCAGCATAGCAGGCACAGTTTGCCACCAACTCAACAAAACATGCCATCAAAAATCTCCCAAAAGTCCACTTCCAGGTTCAATGTCAATATGATTATTGTCATAGCTGGGAATTGCTGCAAAATGGAAAGGATAAAAAAGATTGAAGAAAATCCAAGTCCTGAAAAAATTGACTCTTTCACGAGTCCATTAAGAAAGCGAACTAAACCCATTATCCATGATTCCCTGATGACGTCCAGAATTTTACGATGATATAATTATTCATTATTCGTGGTATCCCATAATGAAAGAATATTGGTTCGGTTGAATATTCTGATCAGTATATATATTCAAAAAACCTGTTCAAACACACATGCATAAGTAATTGGAAGTAAATGAAAAAAATAGAAAGATCAATCAGGATGAATACAGTTACTGCCCAAGAAAGATTCGTCACACCAAAAAATGGCGGTCACTAGAAAAAATGATTTATAATGCCACACATGTCTCGGCGTTTCCTTATTCTTCCTGTACATATCATACACTAAAATAGGAGAATGCTTTTTATTATTAATATATTTTTATTTTATTTTAAGAATTACACAGTTTTCTTACAAGCTGTTGCTCTTTTACATGTAGATTAATAAATGTATTTAAGATGGCGCGATAACCATTGATGCCAGGAGGTGATTATATCCTACAAGCAGTGCTAGCAGTCATTATACGATTATAGAAGTATCAAAACCAATCTGATGCTTGATAGAAATTTAAATTTTCAAAATGTACCCGGCAATCATACTCAGTCTCTGTAGACACTGGTTTTTGTGGGTTTCTTTGGCAAGACTTTTGCCCGTTAATGTGGAGCCATGCGTTTAGTTGCTCTTGAGGAACATTGCATCTACCACTGTCATTTGGAGGCTTCCGAAGAGCGCCAATAAATCTGTGCTCCCTTTCTCGACCTTTGTAACTCTATAGTAATTCAACAAAGGGGGAGTGGGGATCGTATCACACCATTGAAATCGAAACATGAAAGGGAGAGTAGTAATTCAGTTCATATATCGCAAAGTTACCTCCGTGCGTGCACAAGAAAACTCCTTGACACTTGGGCTCTCCATTCCAGCATCCATGGGAATACCATCAGGATGATAGTTGTAATGCATGGCATGAAGAAGACATCTTCCATAAAACCCAACACTCTCATTATCTATACCTTCAGTTTCGCTTTGTAGCAAACCCTAGAAAATGAGAAACTTCAATAGTAAGGAAATGATGAGTTATAGGCAACTCTAATGTTGTTATTTCACCGCATCTAACAACCATTTTGGTCGCAAAATGGTATCGAAAACACATGACAATCTAATATAACCATTTTTGCGCAGCAGGCTTATGAAAATCCACGAGAAGCAACTGGACGAATTGTTTGTGCCAATTGCCATTTAGCTAGTAAACCCGTGGATTTTATTTCCTTACTGCCATGAAGTAATTAGAACAGAGATTTCTCGGGTCACAGGGCGTCCTCACCTTGTAAACTGCAGTATAAGCTTACTTATTTACTGCTAGAGTTTCATGAGAGATCCACAGGAAAGTTTATATTGGCAAACAATTGTGAAAAAAGTAAGTCTTACCTGAAAATTAATATGAGAAAAAAAACGCAATTTAAGTAACACGAACTATGCAACGACTGTTCACATAACTAATCATGAGGATACAAGGGATAGGTATACCCATATGATTACACATTCTAAGTACATAAGCGGAAGCGAATTTGATGGGGTTTATTGAAAATGTGTAGAATTGCCTCTGAATTCAGATGACAAAATATCTGGAAGATAACTGAAGACATGAGAATGGGTTGGGAGTGGCATTATATTCCATTCATAAGAGCATCCATAAAAAAATGAAAATTAAGCAACGCACGACTTCCTTAAAGAGATATAATTCAGACTTCTGAGTGTGACATCAATAACAAGTATTTCTAAGACAGAAGATTGATTTATGCTAAGCAAGATCATATTTGACTCAGTTCAGATTCTCGTTTTTTAGAGATTACTCCTGACTTGCTGAGGAAGTGCCATATTATGTGCTCATTCCCTGTAAAACTTGATTAGTGGAAAGTTCTTCCGAGAATCGTATTGCGGGCCAGATGGTAGAAGAGAAAGAACATACAATTTCAGCATTACGTACGAGGATTGAAAGATATCATTAACACAGCAATACTGCCTTGATCCAACAATATCGTATGTCAACCTCGTAAGGATGTCATCACCACCCTCCCAAACTTCCCTCTGTAGCGGATCATGATACAACAAATAGACACCTGTAAATATACCTCGTTCGAGTTTTTATCATTGGAGAATCTAGTGAACCAATTTCTAAATTTCAATTTTAATATATATAAAAAAATCTAGAATATGAAGGATGATTGTTCTTGTGTGTATCAATTAGCTACGATGAGATGAGTGTCATAAAAATAAATCCACGAAAACATGATAGAGAATAACCTTCTGATGAGCACACCACGGATGGAAGTAAACAGAGCAATCCATTACTCTGCACTTAATAGATGAACCACCAGGTCGGTTACAGATCGAGCATACCTGTCAAATATGATCACACGTTTCCCCGAATCAGTTACTGTGAAAGTAGTAATGATTTTCTTTTATTTTCTACGTGGTGAAGGAAACAAACTTGGCAACAACATAAAGGAAAAGAATCGATAATATGATTCCACTAGAAACCAATGGACATTGTGCATTCACAGTGAGATTAGTTTATATGAAGAAGAATCGATAATTTATTCAGATTACAGGGTGATCTCATTTGGTTATTTCATAAGTTAACTTTAAACCATACATTTGACAGCCAATAGAATTACAAATAACTCACCATTCTCCTTGTTGACACTAATACGCCCGACACATCAAAAGCACTCATCGTGGCAACGTTAGGACACCGTGTACCAGGTGTCCAAAGCCCACAAACCACGTGAACCCACTGTGTAATAGTTGGGTCACGTGCTCCAGCAGTTACGCTGTTGTGCACCTGGAAAGTTTTAGGAATTTTTTTTATAACAATGTCATGGTCTCCCTATTCCACCTTCAAATAATCAGGAACAATTTCTCAACACGGCGAGCTAACTAACACACATGTTAAATTCATAAAACTATACCTCAGAAAAGGGTTTTGATGGCACATCGCTATCAGCAAGCAATCGAGCTGGTTTCAAAGGTTTGTATCCCGTTTCGTCTTTCCACGTTTTCAATAGGCTTTTGACAATACTTCGGTTCCTAACTGCACGAGTCATGGCCCCACCTTCGTAACCACAGAGCACACATGCCTGTACGATTAGAAAACATCATTATTTTGTAAAAACGTCAAAACCATAACACCACTTGAAATAAAAGGGAACTAAACACGAGTAAGTTGATCTCGGTTACAAAGATTGAAACGACTTGAACCAGAACAATAGTAAGACAGTAGGAAATAAGTACTGTTCACATATACTAACTGACTAACAATGTTTGTCGAGTTCCTCCTGCATGGTCTGCAAGACCAACGCCCCTTAGGAACCGTTTTAATACCATAACATGCCTGGTGAACCTGAAGTGAAACAAAAACAAAAATCAGTCCAGGAACCGCTGTTGGAGACGATAAATAGTTCTAAACGGAGAGTTATGTGCTCCACATACTATGATCAAGCAATTGCTGCACTCCAACAGAGAGTTGGCATCATCTTTTTTGGAACTTCCACAGACGCAGCAGAATGCATCTAAATCATTAAGAGATTGCTGGCATCTGTGCCGCTTGTCAGCAAGTCTGAACCATAAAGTAACTCATGTCAGAACATGACCATAAGGTAAAAAAATTGGGCTACTAACGAACAATCACAATTCTCTGGATGTGTTTAAGGTATCCATTTACGAAGTCCAAGCCTAGGCATGCTTAAAAAATTACACCAATACGATTGCTTACTTCCTAGAATTAGCTGGACAGAAATCTATCGGATCTTGTCTATCCTGATAATTTATCCCCGCACTGGGACCATCCAGATGTGAACATCCAGAAATGGGTCTCTTCTTTTTTTTCCGTTGGTGGCATTGACCTACATATAAATAAAACTTCAGTAGTTAGCAAGGAGGTAATGAGGTCATCCCCCACATGAATGATTAAAAGTAACCAACACAAAAAATTATAACGAACGGAAATATCTCAGATAATGACAGAAAATTCAAAGCCATGTAGCTCAAAGGACAAATCATGAGATGACTTACCGACCCAGTCGTCACTTGCTCTCCTTAATAGGGACACTTTCGTATGACATCTTGCTTGTTTCGAATTAGAAAAACGCGTGTCACCCAAAATTGGTAAACATGATGTATACCCTTCATCATTGGAATATCCTGTTATCTCACTAAGTTTCCGTTTGCGGGTCTCCTTGCTCCTTGGCTTTACCTTAACATTAAATTTCGATCCGAAAATTTCAACGTCTCCAGTATCTCTTCCCCTTCCCGCTACTGAGAGTTCGTGAGACTCTACTTTCAAACTGAAGCATTCTGCGTTCTCCACCCCAATGCTGGATGCATTCTCCTTTGCATTTTGATTGATGGTACATCTTTTGGCGATCTTTAGTACCGAAGTGAGAGACACAATTTTCACCGGCTTTGATTTACCAGGCATATTTCCATTACAAATGATACCAGAGTTACCACGTACCACAGGTCTCAGCAACCTGTCTTGACGGCACATTCCATCAATTGAGCAAGCCTTTCTACCGAAGGGCTTATACTTGGGAAGTGCAGTTTGCTCGGGGCTGCTATCTTGTGCATTTATTTCTTCTTTATCATCTGGAGCAAAGTTTCTCTTTCGCTTTCTTCCAGCAGAACTTTTTGATGTTCCATTTGAAGAACCACTGCCCTCTGGTTCCATTTGAACACCAATGCATGTGATATGCTTTCTATCAAATGCTTTCGTAGAAAAATCAGCAGGTAAGGCACTGCTATTGTGCTTGAAACCTGAAGTCTTGTTAGACTTACTGCGAATTCTTGGACTCACATTTCGAAGATGAGCAGGTAATTCCTTCCCTTCAGAAGGACTTTTCAGTTCCAAATAGATGTCAGAGCTGGCGGAAACTTGATTAACTGGACCTGAAGCTGGAAAGGAATCATCAAGTCTCTTCCATTTGGTGGCCTTCTTCTTCCTATCTGCTTTACAGTTCTTCCTGTCAGGTTCTGCGTGTTTATTACTTTCTTTCATAGCCCATCTACTATTCACCCTGGTACATTCAGAATGGCTCTGATTTCTTTTTTTCCTTGGCATAGGTTTTTCCCTGATATCAACTTTATCCCTAAAGTCAGTCAAATGGTGAGCATTTACATAAGTTGGGTTTCTTACTGAATTGTAGGATCCATACTTGGAACCTCTCAGGTGTTCCACATTACTTTTCACCATTACAGAGAAATTCCACTTGGTATTTTCAAGTACATCATCAGATGAACCACACTTCTCAACTACAGACCCTTCATCAAACACAAGTCCAAGCTGTGATCTAGCATCTCCAGTGCCACTGGTGGATGAATCCAGATTATTATCTTCAACGGATACATCAGTCACCACATGAGCAGAGCATCGAGAGTAGCCATTGGACAATTTTTGTTCCTTTGATGAGACAGCTTCGCAACCATTTAAATCAAAATCTTTATCCACAGAGCATGTATGTTGGTTGTTGATACTTCCAGCAGTAGGAAAGACTTTTGCAGGGTGCGGAGTGGTGGTAATTACGTCTGAATCTACAATTCCATTACAACGAACGTCTGTACCATGTGGAGATTGACAATCATCGTTCACCACAGGCCTTGAACCATCACATTGATCTAATGCAATCCTCTTGCCATCTTGAGTCAGATGGTTAATATCATATGCTGGAGTAAGAAGTCTATGACCTTTACCGCAAACATTAAATTCCTTAAAGGAATTTGAAAGACTCCCTCGCTTAAAAACGTGACGTCCTTTCAAACATTTGGAACGGATACTGCTACCCTCTTTCTGGCTAGGCGTTCTATCTTCAGCCCAGTCAGTAATCTTGATGTCAGTTTTGTAAAGTCTGGAATAAGTAAAAAATCAAAAGTTACACAGCCAGCTAAGAAAATGCGTGTCCTGAGACTTCAGGTTACACAGCCAAGCTAGAAAATTCATGTCATGAGATACTATTTCACCATGAGAAGTGTAACAAAAGGCATGACGATAGGTTCTGACGAGTCTTCATGATTCAAAGTCTGATGAGCCTTTGTTGGGCAATTCATCAGATACATTCAGCATGCATCTATTGACTTGTTGGGCAATTCATCTAGTAATCTTGATGTCAGGCCTTTAATCTTGATGTAGTTGATATTATAAAAAAACTTTTATAATATCAACTACACTGGATGTGATAGAACTTACAAACTATGCTAATACCGGATCCAGAACAACATTAATTTTTTCATACACAATATTCATAACTTTCACCTCTCATTCACAAATGAAGGCTAAGTATGCACAAGGAAGAACCTAATTTGTTCAAGAAAGCATAAAGCCATTGTATCTGACACATTAAAATAAGAACAATAAGCATAGCCCGAAAATTTCAAGAAAGTTACCTCGAAATTGACTGCTCTTCATTGTTGTAAACATGACAAATTGGAGATTTGACATGTGTTTCACTGGAATATAGTGAGACATCTTGTATGCAGCCTGTCTGGTGGCAGATTCTGTTATTTCCTGCACATGACAATCACCTTATATTTTCTTTTCCAAATTAGGGGGATCATGGACAGATCCAATAGTGGATGTTCCCCCTCTCCCTCCCACCATTGCGCCTAACCCCCCCACCCCAAACAGGACGATTTGCAAGAACAATTTCTGAATGTCCACGAAGCTTACCTGCAATACCAGTTCGGCCACATAGACTTTCAGCAACATCACGAGAGCTGCACTTACAGCAAGAATGGAGAGATCTAAAAGCAACCCTCGATGTTCCCTGCTTAGTGCCTAAATTTGGTCCGTGCCTAAAATCTTCTGACGCTGCCAGCTCTCCTTTAGCGGTATTTCTCATTATTCCCATGGTTGAAGGACAGAGCAGTACTTGTTGAGAGTTCATTTCACGCGAAGCAGGTAAACTTGCCTGCTTTGGCAAGTCCACTGCATGTTTCATCATAGAAAGTCTTGTCTTATCGCCTGATGAGTGCTGGACTGTATCAATGTTAATTTTGTTTGATAAAGATGACAATGGAGTAGATGCATACGCTGTGTTTGAAGAAAACAAACTTCTTTTCGGAGATGTGGAAAGAGAAGCAGCTCTTGCACTCTTGTACCAAAGAACAATATCATCCTGGTTATCATCTGTGTTTGCACCAAAAGAAGCTTGTCCAAGTTCACTGGGGTGCCCAGGCTCAGGGTCCCCTGGTACTCTGGTAACTGACCGACAGAAGTAACCGTTATTTTGCCTATCATACAAAGAAGCACTGTCATAAGAAGTCACATCACTGGACTCATCAGACACTCTATGATCTTTCATCAGTTTGCTCTGAGCTGTGGTCCAAGGCTTCGTAATGTAGAACCTATCCTCGGGTGAGACTCTCAGCTCCTTCCCTCTTTCCATTTGATTTGAAATTTCGGGAATCTTCATGTTTGATTTTATCTCAGGCTCACTGCTTACATTTCTTGAAAAGTTGATGATGCTGCATTTCGCAGAGAGTGGATTGAAATCAACTGGGTTTGGCCTAAAGTTCTCGCTTTTGCAATTAATATTATCCATAGTTTGAGACTTCAGTTTTTCTTCAGAAGTACTGAAATGGGAAAGAAGAAATGGGATTACTGGATTACAATCCACACCAGACTTAACTATTTCTTGTTCAGGAACATGTGCAGTATCTGCATAGCCACGTGTATGATGCAATATAGCTCCACTTGAAGTTGAAAATTCTGGTGGCATGCAAGACACTTTTTGAATAGATTTCTGCAGTACCCTGGACTTTAAATCTGTAATGAACACGGGTTATCGATTTGCAAGAATAAAAGAGACAGACGAGATGAGACAAAAAAAGTGTGATATTCAACTTACATCCCTGGGTTATTGAATGAATTGGCTGAGTCTGTGGTCCAGGCTCTCCCAAGGACTGCTGAGGGGAAAGAGTAGCTGACATCGTGAAGCAGTGATTCTGCTGAGATGGCTGTCCAAGCCTCAGTTCGATGCTTGAAGGAGTAGAATCCCTGTCCACAAAGTGATAGCTTCTTGGGTTGCTAGTTCCATTCTCATTGAAATCACCACCAAAAGACTTCACTGGGTCACCATTAGGACATAAAGTGGATGCGTTTCCAGCAATAACACTGGCACTATTGGAAATCAGTTTGTTCCTGCGATTTTGTTTTCCAGTGGTGGAAGTAGAGCTCAAAATTGATCGAGATAAAAATTGACCACTTTCCTTCGCTTCCTTGAGCATATGCTCATTAGCAAGACCAGAAGATACACCATGTGTAGAACCAGTAAAATTCTTATGGGCATCTTCACGAGAATCCCTGTGTTTGGTGTTCTCAAAACTGCCCGGAAATTTCTCCCACACAGAACTTTCCTCATGAGGGTAGTAAGACCTATGACCATTAGACTGTCCATCAGGTCTCCTTACTTCATCAAATGGCTCTTGCAGCTGAAAAGTCGCAGTGTTCTTGGAATTTGGAAAAGTATTAGCCTTTGACCTGACCAAACAACCAGATGTATTAACGCCATTTGCCCAGTCCCATCCACTGGCATCATCTGGAACCCTAACCTGAAGCGCAACGGGATATCAGCATTTACATGTTAAAACTATGAAAACAAATTCCAAAAGGAATACAAAACTTCTGCCAATTTGATAACTTTCATATAGGCAGAGATTAACATTTAAACGATTATAAACATCTATTCGTGAAATTTTGAGAAATTTTACGATCTGCCAGTTGTTGCAACTATCATGACCTGAAAAACTAGCAGATCATAAAATACTCGGTAAAAAAAAAGTTGAAGTTATTCAGTTACTAGTACAATTTATAAATGCAATAAGAGTACAAAGGGCAATTACAAAATTTGAATGTGAAGCGAAATGACGCAGCAAGATGACAAAAAGGCCATAAGCCAAAGCTATGTTATCATAAATAATATTTCACATTTGAAACGATTTTTATTTTTACAAAAAAATAGCTCGCTAATTTTATTAAAAATGACCAAGTTTATTAAAAAACTTGGTCATTGATACGTTCTCAAGAAATGCAATGAAATAGAACGTAAGGTCTCATGAAAATCTTTCTCTTGTGATTAAATATAATGCTACCCGTTACGTTTTCTCTTTCGACTGCAGCACTCGTCTTATCACAAGAACATTTTTTTTAAGTGTGGGCTGTAATCCCAGCCTAACCCCAGAGCACAATTGCTGGCTGAGAAGCATAAGACGGGAACTACGCAATGGCGACCTGGAACGTACAGCTGCTCTCAAGGATGAGTTGGCAAACCTTCAACCCAGAAGCATGGAGGAAAAGCTTGGTTAATTGGAGACCATTATAAATTTTACACCAATCAGACTTTTACGAATAAAATGTGGTGAGTCGCGACAAAAGAGTATTGAAAAAAACAACTGCAGCTTACACCAAGGTTTAAGAAAAATAGCCTCCGCCACTGAGCAACAGTTTCGCCATTTTCCAAAGTGACTGCATCACCAGGGTTAACAGCATACGATCCTGAATGCTGCAAAAGCACTATGGTATAAACATCTCTCCACAACATGGTGGTGTTTAGTCTTAACAATCAAATGAAAACAAATCCCTTACATTAGTTTACACATTATTAATCACTGAAGATTACCTCACAAAATTTAGCAACAGACATCCGTAGACTATGGCACAAGCAATATACTCCCAGAAGGCCATTGTCACTCACAAACAGCTCTCCAACTGTCGCAAATTGGTCAAACAGAAAGTCAGGAGAAGACTCCATTCCAACCTAAGACAAATATATCCAACTAAAAAGGAAAATATTCTGTTCTGAATGCAGTTCATAAACAGTTGATGAAATGCACATACCTTTACCCTGGCAAAAGACTCGAGGACATCCTCTTATAAATGAAGATGCGTGACAAGATATGCTAGTTTTAGGATCCATTTCTTTTGTTTGAGTAGAAAAAACGTTCAATGTTTGGAGTTGGATACCATTCCTACTGTTGGACGATGATACGGCGAACCCCCTTTGACTGTCTTGATGTGCTTGTAATCTAATTGGTTTACCAGCACTGAAGCTCGGAAATTGAGAACCAAATCCTTGAAGATCATTACACATAGAAAGGGGATAACTGCAAGCAGTAAGCGACGATGGCCTTTGAGAAGAACTTTCAATATCATTTCCCATTATGTCATACCCATGGTAGTCTGAAGGAGCCGTCAAATATGGTGCTAAAATACTGCAATCCATGTCACCAGCTACACTCCCAACATTGTAAGCAGGAAGTTTACTGATAGATAAGCTTGCTTCTGACTTGGGGAGATGCGGATACACATATGGCATAGGAGAAGGAGGCCAGGATAAAAGAGCTCGAAATGAATTCCCCATGTCTGTCTTGCTCGATGCACTGGAGACAGAATTCAAACTGCTAAAATCCGTAGGCTCTTGAATGAAGGAACGATTCTCCACGTTACCTTCCCGTGAAGTGAAAGGATAAAATTTGTGATGCCGATTTACGTCCATCTGAAGCATTGACGAATATGTCAGTCGAAACCAAACTGAGCAATGAAAGATAAAAGATAAAAATATGATAATGAAGGGAACACAATCAAACAGAAAGAAAGGTTGTTCCTCATACATAGCAGTAAATTTCCAATAGCATGTAGAAAGTACATTGGATGCCAAAACTTGAAAACTGTTAGAATGTATTTTGCTGAGGATTACTGAGATAAGACTTTCCTTACACACGTAAAGTTAACATTGGAATTTAATAAATTTAAATAAGAGGTTAAACATAAAGCGAAAATCATGATATAAACCATTCTTCGAGGCTAGAATGATAAGCAAGACCGATTAACACAATGACACTCATATCTGCATTCATCAAAAAGTCAATAGAAGGAAATCTGACAGATATTTAGGTATGAATGTTATCCAACAAGACTGCTTGACTGTGAATTCCGGAGAAAATAAAATTCCCGGGAATGTATAATTGCCACATAACCGCTCTAAACAATTTATGCAACGCTTCAATGAAAGGAACATTTCAACTTTACGATTCAATCAAAAGTAGTCATGTGTTACCATTTAGTTTTCCCTGGGTTCCATAAACAATTTAACTTACATTACAGCCAATAAAAGAAAATGTATTTCTCCGTTAATGATGCCTAGCATATAGAAATACGATATTTCAAACCGCGCACGGCTCAAAATAAACAACAGCATAATTAATCGACAACTTTCACCCTACCCTACCGACCACAAAGAAAAGCCATTCATTATCCTTATGGCATACCGTCGGCGAAGGGTCCACCTGTAGTTTCATGAAGTGGCATCTCGTCAACAATAAACAACTGATGGTGCAACAGATGCACGAAGTCCCATCTACTCGCTAAGAATAAGAAGCATGATAGCGCTATCCTAATCCACGGCTGCCAAAGCGCATATACGGGTCATGAAATTGATGGAGAAGTTTATCATGTCCCCCCCCATTACGAGGGAATAGAGAACGTGATTGCAGTTAACGGTGACGGATAAGAACATTGAACAAGATAACACTCCACCATCAATGCCGTCGATTAGGTGTCCGTAAAATGGGAAGGATAGTACAACAATGGGTTTGGGTGGGGATGCCCAATGACGTCCCGGTAAGATGATCGAGCACATTGTTTGCAAAAAATGGGTGCATCGCCATAATAACCGAGTCCAAAAAAAACCTGGATGGCTACGCCCTGCCAGTAAACTGGCGACAAAAATAGTCCCAAAACCGGAGCTCGAAACAAGAAAACAAAACCGAAGTATAAGTTCAGATCGCCGGTGGCAAAAACCTGATCCCCAGATGCCGGAGGGAGAGCGTGCGGGGCAGCCACCATCGGCGGAGGGGGCGCCAGCAGCGGCGCCACTGACGGCCGGGCCGGCGACATGGACCCCGGGGGAGTCCATGCGGGGCAGCATTTCATCTGCCAGAGGTCGTCCATTTCAGATCGTTCGCGCCATACTCATCTCGTCCCAATTTCCGGGAGGAAGCAGGGAATACCCCCTGCTGCGTGCCGATTGCAAGGTAGCCAAAGATGAAAAGCACAACGTCACGAACTGAGAAGAAAAGATTTTCGCCTCACAACACCAATGGGTGGAGCGGCGTTGGGGCGGCCATTGCCGGCAGTCCGCCTGCCTTCTCTGCTGCCGCTGCTACCCTGCTGCTGGTCGCTCAGACGGGACAGTCTAAATATACGGAGAATTAGAGAGAGAGAGAGAGGATGCTTGCGTTGTAGTACTTCGAGGCGGGGAATGCTCCTATGATAGGATGTTGACGGCGAGTCGTCCCGTCTTCCGCATAGTGCCTAACACGCCTCATCCTAACCGTCCGTTTGCGGGTCCCACTCGGGCAGCACGAGATCGACGCTTCTGATATGATGGGCGTAGCGCGCCCTGGACGGCGAGCCACAGCATCGGAAAAAAAAGCGTCGAGCATACTGCGCTGAAATGGGCTCAACTAATGGGCTGACAAGCCCAATAAGCTGCCCTCCATGAGACATTATAATATTCAGCGTATAAACTGGCACAAGTATTCATTAATGGCCCTATGGGCCCGAGTCTTATGGGCCCAAAATCAAAAGAAAAAAAAGCCCATCCCTCGGGAGGAAGAATATCAGAAGAGCTGGAAGCGATCACGAATCTCTGCTTCCTGCTCAGCTCAAGAGGGAGTATAAGAGAGGGTGGATCTTCCGCCCTCGTCTAGCATCCACCTGCTATGAATGCTTCTGATCTACATCTGATCCGAAAGGTGAAGAACCTTCAGGCTATGGTGGAGGGAGGTCCTGCTCCTCGATCAGGTTGAACAGCTCGTCTCCAACGCCAAAACCAAGCATCCTCGCCATATCGCTCGTCTTCAACCTCGGCTTCGGAATGTTCTGCTGCGCCAGCCAAGAATGCACGACGAAGACCTTGTTCATGACGAATAGCTCCAGCGCTTCTGGGTTGAAGACGATGCCCAGCCGCATGCTCATCTGCAGCGTTGATCATCTTCAGATGCGTAGTCACCAGCCCACGAATGATCTGTGAAAGGGAGTAGAGATTCTCACCTGGTGAGGAACCAGCATTGCTGCATATCGAGCGAGCTCTCCAGATCGCCAGTCGAGAACGACGGGGAGCCAAGGATATGAGGCATCGAGCCTGACGAACCAGAGTCTCACGTCAGGAAACTCTGACAGCTCTCTCACATCGGCAGGATCTTCTCTCTCGTAGCTGATGGTGAAGCCCACGGTCCTCTCGAGAAGTCTCTTGGGATCAAACGAGGAGCCATCTGCGATGAGACCACGAAGATGGCCAGAGATCATTTCAGGATTAATCACCATCGGCGTAAGGAATCTGCGCGCACAGTGGAGATCGGTTCTACCTTGTTGGATGATGGAATGGACTGGAGACAGGTCGAGATTCTGAATCGCGGCCTTGTCGATCACGATCTCGAGGCGCCCTTCAGTCGGAGGAGGGGGAGGAGCGACCTTCGGAGTATCTATCATTCAAAGCATTGAATCAAATCTAAGATGAATCAGTCCGCATGCCGTCGATCCTGCGATCTTACAAAAAAAGAGGCCACATCAAAAAATGCGATCTATGCATTTCATACTGGATGAGAAATCAACACTGATAGATTAAGAAATCGGCGCCCTCTGAGAATTTCACCATCTCAGCGATTATCGGGCGTTTCAAGGATGATTAGAGCGCATAATGAATGAAAAAAAATCATGGATTAGTTGCATATTGGGAAACAAATGCTGGATTATTTTGATCACGCAAAATTCATTCAGCCTGACAGTGTTCTAGGGCTAATTTCATAAGAACTGGATCACCGTGCCAATTTTCCAACATCTATTGAAGTAAATCTGTTGCGTGTATCATGTTTCAGGAAAGACGCAAAATACATGATGATGGAGACGGATAATTCGAGCTATTTCCGACTGATCCACTCGCTTCAGTTCCATCGGCAGATGATGACATCCTGCCGAACATTAGTAAATCATTACCAGACATTATGAATTCCATTTCATCCTGATCCCGACGGGATACGCAATTGATGAACAGGCGATAGTTCCAAGTAGATGAGTTCTAGGGTTCCTTCCTTCTATTGGGAGGGGATGAAAGATGAGCGGGGGGATGAGGGACGGAAAAAGCGATAACTATCTACCGTCCTCCGCGTCGGTGAAAGAGAGGTCGAAATTGCCCGAAGGATTGAAGGAGACGGCCACCGAGAAGTCGCCTCTCTGCCTTGAGATCCGGCCGTGGGGAGCGCGGCAGATCGAAAGGTGCCTATTGGAAAGGCACGAACAGGGGCCCTCAATGCCGCCTCTATTCGGCGAGAAGACGAGTTTGAGCGCCGCTCGCGTGGTGACGGCGGCGACGGCCATGAAGAATCAGCAGAGGAGGGAGGAGAAGTAGGAGACGATGGAGGGAACCTTCTGCTTCCCGCTCGTTATCAGCTTCTTCTGGTCAGGGAAGTCCATGCAGGTCGAGCTCAGTCAGTGCTATCTGCTATGAGCCCCATATTTCCGAAACTACCCCTCTTTAGGATAAGCTAAATGGTTCCAAGGGAACACATAAAAATGTCGAATAGATCCGACTGAAAGTGACAGCTTTAAATTGTACCCACTTTTCTGTTGAATTTGCGTAACGATCAATGTGGACCCCACGCAGGAAATACCGGAAATACCCGAACTTCTACGTCTGCAACTCCCTCTCTCCCTCTCCCTCTCCCTCTCCCTCCCCTCCCTCGACGAGTGTAACCCTCAGAAGCTCGCTCGACTCATGCGACGCCACTAAGAACATCACAGAGAAAGAGAGAGAGAGGGGGGGGAAGGTCGCCTTCCTGCAAGCGGCGGCGGCTCTGGGGAGAATGGGATGGGAGGGGGGGAGGAGGAAGGAGGAGATTATTCGCGGTCACAACCTTGCTAGGATCAAAATGGCGACCAGCCATGGGAGCACACGCAGAGAAATAAAGAAGCAGAGCCGAGGCAGTCGAGGAGGCCTCTCTCCGCCACCTCTTTCCTCCTCGATCTTCTGCATGGCCCAGGGTTTAAAAATGCCGCAGACGGCGCACGAGTGCCCCCCCTCCCCGGAGCCTCTTCAGCTGATAATCTCGCCGGAGACATCCACTTGCCTCCACTGACTCCCACCCACAGAAGGACAGACGGCGAGCAGAGAGAAAGAAAACAAAAAAGGAAAAACTGAGCGACCGGCGGAGGAGAAGATGATAGAAGAGGTCACGAGTCAAAGGATGCGGGCGTATGGGGGGTGGATATCCATGCAATTTTCTTCGTGGATCTTTCGGGAACCGTCTATAAATAGCAAACGGCGGCTGGGAATCACGTGAGGGCATTCAGAGAGAGGAAAGCGGTCAACACGAAGGAGATCTGTGAGGGGTGCCTTTCCTCCTGTTCATGCTCGCTGCGGCGCCGGCAGTGGAGGCGCAGCAGGCGTGGAGGCCGCTCCTCTTCCTCCGGACGAACTCGGCGGTGATGGGCGGCGGGCTGGATCGGTTCTCCGAGTCCGACGGGTTGTCGACCACCGTCGACTGAGTCGTCGTCTCGGTGCCGTCGTCGTCTTCGTCGTCTCCGGCGAGGTGAGGGAGGACCAAGTCCGCGCCGAGCTTCAGAGAGTCGCAGGCCCTCAAGTACTGAGAGATGTCCTTGTTCTGGCTCAGGAGAAAATCGACCTGGAGGAGCCATGGCGGGTTTCAACACGTGCGTAAATCGTGAGATGGGGATGTTCTGGCGCTGTGGGTATCCTCACCTTGCATCCCAGAGAACAATGAATGTAGGGTTCCTGGAGGGTCCTATCGCAGGAGCTGCAGCTGTTTCCCGAGCCCTTGAACTGTCTGTTCTGCGGCCGCTTCTTGATGAACACCACCTTGGAGCTGTTGATGGTGTACGACTGCGCAGTTGCACCCGTGGCATTACAGCCCAACTGCCGGAGCACGTAGAGAGAGAAAGAGAGAGAGAGAGAAGGAGAGGGGTGGGGACCTGGACGTAGGAGCAGTCTATGAGCCTCTCCAGGTCCTCAAGCCGGACGACGTCGTGGTAGACGTAGCGGCGCACCTGGAGGAGCCTGTGGAAGCGGTGGGCGGGGACACAGTGGGGGCAGATGCTGGTGCAGCAGTCCAGGCAGCAGATGTTCTTCTCGTTCTTCTTCACCGCCTCGTGGGCCGAGCAACCGGCGAAGAATCTCTGCGTGTCCAGCGCCTCCAACCACGCGGGCTTCCAGATTTCCTGCGGAGAAGCAGAAGAGCGAGAATCACGTCGGAGCTGCAGGCAATTCGCTCTTCCGGAGGGGAGGGGCGCACCATGAGGATGAGAGCGACGCGGGGAAGACGAGCCGAGAAGAACAGATGCAGAAGGACTCATGGCGCCGGGGGATGGATGGTATTTATGGAGGTTCACAGGAGGAGGGACCGGGGACTGGCGGAGGATTTTGAATAGATCGGGCGGCCATTAAAGAAAGGTCGGATGTGAGGGGAACGTGGGCACTGTCTCCGTGTCTCCTCTCCCCCTGCTCCGGCAGCCACTGTCTGATCTCACTCTCTCTCTCTCTCTCCATCTCTCCCTCTCTCTCTTCTTGGCCAGAGTGCTCGGGCCTAAAGAATTGCGACTGTGGAGGGGGGTGCCCGAGGCCGGTTTTGATTCTTCCTTCAAGCCACATGTGGTGGAGGAGGGGCTCTTCTTCCTGTTCACATAGCCCGGCATTGGACTTCGCCATGGCTACCCCGTAGGCACTGTTCTCTCTCTCTCTCTCTCTCCTCGTATTTATTTTTCCCCCGAAATGCGCGAAATATTCGACCGAACAATTAAATCGAACCCTCGCGAGGGCAGCTCCGCACCGTAGAAAATGCTTTTAAATGGCCGATATTTCCACCGAGAGAGAGAGAGAGAGAGAGAGAGAGGAGAGAGATGCCCGCCGGTGAACCAAGAGGCTTCTTCCCTCCTCGAGACCTATCGCACCGAACCCCCCCTTTTTCCCCATGAATAAAACGAATTCGACAAATTTATAAATAAGTAAAATAAATAAATACCCAGGCTTTGGGCCTTGGGGCATCTATTTCTTCAATTATTTCCTAGTAATATAAAAATAAAAATATTAAATCTGACGCCTCCAAGTCAGTCAACTAACTCGACGTGGCTCGTCAACGGTCGTTGTGGGGCCCGCAGGGGTAATAAGATGAGAGCCTTATAATGGCTGGGAACATACTCCCCACGGCGGGGCAACATGGCAACTTGCAGGAAGAGACTCTAGAATGGGCCCACCAGACGCACCGACGCGGTGGGGGCCCCTCTCCGTACGTGGCAACGAAAGGGAGGGCCGCGTTCCTTCTCCCCGACCACTACAGAGTGGACTACGAGAAAACTCAGACGGGGGTCAGTTTTGTCGGGTTTGACTCCGAGTCCATGTATAGAGATTGGGAGCGGACCGGAGCTTTGAAGGTGGGCCGGCCCGAGATGGACCGGTGTTGGCACGCGCGGGGACAGTCTGAGGCCGGGTCGTGTGCGGAGTCGGAAAGCCAGGCCCACCTGCGGAAGAAGAGTTCAGAAAAGAGTACGTGTTACGTTTTAATAAGGTCACCGTTTGCCAGGATCATCGCACGTGTGAGATGCTGGGAATAGGGGCCAGTCTTTCCAGGGTCACGTGCGAGGGGGATCCACGTCGGATCCAGTTACTATATCGTCCCGATTTTAATGGGCCTCCACAGGCCAGTCCACGCGCAGAGGAAGCTAGGCTAGTCGGGCCCAATAACGACCTCGGTCGGCGTGGAGGGAGGTGACCGTCTTCTCCGGCGCCGCTGAGGTAAAAATCCCCCTGCGCGCCGCTCCCGTTGTCGCCGCCGTTAAAGAAGACACCAGAGACTCCGACGATGGCGGCGGCGGCGGCGAGGATACGGCGGTGCCGCCTAGAGAGAGAGGAAAGCGGGATCTATCGGCGGCCGGAGAGGGGCGTGGTGGCCGGGTTGTCATCATCCATCGTCGCATAGTGGGCGGCTGTCATGCGAAACTCCGGAGGGGGTCGTCTTTTTCCTCCATTGCCATATCTGAGTGCGGAAGCGTGTGAGTCAGCCGCGCCGCTCCTGCCGGTTCGGCGCGCCCACTGCGAGCGTAAGCCTGACTTTTGCGGGAACGTGGCGGGCCAAGGCGAGCCGTTATGGTCAGTCATGGCCCACGTGTCGGCCCCCTCGGGGCCGCAGTATATACACACAGCCCCTTCGCCTTGTGGTGGAAGGAAGCCTCCGGGGACTCCAGAAGCGGAAGCATGGCGTCCTCAGGCGACTTTCGTTCTGGTTCTGGTTCTGGTTCTCCGGCGCCGGCGGGGCCGCTACCCCGGGGGAGGACGTGCCTGTGCGCTCCGACGACGCACCGCGGCTCGTTCCGGTGCGGCCTCCACCGCGGCTGGCGGAGGGCGCCGAGCCGCGGGGCAGCTGCGGCTCCAGGCCAGGAGGAGGCGAAAAGCATGGCGGCTAACGGCGCGGAGTCGATGAGGGAGCTGCTGATGCAGATCGTCATCAGGCCGTCGAGGCAGGATCTCTGCCGGAGGAAGAACTTCCAGCCGAAGCCGACGAGGTTCAGCACGAGCGTCGCCGGCGAGCGCAGTCTGGCTGTCGTGTGACTGAAATCTCCACCGCTGCCTGTTTCTTTTCCCTTTGTTTTTTCCTTGGGGGAGGGGGCTCCATGGTCAGTGAGGAAGTCCAGCTCTGTACGTAGTTGATGATCGTAAGAGCGCTCATGGTGGACGACGGCATGTTGAAAGTTTCCGATCATCGTCTCCATTCGATCTTTCCATATCAGGTACCGGCCGAAGCCCCGCCTCCCAACACCACCAATGCGAGTGGCAGAAACTCTCTCGATCATCCTTCTGATTATTCTATCCGACGATGATCAGACGGTTCCAGTTCTCATCCTGGCTTTAGGCAGAACATATCTCCCATCTTCCAGAGAATCGAAGGGGACCGACTAATGGCGAGGCGCCGACAAGCCTCCATTGCCTCTCAGCCGTATCCTCTCGCTCCAAGCCTCCATTGCCTCTCAGCCATGGAGTCGTCCTCCTCCTTTGGCCAGCCCCGCTGATTCCTTCGAGTGCAAGTTGGAGACGCAGGGAATCTCCGACTGGCCGGCGCAGGAAGTTTCCAAAGAGAGAGAATGAACGAAGAAATCTGAAATAATCGATCGATCCCGGGAAAATCCCAAATATATTTCGGCTGGATCGCAGATTTCCTACAGCTACTACCTGGCGTATGTGAACTGCCGAGCTAGGGTTCCTTTTTCAAAGACGGAGGAGCTCCCCCATCGTCAACCTCTTTAATGTGGGCCTTCCTTCCTCTGCTGACGCCATTTAATGCCGCCGGAGGTGTCGCCTCGACGCCGGGAGCCGCACGGCGGCGGAGAACAGGTCCGCCGGTCGGCCGTCATCCCTCCATCAGCTTCCGCAATGCTTTCCAGTATCTCTGAGAATAGGGGTTCATGTGGATCGATCGGAGGACCCAGCTCCCTCGGCTTCGGGACGGCTCCGCATCATGAACCTCCGGGAGGAGGTGCATCTGGAAGTACACCTCCGGAGGTCTCCTCTCTGCGAAGAATCCACCAGAAACAACCCTGAGAGGAGAGATTTTACGCAAGGCAAGCCAAGAACAGCCAGAGAGATCTCTGAGAAGAAACCTGCTGGCCAGGAAAACCACTCGGACTGAAGATTCTTCGCCCACTTCTCCTTTGCGGCGGAGCTCCCCACAGCTTGAGCCAGCAAAGCGGAAACAACAGGTAGAGGAGCAGCGGAGGTCTCCTGAGCTCTGGTGAGACTCCGTATGGCCAGCGACAGAAATCGGGGACCCGCTTGCCGCCTCGCGAGCTCCATACAGACGGCGCCTACAATGAACGCAAAGCTCACTTCCATTAAAACAGGGGAAGATCGTAGAAGAAGGTACTATGCTGGTTTGGCCACTGTGAGGGAGCCGCTCACCGTGACAAAGAAGAAGGCAACTCTCCGCACTCATCAACGAACAAGCACGAGCCAAGGTTTGCTCGGCGAGGAGGAAATCCTCATCCCAGACGAAGCTCTGAGCGCAGACCAGATCGAAGGCGGCTGCCCACATCTGCCGAGACTGCTCGTTCCCCTTCAAACACGCTGCGAAGTTCACATCAATCCCGCCATCTTCGTCACTGCTCCGCAACCTGTGCCTGGATTCAAGATGCTTGAGCAATATCCAGCCGATCTCGTGGCGGGTTTCCTGCTGCAAGCACTTCAGGTACTCTCCCCTGATGTTCTGCAGATCGTCGAGGGCTGCATATGCACGGCACAGCTGCAGGTGGGCAAAGAAGAGGCCGTCGCAGGAGACTGGAAGCCTCGACGCCTCGGTGGCTCGGCCAATGCAGCCACGGTGGTCCCCGGTCTGTAAGCAGATCTCCGAAGAACAGAGCAGAAGCTGGAATTTCTGATACAGCTGGTGCTGCTTCTCCCCCGTGGAGTAGATCTCACGGGCTAAAGCAGAAGAAAGCAGCCGCCTGACAGCCAGACAAAGATGGGGAGGGTATTTCTCTACGCGGGCCTTCTGCATGATGCCGAGGATAAGCAAATACTGCGCCGTGTGGTTCCAAGGTTCTTCATGCAGCCACCTGCGCAGAGAAAAATACGAAGGTTATATACTAACAAAGCCTCACAGAAGCCAGTTTCTCATTGATTTCATCAGTTGAAGTTCATACTTCTGCAGCAGATGTATGGTCTTTGACAGAGGCACGGAGAGCCCTCCACATGTGGAGAAAGACAGCTTAGGTTTCCCAGTGGAGGAGCCACAGCAGGCGACGTTAGCAGAGCCAATCACCTCATTGGCAGAGCGCAGGCCGCGCGAGGGAATGCACCTGGCCGCAGTATGAGAAGCCGTCCAATCTTTACCAGACAATATAAGTGAGCCCAGTTTCTTCCTGCCATGGCAGGATTTCATCAAAAGGGAATGGAGATAAAAAAAAAATTATAGTTCTTGGGCCATTAGCATCTTAAACAGCCACAGGGCCATGCATATGAGACTCGTCAGGTTTTAATAATGTGCTGGGTACAAGAGACTTCACCTTATTAAACCACTGTCAGGATACATGTGAAGGGCCTTCTTTAAGTGGTGCTGCGCGGATAAGATCCGAGAATTGATATGAGACTCATCCACCAGCTGCAAGGGGGATGGAACCCGTCATCAGAAGAAATCTCTGGTTATGGGCATAAAGAAGGAAGGTAGGTATCTGTACCATCTTGCTGAGAGCAGTCAGGCAATGCATATCGATGATCTCCGCAGTAGAAAGCTTTGAAAGGCCCTTGGCGAGAAGCGATTGAAGTGGGCTGCTGGCGTCAAGAGCACAAAGTGCGGCAACAAGGAAGCTAGTTTTTGAACTCTGGAGCAGCTCCCTAGGGCTCTTCAAAATGGTTCTAACCGCGTGATCTTGTCCAAGACTGCAGTAAACCAGCTTGCAGATCAAGCCTAGAGCCGCAGCACCGGATGATGGGTCCATGCCTGGGATATTCTTCGCCAGATGTGCTGCCTCAGTGAGAGAAAGGTCTCTCTTTCCCTGTTGCCATAGTGTAATAATATATATCTGACGACCAAGATTGTCCAGTAGCCCTGCAGAATTTGTGGATACTCGTTGTTAGCGCTTAAAATCATAGGCATGATATTTAGGATATGGGCATAAGTAGGACGTAATAGATGTCCGCATAAAGTTGGAATGGATGCATGTATATATGGTTCTTGTCCAAGATGAACATAGAATTCGCAGGTGTTGTTACCTTTGGTTTTCAGATTATCACACACTTGTTCAGCATCATAGGCCCGACCTGCCTGCACTCAAAAGAAATAGTTATGAATGTGTTGGGGCAACAAGGAGAAAGAACAAGAAAGGGGAAAAATAACAGTCTCCTAATGAACTAAATTCGTGGAGAAAGATATCCCAGGAGTTGAGTACTAGAATTATGTGCACATATGTAACCTAGTTCTGAGTACATTTTTCTCCCAGAGCTTTACCTTGCAGAGTGATCTTGCGAGATTTATGGATATATCAGCAATCTGACTCTCCGCGGCTGGCTTGCAGAAGGCATGCAATGCGTATAGTGCGTTCGAGTAAGAGACGATTGCCGACTGATTATCTGAACGTGCCTCACATGACAGACCCTTCAGATTGTGAGACTCGGGGAGGTATGGAGCACGTTGAACTGCTTGATTTATGGCTCCAAGCACCTGAAGAACAACAAACTCCAAGGTTTATTTTCTCTTTCCTTTTGAAAGCATTGAATGACAACTATTTCCGGTCAACATGCGAGAAGGAAGCTCAGTATTTTACTCATTAAGATGAAACAACCTGACTCATCCCCAGAATTCCTCAAACATAATCCATAATATCCAAAGGAATAATGATCCAAGATTTCTTAAACATAAAGCACAATACTGTATAAATAACAGTTTCGGTAGATTTGTATCAGCAATCCAAGCAATGAAAAATGCTCAATATTACACTCATTAAGATGAAACAACCTGACTCATCCTCAGAATTCCTCAGACATAATCCAGAATATCCAAAGCGACAGAGATCCAAGATTTCTTAAACATAAAGCGCAATACTGTATACATTACAGTTTCGGTAGATCTATATCAGCAATCCAAGCAATGAAAAACATAATAGAAAGGACACATAATTAGCCTACATGCTTCCCAGTCCCAGAGACAGGTACAAGTAGCGGCACCACTAAAGGTGAGTGAATAAGACGTGCATCTCACTAAAAAGAGGAGACAAACTGAATTATTTAATCCATCAAAAGCTCTGGACCTGAACAACCAGATAAAGACAATGGACGAGAAGTAAAGAGATAGCAAACACCACTAGGCCTCATGGAATAGCCAGAGTCAATCCTCTCATCTAGGTCGTCAGGAGCTACCAATCTAAACAAACGCTAATTCTTCGATTTATTTATTTATTTTTGTTAAGGACAAATTTGCTTTATAAAATATGCCAAAGGATCAGCATACCGATACTTCTTAGCCCCGTGTTTCATCTTCTAAACCACTCCTTAGCCCCGTGACCCCAACCCTCATTATTGTCTCATGGGCAGAAAGAAGGGAATTTACAAATAACCCACTCTTTGATTTCTCTGGCGCAAGTAAGTGTTCCCTCTTTTCTATTTTCTTTTTCATCACATTTGCCAAAAGTGGGAGAGGATTTCAGATAAAACATAAAATCTTCTCCGTTTTCTTTGGCTCAGAGGGTTCGGAACACACCCTGAATCATATTCGAAACAATTAGTCACTAAGAGGACTTAGTCAAAGAACATAAACCTCCATACACCAGACCCATCTGTTAATTTCTCTCGACACGAGAAAAGAAAACTACGAATAATTGCAGAGAACAGATAAAAATGCTATTGAGATTATGACAAGGACAAACAATCGCAATAGGGAAGAAAGTGTTGATATTTGAAGCAGTTAATTTAGCAATCGAACATTAACATGAAATAACAAATGCATTAATTTTCAGAACATGCTTGACCTATGCGAACTTTGTAAGAGCAAAGCTACAACCTGTGGGGATACCAGACGACCAGAAAGATATGCAAGCTTCCCGAGCCCGATTTGAAATTCTGGAAGCTGCAAAACGAGCCCCATGTATGGAGGTTAAAATAAGCATAAATAAACTATTGCTTTCAATAAATGTAATGCAAGAAAGGAATCAATCATTTAGGATAACTTCAAATGATTTATGTGACGAATATTAACACTACAGATAAGAAAATAGCAGGTAGAAGTTAATTTTCCATTATTTGTATACCAAAATGACCATAAAGCAACGATTTTTTCCTTCAAAGAACCTAGCTCTATAAAATATCATCGTTGTATGTGTACTATCTTTGATTTATGTATGGTAACCTTTTAAGAAATCTGGAAACCAACACCCCTGATCTCTATTATCGAGCATCTAACGCCTTTGGTTCCTCTAGCCACTGATTATAAAATATAACTCATCAGACCAGGCGAGCAACGTCAAAGGAACATTAGGTGGTTTTCATGAAAAAAAAAAAGTACTTACAGGAAGCAACTGTACAGCCCGTAGGCAGCTTTCATATGCCTCGCTTGCTAATGACTCCCCACTAATTAATGAAAGTCATGTTACTGCAGAATTTAAGCCCTTAAAAGACTGAAATATAGCAAATATATCCTCTATAAAAAGACGAAATTATGACAAAGTGTATCTACCTGGCAGGAGAATCAACTGACATTCCTGCCCAGGGTAATGCAAGAGTAGGATCTATACTCCTAGCTTGATCAAATGATTTCTTGGACAATTGCTCGTTACCTGATTTTCTGTAAAGCTGAGTGAAATAGCATTTCAGATACACCACAGGGGAAACAGGATAGAATCTACAGAGTGTACCTTTCCGAGGTATGCCCAAGCTACAGAACGAGATACATCCAACTGCAATCCCCTGATAAGAGCATGTTGTTTCAATGGATTATCAGGGGATAAGCACCCTAATGACACCCAGAATTCACTGTTTCCTCCTTCAAGCATCAAGCTACCTAAAGACATTTTCTCAGGTAACTGCCTGATAAATAAAATAATCAGTATATCAGACAGTAGAAAACTAAAATAAGAATGTAATCGTTAAGAGACATTACCAAATATCAATAGGAGCTCCTATTTTCTCATCAAATGCATCCATTAAATCAATGGAATTTGCAATATCGCTGTAGATATTTGCCTGCCATGGTGACAAGTGCAAAGCACGTTGATAGGCATGAGTAGCACTTTGTACAGACAAAACACGAGCCCGTGTCCAACGTTGGACGGATGTTTCAAACAACTCTTGGTCATTTTCTCCATTTTTTCTGTCTTCTATCCAGGGCAAGCATTTTGCAAACGCAATCTAGAAAAGAGCCCATTGTTTCAGAGCAATACACCATCCAAATAGTTGAGATGAGAATGTTCAGACCATAAAAAATATGAATAGATATTAACAAAATATCATCCATATCTATTTAAACACCTATCTTTAACGTATTTTATCTATATATTATCTGGTGAGGGTTAACTGAGGAGGGAGCAGTGCAGCTGTGTGCGATCAAAGGGCATTCAGACTTTAGCAGAATAATGTTTATGGTTATAGTTATACCTAATGCCAATATTAACTTTCAATGTGATTTGGATAGTTTTGTTTTACAGTTTTAACGTTAATCGAAGACTTGTCCATTGTCATCATGAGACCAGACCCTACTTGCAGTGGATCATCTTTGAATACAATTTATGTATTGATGCTAGATAGCCGAAGTTGACGAGCAAATGCATGATATTTGGCTAGTCACTCGTGCCATGAATCTCCTCTTTTATCTACAAAACCTGTTCTAGAAAGTTAATAACGTTTTGATTTTGTAGTAATTTAAGCAGTCTTTTAGCAAAAATGCTTCCACAGAGACTGATGCGTTTCGATGTTGTAAGCTACTGTATGGGCGGGCTTCTCTATTAGGGGGAAAAAAGGAGAGATGGAGAGAGGACGAGACCAGAAGAAAGAAAGATAAAAAATAATATAAGATTAATAAAGAGAGAAGATTAAGGAGAAGAGGTTAGAAGAAAAAACAATGTAACCATTAACTCAACTAAGGATGGAAAGAAATGTGGGAGATAAGACTTTAAGCACATCTGTCAGTCATCAGAAGATGATGTTTCTCGTCTGAGCGACATTTGTAATAGGTCCCACGAATTTCCTTCCAGAAATTTTTGTTTACTCGGGCACTGGGAGTAGAGGCAAGGCATTGACCACTTCGTTTATCTCATCCTTTTGAGTACATTCTTCATATGAAGAAGTGGAATGCCAAATGAATTAAATTGTATTCAAACATTGGTGGTCTTAAACAAGTTCGAGGACAGAAAAACATTCATAACCTAAGAGTCGCAAAAATGGCAAATGAAATACAATCCACGACACCTTTTCCTTGAAAACAATAAGTCATGCATATCATTGAATCAGGATTTCGTTCTGAGTGTCCTTTGCAGGACTCACATGACAGAAGAACAGTTTCAACCAAGGGGCGAGGAACTACACAAGTTTCTCCCGATACTTGCAATTTTTTATTATTTTCTGAGAACAGAAGAAACCAGTACCGCATTTGGCAAAATTTGTTACGTTCAAAGTTTTCTTTTAACGTATATTTGATTGCTCTTGACAAAGTTTGACCAATGCCTAAAATCTTAGAATTCTTCCATGACGGTTCAGAAATCGTTGGCAAATTCTACCAAACAAAATTCTTAACAGCAGCTAATAGACTGGCAAGTCAACTCCGCTGAAATCATACATCAACAAGTAACTGATGGAACACTTTCTAACAAGTAGAAAACAAATATGGCTCGTAGTGTGAAGAAGAGATACTAATTGCTACTAGAAAGGTCAATGATGAAAAGGAAAAGAACAGAAAACAAAGCACAAGTATGAAACAAAAATAATGACAAGTATCATCCACAAACCTTAATATCTCCAAGCAACTTCCATAAAGATGAATAATTGCCTGCTAAATGGGTGCTAGCTTCAGTAACATCAGACGCTTCCTACAATCTCGGTAGGATTATCATTTTTATCAAGAATGGTTTGAAAATAAAAGGAAGGAAAGGAACGGGGTTAACATTTAATGGCATTAAACGAACCTCTAGCAGTGAAGCTGCCCAGCTAAATGCCCCTAAATTGATACACTCCTTCGATAGCCCAAGCAATGCAGAAGAAAGGCCAAAATGTCCAGAAATATTCGCAGGGCTTATCTCTAAAGCTCGACGAAATTGCTCAACTCCCTGCAATAAGACGTAGCACCATAATAAATCACTTTTATCTTAACAGAATTGTACCAGCATGCTACATCATAAAAAACTCTGGATAAACCAAAGCAAGACATCCAGAAAAGCCGAGCCATTATGAAAAGAGGCTTTATTCACTGCATGCGCCTCTTTCGGGTTTAAGTAGGAAATGAATGAAATAAATATGAGATCATCTAGAATACAAAAGTAATTGCTCGTACAATTATAAACGATCTACTATGTAGTAAAAGAGATGTATCCTATGCCAGAACAAGCACGGTCATGAAACTCCTTAGGTAGGTATGGGAGAGTAATGATTACTCAGGACAAGTAGATCATTCCCTTCCTTATTAGTGAAAAGAAGGGGGGGGGGAGTTGCTAGAATATTGTGAGCTGGTTCCAAATGGAGGAAAAGGAACAGAGATAGAGATAACAAGATAAACATAGAGAAACGCATAGAGCCATTATAATATTGTTTGCGTTCATGCTCACAATATATCTCATGGGGGTAATACAAACATATAAAGTTTCGTTTAACACAACGAATTCGTAGAGGTAACAATGCATATGCTCAGAAATCAATTTAAGAAAGAGGCTGCTCTTGAGCAACTAATTGTTTACAAACTCGTGAAATTGCGGTTTGGGCTTCACCCACCCAATATCACAAAATTAAATGTGATGATTGAAACAAGGGGACAGAAACTTTCCTGTCTAAAAGAGCCAAGCATCATATGAATATTTCCACTCTCAATCAGTGCAAGGATTTTTGAGCCCTCCAGATCAATAGCTCTCCCATATGACTGCACCAGAAAAAAAGATCACCAAAAGAAATACAAAGAATATAAAATGGAAACTTAATAAGAAAAAGATGCATGGGACAATAATTGAAACAAGAGAGTTGCAACTACTTCTTCGAGCACACGTAAAACAGAGTAATATTTTAACCACTCTAATGGAAACTTTAGCACCGTGCAAGGAAAATATTTTTCCACAAATGTTTAAGGCTGAACCTTGTTTTCTACATGGGTAAAAGGATTTATTTTCCCTTTCTGAATAAATTTCTCAAACATTGAAGTTAGTAACCACAAGAATAATCGCAAGCCGTGTTAGAATCTCTGAAAAATTCATTTTTAGGGCGTAACAACCCGATGGGCAAAATATATATTCCAAGATAGCAATGTTTGACAATAAAAATGATACAGCCTAAGGACCATAACGCGAACCAGTACCTTTATGGCTGCGGTAAACATACCCAACCGCTGGTATGCCACTCCTAGACCCTGAAAACACACGACACAACAAACCTCGACACAACCATAAATGACAAAATCTCTGAACGAACAGTCAGATAAGGAACTCTAGTATACCTCCCAAAGATCTGCACAAGTGGGGTAGCCTCTGATTGCTTGTTGGAGGCTCTGCACAGCCTCTGACCATTTCTTTTGGTGGACCTTTAATCGTCAACAGAGATTTATGGTTAAACAACAAACTTTACCTGTACTACTTAAAAAAAGTTTACTCAATTGATTCTTTATCGTTAGGATGAGAGCAAAATAAGACGTATGCTACATTTTTATGAGCAATGAAGCGCGCCATAAAGAAGGCAAAGTTCATCTTTATGTAAGAGAATAACAGTATGCAAATGGTGTATGTACCAAGAGTGATAGATGACAGGACAGACCAGCAAATATCCTAATCTTCTAAAAGCCCAAAAGGCTTTTGGTGATCTCTCCGAAGCTTCTCTACAAACAGAAATCTCTAAGCTTTCTTTCCCTGCTCCGTCGAGCAAATCGCAAAGACATTCCTGCATCAAATATTGCAAACGACGTAACGAGATTAAAAGACTTCGGATGTCGAGTGTCTTAAACCAAACTCCTAGCCCAAGGCACTCACTCCTGATTCGAAGTCTTCGGGGTTGAGATTAACGGCCCTCAAGTAACACTTGGATGCCCTCTGCTCGTCCACCGTAACCTGGCTGTAGTAATGCCCCAAATACCGGAACGCAGCACTGTTGTTCGGATTCAACCTCGCCGATATTACGAAAGATTCCACAGCTTTCTCCTTCATCTCCCTTGAATTCTCTTCTTCTCCTTTTTTCCATAAAAGCCGACCCTGAAAAACATATAAAACAGCATGAAAAATGAAATATCGTGTTCCTCTGATAAAAAGTGAACGAACGAGGACGGAGCGAGATGACGAGGGTGCAGTAGGAGCATACTATTTCGAAGTGATGAGATGCGTTCTGCGGTTCGGCGTCCACAGATTCTTGCAGCCGCCGCAGCTCGTCCTCACCTTCCTCCTGCGAGACGAAGATGTTCCTCATGGAGCGAGGACGACGAAGAGAACGCTGAACACGGAGCCCGGCGGAAGAGAGCAGCGGGAAGAAGCACACGGATTTGAAAGAGAACAACCAACCTCTGCCATGCTGCCAAAGATGAATTGTTCCGGAGAAGAGCAGAAATCCAAGGAGGGGGAGGGACCCAGGGAAGGAAGCTCGGAGCAGAAAACAGGAAAGCTGGAGCAACAACCCCTTTGGGCACGTTCCTCGAGGCGATCACATGGGGGCACCAGAATCTGTTACCGTTAACTGGGCCAGATGGAGCCGAATTCCGACCCATTATTCAAATATCCAGCCCATTTCTGACAACACCCCCTGTCCCTTTTACTCGGGCTTTTTTGGGCCCAGAAAAAAATTGCCTCCGGACATCTTTAGCTTCCATATTTAGATATAAATAAAGTCAAAGAAGTAGATACTACTCAATGCAACGGCAGATATTTGTGTGATAATTTCCTCGAAATATCGTTGACTTTCTAGGAATATATTGTCCCTCTATTAAATTTCCCATTTTTTTAAAAAATACAGCTTTATTGTTTTCGGATAATATCCCACTCTAAAAAGAAATATATATTCCGGATTAAAATAATAAATATAACATAATGCTTGATTTATTTTATAGAAAATTGACTAGGGAAGTAACTGATACGAGTCAAAAGCTAATTTTCAAAAAAACACAGGGTTTTATCTACAGCTCAAACATTTTTGGGGGATTAATAGATAAATCCCGGTGGATATTTATTGGTTCCCGATTTCCCACGGACTTTAATGCCCCCGCGACAAGTGTGGCTTGACCTTTAATTTTTTTACCAAGATTTAATAAATTTAGGAAATTAATGTAAAAATAAGTATATTCGCGATCAATGTTACTGCCCTGCGATATTATTTCCTCGGCCCCCGATCCATCCAGCCCCAGTCGGGCTCCGAGTCGGCGCCGGCTCCTCCAACCAACGGGGGTAGTTGGCCGCTTGGAGCGTTTACTTCTTCGGCGTGGAGACCACCCGCGACTCGTGATGCGCATTCATGGGCGGAGAGCGATGGCGGCGCCACCGGGGGAGACGGCGGCGGCGATGTTGTCTTCCCCCGCCGGCCCACGGCGGCGCCGCCAGGAGATGGCCCCGTGACGGAGGTTCCCGAGCCGGCGGGAGGAGCAGGGAAGAGCAGCGAGTTCATTAATGGAGTGGCTCAGTAAATGGCGGATCACGAGCTCCGCGCGGTGGGGCTACCGGTGGGCCGACGGCGCCGGTGGCTTGCCGGCAGACGGTCGGAGCCCATCAGGAGACCGTTCGCTCTCGTGGCTGATCCTCGCGCACGTGTCGCCGGAAGGCGCCAGACGGACGGTGGTGCAGGTTTTAATAATACCCCTCATCGAACGTCGAAGTGAGGGGTATACTAGCAACTTTTATTACTTAAGGGGGATATAATTAATTATTGTTGTACGGTTAGAGCTAGGTCTACTAATTCCTGAGTGGGTTGACCGAGCACGTGCGAGCTCTGCCGGTAGGGGCTTTCCGGCGCGAATACGTCCAAACACGAACTGTCGTCCGTGTTCGGAGGCTTTCAGTGTCCGTCACCCCACCCATGGGCCCCACCCAAGGTATGTCCGTTAAATGACTTTTACATCCTTCCCCTTATTTTGCATTTTTCCACGAAAAACAAATTATCATTGCCCAAATACCCTTATCTTGCGGCGACATCGGTATACACCCCTCCCCCCCGTCGTGTTTTTGGCATTGTCGAGAGGTTGCCACAATTTCTGAGGGTAAGAAAGTAAGGATGGGAGGTTTTGAGGTTCAAAGTCAAAGTGAGGATTTTTAGAAAATCGTCCGTTTTTTTCGAGACCGCGCCGTTGAGCGAGAGAGAGTATCACCGGGGTAAGCTTCTCTCCTTCCGTTCAGTCCCACCCTGGGTCCTATCTCCCTCTCTCGCATTCCTCTTTCCCTGTTCCTCAACTCGAAAGCAGATCTTGAGTGTTGACAGGGGGCGGGACGGGGCGGCGGGGGTCCACAAAGAGGGGTTACTGTGACGCTGGCGGCGGTTGCTGCGGCTGGTCCAGTCTGCCTTGGCATCGACACTGTTGTCCTTGTCGATGAGGTGCTCCTCTCCTGCTTCTGAGATCCGTTTTGTTTGGGTGGAATGGCGTCCGGCGTGGTGTTCACGAGAGCAATCGAAAGTTTCGCTTGTTTGATTTGTGCATTGCGCGGGATGAAGAACGCTTTCTCACATTCTTCCAAGTCGCCGTGCATTTTTATTGTCGAGTCGTTTTTGCGCTCTGTGGATGGTACATTGCTCGTTATTCTCGTTGCTCCCGAGTATTACTCCATAGTCTGAGAGTTCTTCTCCCTGATTTCTTTTCGTGTCTGGAACCTTTTCTTTTTTCGAGTTTTTTCGGTGAGAAAATGTGTTGGCCTACTCACATTATCTTTGGCCTCGATTCTTTTGCAGCTTCTTAGGTCAGAGTGATGGGCTCATTTTAGTTCGTGGAGTCCTTTGAAGTTCAGGTATCCAGCGTACTCTGAAGTTCTTCTTTTGTCCGCTCATCAATGTGGTTTTCGCGAAGTTCGTGAACCGGGTAGATAGTCCTAATCACTCTCCATCACACCCTCCCCAAATGCGTGTTCTTGCCTGTTACACTGACGTTTTTGGCGGGTTAAGGTTGTGACTCCGTAAATCTGTTGTTTTTGTTATATTTAAATTATTTAGGTTCACTCTGTACTCAGTATTGGTTGATGGGGACGTCAGTCCGATGCATATGATTCCGTCTACTAATCACTGACCAGGTCTTTACTTATATTAACGCCTTCTTGTGCACTTGTTCAGAATTATGACATCATGGAAGAGGAGAGAGTCTAAAAATGTAGGACTGTCAGAAAAAATGCACGATTTTATGTGACTGCAATGAAAACAGACACAACGCTTTTGGCAGCACAAGGCATCAAGATGAATCGGTTTTCTTTCGGTTCCAGTAATGGCAACGGTACCCCCTTGCAGACATCGACTGCTCTTTCAAACGGGGATGAATACGACAGCGATGGTTCCACCTTTGCCCCTATGTGAGTTTTTTCTCCTTCCTACCAAGATAATCAGTAGAATGTGTACGGTTCAAAATTGGCGTCATGCTTTGATTCAACATTTGAACAATATCCTGAACCTACACATCTATCCTATAAGGCATACTCTTGATGCTAGTTTGAACCTGGCGACCTTTATGCTCATGCTAGTGAACTAATCACAGTGTAAAGAACAATATTTTATTATGAATTTCTATATAACATAATGCATCCTTAATTTTTGCACTTATTATTTGTTCTGGCCTTTCTCCAGGACTCCAATGTCCCTGTCAATGTCTATTCCACCAGATCTGGCTGGTGCTATACCATTGATTGATCGATTCCAGGTACAAAACTGAATTTTGATAGTTGAATTTTCCATTCCACCGTATCAATATGGTCCTATGTAAGGGGCAGAGGCTTGATCCATTTTGGATTCTGAAGTCATCCTTGTGTGGGCATAATTTTTTCATGCTAATAATGCCTTGTTCATCATATCATTCTCAAAAGCAGATTCATTTTTTCTGTTGTCAATTAGACAGAAAAAAACTGTAGCCTAATCATTTACAGAAGTAATTATTTTTGTCTATCAACATCTGACAACGTATTGTGCTCCGATATCATATTTTTTTCTAAAATTTGAAGGAGTTGGTTCATAGAACTCAACATAATAATGTTTCTTTGAATGGGGTGCGTGGAAGTCATCCTTTCCCATTTCTGTTGTACGCTAGAACATGGTATTGCTTTCTCTGTACTCGGTTGTCATCTAGAACGTTGTCAATGTTTGAAAGGTGATGAAAGGGTTCATAGTGCGATATAAATATTTCCATCTCGAGGACATTTTGTTTCTAGTTCGGTCGTTCCAACTGAAAACATGCGAATTCAGTTTGCACAACCACCAAAATTATCTCATTATTCTCATACATATCGCTTAGGAGATATATTTTCTTAGTTTCCGAAAGTCGAAACTATTCTGTAGTCATTTATTTGAGTCCTTTCTTTTATCCTCTTCAAAATCTGAGCCAGTTTCTTTCAGTGCATTCATTTTATTGGCTTGATAACATAATTTTGTGTATTACCTTTGCATCAAAATAACGTGTCACTGAAGCAGTTATGGGGCTTCTAGTTTTGTGGTTGAATATTAAATGATTTTAAATTTTGGATATGCCCGTATTTGTGCATGTGGTTCGATTGTTAGGTGGCATATGGTGCGACAATGGGTCGTCTTTTCGTGCTTCACGGCTGTTGACAATGAATTATTAAAGTTGTGGAAATGAATTTTTATTTTCTGGGAGGTTCTTCATCTTGATGTTTCCCTCTTCATAGGTTGAAGGTTTTCTGAGGTCGATGCAAAAGCAAATCCAGTCAGCTGGGAAACGGGGATTTTTTTCAAAGAGATCTTCAGGCCTGCAAGTTAAGGAGAAGTTTACTTTGGAGGATATGTTGTGTTTCCAGAAGGTAGTTCCTCTGTCAGATAGTCTTTACATGGTTTTCATCCTAACATCTTTACTTAAAAATTAGCGTGAAGAAAAGGCACCTTAGCGTGAAGAAAGGTCTCTTCAAGATTTTCGTCTTCCTGAAGAGCCAATGTTATCTCTATACATTGCTTTTCCCGAAAGACAACATTGATCTGAAACTCATGTTTATATTTTTCATACAGGATCCTATTCCAACATCTTTACTTAAAATTACCAGTGATCTTGTTAGCCGTGCAATTAAGCTATTTCAAATTATTTTGAAGTACATGGGGATTGATCCTTCTGACAAAATAACTCTGTTGAGCATAGAAGATCGCGTTGATCTTGTTGGAAAAATTTATAAGCATACTTTGAAACGTTCAGAACTTCGAGATGAGCTATTTGTGCAGGTTTCAAAGCAAACAAGGAATAACCCTGACAGGTAGCTCTCCATTACCGTTTTTTATTTTTTATTTTGGTATATTTACACTTTGGCATACTCTTTCGTGACATTCCTCTGTTTTGTTCTTACTACAGAATCTGCTTGGTGAAGGCGTGGGAACTTATGTACCTCTGTGCATCTTCAATGCCTCCCAACAAGGACATTGGGGTGTATCTGTCAGAATATGTTCATAACGTAGCTAATGGGGTGAACACTGATCCTGATATTCGTGTTCTTGCACTGAACACATTAAATGCATTAAAACGTTCAATCAAGGCTGGTCCCAGGCATATAGTTCCTGGGCGTGAGGAGATTGAAGCTCTTCTGACAGGAAGAAAGCTTACAACCATTGTTTTTTTCTTGGACGAGACCTTTGAGGAAATAAAATATGATATGACAACTACAGTCGCGGATGCTTTAGAGGTATCCATCTTTTCTCTTTTACCTGTATAAGCACTATAATCGTGCTTGTTTTAAAGTTCAATACATTTATCAGTAATAGTTTCTGAAGTTATTTATACTTTTTAATGGAATCATGCACTACCATTTCCTTTCTTAAAGATAGATGATCTATGTATCGCCTCTCAGGATGCATAGTATTGTTAATGCTGTTGAATGCTCATTTTATTCCCACAAGCTTTCTGTAAGAAATTTGATCATTCTTGGATTTCATACAGATACAAATAACATTCGTTGCAGTAAGCAGAATTTTTTGCAAGAAAATCATGTGTTGTCTTTAAATAAAAAATATAACTCCGCTTTTCATATACTGAAAATTCGAGGTGATACTCCGAACGTTTCACGATCATTACTGTAACAAGCCTTTTGAGGACGTTAACCAGGAAATCTCCCAAAAACTGTTAAACTGGCTTGGCTTGTGGCAGGGGGTGCTTGTTTGATGTCAACTTGATTTTAGTGTCCCTCATATCTCGATCTCTTTGTGGTGTATAAGTTGATTCTGCTTGTTTCCTGCTCCAAAACCCATGATCATGTCTATTTTTATTTCCTAACATTATTTTATTTTATTAACTGAAAATATAGTGCCTTTATTTGCTTTCATGTTCTTTACAGAAAGTCATGATTTCTTTGTATACTGTTCGTTCCTCAGGAACTTGCTGGGATCATCAAACTTTCAGTTTACTCGAGTTTCAGTTTGTTTGAATGTCGGAAGGTTGTCAGTGGGTCAAAGTCTACAGATATTGGCAATGGTCGATTTTGAACTTTTCTTGAACTTTGTGTCTGCCCCTTTTCTGCTTATCAATTTATTCATTTTACTTGAATGCAGCATTAACCTCTTTTCTTTCCTTATCAGAGGAATACATTGGTCTGGATGAAAATAAATATATAGGGGATTTGTTATCAGAGTTCAAGGCATCAAAAGATCGCAGCAAAGGAGAGATTTTGCACTGCAAACTATCATTTAAAAAGAGGTTGTTTAGGGAGTCTGATGAAGCCATAACAGATCCAATGTTTATTCAGTTATCTTATGTGCAGGTAGACCCTCCTATTTCTCAACTTCTATCAATTGCCTTGTTGACTAACCTGATCACCCTATGCTCAGTTTGTCACCAGGTGTAAAAAAATGATTCTTTTAACTTATCTGTAATTTTTAAAATGGCTCTAATCTCCATCCCCTATGTTTGACTTGCAGTTACAGCATGATTACATTTTGGGAAATTATCCTGTTGGAAGAGACGATGCTGCGCAGCTCTCTGCTTTGCAAATCTTAGTTGATATTGGATACATTGGGAATCCCGACGCATGCATGTCAGTGTCTTAAGTATTACCATGATTAAATTTCTCTATTCAGTGTTATTATTTTCCTTTCTTTTGTATTTTTATTTTTTTAACGTACGTAATCTTAGTCTTGAATTATTTGCAGTGAATGGACATCACTTCTTGAAAGATTCTTACCCAAGCAGATAGCAATGACACGTGCAAGATGTGAATGGGAGATTGATGTCATTTCTCGGTATCGTCTGATGGTAAGATCCGAGTCATGCTGCTCAAGCGGATGGATATATAAGATGTTCATAAAAGTTAATATTTTCGAGTTTCATTATGGTGCTGGTATCTTTTGACTTTTAGATTGATTGATCGAATAGTTTTTGGAAGTCTACCTTAATTAATTTTTTTCATCCTATGCCATAATAGTATCCTTCCATCAACGCTTCATAACCTTTGAAAGGTCATTTATATGAGATTATTCCTTAGATATTAAATGTATCTTTAAACCTTCGTTTCATGTCACTGGAACTCTTAGATATCTTTTTCTTTTTGTTTGTGAGTTCAGAGGACAGGGTGATGCTCTGGATACCTTAACAGAGAGCATCGACTTGTACGCTCATTTTGATGGGATTAACTTTGTTCGGTTTAAATCATATTTCAAAAGCTTTGTTATCATTTTGCAGGAACATCTTTCAAAGGATGATGCTAGGCAGCAATTCCTCCGTATCTTGAGAACTCTTCCTTATGGAAACTCAGTTTTCTTCAGTGTTCGAAAGATAGATGACCCTATTGGGCTTTTGCCTGGTCGTATTATTTTAGGAATCAACAAGCGAGGGGTGTGTTTTACTGTTCTCGAACATATTCTCCTTTTGCAATGAATATTGAAAATATGTTCTAATTAGTCAACTGATTATCTCATCTTCCAGGTTCATTTCTTCCGGCCCGTTCCTAAAGAATATCTGCATTCTGCGGAGTTACGAGATATCATGCAGTTTGGTAGCAGTAACACTGCTGTTTTTTTTAAGATGAGGGTTGCTGGAGTCCTTCACATATTTCAATTTGAAACCAAGCAGGTCTTGTGTGCTTGTTTCTACAGAAGAATTTATTTCTTGTTATATTATGTGAAATTTCATGAGGTTCAAGGTTATTAACTTTTTTCCTGACGTTTTGCAGGGGGAGGAAATTTGTGTCGCTCTTCAGACACATATAAACGATGTAATGCTTCGCAGATACTCAAAAGCACGCTCTACAGTTAATGGATTGGTTCAGGGCGACTTCATGCAATCTGTGAAACCTCCCAGCGTTGATGTCTATGAAAAACGTTTGCACGAATTATCTAAGACAGTTGAGGAATCTCAGAAGAATGCAGATCGAGTAAGTGAATAAATTATCTTAACATATTTTTGGATCTCAGAAGAATGCAGATTGAACTGGTTAATCGTCTCTATTAAATATCATTTAGGAGTGTGCTAGCGCCCTAAGACTTCTTTACTATATTATGACTTTTCTAGCTTCGTCGATTTTTTGTGTTGGAAGCTGTGTCTCATTAATCTCCAGAGGAGTCGATCTTCTCTCATTGTTCAATTCATAGTGGGATTATTTGCAAGTGGCAGCGCCACGCCGGCGTGTATAATTATTTGGGTTTTTCTTGGTATATAGATACTCCTATGGTCCCTTCAAAATGTTTTCTAAGTATCCACTCAACCATCAATTCACCTATGGTTCCTAAGTATGTTAACTGTATGGTGCCACTCTATCGGAACAGTAAGTACTTGCTGAATCATGCCACACCACGAACCTTATTCTGAAAGACTTCCCTCATTTAAGGTAATTTTGAAAGTTAGATCTTGTGCATGTGCATTGTGGTTCCGCGGACTTGTCCCCTTCCCCACCCTCCAATTATACACATAACAGGAATCCCGTGGTATACCTCTTTCAGGGAGTTACTCATCAGTTACTCCATGTTACTGGAACAATTATATCTCAGATCCTCTCCAATGTTTGAGATGCCATTAGTGATTGAACAGGCTCCTGATTAGTGGTAATTTTTGTGCCTTTAGTTGGGATTCTTCCTTGTCATGTACCAGTGGACATCCGATTCCCTTGTTTTCTTTATGTTCAAAGTTGTAGAATTTCGATTTCTCAGAACTGGAAGCATTGTTGTCGTTTTTCTCATTTCTCAGGTTTTTTTTTTCGTCTTCTCCTTCAGAATTTCGATTGGCATTTGTTCTCTTATATTTTTGGACCTCTCTTCTTACCATCTGTTGTGTTATATAGTTACTAGAAGAATTGCGTGCCAAGCAGAAGAAGGAAATAGAATTACAAGAGGAACTGGAAGGGCTGAAAGATTTGTTACAGCTGGAGAAGAAAAATTCAAGAGAAGCGCTTGGTGACCGTAATCAACTGCAAAAATTGTATGATGAAAAACATGCTTCTTTACAGGTAAACGTTTTCAAAAACGTTTGTCTATGAGACTTGATTAATCAACTCGCTTATCAGTCAGCTAATTTCTCCCTTATGACGCTGTCATTTGATCAGGCAGCAATGATGGATAAAGCTAAAATGGAAGCTAAGTTAACATTGATAAACGATAAGGTAAAGTATAGTTCTATGGGCAATCATAGAAGAGATTTTCCTGCTGGATCGGGTGACCAAGGTAGAGAATCTGCTTCAGGACAAGGCACTCTCCAGGTGCATTCTCACTCACCATCGTTTAACTGTTATAATAAATTTATTTTTGTTTATCCGATAATGTAGCATTACTTGCTCAGATCATGCCAAGTCTAATAAAGTTAACATTACTTGGTATGTCCGTACTCAGGCTTTGGAGAACATTCAGAATGAGTTGAAGTCATGTGCAGAAGAATTGCATGCGTCAAAAGAGATTTCTAAAGCATTAGCTAATGAAAAGTTATTTTTGGAGCAGAAGATTTCAAGGCTGGAGAAGAAGAAAAAGGAAGAGGTCTCTTCACTTTCTTGCGATCAATCATTTTTTCAGATTGTATTTTTTTGGTAATTGCAATTATGCTGATAATTCATCTGCTTGTATTACATCGCAGATGGAAGCTCTGGAGAGAAGTTTTGAACAAGAGCGTGCAAAGCTGAAAACACAGATTTGTGAACTTGAAGAGAAACTTAAAAATGTCATGTGCGACTTAACTGTTCTGGAATCCACCCTTACCTTGAGGAACGAACAATTTGATGCTTTGCAAAACAACTTAAAAGAGTTGGAGGAACTACGAGAACTGAAAGAGGTGTCGTATACAGAAATTAATCTTTTGCCAGTTGCGCCATTATTTTTGTCTTTTGTTAAAAAGAATTGCAGGTTGACAAATCCCAGAGATTATTTATGTGACAACAGGATATTGATCGGAAAAATGAACAAACAGCAGCAATATTGAAAAGGCAAGGAGAACAAATAGTTGAGCTTGAAGCCCTTTATAAGGAAGAGCAAATTCTAAGGAAACGATATTTCAATACCATAGAAGGTTATTCTATGAGTTCTTGACAGACTAAATAATATGTTTGATTCCCCCCCCCCCCCTCTTCCTCTATTTTGATGAGTTGAATTGTGTTTTATCACTTTTCCAGATATGAAAGGAAAGATCAGGGTTTTCTGTCGCTTACGTCCACTTACTGAAAAAGAGATTGTGGAAAATGAGAACGAGGCTGTCAGATGTCTTGACGAGTTCACAGTAGAGCACACATGGAAAGATGACAAACCCAAACAACATCTCTACGATCGTGTCTTTGACGGTGCTGCAACACAAGATGAAGTCTTTGAAGATACAAAGGTGATCTTCTTGAGTTTTTTCATGAAACTTTTAGAATGCTTGTATTCAGGTGAAGCAAGTGTGATACCTTATGTTTGACTTTTTCCGATTGTAATGCAGTATCTAGTGCAGTCTGCAGTCGATGGATATAATGTCTGTATTTTTGCTTATGGGCAAACGGGTTCCGGTAAAACATTTACGATTTATGGTTCGGAGAATAATCCAGGACTTACGCCAAGGGCAACTGCTGAACTTTTTAAAATAGTGAAGCGTGATAGCAAGAAGTTATCTTTTTCCCTGAAGGTAACATGTTTCGTTCTGTTTTCTCTTGCTGAAAATATCATCCAAGTTTGCATTGTCTTATTACACTGCTGATTGTCTTATGGGTAACTCGTAGATGCACGTTACTTCATTAGTTGACAATGGAAAGCTGGGAAAAATATCATTTTATGGTACTTATATTTTGTATTTATGTATCTGAGTGTACCACGGTAAAGCTGGCCTTTTGTCGTAGAGCCTGAGGTGAATGGTGAGCTTGCTTGCTTTCTGGGCAGGCTAGTAGGATGATTTCTATGCACAATACCGTTTGTTTTCCTCGGTGAAATGCTGTGCCGTAGTTTTCTACACTGGAAAAAATGGCGAGTTCGGTAGGTGAAATTCGATTGGCCTTGCCTTTGCTTTGCTGTAGCTACTTTGTCAGCTAGTACAGCAGTCACGAACAACAGCAGACTCTAAGGAGCATACAAAACATAAACGTTCAAGCGTTTTGTTCCACTGTTCAACTGCCACACCATATCCATAACCTGTTAAAAGTGGCGATTTCATGATTGAGTTCCCTAGTTACTTTATGCAAGTTCATTGCAGTTCATCATTGGAGTTACATTTTTCTCTCTCTCAAAATGTAAATATTGTTGAATAAAATTTAAAATCATGCTTATCCTTGATCCAGCCATTTATTTAGAACTGTGTTTAACCGATACACAGTTTTGACGCTCGCCTCTAACCCTGTCTATTGATGTACTGCAGGTATATATGGTTGAACTTTATCAAGATACACTTGTTGATCTTCTATTACCTAGGAATGCGAAGCGACTAAAATTAGAGATAAAAAAAGATTCAAAGGTAATACATGTCGAAGATGTCGATCAGTAATTGAATCACTGGATATTTGTTTTCTATTAGAAAATTGCAATAATTAATGTCGACAGCAAAATCGTGGCATAAACGTTTATTATTTTCTTTTTATTCATACCTTTGTACGCGTAGAAAGGACGAAACCATTCTGCTCTACTGTTGGGTTCTATTTAATGAATTTATTTGTGTTGAACTCATTCACAATATAGATGTGTTGTTATCTGGTTGCATTATCGAATGTTATTTGAGGAACAAGTCAATTCAGGCTCTTCAGATACTAGACAACGAAGGTCAACTATGCAAGAGGCTCAAGCATCTATAATATGTTTTTTTTTTTTGTTAATCAGATTAAGTTCAAATTTATAATTTATCTCAACTAAATGGATAATTGATGCATTATTTTCTGCATCAGGGAATGGTTTCCGTAGAAAATGTGACAGTCATCGCGATTTCAAAATACGAGGAACTGAAGGCTATCATCTTGAGAGGGTCGGAGCAACGACATACCGCTGGGACTCAAATGAATGATGAGAGTTCAAGATCACATTTAATACTATCGATTATCATTGAGAGCACGAACCTTCAAACCCAGTCGCTTGCAAGAGGAAAGGTGAGAGCTCAATCTCATCCAGAGGGGAGTGATTCATGCATTCTTATGGAGATGCCCGTTCTTATTCTTGACGACCTTGTGCTCGATATTTCTCAAGCAGAAATGTTGGCGCTGATAATCCTAACACGTCAGATCATTGAAATGATGATTTATTCATCGCCATCATCTTTGATCATCTGAGCCTCCCTGTCCATTTTAGCTTGATTTTTCTGGTGTATTTCAGATTTATTGATATAATTTGTTTTAAAAAACTATAAATTTATTGATTATAGCATTATATTGCTTCAGACGTTAGTTCTTAATTTGTAGGATCATATCTCCCTCTTAAAGTGGGGTTTATTTATTCACTGGACATTGTGACTCATGCAAATTATTTTTTTTAATTTTTTTTAATTTACTGATTATGGGATTATTTGGCTACAAATCAAACCACGTTTGTTTCATAATATCTAAAATATTTAGCACTCTAAACTTCATTTTTTTTATTCTAAAAATATTTGGCAGCTAAGTTTTGTGGACCTCGCTGGTTCTGAGAGGGTGAAGAAATCAGGTTCATCTGGGCATCAACTGAAGGAGGCCCAGAGCATCAACAAGTCGCTTTCAGCTCTTGGGGATGTTATTGGTGCTCTTTCCTCCGATGGACAACACATACCTTACAGGAACCATAAGCTAACCATGCTCATGAGTGATTCTCTCGGTGGCAACGCCAAGACCCTCATGTTTGTCAACGTCTCCCCCGCTGAATACAACTTGGAGGAGACTCATAATTCTCTTTTGTAAGCTCCCTCTCTCTCTCTCTCTCTCTCTCTCTCTCTCTCTCTCTCTCTCTCTCTGAATAATCGGCCCCCTCTTCGGTGCATGATCTCACCTTCTTGTCTCGCCCATGGCTTCCAGGTACGCCTCGAGGGTGCGCTCCATCGTAAACGACCCCAGCAAGAACGTGTCCTCGAAAGAGGTTTCTCGGCTCAAGAGACTGGTCGCTTACTGGAAGGAGCAGGCGGGGAAGAGGGCCGACGACGACGAACTGGAAGAGATCTCGGAGGACCGGCCTCCGAGTGACAGAGGGGAGACGAGGTTTTCTTCGTAGCTTTCTTTCTTTCTTTCTTTCTTTCTTTCTTTCTCTCTTTCTTCTTCTTTCCCTCCTCCTTCATTAGAAGATTAAACGCCGTTCTTCGCGGTGCTTGTACATGTTCACCCTATCTAATCATAGACGGATTATACTTATACTGTTCATATAGTGGTTCAGAGCTGCTCGTCCTCCCACTTTCCTGGAGATTTCTCTGCAGAGTAAGAAGATGATCATGGCGAAGCTCTTAAATCATCGAGCCCGAGATCTTCACTCCACTCTTTGACCAGATCTCCGTGTATAATGTATCTGAATTTGGACCTGTAGGGGGCGTACTCCGCGCAGCTCTCCGGGCTCTCCTTGGAGCAGCACCGCCGTATCGCCGCCCCCTGCCGACTCTCCGCCGCCACGGCCGCCTGCACCATCTCCAACACGGCCGGCGGGTCAACGGCGGCGTCTGCGGCGTAGCGGAGCAGGATTTTAGGCAGGACCAGCTTGGTCTCCCTCTGAACAGAGACAGTTGACTGAAGAAAGTCGGCCCTCGCGGCTTCGAGCTCCCTGAGGACGTTCTTGGCGGTGTAGACGCGGACCTGCGAGAAAAAAACCAGGCGAAGGCGGCGGCGCCGCCGCTGAGGAAGGCGTGGAGGCGGATGGGCGGGGGGGAGGGGAAGGGGCTGGGAGAATCATACGGCGGGGTCAGAGTAAGCGCCGGTGCAGAGCGCGAAGTGGACAAGCGGCTCCCGTTGGTCAACGGCGTAGGGGTGCTCCCCTCTGACCCTGGTTGACTTCTGCGACCGGCGGGAGAACAGGGCCCTCAGCTTCTGCGCACGCCGTCAAGAACAGTCAGCGCTTCGACCCCGATTAAAGAAAAAGAGAATAAATATATATATTTATTATGCGCACCGGTTCTGGGCTGTGTGGTTGACATCCGAGGACGGAACTCCGGATTTCATGGGCGTTTACACTCAGCCCACCCACGTTGTACGCCGCCTGAAGAAGAAGAAGAAGATCCATCCCTGAGAATCAATCCCAAGCACTCCACCAGAAGTCGCCGATGATGAGTAAGCACGTACCTTGGTCAACGAGGATGACGTCCTCGAGGAGCTGTGACGAAGGCCGTAAGCCAGGATCGCCTGAAGCTCAGCAACCCGGAATGCATGGCGCGCGACGGTAAACATCCACCCGGAGACTAATTTTATTCTCTTAGAAATGGGGAGAATCAGAGACGTACGTGCATCACCAGGGCGTTGTGAACGTTGACCCAGAACGCGAGCTTCTCCTCGCGACTCATCTCTCTGGGGTTGGTCGTCTCCAGTTGACGAATCAGGGCCCTGCGGCGGCGTATTATGATGGTTTCAGAGGAGCCCTTGACCAACGGGAAGAGACCGGAAGAAACCGGAGTTCCAATTTACCTGTAATTCTGGAGCATCGAAGCTGCAGAAGCAAATCTCGAGCCGTCCGCAGAGATCTTCAAGATCTCGAGCATTCCGCCGTAGGGCCCCCGGCAGCCGCTCTTCAGCATCGGATGCTCTGCGCTCCAAGTTTCAGCAGCGACCTGGAGAAAGCGCGGGCTGGAGGTTGAAGAAGATGAGGCCGGGGAGGGGGAGGAATCCGTTCGGGGAGGCGGCGGGTCCGCTAAGCTCGCATAGACGGCCGATATGCATCTGATTATCTCTTCAGAGAGCTTGCAGGGGGTCTCAGAGACCCAGAAGATCTGCGGAGCCGCGACTCTGCAATAGAGAGAGATGGGTTTCGAAGAACCCTAGAGATCGCAGAGAAATGCGTCAATATCCCTTCTGGGTCTCTGCGAAAATGGGGAATACGGACATGGCGGTTCGGTTACTTGCCAGGAGGGAGCTTGGATCCTCCAAACCAGCAGGATCAGTCTCCAGATGCCCCTTTCGGTCTTCGACGCCGGAGCTAATCCAGGGAGACGGGTGATGACAAGTCAGCAGCCGCGACCCGAATGTCCCTTGGTTTCTCGGCCCTCGAAGGGGGGAGATCCCCTCCAACGCTGAAGGGAGCTCGCTGGATCGTTCTCCGGTCTGGGTTCTGCCGTTGGCAAGGTAGTTGCTGAAGACGGCCCTGTACAGGGAGAGAAGGTGCTGCTCCAGATGAAATATCTCCAGCTCCACGGCAGCGATCTCCTTCACCAGATTCGCCTCAGGCTGCCAGAAAAAGGAAGAAGAAAACAACCCACGGCATGAGATTCTAAGCAATGATCTCCAACAACTCGCAACGAGGGGGAAAAAGAAAAGAAAAGAAAAGCTCCTCCCAAGATGATTCTCGAGCCGAGAGACAATCTGCGAGCTGGGAAGACGGTTTCTTCCATGGAGAATCAGTCTTGACTATAATCGAGACAGTTACAGAGCTCAGCTCAACAGCCGAATCAGAGCACTTACAGAGCTAGAGCCATGGGAGGACCAGGGGGATGAAGAATTTAACTTCTCCTCCTGTGACCTGCAGCCTCTGAAATCACGAGGGCACAAGTGTGAGGACCGAGCAGCAGCCTAATGGGCAATGAACAGTCTCAGATCGTTATTACCTCGCGGAATCCCTGCGGAGAGGAGGAGAGGAGGTGGGTCTCGAGGAACAAGTGGTTCTCGGAGAATCCTTGGCGTCCCCCGCAGATCTTCCCAGCTCCTGCGTAGACATATCTAGCCTTCGATGGAGACGATAAACCAGGAAGAGCACTTCAGACGGCATCACCAAACCGAGAGGAAGAGACTGGCAGACGAAGGACACAGATTTCGGGGAAGGCGGAGGTCCTCAGAGATCTCCGTTCAGGGAGTGAAGCCAGCAAGCATCACCTCATTGAAACCAGATGCCGGGAAAAGGGAGCCAGCTCACTTCACTGGAATTCTTCCCGCGAAGAAACCTTGATCCGCATCCTCTTCGACCTTGAAGGCGATCCCCAGCAGCACCAGAGCGCCCTGCAGAGGAAATTGACCTAAAAGAAATGTCAACAGAGAGAGGGCGCGCCACCCCATCATAATCAATAAGACGGCATTAACTATTTCTCCGGATCTCTCTGTACTGCATCGGGAGGGGGAGGATGAAGGCGAAAGAGAGGGAAGAGGCGTCACCATTAAGTCTCTTCTACTGCACGAAGGAAGTGAGGGGGGGGGGGGGGACAGTGCTCAGTGATGATGACAGAGAGGGCGCACTGATTACTAAAAAGAACGGCTCATCTAATATAAAATCGCGGAGACCACCTGCTCAACGACGTTGAGCGAATCAAGCAACCGCCATGATCCTCCACGGAACCAATCCCGACCCAAGATGAGGAACAATGCTTTACAGGTGGTGAAGCGAAGAACAGGGCCCCGAAGGACTCCCTGTACCTCCTTTCCGGGCCATGCAGGGGGCGGGGCGGTTGTTGGCGCTCTGCCGCTCTGTGGGTCTGGGGAGGCACAGATGGGTCAGGAAAACGAGGAGGAACGTGGAAAGAGGGAATTGAATGAGGTTTCACTTCGACAGCGCTCGCAATAATTTCAGCGATCCAAGATCTCACCCAGACAATCAATTCTTCGTGTAGTTGGTGGAGAATAAGAAATTGGGACGTGCCCATTGACAGCTAAGGGATCTGGCCAGCGGGCACTGTCGGGGGACCCCGGAGGGGATAACGGCGGTGCACATCCGCCGGCGGGCTGCGGAGACGCCCTCGCCGTCGCTAGGGTAGCCACCACGCGGGACGGCGGTGCCAGCAGCAGCGGCAGCTCGTCGGGGCTCGTGGGTCGGCTCTCCACGTTCCGACGCCTGCGACGGAGCAGGCGGGGGTGACCGATGAAGACGACCGACGGTTCCATGCCGTTGACTCGTCTCGTGCAGAGCGACTATTTAAAAAATGTGGCCCAAAGTCAAAGCAACGACGTGGAGTAATTAGCGCAGAACGACGTGCTGCTTGTTTGTTTTTAGTTTATTTCCACTTGAAAGAATTTCAACGATTAAAATACAGGCAGCCCCTTTTAAAGTTTATTAATTAAAATAAAACCTCAATTACTGGTGAATAGTTCTTCAGTCCACAAAAGCCCCCACAGAGCCAACATATCCTATTTCCTTGAATAGGGGTATTATAGTCATTTCATCGACATAGCAGGGAATAATTCCCCAGATTAAAAAAATATTTATTTAAAGACTGGGCTTATCCGGCCCATGAAGAGTAATCTTGCCCACTGGGCCGGTTCGTTGTGAACGAGCTCGGGCCTAAAGCTGAAAAAAGATCAGCCGGCGAGCGGCACCGATTCCTTCACGAAGGTTCGGTTCAATCGTCACCGTCAACGCATGCCGACATTTAATGGATTAGGGTAGGGCCCACCACTTTGTATTGACTAGGAGGGCCAACTGGGCGTCAGCGCCGCCAAAAGAGCAGTCGCCATCGACGTTCCCTCGTTCGACGGCAACAAGGAGGCAGCATCAATGGAGAGCAGCGCCCTCCTTGGCTCTACGCAGAACAGGAGGAAAAAGACGAGGAAGAAGAAGGCCCAACAGGTGGGCCATGGCTGGTGTGTCCTCCTCTGCGCAGCTTCTTCGTCTTCTTCTTCTTCTCCTTCGGCCATTGTTGGGGGATCGAGAGGGGAAGAAGGCCCAACAGGTGGGCCATGGCTAGCGTCTCCTCTGCACAGAGTCTTCTTCTTCTTCTTCTCCGGCCAGTGCTGCGGACCGAGAGGGGAAGACATGGGGAGAAGAACGGTGCAGTCCGCAGCTGAGGCTGGATCAGAACCCTGACGCCGGCGTGTTCGTAGAGGGACACCAACAGCTACATACGTGTGCCTCAGGTGCATGGGCCGCCAAAAGGGGGGGGGTGTGTAGAGAGAGAGAGAGAGAGAGAGAGAGAGAGAGAGTAGGGGTATTCGTGGACGGCATTGCCTCTTGAGGGACAACACAGGGGGGGAAGGGGTGCGTGGTGTCCGAAAGGTGGTCCAGGAGACTTTGGAGAAAAGTCACGTCCCTCTGGTCGACAGACGCATCATAATAATGCTCTCTCTCTCTCTCTCTCTCTCCCGCTTCCTTCCTCTTCAGAACGGAGACTGGGCAGCTTCCACGCGGCCGAGGGCTGAACATAGTGCAGGTGGATTGACGGGGCATTGAGACGTCCAGTGAGCTTGATGGAGACCCCTTTCGATCAACGGCGTGGACGGTTTCTAGGGGAAGCCCTAGAAAGAAGACGAGGAATGAAGATATTCCTTCGCTTCCAGGGGCTGCGAGAAGTTTCGGTTATTCAGGAAAAAGAAGCGGCGAACCCCCCTCCCTATTCTCTCTCTCTCTCTCTCTCTCTCTCTCTCTCTCTCTCTCTCTCTGTGAACCTACCTACGCTCGAGCGCATGCACAGGAGCAGAGGAGACCCCCCACGGTGCGCCCTCGAGGCGAACGATCTCCGGCCATGGCGAGGAGAAGGCACCCATTTGGGGGGCATCGACTGGACCAGCCGAGTTGGACGCCACTACCGCCCGGCCGAATGATTTTAAAAGGACGCTGGTCAGCAGTCAAACTGCTGGGGCCAAGAACAGATCATTGACTTGTGGACGTCCTCGCTCGATATCAAAACGACTGTACGCACATCATATATTCGCAGACACAGTACATGTTCTATCGACTGAATCCCGCCAGGGGATCTTCCTCTTGGATTAAGATCTCAACAAGAAGATGCTCAACTGTTGGCCGGAGCTTCCGACGGGGTTGATCAGGTGGAAGGACTCCGAGTCGGCAGAACCGATGACCCTCTCGAAGCTCGCCCGGAGGTACATGAGGTCCCCTTCGGCGGCCTTCGACTCCGCCGGCAGCACGCCGGCGCCGACGGAGACAGACTGCATGAGCTTGAAGATGGAGGCATCCTTCTCGCTCATCTGCCTTCGGACGGCGAAACCCATCTTCCTCCCGTTGCAGTACATGGACCACACGGGGATGCTGAAGAGGGAGCCGGCGAGGGGACGGCGGAGGGAAGACCGGTCGCTCTCCAGCGCGATGCGAAGCAGGCCGCACTGCATCTCCCTGGCGAGGTACGCGGTGGGCAAGGAGAGCTCGAGCAGGAGGAGGGGGGGGCTGCGGCCGCCTTCCTGGAGGCAGAAGCTGACTCGCCCCCTGCGGTAGCCGAAGAAGGTGCCGGTGACCGTGGAGCCGAGGGGGCACTCGGCGTCCGATTCCGGCGAGTCGTGGGAGGCCTGGAAGCCGCAGCAGGGGACCATGCACTCGACCAGGGACCGGAAGGTACGCCGGAACCCTACGTCCTTGCTGCAGTCTAAGTCCGTCGGCGAGTCGATGATGCGCAGCGGGCCGCGATGGCTGCTCAGATCGACAATCCTCATCTTGCCGGTGGTGGGGAGTTGGGGGCAGGAGTCTAGAGGGGAAGAGGGAGGGAAGGGGGTGAAGGAGATAATTTATTGGCGGAGAGGGATCGGGGAGGGCTGCTCATTGTCTGAGCGCACGGGCGGGGAAGAATCCGGGGATGGGGGCCCGGCGGCGTCACTGTCGCAGCCCCGTGAGAAGATCCTCACCGCACGAGGAGCGGAATCATGACGGCCGGGGCGCGATCATTCCATTCTGCCCACGCGTGCGCCACGAGAGCGAGAGAGAGAGAGAGAGAGAGTAAATGAGGAAATAAATGAGACGAACGGAAAGCGTTTGGTGATGCTAGTAGGGGGTTGGCGAATGGATTCCGTGGTATGGGAAGAGGATCAAGCGTGGGAACGCGTGTTTTGTATTGCCTTCTTCCGGTGAACGTCTTCGCAGTAATCAGTAGAGAGAGTACAACACCCTGCTGGAGGAAAAACAGAGAGAGTGAGGGCGCCGTTGCCGGGGATCGAACCCGGGTCACCCGCGTGACAGGCGGGAATACTTACCACTATACTACAACGACCAGTTGATTTATCATTTATTCAGTCTTGTAAATACAAGATAAGATAAAACCTAAACTGAACTAACCTGCCAAAATTATGGAAGGATTCAAGTCTAAATTGGACAGATTTTACATGAAGAAAATTTTGTTGAGCATGTCCTATTCAAAATTCATAGGAAAAAAAACTTAGCTTGGTATTGTTATAAAAATCAAGAGGATTGAAGGCAAAGCCAGGTTAAGATGATTCGGATCACCCTTTTCTTCTAGTGTCAAATATCTTATGATTTCCAAATGAATTGTAGCTGTTGCATCTCTTTTCAATTTCTAGTCAAGTGTACACATGAACTTCCAACCCCCTCTTTTGATTGGAGAAAGATTTAACCAAAACATTTTTTATCCATTTTTTTCTCCAAATATACTGTAATGTTCTTCTCATGGATAATTACTATTGTCAATACATATTAGTACATGTAAATCATCTAATATCTGACAATTGTATCTAGAATGATTGGAAAATGGAAACAAAATGATGTAATTTGATCATTATTTGGCAATCAAAAATCATTGTAGATTATACCAACCATTAGTTCCCAACCATATGGAGAGTAGAATCAAATTCATATCATGGATTTATGACCATGTTCACCAAAGGGCCTTCTTATTTCTTCCTTGTTCGAGTTTTGGTTATGGAAGAAAGAACCAAAAAGCAAATTTCAGCAACAATATATTTTATTATGGGATAGCTTTGACCAATTCAATTTCTTCTTTTAAACATTCATCGAAATAAGTCTTCTATTCAATCGATGAAAATAAAAAAATGACCTTAATCTACGAACAAATTAAAAAGAATGTATTGAGTTGGTTGATCAGGAAAAAAAAACTATCCTTTAGGATCTGTACATGCACCTTTTGAGGCATAGAACTAAGCAAATTGTGAAAAGAAAATTGATGCATTGATTTCTGTCCTACTTTTTTCAAAAGCAGATTTTTCTCTAGTGAAAATGAAAGGTTTTTTTCTTATATTATATTATTCAAGTTTCGAGAAAAATCAGTAGTTTTTCTGCCTTCCCTATGAACTATATACAAAAAAATTGCATCCATGAATCCCTTTGGTGTTTATAAATATTCTAGTCCTTACTGTTCATAACTTATTGTACGAATCCATCATAACAATTGTATTCTATAGACATTAGACGTGTCATCCTCTCTAATGACTATATTTTATTTATTTAGTTTGTTTTCTTTGTACTATAGACAAAGTAGTCATTGTAAATGTAGTGAAATAGTTATGTTCTAGCCAAATGTTAAGACTCTGGGTCTTCTAACTAATTTTCAAGTGCCAACATCTATTCTACATAGTGCTGGCACTAAAGTTTTCCATTATGCTTACTTTGACACTAAAGACTCACAATTTCTCTTGTGGTATCAACCATTGTTTTCTTCTTTTCAAAAATTTCTATGGGCGCCGGAAATTCCATTAAAGATGTTGAACCATATGTAGATTATTTATCTAGTTTTTTGTTTGAAGTCCAACGCTTGTGTCTCAAGTATCAACCGTTATTCAAATTATTTTATATTTTGCACCCATGTGCAGTTGGCACATACCCTTTGTGGTGCTGATACTCAAGACTATGGTCATTAACTATCACCGTAAATAACCATATGTTGATACTTTTAGGCTATAATTTTCCTAGTGCATTCGTTGATACCTTCATTATAGATGTTGGATTATTACCTTGTATACAACTAGAGAGATTTAGTAATTTAGTAGTCATAGTCATTTATAGCCTCATCAATATGTACATGCTCAGTCAAGATTTCAAGGAACAGTTGACTAGGGTAACTTTGCTTCTTCCTAATCAGAAATCATGTAATTTCTTTAGCACAAAGTTAATATTGAAAAATTTCCAAAAAATTTTACGAGACAAAAGCATTACCTGTATTTTAGATGAGATGAAATAATAACCAGATTTGTGCTCTTCGTTCAACCTTTTAAGAAACGAAAGACCCGATGTGAGCTATACTTAACCCGTACCCATCTATCACAAACTGTTCACGCTTTCTTTCCAAACTCCAAAGGTTCAGAAATTCATAAAGTTGGTCGACGGTCCCCGTGTTCTATATGTATTACAACTGAAATCTGTAAAGACTGTTCGCTTAGGAGGCACGCAGCAGCTCCACGACGAGGGCGACAGAGACTCGAGATAAAAGAAATTCCGGCGCAACTTGCCTGCCGGTGATGCGCGAGTATAAAGATCATAAACTATCTGAAAGGATACAGCTTTGTCCCCAGCAACTGCTCTGATTACGCGCATCTGGGAATATAGTACCGTTGAAAGAGAACAGACAAGACACGCGCTTATAGAATATTATACCTTCTATCGCACCAATTTTTTTGTTCCTATTTAGTGCCTTGAAGACCATGCATTCTTGTTGGTCCTCGCAAAATACAGCCAGTGTGACGCCTTTTGTCTCTCTACGTTACGACTTTTTCTGAAGAAGTGGACGGATACCTGCCACTGTCTTTCATCCCCACCCTTCTTCCCCGCGTCAGCAGACGTCACCTTTTCATCTTGGTCTTCCTCAGCCTTTCTGGTGATATCTCGCTTAACAACGTGCATCCTTAGCGTCATGTTCCTACAGAACAAACAGTGGTTTGAGGAGCCGCCATTAGTTTCATGTACGAGATGATCTAGCGCATCAGAAAAGTGATAATCTATCTTCCACGTAAAAATCGATACTGATGATATCCATATCACCTAGGTTTTGATGGTCCGCTTCTCAAACTGATATAAATTTAGGTTTACTTACCCTCTAGGGTTCGATCAGTGCTAATCTTCCTCAAACACGATGTGATCGCACTAGATGCCAAGTGTCTCCCACTCCTTATTTAATGTTAAAAATAGTTAGATAATCAGTTATGATGATCAAAATTTAATTCAGATGCACCCCATGTTACTCGCTTGCGCAGGCTGCCCCGAGAGAGCTCTGCCAGAATAGCGTAGCTGACGCGCGTTTGGAAACTAGGCGGGGCCGTCAGGCGAAATTGATCAGGCGGGCATCAGTCGGTGGCTGGTGACGACGTGGGTGATGGCAAGAGCTTGGAGAAGCTTGGTTCGCCACGCCTCTCCTCGACGTGCCCACCCCATCCCGGTGGAATATTTTTATCCACGGAAAGAGAGGTTGCGTCAGAATGAACGAGACGGCTTAAATAGGATGAAAACGATGAGGGAAATCAATCGGGCCGGATGAATGAATCGTCTTCGGGCGTCAGCCGTCACCGCGATAGAGCCGGCCTTGGCGCAAGTGGCCACCGCGTGCCGACGACTAGTATGCCCGAGGGGGACGCAGGCGGCGGCCGAACGCCGGAAACGGACGTCCACTCCACCGGCCGCCGCTGCTTTTGGATCGTCACGGAGGGCCTGCTTCTCATCCTCTATCATCTATCCGCTCTCATCCGGTCGTTATCGCCAATTTAGAGTTCTTCATAAACGTTCCTTTCGTGCTGCACCGCTGTTCCTCCCTCCTCACTTCTTCGTGAGAGCGAAGTGAGAGAAAGGGTGAGGATCATGAGAGGTAAAGGACAGCTTCAGTGGTTCATCGATTGGCTAACGGCACTCGTCTTCAACAGCAGTTTGGAGGCACGCGCCATGGTGATGGATACGTATGTACTTGAAAATTATGTACACTAAGAATACCCATACTTATTTACAGAAAACATCACAAGGGTTTATCCCCACAGACCTTTCTTCTTCGTGCGAAACAAGAATATCCACACTGTCATCGTATCTATGAGAAAATCTCACCAAACTATAAAGAGAGAGAACCTAGGGCAAGCAACTCTGCTTCTTTATCTCTCTTCCTCTGATGTCTCCTATCTATCTTTGTCTTATACCCAATGTGTACACTGATCTTCTACATCTCGTTCGTTTCCGCCGCTTTCTAAAGGAGTACGAGAGTTCTGAATAATCCCATACCTTTTTTTTTGGGCCGGTCTACGTATTTACCATTTGATTTTTTCCGCTTATTTTCTAGAAGGGTGCTCGGTGAGGTATACCCTTTCGCCTGCAAGTCCGGTAGCTGATGATCGGGGGTGTCGTCGGGGAAATGCTGCCTGAGTTTGCTCCGCCGCCGTCCGACGAGGTGGACGGAAGGTTGATCGAACGGATGAAGAGGGACGTCTTCCGGAGCTTACTCGGAGTGGGTGAGTCGTCCGATTCCGAGCCGGTGAGATACTCCCGGCCGGCTTTGGGTCGCAGCGCGAAGGTCAGCCCCGGATCGTCCTTCATGCCCCCGAGCTGAATTAGGCTTACAAAGGAATATCAGGTCGACGTAGTACGGAAAATGGAAGGTTTCCAAAATGGGAGCAAAGCTACCAAATCATTCAAACTAGTTGGACGTCAATTCGTGGTCAGGAATAGAAATAGAAATGAGATTCCCTGTGCGAAAGGGTTTCATAATTGGCAATCAAAGGGGAGGAACGGAGCCGGGGCAGTGATCAGAGAAGCACCTTGCAGCCTAGAGAGCAGAAACGGAAGACGTCCAGGAGGCTGCGGCCACATATCTCGCAGGTATTCGTGACCCCCTTGCCGTGCCTCGGCTGCGGCCTCCCATTCAGGAAGACGATCTTGGCGCTGTTTATAATGTACGTCTGCACGCAGGAGATATCGATGAACTTGGAGACCTCAGACACTCTCACCACATTGTGGTACGATGATCTCCGAATCTGGAGAGAGTGACAAAGAGAGAGAAAGAGTTATGATCGAATCGGAAGAACGGGAATAGGGAAAGGACCCGAGTGTGGACCTGAACAATGTGGTGGTCTTTGTGTTGGGCGAGGCAATAAGAGCACAAGGCGTCTCCCATGCAGTCCAAACAGTACATATTGCACTCGCTCTTGTTGGCGACCCCGTGGACCCGGCAGGGGACGAAGAAGCTCGTCTTCAACAAGGGCTTCAGCCATGGCGGCCCGTGGTCGTCGTTACCCACTCGAACAACCGGGCCCCCCTGCACGAGCCACAGGCAACCCATATCAACAGAGGCACTGGTGAAAGAGGGAGACGATTGGAGGGAAGGACGGGGACTACAGACCATCACTTTCTTCTGCTTCGTCCTCAAGAAATCGATCCTCAGCCGGCTCTCGATCGCCAGCTGGGTGGGTTCTGAGGTCGCCAGAGCTAATTACAGCTCGATCGCCGAATCGAAAGCAGGGGCAAAAGCAGCCCAGATGGAATCGAAGGAGGCAACTAGGAACTCCACTGGAAGCGCGCAGGGAATCGCCCGCGAGGGGAGGCAGGGGGGGGAAGGAAGCTGGGAGAGAAAGTTGGAGCTTCTAGAGATCCTTGAGGCGGTTTGCCGGATAAAACTAAAGAAACGTGCGAAGCTTTTCGCCGGCGAATTTATGGCCACGCGATGATGCCAAAATGGACGACTACAGGGGGGCCGGATCGCCGTTCATCAGTAACAAATAGTCTCCGCCGAGGATCCTCAATATCACTCGATAATTCGCCTACCAGTCTCCACCGCCGCCGCTTGAAATCGGATGGTCGTTGGAGACGGATCACCCCCCTTCAATGGGTTCGTAAGACCCGTGGGTCCATCCCACCGCCTCATTGCTTTCTTCCTTCCCCCGGCTCGGCCTTCTTTCTCGTCGCCGGAATACGAAATATTATATACAAAGTTGAAACATACTCTACATACCACTCACGTTAAAATACTTAGTCTCCCCATGGCTCGAACGCTTCCCCACTCGTTCCAGACTCGGTCCGAGTCCTGACGTCTCTCGTAAGACAGTAGGGAGCATCTACGAAGACCGCAGAGGACGAGGTTCTGGAACGGTGGCTGACGTCCTTCACGTCAGCCATTTCGCCACGTGTCAACGACTGCGGACGAAGACCAGAAGCTTTCCGGGTGGGAAACTGCGGCACGGGCCACCAAAGCTCCCCGGAGATTCTGTCACGTCGACGCCTTTGCCAGCTGTTCGTCGGAGCGGCGATCGCGCCATGCAGCCGGCGGAACTCGGCCACCTCAGCGAGAGAGGGCCGCCGCCCAGTCCCATATCAAGTGCGGCCATTGCCGCCGACTCGGGAAGAGCAACGATTGGAGAGGGTTATTATAATAATTATTATTATTTTGATTTATTGTCGTGATTTCGAGCAAGTTGTTAACTTTGACGAGGCGCCTAACAGTGGGTAGAGGCTTATGGGGAATCGGGATTGATTTTTTTAGTGGGCCTCGCCCAAGAATAATGGGCCGGGCCTGGAGATCAGCTCAGCTCCCTCTATCTATCTCGTGTCATATTTTGGGCTTGGCCCAGTAATAGTATGATTGGCCCAACAACTGGGCAGAAAAGTCAAAGCCCAATTTAGTTGCCACGTGGTCCCGGAGATTACCCATATCTCCCTCCCTCCCCTCCCTCCCTCTCTTTCTCTCTCTCTCGCGATTGGGGAGAGCTTTTACGATTTTTAATTATATATTTAATGACACACATTTTCGATCGAGTTGTTAAAACTTTGAGGACGCATGCTAACGGTTGGTAGCCTTTGGGGGTTCGGGATTGATTTTTAGTGGGCCTCGCCCAGGAAAAAATGGGTCGGACCCGGAAATCAGCCCATCTCTCTATCTGGATATCATTTTTGAGCCTAGCCCAGGAACAGTCAGCCCAGCAACCGCCTAGAAAAGTCAAAGCGTTTGCTTGCCACGTCGATTCCCCCCGGATTACCGAAATTACCCTCCATCTCTCTCTCTCTCTCCCTCTCTCTCTCTCCTCTCAAGTACGACAACTGGGAGGACGGGATGGAGGAGGGACAGAGGCCAATGGGCTCCGCTGGCTCTCGGCGCGGCGAATGCCGACGGCGTGCCAGACGACTGTTCTGCGAAATGCCCCACACACGGCGGAGCGAGACCCGCCGACATGGCCGGCGCCATACGGGAAACCAACCGGGAGAAGACTATTCGGGCGAACTCCCAACCCAGTCCCAGGTCACGAGAGGATCAGAAATGACGGGCAAATAGTAACCACAGCTGTGACCAGAGAGAGAGAGAGAGAGAGAGAGGTTTGGGCCCTGAATCCGGCTGGAGGAGGAAGAAGACAAGCACGGAGCGGCGCTTGCAGAGGGAGCCGTGGCGCATCGGCCCGCCACGGTGGCCGGCGGGGGCTTCATTATTGAGAGTAATGACAGCAAGAGGGAGGGGCGATCAGAACGTATGTATGGCCATCATACAGAGGCATCAAGAACTCATTATTGAAGCATGCCATGTCGAGGAAGATTACAGAACGATTGCTTGGAGCCAAGATTGAATTATATATAACAATTATACGACGAAGAAGAAGAAGGATAAGGGGGTGCGAGCCCAGGGGGGAGCAGGACAGTAAAAATCACACAAATCGGAGGAACGGGAACGGATCCACTGGTCTATATCGCTCTGGCTTTCCCTTGATCCTTTCGCTCCCACTCTCCGTCCTCCCTGTGCTCCGGGCAAGAGTCTGTGGCATGCCGTGAAGGCCCAAGGTTTTCATTACCATCCTGCCGGCGGCGAAAGAATAGATCGTCTCCGATCGGACAACCCCCGGAAGCGGGGGAAGGGAGAGAGATTGTTAAACTCGAATGGCTCCGATGGTCTCCTCCTCGAAGCGCTTCACGGCGCCGGCAATCCGCTTCATGCTGTCGTCGTAGACGTAGGGGATCTTCTCAAACCAGGTCAGGTTGCCGCCAGCCGGCATCGGCACGAGCTCCCGGCAGGGCTCGCCCAGCACATTAATGGAGTCGTGGTAGTGGTAGTATCTGATCTTCGTCTCCGTCTGGTGAAGCGCCTTCCCGACGACGTTCTCCGACATGTGGACGCCTGTGGCGAAGGCGTTCCGGGCCTGAATGGCGTACTTCCGATCTCTCCTTACTCTGGTAATCGAGTTCCGGAAAACCAGCTTCTCGAACCCCCACTCGCTGCAGATTTCGCAGAGCAAGATGGTCGATGAGGAGACCCAGAAACAGCAGAGCACGGAACACCCAAAGCTTTGGAAGATTATTATATTTCCTCGAAGAATGTCTAGTTTTGTTTGATTGCCGACGGGTAGAAACCTACGAGAGTGACTTCTCCATCGCAAGAGAGTAAAAAAAACGAAAGCTTCATTCCATAGAATACCAAGATCATGTTTTCGCAGGGAGATTATGACGTCGACGGGATTGAGAAGATGATAATTCAGTCGGACAGCGAAAGAAAAATTAAAAAAAGGAAAAAGAAAACCTGAGGAAATCAATAATTAAATTCCCCGCCAACTTTTCGAGCTCGGGAGAGATCTATGCTACCCGGCATTCTGAGTTTTCGATCGATTCTTTTCAGAAACTGACGATCACCTTGAACCACCCATCAGAGCTCAGGAGATCGAACGGGTAACTTCGAGAGCAATCGAAGGAGGAAGAGAGAGCAGAGAAGAGAATCCAAAGAAAAATGAAATCGATCTGGATGCTGGAGCTCACCTAGAATGATTATTGGCCGGATCCTGCACACACAGCTTGCTGGACATGGGGTTCTGCTCGATCGTGAACTGGGTATAGTTCGAAAACTCCGCCAGCACCGATTCCAGAGAGTTGCCATCGGGCAGGTAGATATACTCGTCGACATCGAAGTAGAAGGTCCAATTGGCGGCGTGCCTGTATCTGTGGAGACAGTCGTTCACCACGAGGAACTGATTATAGTAGTAGCCATCATACTCCTCCTGAACTCTGATGTCTTGTACAGTGGCGCGACCCGCTCGCACCCACGGCTCGAGCACCTTCCTCACCTCCGGGCTGACGCCGCCGGCATCGTGGAAGACGAAATGGGAGCTGGGCCCGAAGAAGTAGGCGTGGTAAGCCATCCACTCCCTGATGCGGCTGGCGCTGAGGTTCCCGTAGAGGGAGGATCCGCAGTAGAGGTAGTCGTACTTGAATGGCGGATGAAATCTGGATTTGTCGTAGGAACCGGGGGTTTCCTCCATGGCTAGGAATTTCTCGTACCGGCGGGGGGAGGGGGAGTAGTAGGCGTACAGGAGGAGCTTGCCGCCGAGGTTGTCGGCGTTGGGGACCTGAGAGAAGGTGCAGTTGACGACGACGACGGTGTAGACGCGGCCATAGCCCCAGTCTGGGAGCATCTTGTAGGCCTTGGCCCGGATGGTGGTGGCATTAGGGTTGTTGGAGACCCACTCGCACTTGAACCAGGGCTTGCCGAAGACGTGGGTAGGCTTGGAGGCGAGACCGACGATGGCGAATGTGTTGGAACCCCCGCGGTAAGCGCCCATCTGAACGAAGAGCGCGGCAGCGCTGCCGTAGGGGCGGAGGACCCTCTTGTTGGGGTCCGACGGAGGGGCCGGCTGCAGATTTTGAGAGGGGGAAGGGGGAATGTCGGCGATGGAGGCCGTGAGAGCGGCCGAAAGCTTCTTCTGCGAGATGGGATTTGTCGTGGAAGGGTCGGTGATGGGGCAAGAGCGGGCGGAGAGGAGAGATTCGTAGGGTTGGAGTTGCCAGAAGGCCATGACCAGCGTCAGGGCCACCAGGGTGGCGATGAAGGGCTTCATGTCGAGGCACGAGAACGAGAAGGGAGCAACACCAGCGGCCCCTCCGCCGCCCCCCATAGCGCCGCCCACGCTGCCATCCTTCCTCATTGCGGCCACCCCTTCCTGGCCTCTTTGGAGCAAGCCCTTTCCCTTTCCGCTCCTCTTCCTCCTCCTCCTCCTCCTCCTCCTCCTCCTCCTCCTCCTGCTTCCTGCTGCGCTGCGATGCTTTCCCTCTTGGGCGAGGCAGACCTAGCTGGGGGAGAGACGGAAGCTTTTTAGCTCCTCTGCTGTCTGGGGGTGGCCGTTTCGGTGACGGCCGCTGCGAGATGGAAGCCCCTACTAAGATGCCACTGCGTTTTTCAAGAATCACGGCCGAGCTTCTTCACCGAGCGCCGCCGCGTTGGACAGACGAATCTACCCTCTTATCCTCCCATCTCCCCACCGTCAAAAACAGATCAAAATCACGCTTTTTAAAATCAAGATTCTCTAAACTCCTCTTTTCTGATTGGCCCTCAAAATAAAATATGATTTTTTAATTAAAATTGGTTGCATATTTCTCCTCGAGACACTCCCTCATACGAAGGGCCTCTCTTCTCTGCCAAGTGGCGCTCCACACGACCTCCGCCACCTTCTTCGGCGGCAGAAACTATTCCCCGATAAAACTAGACAGAAAATCAGGCGAGAGGGGCTTATTTATCCGAACGAGGAAAATATAATTCCCAGATAATCCCACGTGCCAGACGTGGCGTGGAACCCCCAGCGCCGCGCGGGGAGAATGTCTGAAGCGGAACTCTCCGCGCCGTCTGGATACTTATTTTAGTCAAGTTTCCTGCTTTTTTTTGCAAAGTCCGCACGTGCCCCAAGTGGGCACATGTGGGCCCGTTGGTGCCATGACGATGCCGATTTTTCAGAGTTAAAAGCGTGCGGGGGAGCCGGTGAAAAGGGGTTTTTTTTTTTACTGGACCACGTCAGCTTTCTGTTTGTGGAAAATCCCCAAAGAATTGTTATCACGTGAAACCACTCGTCAATGCCTCTGCTTAGCCAGGCGATCCCATTAAATGCGAGCCCACGCCACGGGAAGCCGCAGGCGGTGGCGCGGTCCTTGTCCACGGCATTCCATCGAACGCCCTCCAATGGAACCGCATCACCCGCCCGTTCTCTCTCTCTGTGCACCGACGGAGAGAGAGAGGATCGGCAGGGGACTGTGCGGGAGGGGATGGGTGCTTTCAGTAGGCTTCCCACATTCCGGTCTGTGGTAAGCAGGGGAAGACCGCCTTTGACGCCTTTTCTCCGTTTAACGCCTTTTCTTGCAGGCCCCGGCCACTGTCGGACGCGTATTCTTTAAGGCCATGCACCTGGGTCGCGTGACAGCGGCTTGCCACCGTTCTTCTGGACCGCCACGGCCCCTTCGGCGTCGTCTCCACAGTTCCCGCAGGTATCTGAGTTGCTCTCTCGATGCTGTCATCTTCTTAACGATTACCAGACAAGCTAAGAGCTTCCCTGATTCAGTCGCCATGCCTCCCTTCTATAGCTATCTATCCATCCGTGCGAACGGCGCCGGCGCGCGCGGTCCGACGGATCACCCCGCCGGCGTGGTCCAGCGTTAATTTATAGCGTCTGCCAGTTTCGGAGAAGCCCGTTTACACCCCCCCGCCCACCGGATGACGGTAGCTGGATCTCTCCTGTCAGTCCCTTTATTGCGTGCGCCATCCCGCGTACTCGGGTTATGTATGGCAATAGGCGAGGCATTCCGTCGAAGAGATCCCGCGTCAACCTCCGAAGAAGGAAAAACCCGGGAAAAGAAAGCTCGTGCAAGCCCCATCCGAGGGAGACTTTCCCGAGCTTCGCCGTCGGTGGTGGGGTGGTGGGAGGGTCGCCGTCTACAACAACCCGAGGCGTCGTCGTCAACCTCCGTCCGTCTACGGCACACCAGTAACACCGACCATCCACAGCCATGGCGGCGAGTCGCTCATGGTGGGGGGGGTGGGGGGGGACGTGGAGACGGGAACCCGGCAACCCCCACGCAGTGCCAGCTTCAGATTCTGGATCCCTGTCGTGGCCCCAAATCGTTGCGACGCCATCAATCCGTTGGCGAGGGATTGCGCGGGGGCCCTGACGGTGGCGGCTACTTGGACTTCCCCTCTCTCTCTCTCTGTCTCTCTTGTTGTGTTCGTGGTTGGCAGAATCTTGGCGTATGTGAATTATCATAGCGGGGATCGGCTGTTGATAGGCGGACGCCAGTCGGATGGGAAGGGGGCATTTGAATCTCCCGAGCCCACATTTGGCCCGGGTGTGGCTGTAATTCATCCACCAACCGGCACGTGTCGGTTGCAGAGCTATACGTTTCGCAGGCCGCCGGCGCTCTCTCTCTCTCTCTCTCTCTCTTGCTTGGGGAGATGGGGAGGTGGGGAGATGGGGAGATGAAAACGGAGGGCGGTGAGACAGAGACCCGCACTAGCCAGAAAGGTTTGTGCGTGGGCTGGGCCTTTAGAAGGCCCATATAACCCACATTCTTTATCCAAGTGAGGTTCAGTCCAGACCTTCGTGCCCCGTAAAGGCCCATTTAAAAGTACAGGCCCATGAGAAGATGTGATGGGTCGGGGCCCGTCCACATTATACTTGGGCCCACCTTAGGAACGTCCCCGACGTGCAAATTCTCCTCGCACGTACGTACATATATGTCTGTGCGTAGAGAAAAAGAGATGTGTACGGGAAGGGAGAGAGAGAGAGAGAGTTAACGCGGGGTTTCCTGGTGGGCCAACTGGAAAAGACGGGTGTATTAGTTTTCCGTCATAATCATTTATTGGGCCCAGCCCAATAGCCCAACGCCCGTACCAAGGGGGCAGAGAGAGAGAGAGGACGAGGCCGTACGTCCCTCCATCACTCCCCTCACATGTTGGGGCCTGCCATGGCGGCGCTTCGTAATCCGGCATAAACCTTTAGAGAGCCTTTACGGAGGCTAGGATCGTACGTCTTGGCCATCTTTGACTGTGGTGCCCTAATTTCAGTTCCTGTCGTCTTGCTCGTCGTGCTGCTCCTCTTCGGGGAATCTCGACGGCCAAATTGTCCCTGTCCCCGCAAATCCACATGCCCTGGTCGACGGACCCTTTGACGGTGATGAAATGAGCACGTACCGCCGACGGGCATGTGGAATCCAGCTCGGCGGTGGCGGAATAGACTCGCCGACGGGACCCGGTCCACCTACCGCCGCCTCCCCAAACCCAACGTGGGCTGTCCCCCCCTTCCGAATTCGTCATCCCCGAAGAACAAGAAACAGTCAACCAATCGGTGAAAGTCTCTGTGTGATTCCGTCAAGGAGTATTTTCCTGATGCACTCCTCTTATTATACAGAGTCGGCGAAAGCCCACGGTTCCATTGCTATGCCAGGAAACTGATCTCGAACAAGGGCCAACAACGACGGAGGTAGAGAGAGAGAGAGAGAGGGGGGGGTTGGTTTGAGAGAGGCAGCCAAGAGAGATGAATAGTGGCCCCGGAGACAACTTCTCCCATTGGTGACGTACCTGTCGGCAATGGTGCTAGTCGCCGTCGTGGACTTATTCAACGAGCGGGGGAGAGAGGGCCCAGCGGCGGCGGTTCAACAACCACCTGGTCTTTTCAGAGAAGTAAGCCTCTCCGCCACCTCGACGTCCGCTTTCCTGTCGCGGTCACTCGGAGGAATTCGGGTTCTTCCGGGTGGGGAAGATAACCAGGACGGTGAGAGACCGGCGGGGCTACATCGTGCCGACGCCGAGGGTCTCCCACTTGAACGGCGCAACGGAGCCGAGCTCCGGAGCGCCCCTGAGGAAGAGGCAGACGCATACGCAGACCGCTGCGATGGCCAGCATGGAGTGGACATAGGGGCGCTGCAGCAGCCCCTGTGGGCGGAGGGTTGACCTGATCCGCACCCGCTCCCCCATCGCGCACCGCGCGCACGACGAGGACCGAGCGGCGGCCGGCGGCTTTCCCACCTCCATCGCCGCCCAGGACCTCGCCGGAGCAGCACCTTCCCCGTTGACTATCGTTATCGACACCTGGGCATTTCGTCTGTCGGCGATCTTCACGGCCACCAACCTGTTGTACGCGTGGTTGTTCCTCATCGCTGCGTAGCCGTGAGGGGACTCCCCGTTGTCGTCAACCGAGGAAGCCCAGCAGGTCAACCCCTTCTGTTTGCCACAGACGGAAACCCGCCATTAAAACACGGAAACCACAGGGAGATGGAGTGGAGTGGGGTGAAGTGGAGTGGGGTTCACCTCCTGGGGATCATCGGTGAGGGCATCGACGATGTCCGCCGAGTCCTGCATGGACGCCGCCAGATGGAGAGGGCTGAGGCCGCCGGGGCCTTTGAGATCGGGAGGGAAGAGGAAGAACCTCTTGCCGTCGGTTGCGCCGTCGACGGAGTAGTGCAGGAGCAGGTCGACCATCTTGCGGCACTTCCTCTTCACCGCCCGGTGCAGAAGCTGGATCTCAGAGAGCATCTCCAGGGACTGCTGGATGGCTCCGTCATCGCCGCGGCATTTCTCGACGAGGATGTCCAGGAGCTTTCCGACTGTGGCGGAGAAGTCCCGCTCGACGGAGAACACGAAGAGGAACTTGAACCTCGAGCTCGAGAAATCTCCCAAGCGAGGGGGGCAGGACTGGCGCCTCTGAAAGAGCCACCCGAGCTCGTTGAGAAAGTGGAGGCAATCTTCCCTCGATCTGGGTCGCGCCTCCGCGTCGGTTCTGAGATCAACTTCGACGTCTGGTTCCAGGAGTCTCAGCTCTCTGCAGATCGTCCCGTCTGCGATGATGAGAGGAAAGTTGTTCCCCTTCAAACCATTCTCCACCTAGAAATCATAAGAACAAGCATTCAGAATGAGAATCATCCACAAACTCCGACGGGTCCAGTCGACTGAAATGCCGCCCACCTCTATGAAGCAGCGGCCGAACACATTGGGAGACCCCCCTGGGAAGCTGAAGCTCTCCACGCCGGAGTCATCACAGACTGTTGCACTAGGGGAATGTGAAGACGCGAGCTCCTTGGAAGAGTAGCCGCCCATGAAAGTACAGTGGACCCTACGACGGCCACAACACCTTGATCAGCCGCGAGGAATTCGATATCACAGCGAGCCAGCAGACTTCTCACCTGGTTCCTGGGGAAGTCAGATTGCGGCCTCTCAGGACGACGGAGGTTTCTTCTCCGCCCACCACCGCCAGCGGCGAGACGCATATCAACTCTGGCGCGCTCCAACTTCTCCATGACTTGGACAGGTGGATCTTCCCTGGAAATCACCCAAAAACTAGACCATCACTCTCCCTCGACACATTCTTCCCTGCGGATCGCAATCTCCGATTCTACGGATGCCCACAAAAACTAGAAAACCAACTAGCAATCATCGAGAGAGGAAAGATAAGATACCGTCTTTGTGTGATGCAAGCTGCCTATCGGTGTGAACCAGAAATCTCCCGGTTTTCCATAAATCGGAGTCACCGCGTTGGACGAGCGCCGAGACTCTCTGAAGAAACTCTTCGTGAAGCTGCAAGACAGAGGCGTATCCGTGAGAAAAATCCTTCATTTATTTAAGCGGCAATTTTAACGCGCAAAAACAGGAACCCACTTCCTCCCATGCGAATGACGGCATTGCCAGATAGATGGATAGAACCACACAGCCTGGTCGAATGTAGCTCTCGATCTCTGATGGGCTGTGCGAAAGCCAGGCTAATATCTGTAAAAAAAGCATGAAGAAGATTCACGTAATCGATTTAAACACCCAGATTGAAATCAACCCTCCTAACGAATCAATCCCTTCCGTTCTACCAACCTCGGTTCGAAGGCTCGGTGGGAAATTACTGGGGTCCTTGTCGAAAAGCTTAAAAATGATTCGTCCAGTCCGATCCTGTGGATAAGTCAACGGGATCTCAGGAAAAGGGAGATGGAAGTCGGGCTCAACAACCTCGGGCGAACCAAATCACCAGGAGATAGAAATCAACGAACACAGTTTACCTGGACATCAGAATGCGAACTTGACGGCGAGTGATCGGAGCCAGACGAAGAGGAGGTGTACCCAGCTTGATGCGGGAGGGTCGAAATGGCGCGGCTTCCGACCCTTCTCTCTGCATCCTTGAAGCGTTCTAAAGGTACCCTCCAGTCTCTATTGGCGACTGCATCCACAGTTCCATTGTTTTCCCGGCAGGTAGATGTGCCAACAAGTCTCAGAGCCTCTGTTCCTGACTGCAACGGGAAGAGCCTCCTTTCAATAGGAGGAGACGACGAATGAGATCCGTCTTCCATGGGGTTACTGCTCTCAGATGAGAGATATCTCCGGCATGATCCTATCTTCGGTGGGCTGTCCTCCTCCGTGGAGCTAAACAGCTGCAACTGCAAACTAGGACGGGCTTCCTCAACCGGATGCTCCGCGACATCTGTCGATGGGCGAGGAGCGACACTCCTCGTGTCAACAGAAATCGGAGAAAATCTCGGTATCTTGCTCTGTGAGTTCACATCAGCGGCGCGCTCTAAGGAATTTATCTTCGTTTTGTCATCGGCACTGCCGTCACTGCTCCCTTGAGATAACGCAGCAGCCTTGTTAGCCCCAGAAGCCTTCAATGCCGCAGAAAGAACTGCAAGCAGATCCATGGCCGAGGCATCCGTATTCGGATGGTGTTCTATGTCTTCAGAGGCCTGTGAAACATTGAGATCAAAACCTCCCGTTTTGGGCACCGTGGCAGAGGAATTCAGGCCGGGAAGTGCGTTGATTTTATTAAGAATGTGGACGATCCCGTCTTTATCAGGCAAAGAAGAGTTGCCGTTCAGTTCTCCGCAGCGCCCTGTGACAGCAAACCCAGCCGATAAACAACCAACGATCGAAGAATTCCCAAACACAGAGTCTGATGGGAAGGAAGAAGGAGCCCATTTCACCTTGCAAGCGGGCCAAGATGGCCAGCAGATTGACGATATCCAGATTCCCGCCGCCTGTGTTCGCCCGATTTGGAGGAAGCAGCAGCCGAGAGGAAGCATCCTCAGCCTGCGTCTTCCTTCTCCGTCGATTATGGCCCGCCAGCCTCCGCCTGCAACTTCTCTTCCCCTCGTCGAACTCGGAGAGCAGATGGAATCTAAGAGAAAAAAGGACCGAGTAACTGTCCAGAACGAGGAAAAGAAAGAAATACGCCACTCCAAGCTCCACAGTGTTCGAAAACTGGAAAGAAATTTGAAGGAAAATTACGCCTACCTACTACACTGTTGGCAGAATCTCTGCATCTGGTTGCCCACCATAGCCTTGGTAGTCTTGCTATGAACCTCGCAGACCTTGTGTCTCCTGTGGTAATCCTTGGCATTCGACAGGTCGGTTTTACAGTCATCAACCTGGCAGGTGGGGTAGTTTCCCACGTTGCCTGGGGAACCCGACCGGACCCGTTTGTTCGGCCTCACCGCCGGTTCTTCCGTCGCATAAGAACGCCCACCGAGCTTCAAGGTGAGGCTCTCCTCCTCTTCCGGAGGAGCAACTGAAGTCACGTCCTGGACACTCTCCTCTCCGTTCTTCTTCTGCTGCTGATCCATCTCTGAAATCTTCGAAGGGGTTGCAAGCCGGAGAGCCCCTTCCGATGCATCAGAAGCAGGCCTGGCGATAAACGCGGTGCTATCCCAAGCCCAGCTCTTTGGGTTCCAGTTACTCTGAACATTTGGGTATCCAGAGCTCATCAACCGCTGCTGGCTCTGCGGCGGCGACTGCTGGTTGACATTGGGGCCTTGCCATGACAAATCCCTCTTCCTTGCCAAGGCGGGCACCTCATGGAAGCGCCCCGGGAGCCCCTGGTGGAGGAAAATGGGAGAAGCGACCTGCGCGCTCACCTCTCCATCCATTTCCCTTTCTGGTACAGCAATCGAAACCCCCCAAAACCACTCCTCTCGCCTTTAATCCGCCGCCTAATCCTGCTCAGAGAATGGAAAAACCATGAAAAATCGGAAGAGAAGCACAGTGAAGAGAAGGGCGACGCCGCCTATCGGTGCCCCCCCTGGCGGAGCAAAATCGACGCTCACAGGTCAACGTCGCAACACGGATTTCTGTGAAAACCCGGGTGGCGAATCACCCGACGATCGCAAAGCCGAGGGGACATTCTCTCTCACCTTAGCCGTTCGCTTGCCGTCGTCTCTCCATTTCCCCCTGTCTTCGGCTCGGTCCGAACCACAACGCCTCCGACTACACACAGATCGATAAAAGGCAGGATTGTCACAAAATTAGAGCGCCACCGCCAAACAACAGGCCGCTGGAGCCGCCGTCGGGAATCGCCCTCCTGCGCCTCCTAGCCCGATCAAATCCCAACCTCCTCCAGCAGCGATCATAGATTTCAGCACGCAGATCTGAAACCGGGAGAGGACGGTCGAAGGAGACGATGTACCCAGCCCACTTGAGGCGACGAGAGGACGAGAAAAAAGTGGCCTTTTGGGGCTCCACTCTCCCTCTTCACGGCTGATGGCATCCCCGTAAAACCCACCAAAACTAGCCCCCCTTCTGCTCACCTCCCCGCCGCCCTCGTCCCAAGCAAAAAAGCATCGCACTCTGCCAGGGAAGGAGCGCCGAAGCCCCAACAATTATTTCTCTCTGAAGGCAATCACGGAGGAGAATTTCCTCTCTCCTCACTCTTCTCTCTCTCTCTCTGCTATGTAGGACAGAGTGAGGAGAGATACAGACTGAGAGGGAGAGAGAGAGGGGGCTCAACCCTTTCTTCTTTATAGCATGCCGATCGCGCTGGGTTCAGCTGAGCGGTGCCCAGACCTCGAGTACCCATTGCGTACGCCGGCGGGGTGACTTTTCAGAAACAACCCTGTAAAATCACCGTATCTCTGGCATATCTCTGAGATATGTTCTCGTCCAAGCGAGGACTCGGGAAAAAACGGTAGGGTGGAGAGTTTTACGGATCTTGTCGAATCCCGTTCCTCGTTGCTATCCAGCACGATCGTGGTAAAACGGATTCCCCCCGACGAGTGACTCGGATGCCACGTAGGGAGGCCTGGAACAGATCCCTAGGCAGTTCGCCCACTTCTGAGCGGTTAACGTTCAGGCCCGTTGCTTACGTTCCCCCCCCCCCCCCGGGAGATCCGCTATCAACGAGACGTAAGCTGACGTGGGTCGGTTGCGTCTGCGACGGCGCTGCGGGGGCCCGCCGCGAAACGCCTGGCCCGAACTTGGACATGCTCTTGAAAGCGGGGGCCTATGAAACCCACTCACTCTCATTAATCTATAGTCTTCTTTCCATCAGGCGGTCCGGGTTGTCTCGGGGTGCCGGTCCGGCCCATTAATCAGTCGGACCGGCGCTGAGAGGTCGGAGTACGCGTGGCATGGCAGCTGGTCTGATCCTGTCCAAATAGATTTTTTTTCTTTTGGTCGTACCGTCGACCCGGTGGGCTTCCACAGTACCACCGGAACAAAGGCTATTGGGCTTGTATGTTTGGGCCGGAGGTAGAACAATAGCCGTATGTAACTAATGGGCCCGGAACGGGGTAATGGGCCATTGGTGAGTGGATGGCGGCGGGTCATCGGTTTAAATACGCAGGGAGGTCTTCCACTGTGAGGCGGTTTGTTATGATGTTTTCGATGGGTTACTAGGGTTTTTGCAGGAGAGCGAGGCTACCGCGATTTCGCCTCGCCGGAGATCAATAAATCTCCCCCTCACACTAGTCGTTAGCTCAGTTTCCCGCCTCTGCTGGTCGACGCCCGGGAGGGATTGCCGTCATCTGCTTCGAGCCTGACAAGGTTTTTCTTCTGTTTCACTTGTCTTGTTCATTTTTTCCAATGCCTAACTCCTGTTGGATTTAGGGAACTTGGGATAATTTAGGTTTTCAGCGTTTCCTCTAGCTAACGCCCTTTCTCTGAGGGAAGGAATTTCAGTGGTAATTCCGTTGAGGCTTTCATATCGCTTTGTATGTTCCTGGGGTTGTCTTGAACGGAGAAGGATCTACCACACAGCTTGTCCGCAGTCGCCGCTGCTGTTTACAGCCATCGCCACTGCCTTGTGTTTTTTTAATCGTCTGGGTTCCTGCGTGGATTATTTCCTGCGGGGAGTGAACTCGCGAGACTGAACTTGTTTGGGATTTTGTTTCCCTCTTTAAGTACGCGTTGTTGAGTTTTTGCTTTCTTTCTTGTGTTGCCTTCTAAGATCGCGGGTTGCACCGGGAAAGACCCTTCAACACGAGACCTCACCCAAGTGACCTTCAACTCACTGATTCCTGTTGATCATCTGAAACCATGGCGCATCTAGGGGGTGGTGCTGAGGCTCATGCCAGATTTAAACAGTACGAGTACCGTGCAAACTCCAGCCTTGTCCTTACGACAGACTCTCGTCCACGTGATACCCATGAGCCAACCGGCGAGCCCGAATCTCTCTGGGGGAAAATCGACCCTAAGCACTTTGGTGACCGGGCCTATCGTGGTAAGCCTCCTGAGCTCGAGGAAAAACTTAAAAAGTCGAAGAAGAAGAAGGAAAGAGAGCCAGGAGTCGCCTCGGAGAAGCGGAGGGACAGTAAACGTAGACGCTTGCAGGAGGAGAGTGTTCTTTCCCTTGCGGAGGAAGGCATGTACCAGCCCAAGACGAAGGAAACACGTGCGGCCTATGAGGCCCTTCTGAGTGTGATCCAACAGCAGTTTGGTGGGCAGCCCCAGGATATTCTTAGTGGTGCAGCAGATGAGGTGCTTTCCGTTTTGAAGAATGATAAGCTTAAGAATCCTGACAAAAGGAAGGAGATAGAAAAACTCTTGAACACCATTACAAACAAGGCCTTTGATCAACTTGTCTCAATTGCTCGTCTCATCACAGACTATCAGGATGGGGGTGAGACAACGGCTTCGGCAGGTGCAGATGGAAAGGACGAGGATTTGGATGACGTTGGCGTTGCAGTTGAGTTTGAGGAAGAGGAAGACGAAGAGGAAAGCGACTACGATCAGGTATATTAATTGCCTAGACATTGAATATTTCAAGCATAGGCTCAATTGTTGACTAAAAGTGTTTTCGTTCATCAGGTTCAGGAGGAGTCTGAGGATGAGGATGAAGGCCAGGAATCCAATGGTGCTGGGGCTATGCAGATGGGTGGAATAGATGACGAAGACATGGAAGAAGCTAATGAAGGCTTGGCCATAAACGTTCAAGATATTGATGCATATTGGCTTCAGAGGAGGATTTCTCAAGCATTTCAAGGGATTGATCCTGAGCAAAGCCAGAAACTTGCTGAGGAGGTGCTTAAAATTATCGCCGAAGGGGAGGACAAGGACGTGGAAAACCAGCTTGTGATGTTGCTGGATTTTGACAAATTTGATCTGATTAAATTGCTACTTAGGAATAGGCTAAAGATAGTGTGGTGTACCCGTCTGGCAAGAGCTGAGGACCAAGATCAAAGGAAAAAAATCGAGGAGGAAATGATCTCTCTGGGTCCAAGCCTGTCTGCAATTGTGGAGCAGTTGCATGCTACGAGAGCATCTGCAAAGGAGCGTCAAAAAAACTTGGAGAAAGTTATTAGAGAGGAGGCAAGAAGATTGAAAGATGAACATGGTGGTGATGACAGTGAGAGGGATCGTAGGACTGTTGATAGAGAGGTGGAAAGTGGGTGGTTAAAGGGGCAGCGCCAATTGCTCGATCTTGAAAGCATTGCTTTCCACCAGGGTGGTCTTTTAATGGCGAATAAGAAATGTGAGCTGCCTCCAGGTTCTTATCGTACTCCTCATAAGGGTTATGAGGAGGTCCACGTGCCAGCTTTGAAGGCCAAACCATTGGAAGATAGTGAAAAGCCCATAAAGATATCAGAGATGCCTGACTGGGCACAGCCAGCATTTGAAGGGATGAAACAGCTGAACAGAGTTCAAAGTCGAGTCTATGAAGTTGCACTGAAAAAGCCGGATAATATTCTTCTATGTGCACCGACTGGTGCTGGAAAAACAAATGTTGCTATGCTGGCTATTCTTCAGACTATTGCTCTTCATAGGGTCGAGAATCCGGATGGATCATTTGACCACAGTGGGTACAAGATTGTATATGTAGCACCAATGAAAGCACTGGTTGCTGAGGTTGTTGGGAACTTGTCAAACCGACTGAAGTCTTACAATCTTGTTGTGAGAGAACTTAGTGGAGACCAGACTCTAACCCGTCAACAGATTGAAGAAACTCAAATCATTGTCACAACACCTGAGAAATGGGATATCGTCACTAGAAAATCAGGGGACAGAACTTATACACAGTTGGTGAAGCTTCTGATTATTGATGAGATCCATCTTCTTCATGATAATAGAGGACCTGTCCTGGAAAGTATTGTTGCGAGGACTGTCAGGCAGATAGAGACAACAAAAGAGCATATCCGATTAGTTGGTTTGTCAGCCACTCTCCCAAATTATGAAGATGTGGCATTGTTTCTCCGAGTTCATAGCAAGAAAGGTGATGATGATAAGAAAGATAAGAAGGTGCAGGGACTCTTCTATTTTGACAATAGCTATAGGCCCGTTCCTCTGGCCCAACAATATATTGGGATAACAGTTAAGAAGCCTTTACAGCGGTTCCAGTTAATGAATGATATATGTTATGAGAAGGTCATGGATGTGGCTGGGAAGCATCAAGTTCTTATTTTCGTGCACTCAAGGAAAGAAACAGCTAAAACTGCTCGTGCAATACGTGACACAGCAATAGCTAAGGACACCTTAAGTCGGTTTCTAAAGGATGATAGTGCCAGTCGTGAGATCCTTCAGAGTCAGACAGACCTCGTTAAGAACACTGATCTGAAGGACCTCTTGCCATACGGATTTGCAATTCATCATGCAGGAATGGCAAGGGTGGACCGAGATCTTGTGGAAGCACTTTTTGCTGAAGGCCATGCACAAGTGTTGGTATCCACAGCCACTCTTGCATGGGGGGTTAATTTGCCGGCACATACAGTGATCATCAAAGGCACTCAGATTTATAATCCAGAGAAAGGAGCTTGGACAGAGCTCAGTCCCTTGGATGTCATGCAGATGCTTGGTCGTGCAGGAAGACCTCAGTATGATTCTTATGGAGAGGGAATAATACTGACTGGCCACAGTGAATTACAGTATTATCTTTCTCTTATGAATCAGCAACTTCCTATTGAAAGCCAGTTTGTGTCCAAGTTGGCTGATCAGTTAAATGCAGAGATTGTTCTCGGAACTGTTCAGAATGCAAGAGAGGCCTGCCATTGGCTCGGGTACACTTACTTGTACATTCGTATGCTTCGAAATCCAACACTCTATGGTGTAGCAGCTGACGTTCTTGAGAAAGACCCATACCTTGAGGAGCGACGGGCTGATCTGGTATGCTATTAGACTTGTCCTAGATTTTTGGTGCGCATGTAGAAATTAAGTATAAATGCATGCTATTATGATCATCTGAGTTTTCGTTCTTGAAATTGTTTGTATATCATTTTGATGATGAGAAATTCTCATCTACCAGTCACAGAATAAAATGGTTTCAAATGCTATTATAAATGTTTGTTCTGTGTGTCTTTTATATTTTCTGAGGTTTCTCTTATTCACTACTGATGCATGTTATATATATTGCCTTCTTGTCTGGCTTCAAATGGTCGACTAGGTTTTGTGGTCGCTTTTATTATTTTACCATTCAGATTTTTATTTTACCGAACACGTCTGTTTTTTTTTAATACTTATGTTCTTCTCAATTTATAGACGTAGAATCCATATCTTTGGAGTTTTCAATAAATTCGAGTTTTTGTTTTAATCATTATTAAGTGGGAAGGAGAAATAACCCTACCTCTTATTACTGCGAAGATTTTTTTCCTGAGTTTTCTAGTTGCCTCTTTCGCATTTGCAAACTAATCTGAAGAATTTTTTTACTACAGTGCGGAAAAGGATAGTGTTTGGGGTTGTAACAGGATTCAAGTTAATAATGAATCCTGTTACAACCCTCCCTCCCTTCATCCCTCGCTCACTTACTCGAACTAGTAAACGACCCTATTCTTAAAATGTTTCCTATAGTTCTCATGGATGTCAGAAGCGAATTATTGAGCTTAAATTCAGTAAACTAGTGAGGCCTTTGAGAATGTTGCTTCCACGTTTTTACTATATTTATTCACTTTCAGATATTCGATCTAATTCTAGTTGGGTAAGGTGGATGTCCGTTCTTTCATGGAGTTGCTTGTTTTTCTGATGGGTGAATGCTTGCTTTATTATTTTGTTCTTATTCCTGTGGCAGATGAGAGCGTTATCTGTCTGCTTTTGAGCTATTGTCTGTCATGCAGAAGGCACATTCATCTTGAGCTTCTTATAGATGTGGGAATTAGTTAGACATGTAAATAGATTTTGTTTTTTTTTTTTTGCTAACGGATGCATCGAAATGGAAATTCCGGAAGCCGAAATTTGGAAAAAATTCGCACCTATGATATATGTGGTTTGTAATCATTTTGGAGTAAAATATAACACCAACATGAAGCTTGATCGTACTATTGAGTGTGCTGTATTCATGTCTCCTATTGTATCATTCATAGGACCTCATGTCTTCCCTCTGTGGCTTTTAGTATGCGTTCAGTCCCTTGCCTGAATACATGTGCGTATTTCTTTTCTCTTTCTTTTCTCGAGTTAGAAATGCTAGTGAACTGCGATTTAAAGATTTGAGAGAGGGATACATTAGATTCCTAGTCTAAACTTGTGATTCAGACGTCATCATTACTTTGCTATTTTCTCTATTTTCTTATTTGATAGTCGTTATCCCACTGTTCCTTTGAGCGATTTCATTAGGAAACAGTCTTCTTGGACTTGTCATCTGAACAATGTATTGTCAGCTTTTATGCATGCCTGCGATCGAGGTCCACCTATTTCCAGATCCCTCATTGTATCAGGAGTTTTAATCTCTGTGCAGCCGAGAAAGATCTGGAATTGTAGACTTGAGATTCTACTTGGTTGTCTACTTGTCTGTATCTTCATGTTCATAAAATAATTTAGAAGATCACAACAGTGACACCAGTTTATTGCAGATGCCTCTGTACTAGTGTGATGTAAATCTAACGCCGATATTTTTTTTCTTACAGATTCACTCTGCTGCTTCTATCTTAGACAAGAATAATTTGATAAAGTATGATCGCAAAGGCGGTTACTTTCAGGTGACCGATCTGGGTAGGATTGCAAGTTTCTATTACATTACTCACGGAACAATATCTACATACAACGAGCATCTGAAACCGACAATGGGAGATATCGAGCTCTGTCGACTGTTTTCACTCAGTGAAGAGTTCAAGTACGTGATGGTAAGGCAAGATGAGAAGATGGAAATGGCAAAGCTCTTGGATCGTGTGCCTATTCCCGTGAAAGAAAGTTTAGAAGAGCCTAGTGCGAAGATCAATGTTCTTCTGCAGGCATACATTTCAAAGCTGAAACTTGAAGGACTGTCGTTGACATCTGATATGGTTTTCATCACTCAGGTCCTCTTCTTTCTTCTTCCTTCCTCTTCCTTCCTCTCCCCCCAAAAAAGAAAATAAATAAATAAATCAGAGTCGTAGGCTCATTTATTTTCTTGTTTTCTTGCAGAGTGCGGGGCGTCTCTTGCGAGCGCTTTTTGAGATTGTGCTGAAAAGGGGTTGGGCTCAGTTAGCTGAGAAGGCTTTGAATCTATGCAAGATGGTCAATAAGAGGATGTGGACTGTCCAGACGCCGCTCCGCCAGTTCCATGGAATACCCAATGAAATCTTGATGAAACTGGAGAAGAAGGATTTGTCCTGGGAGAGATATTATGACCTTTCTTCCCAGGAAATTGGAGAGCTCATCCGTTATCCCAAGATGGGAAGACAACTTCACAAGAACATTCATCAGTTACCGAAGCTCAACCTTGCCGCCCATGTTCAGCCAATCACCCGCACCATCCTGAGCTTTGAGCTGACCATCACGCCGGATTTCCAGTGGGATGATAAGGTTCATGGGTACGTCGAGCCATTCTGGATCATTGTCGAAGACAACGATGGCGAGTATGTGCTTCATCACGAGTATTTTCTGTTGAAGAAGCAATTCATCGAGGAAGATCACACCGTGAACTTCACCGTGCCGATTTATGAACCGCTGCCTCCTCAGTACTTCATTTGTGTGATATCTGACAAGTGGCTGGGATCGCAGACCGTTCTACCCGTGTGTTTCAGGCATCTGATACTACCGGAGAAGTACCCTCCTCCCACAGAACTCCTGGATTTGCAACCTCTCCCAGTGACTGCGTTGAGAAATCCATCCTATGAATCCCTGTATGAGAAGGACTTCAAGCATTTTAACCCGATACAGACGCAGGTCTTCACCGTCCTGTACAACTCAGACGACAACGTGCTGGTTGCTGCTCCGACTGGCAGTGGGAAGACGATCTGCGCAGAATTCGCCCTGATGCGGAACCATCAGAAGGGGCCCGAGAACATGCGTGCGGTCTACATTGCTCCCATGGATGCTCTCGCCAAGGAGAGGTACCAAGACTGGCAGCTGAAGTTCGGGCAGGGCCTCGATCTGCGCGTGGTGGAGTTGACCGGAGAGACGGCGACCGACCTGAAACTACTGGACAAGAGTCAGATCATCATCAGCACCCCCGAGAAGTGGGACGCCCTGTCCCGCCGGTGGAAGAAACTCAAGCTCATCCAGCAGGTCAGCCTCTTCATCGTCGACGAGCTCCATCTGATCGGCGGGCAGGTTGGCCCCATCCTGGAGATCATCGTCTCGAGGATGAGGCGCATCTCGAGCCAGACCGGGCAGATCCGCATAGTGGCCCTCTCGGCCTCGCTCGCCAACGCCAAGGATCTGGGCGACTGGATCGGCGCCACCTCCCACGGGCTCTTCAATTTCCCCCCCGGAGTGCGGCCTGTGCCGCTTGAGATCCACATCCAAGGGGTCGACATAGCCAACTTCGAGGCCCGCATGCAGGCGATGACCAAGCCCACCTACACCGCCATCGTCCAGCACGCCAAGAACGGCAAGCCCGCGCTGGTGTTCGTGCCCACGAGGAAGCACGCGAGGCTGACGGCGATCGACCTGGTCACATACTCCACCGTGGAGAGCCCCTCGAAGCCCCCCTTCCTCCACCGGCCCGAGGAGGAGCTGGAGCCTTTCCTGTCCGGGGTCAAGGAGCCGACGCTGAGCGCCACGCTCCGGCACGGCGTGGCCTATCTGCACGAAGGGCTCAGCCAGATGGACCAGGAGGTGGTGCTACAGCTGTTCCAGGCCGGGTGGATCCAGGTGTGCGTGGCAAGCGGCTCGCTCTGCTGGGGGACGCCGCTATCCGCCCACCTGGTCGTCGTCATGGGCACCCAGTACTACGACGGCCACGAGAACGCCCACACCGACTACCCCATCACCGACCTGCTGCAGATGATGGGGCGGGCCAGCCGCCCCCTGGTGGACTCCTCCGGCAAGTGCGTCATCCTCTGCCACGCCCCTCGCAAGGAGTACTACAAGAAGTTCCTCTACGAGGCCTTCCCCGTGGAGAGCCACCTGCATCACTACCTCCACGACCATCTCAACGCCGAGATCGTGGTGGAGGAGGTCCTCACCAAGCAGGACGCGGTGGACTACGTCACCTGGACCTTCATGTACCGGAGGCTGACCAAGAACCCTAACTACTACAACCTCCAGGGGGTCAGCCACAGGCACCTCTCGGACCACCTCTCCGAGCTCATAGAGAACACCCTGAGCGACCTGGAGGCCAGCAAGTGCGTCGCCATCGAAGAAGACATGTACCTCTCTGCGCGCAACCTCGGCATGATCGCGTCTTACTACTACATCAGCTACACCACCATCGAGCGCTTCAGCTCGTCGTTGACCCAGAAGACGAAGATGAAAGGGCTCTTAGAGATCCTGGCCTCGGCCTCGGAGTACGCCCACCTGCCGATCCGCCCTGGGGAGGAGGAGTCCATAAGGAGGCTGATCAACCACCAGAGGTTCCCCTTCGAGAACACCAAGTTCACCGACCCTCACGTGAAGGCGAACGCCCTGCTGCAGGCCCACTTCTCCAGGCACACCGTGATGGGAAACCTCGCCGCCGACCAGCAGGAGGTGCTCCACTCGGCGCACCGGCTGCTCCGCGCCATGGTGGACGTGATCTCCAGCAACGGCTGGCTCGGGCTCGCCATCACGGCCATGGAGCTGAGCCAGATGGTGACGCAGGGCATGTGGGACCGCGACCCCCTGCTCCTGCAGCTCCCCCACTTCACCAGGGAGCTGGCCAAGCGGTGCAAGGAGAACCCCAGCGGGAGGAGCGTGGAGATGGTGTTCGAGCTGATGGAGATGGAGGACGCCGAGCGCCGCGATCTGCTGCAGATGTCTGAACCCGAGCTACGCGACATAGCCCGCTTCTGCAACCGCTATCCCAACATCGACATGACCTACGAGGTTGTCAGGGAGGACGACGTCGCCGCCGGCGGCGTGGTCACCCTGCAGGTGACCCTGGAGAGGGACCTCGAGGGCCGCGCCGAGGTGGGGCCGGTGTACGCGCCTCGCTTCCCCAACGCCAAGGAGGAGGGTTGGTGGCTTGTGGTGGGCGACGCCGCCAGCAATCAGCTGCTCGCCATCAAGCGGCTCGTTCTGCAGAGGAGGTCCAAGGTGGAGCTCAACTTCGACGCCCCTTCGGAGCCCGGGAAGAAGTCGTACATGATCTACTTCATGTGCGACTCCTACCTCGGCTGCGACCAGGAGTACGAGTTCCAGGTGGACGTCAGGGAGGCCACCGCGGAGGGTGACAGGGACATGGAGGAGTAAGCCAGCTCTTTTGGGCCAATTCTTCCTCTCCTTCCTGTCTATTCGTGGTTGCTAGCCAGATAGATATCTTATGCTTCCAGCTGGTTAATCATTCCTCAACAGACAGACAAACTGAGTGTGTTTCCATAGCCAGTTCCATGAGCTAGTTAACACCTTCCAATCTCAACATTCCCTTGCGTTTATACGTCAGGAAGAACAACGAGTTGGCGATTATAGACTGTACGATGGAGAGAGAGAGAGAGAGGACCCGGCTTTGGATGGCTACCCGGGCGCTTCTGGAATTCTGGGTTCTGCACGTTGTTAGCGTGAGGAGGGTCTCCTCTGCGTCTCTCCCACATCCACACGCATCTCGCATCGCTGCCTCCCACTGCGCGCCGCACTCCCCCCCTCTTCTTCCCCGGTCGAACAATAACAAAACGGAGCCCATCAAAGCGGACACGACAAGAGAAAGAGGGAGGAAACTTCCTAGTCAACGTGTTAAACAAAAGCAAGATCTATAGTGGGAGGCAGAGGAGACGAGACGGGACGGGATGACGGCCTCGAGTACAACTTTTTGGAACGTCGGAGTCAACGAGATAATGGCCCCGGCCCACTTGCATGTCGCTTCTAGAGTCAACGGAGCAGTGTTGGCGGCGCGTGTCGACCGGTAGTTCGTCTTCGCTTGCCGGTGGCTCCTTCCCCCCCGAGAGCATCGGGATCAAGACCGGCCCCCAACCAAGATACTCTACTCTCGGCCGCCGGCGAGCTCCGGTGACCGGAGACTACTCACCTCCCTCGCCGGAGACCCCGCCGGAAGAAAAGCCTGGGCTTTTCGATTCCCCCGCCGACGGAGAGTCCTCCGGGGGTGGCGGAGAGAACCCGATTTGCACGACTCACCTCAATTACTGGCAACCCGGCACTGAGCAGACCCTCGCCGGACTCCCTGTCTCCCCCCGAGATCGAGGATCTTCCCCCTGATGACCCCATCTCTAAACGTTAGACGCCATATGTGATGTCATCAGAAGCCAGGAGCCCACGAAGCCCATCACGTTGGGCCTGGGCCTGGCCCAAAAATACCCCAGGGCTTTGATTATCTCACGAGTTTCCGGGGAGATGTGCTCATCTCGCGATTTTGGGAGGAGGTCAAAACCCGGGGAATCGGGTGACCGCAACGAGAGTCACGTGGATTCGGACAAGATCCATTCATATGCGGACAAGAGGGACCGATATGGTCACCCCCCCTGCAGGCTTCTCTTCTGCCCCCATCATGAAGATCTGCGGGACTGTGGCGGATGATGATGAAGAATCCGACGAATATTCTCCCCGATCTGGGGTCTCGTCTTCTTCCGGTGCACCCTCGGAATCTCCACGCCGGCGGAGATGTCACGCCCCCCTCCCGCCGGCGAGGGGGGGACAGGGGACGACGGGTGAGGTGGTGAGGGCACCGGGAGATAAACCGCGGCCGGAGGGACAGTGGAAACAGCGGCGCGGCGCTACCCTTTTTGTCCACACACCAGTTCTTCCTCCCCTGTTTCCTCCAAGATTTTTTCGTACGGCGGTCCGCCGATCGGGATCTCTCCCCATATTCAAGCGGTACCATCATTCTCTCCCCTCTCTCTCTCTCTCTCTCTCTACGGTATCTTTCTCTCTGCCAAACTGAGTTCTGCCCGATATCGACTGATGCGGAAGATCTACCCTCTGTGCACGAGCACTGTTCTTCAGAACGTGCATGGCTCACGCAGGAAGATCTTAGGATCTTCCTCTCTCTCTCTCTCTCTCTCTCTCTCTCTCCACTGTGAACTAGTTGGTCCCGGTGCTTTCCTTAGATGATGGCTATTCGCTATTAGGAGTCGGCGCGCATCCGCTCTCTAGAAGCTGTGTTATTAAACGGAACAGAGTACGCAGGAAAGCTGAGATCTTTTCTAACACAGGCCGTCTGTGGGCTAATCCTCTCTCTCTCTCTACGTACATCGACAGGTGATGCAGACCGGAGCGGGAATGAATTGACAACCATAAAAATGTATATTTTAAAATTAAGATAGAAAAAATAATTAAATTAGAGATTTCGAGTAATGGGTTCACCGCGGAAAATTAGCAGTTATTTTTCGATAAATAGATCGTAGTAATATGGCCACGACAAAATTATAGGGCTTCATCTCCTCGACTTAAACAGGAAAATATTAGTTTTTTGCGTTGACAAAATTAGCAGTCTTTCTTGATGAATTACGGTATGTTACGGGAAATAATAAATTTTCGTCAGACCTTGCGAGACGTAGCCGTGGTCGAGCCACGATGCCGAGGAACCACAGACAGAGATAGAGAGAGAGAGAGAGAGAGATGGCGAGTCCAGACGGGCAGATGACGGTGAACAGAATATATCGACAGTCGGAGAAAGGAAATACAGAGGGAGAGAGAGAGAGAGGAGAGAGAATGCAAGTACAGAAGGGCGATAACCAGAAAGAAGCTACTGAGTAAGCACACAGGGATAAGAAAGGGGTAAGGTAGAGAGAATGTAAGCAACGTCTCTCATCTTCTCTTCCAACCGCCGCGACGGTGGCAAAGACAATGACAGTAAAAATTACAGGGTATTCAAACTGTCCATCGGGGAGGAGAAGCCCGGGAGACGCTCGCCGGAGAGCGACAATAGTGGTCGTAAATGGAGAAGGCGGGTGGCTGCAAAGGGCTGCCGGCGGCGCCGGCGGAGGAGGCGTATGTCCTAGGATGAGGCGACGCAGCAGGGCTCCCAGATGAAGAGGGGCCGGTGATGTTCGCTGCACCTCCTGACCTGGTGCAGCAGGTCCCCCCTGTTCATCTGCCCCTTGGATGTGAAGTGGAGCTTCTCGGGGGAAGGGTGTCTCAGCGCCGACAGCGGACCCTTCCCGTTACGCCAGTAACGCTCGTCGGCGCTCAGGGACGACGACGCCGCGGCCGCCGCCGCCACCACGGCGGTGGCGGTGGTGGTGGTAGAGGCCGCCTCCTTCTCAGCTTCCTGCGCCGCCCTGCCGAGCTTCCCGACCCAGGGGTTCTCGTCGGTCAGCGGCACGCCCACGAACTTATTGATCACGACGGAGGAGAGCTGTACCTTGAGCCCTCCGCTCTGGGGTAACTGCGGCCTGCTCACCTTCACCTCCACCACTATTCCCCTGTCCACCAGCTCCACTTCCTCGTCCTCTTCTTCTACCACAATCTCCTCCTCATCGGTCTCCTCCGGGGCTCTGGCTTCCACCTCCGCTTCGGCTTCGTTGTAGGCGTCTTCTTCCTCTCGGCAACGGAGCTGCTCCAGGGCGGCGGCGGGCTGCTGCCTGCCCGGGTAGATGTCCTCGGTGGCGGTGTCGATGAAGGTGAGAAGCAGGCGACCGTTGTGGCGCTGCGCGTGGAGGTAGTTCTGTGATGGGACGGTGACGGCCTCGACCACGAGGCGGCCGTCGAGGCGGTGCCGCCTCATGCTGAGGCACGGCCCGTCGCGACGGCAGATGGAGGGCAGAGGAGGAGGGAAGAAACGAGCCGGTGACCTTCCGCTCGAGCAGTGGTAATTCACCGGCGTCGGCTTCCTCCTACTCGGTGGCAACTCCACCGTCTCTTCTTCATCGCCGAGTTCCGACTCCACGTCACCCGTTTCGTTTGACTTCTCTACGAAGTCGTCGTCCACAGAGTTGGTCCACGTAGAAAAATAGTCGTCCAGATCCTCGGAGGAGATCATCCCGTCGGAGCCCGTCTCCGACCCGAGGCTCTCGGTGCACATCTCCAGGCTCCTCTGGCTGAGGGAGTTGGCCGAGAGCCTCACCAGGGGATGCACATAGGGCGCCGGCAGGCCGGCAGCGGCCTTCGCCGGTGTCTGGACGGATGCCCAGATGTCAAATTCCCCGTCGTTCTTCTGTGCGGCCTTCTCGGGCGGAGACAACCAGCTCTCCGGGCCGGCGACCTCCACGGCCGCCGCACCGGCGGAGAAGGCTGCTGCACCGCCACAGTGGCGGCGACCTCCTAGCCCGTCTAGAGCGAAGGGAGAGGGCTTCTCGAAGGCGACGAACGACATGTTCTGCGAGGTGAGGACGGCTAGCGGCCAACACAGTAGACCGTGAGGGAGAAGCGGGGAGATGAAACCGCAGGGGAGGGTGCTCAGAAGCGGGTGTAAAAGGGTACGTATGAAGACTGAAGGAGCATGCAAGGCTTGTTGCGTGGTCTGCGGGAGCGATTCTCTCTTCTGGCGGTGACCTTGGGGGGCTGGAGCTGTTCGGAGGAAGAGGGCTGTTAGCGCTGATGAGGAGAAGTGGGTAGGAGGGGTGGAGGGGTATTTGTAGGGACCGGCCTCTCCCCTTCTCTCTCTCTTTACTTCGTCTTTCTCCACTCGCCCCAACCCCCCCCCCCGGGACTTCTGGCATGGAGGAACCCCTCTACTCCTGGACAAGATACCTCTCACTTCGTAAGCAGAGCCCTCCACAGGTACTCCCACCACTACTCTCTCTCTCCCACAAAGAGGCTACCTTTTTCTTTCCAGCTTAGTCCCTACCGCTCCCCCCTCCACTACATCAGCACATTCTCTCTCTCTGATAAACTCCGTCCAATTATTCTTCGTCCGCTTGCTTTACGTGACAAGGGCCTGATCGATGAAAAGGGGAAAAGGGTCCGCTTAATTCTGAAGCAGTGCTTGCTTTTCCAATGGACGTCGCTCGTTCCAGGCCATGAACTCTCTCCATCTTCACCAGCCCCTCTCGCCCCATTTTTACCTCATTTTCCGAAGAACGACGTCACTTATCGCCTCCAAAATTGACCGAGAAAAAACCACACCGTTTGAGCAAGAGAACTGAAGACTAAGCGTCAATTCAGCTCTCTCTCTCTCGCTATATCGCTATTTGATAGTCTCTCAGAACCAGGGGACCTTGCTCTGCCGAGCCCGAGCGCCGGAGTGGTGACATAGGCCGAGCCGCGGCTCACTGAAAAGGCTTTTCGATGTTTAACATTAGATTCGTGCCCTTGACATGTAGGCGCGTAGCCCCTTATTCCTTGTCTCGCCATGTCCCCTCCTAAGGGCCTATTAGCCCTTAACCCATCCCCCGACCGGTCCCGGCCGTGGCCAGCAGCCGCCAGTATTAAACTCGGGACGCCGAGGAAAGGCGGAGGAAGAGAAGATGCAAGCCAACAAAAAGCCGCCGACGGCCGACGGCGAGCCATGAAAGTCGAAAGGGGTAAAGGGATTGGGTTCCAGTTGCTAATGGAAGCTGCACTATGGCCCCCTCTCTCGCTCCATCTCTTTCCAAATAAAGAAACGCGATGCATGAAGCCATTTCATTCCCTTTCCTGCGTGCTTATGCGGTAAGCATCCGACTTAGCGAGAGAGGAGATTGGCTCCTTTCGATCTTGACCGGGGAGATTCTCAGGCGGCAGCAGCTACGGTTCTGCCCGCTCTTTCGCGTTTCGCGCGTCGCTCGCGTCACGGGGAGGGGAACTTATGCCAGCCCACAGGCGAAAGTTTCTCGGATTATTTTTCTCCGTCCATGGGGGTATTATTCTCCCCACATGCGGCGTCGTCATCTTCCTTAACGTGGACTTCCGCAGCCGCAGGTATTTTAAAAGAAGGGGAAGTGGGGGAGGAGAGAAGGTCCGGCCGGACGCAGGCAGACAGACAGAGAGGAAAGGGGAGGGAGCCCCGTAGATCTCCGCAAGCTCCTCATCCATCGTCGGTTCCGTCCAAATATTGTCGGGGAAATGGACGAGGAAGAGGGGGCATTTTTCTGATATAAGGCCCACGTTACATCCGCAGATGTGTAATTCTTTTGGAGTACATCGTATTCTAATCGGAGCGTTCCGATCGTGTGGCCGGCGGCGACTCGGGCTGACCGTGCAAGCTGGTGCGGATAAGCTCGGCCCCACTGCTTCCCAGGGGAAGCCCCCTTGCAGCCTCTCGTCCCCGCCGCCGCCCTCATTCTCCCTCCCGCTCCACACGAGCCAGGTCGGAGCCCGGGTTAGTGGACGGTGCTCCAGCTCCCACAACGGCCATATCCGCTCCCACAGGCGACGGCGGTGGCGGTGGCGGGCTCTATAACGCCGGCGAGGAAAGCTGGCGGCGGCCCTTTTGAGGGGAACCCCCTCGTGGCGGAGAGAGACGGCCACTAACACCCTCCGTCTCCGTCTCGGCGAAGAAGACAGGTGGCTGCGAGCGGCGACCGTGTGTCACCCGCTGCCCGCACCGTCGTGGTAGGGGACGGCGCATGAGCTCCCATATGCGAAGATCTTGGAGCCAGCGGTGGGATTCTCAAAGCTGACCACAAATAGACGCCTCTGATGTGACCGCCACATTTACCTGCAAGCCCCACTCCTGCGCGCACGCCGGCGCGTTTAGTTGGGCCATTTTCTTAATGAGTCCCTAGGCGCGTTTATTTGGGCCGGCCCATCTCACAAAGATAATCTTGTTGAGCCGATCTGCGTGAGACGGGTTTTTGGGTATGGGCCGAGAATGGGGAAAGGGAACGTCCTCGCTGTCTGCTTTATTCACGGTTAATGTATGAGCCGATCAGATGCAGTTGTAGAGAGGAGGCGTCCGAGAGAGGTGGGAGAAGGGAAATTATCGGTTCCCTCCGATCATGGCTCCGCCGGCCGTAGGGGGGAGAGCTCCGCTTGCGCTGCTCTTCTTACTCCTATTGCTCTTCCAGTTTGCGGCGGTCCTCGCGTGGAAGAAGGAGGAGTTCCGTAACTGCGATCAGACCCCATTCTGCAAGAGGGCTCGGGCGAGGAAGCCCCACTCCTGCAGGCTCGCCGTCTCCGATGTCGCCCTAGAGGATGGACGCCTGACTGCGCTCCTCCGCCCCTCGGCCAATGCGGCGCCTCCACCGCCGCCGCCGCCGCCGCCGCCGCCGCCGCCACCAGCTCCTCTCATCGAACGGCTTGAGTCGGAGGACGGTGAAGCGGACAGCGACGCCGGGTTTTCCGACGGAGCAGATCGTTCCACCGAAGAGGAAGAAGAACATCAGGAGACTAGGCCACTTCTGCTGGAGCTCTCGGTTTACCAGGACGGGATCCTGCGGCTGAAGATCGACGAGGTGGACGATCCGGCAGCCGATCCTCCTAGGAAGAAGCGCTTCCAGGTTCCCGATGTCATCATTCCCGATTTCGAGGGCCGGAAGCTCTGGCTGCCGCGGATCTCTACTTCTCCGGACGGCGTCTCATCCATAATTTATCTCTCGGGGGATGTCGAGGCCGTCCTCCGCCACGACCCCTTTGAGCTTTACGTCCGCCGTACAGGATCGGACGACGATCGGTTGTTCTCCCTCAACTCTAATGGTTTGTTTGACTTCGAGCAGCTGAGAACCAAGAAGGAAGATGAGAAATGGGAGGAGAGGTTCCGCAGCCACACAGATACCCGACCTCATGGACCTCAATCGATCAGTTTTGATGTATCATTCTACGATGCGGAGTTCGTTTATGGTATCCCGGAGCACGCTTCAACATCCCTGGCGCTCCAATATACACGAGGCCCCGGCGTGGACCATTCAGAGCCCTACCGCCTCTTCAACCTTGATGTATTTGAGTACCTCCACGAGTCACCCTTTGGTCTTTACGGTTCTATTCCTTTCATGCTCTCCCACGGCTCCCGTGGTTCGTCTGGTTTCTTCTGGCTCAATGCAGCAGAGATGCAGATTGACGTGCTTTCGGCTGGCTGGGATGGATCGGCGGGTTCTGGTGGTGAGAAGCAGAGGAAGAGGATCGATACATTATGGATGAGCGAGGCAGGCATTGTGGATGCCTTCTTCTTTGTAGGACCTGGGCCAAAGGACGTAATACGGCAGTACACCAGTGTCACTGGCACCCCTGCTATGCCTCAGCAGTTTGCTGTGGCGTACCATCAGTGCAGGTGGAACTACCGTGACGAGGAGGATGTTGCGAATGTGGATTCGGGGTTCGACGAGCATGACATCCCGTATGATGTGCTTTGGCTTGATATTGAGCACACGAATGGAAAGAGGTATTTCACATGGGACAAGGTGTTGTTTCCAAATCCAGAGGAAATGCAGAATAAGCTCCTTGCTAAGGGAAGGCACATGGTGACTATAGTTGATCCTCATATAAAGAGGGATGAGTCCTTTCATCTGCATGAGGAGGCTACCCAGAAGGGATATTATGTGAAGGATGCTTCTGGGAACGATTTTGATGGCTGGTGTTGGCCCGGGTCATCTTCCTATCCCGACGTGTTGAACCCAGCGATTCGAGAATGGTGGGCAAACAAATTCTCACTGAAGGAGTATGTTGGTTCAACTCCCTCACTGTACATATGGAACGATATGAATGAACCTTCTGTCTTCAATGGCCCTGAGGTAACCTCCATCCACCTTTCCAATGTATCTTTCATTACATACTTGTAGTTGTGTGCATGAAAACAAGCTACCATGCGACGGGGAACTACTGGTCAGGAGAATTTCTCGTGATGAATCTTTTGGACACACTACAAGACTGTTAGTGATAGAAATGAATCTACTGGTAGAAATTTTCCGTAAGAATACATTTAAAAAATGACGACAGTAAATGGCATATGTTATTTTCTTTTTGGAGGAATGTATATTTGATGATTTTCTTTTTGAAGGTTATGCATTTTTAGATAATATATAAAAAATTCCAAGCCCTAAGTGCCCGACTAAATTTCCACAGATGGCTTGTGGTTTTTATAACGTTGTAGGTAAGTAGCAACTTCCAACTTAGATGTAGAACCCAGGTTGATTCCATTTTCCATGAATGATATGGATGTCCTTTTTTTCATTTACAAACTTTGTGGTTCGCACCTTCACCATCGTAAAACTTTAATATTGTCTCCGAATTTTACGCCATATTCACTTAAAACATTGGGCTTTGTTAACGAATACTCGAGTAAAAAATCCACATGATGTCTCCGATGATGAATGCTTATTTCAATGTGAAATTTCGAATATCAGTGTATATACGATGTTTATTACTGATAGAATGAACACGGTCATATGCTTGCGTACAAACTTATAAAATATGTTAAAATATTTCTGTTTAGTTCGTTCAAGCTTCCTTTTTATCCCCTCTTTTCTTGTGTACTCTTTATCTAGTGATGAACTGCAGTAAAAAAGTTACATGCTTTTTGGTTATAGATCTCTACTATTCTTCGAGCAACTGTCACATTCACGAGATTTTCGGAGAATACCGTGAATCACCTTGGACTTTTTCAGATTTCTGACATCATACTCCCGTAGTTGTTCTTAAATGACTTAAACCAGTTCATGATGTGTCAAACTCCGTTAACTACATTTAGCCACTTATGAAGATATTCCCAGCAACAGTTTTTGGGTAGAAATGCAGCACTAGTGAACACATTGTGGCGAAGTTGTTTTTTGGGTGATACAAGTGCTAGTTCTCTAACAGTTGCACACAGAAGGCCTTTATTTGTGTGACATGGACAACCTCCTCCCGATCTGTTTCTCCTGCCCTGTGATAGTTCATTTAATTTTTTACAAGAAGAGCCGCATGTAGAACTTCCAGGAAGTTAATTTGTATTTTTGATTTTATATAACTATGGACCGACCCTAACGGTTTTCCTTTCAAGAGTTCAAGTGAAGGGAGAGTGTTGTAAGTTCTACATTTGTTACTGATCTTCTCTAAGTATATGATGAAGAACGAAGTGACACGCAATACTCATTTGTTTAGCAATTAATTGCAGAAGTTTTTAATAGAAAATTATATGGCTTTAGAAGTTTGAAAACTCGGTGCTTAAAGTGGAGGGTCCTAACGATTTCGTATATTCGTATTCATGATGGATGAAGGAGCCTGCCTCAAAGCATTTATAAAGGTTGAAGAACTTTTCGAATTTTACTTTGGGACCTTTCGTAGAATTGGCTGAAACACCTTTTACAGTTTCATGGGTGTGATGGGATTCAGAGGCTGGTGCTTGAATTGGACCTCAGAGACTCCATAGCCAAAATTTCAGGCTCTGTTTTGATTTATTGAGAGCCCAAGGGGATCAAGTCAGGGGCATCCTCTCCCAAATTTCTGAATCTTCTATTTGTTGTAATGTACGAGGAGTTGAGTTTATTGCTATTTATGGCAAGAAGATGTGAGCTCTAAGAACTTTCTGCTCCTTATCTATCTTCTTTAACTTTCCCATTGCTTTTCTCTCTCTCCAAATGTTGAACACCCAAATTGTAGGAAGAAGAATCGTATCCATAAGGAATGCCGTTTTGGAGGAGGAGAAACGACTAATGAAATGAGCATTGCTTAATTGATAGTACAAAACGTATAGTCTAGTATCCCTTCTCAATTATATTTTCCATGATTTTGCCTAGAATTTCTTTTTACGAGTTTATTCACTTTTGAGAATAATAAATCGTGCTTTAATCATTTATGTGGCTACTAGGTTACCATGCCTAGGGATGCTCTTCATTATGGAGGGGTGGAGCACCGAGAACTACATAACGCCTATGGGTACTATTTTCATATGGCCTCAGCTGACGGACTTCTAAAGCGAGGTAATGGTAAAGATAGACCATTTGTTCTGTCACGAGCCATCTTTGCTGGAACTCAAAGATATGGAGCGATATGGACTGGAGATAACTCAGCAGACTGGGATCACTTCAAAGCATCAGTTCCAATGGTTTTAACTCTAGGACTGACAGGGATAACGTTCTCTGGTAAGTAGGGTTGATGATAAGTTGAAAGGAAAAAGAAAAATGGAGTTTAAGATGATATTTATGATAATGTAGTTATTAAATGGCTTCATTATGAGGTAACTTTCACTTTGTTTAATACAGGCGCGGATATTGGTGGTTTTTTTGGGAATCCAGAACCTGAGTTGTTAGTCCGTTGGTACCAGTTGGGCGCTTACTATCCTTTCTTCAGAGGCCATGCTCACCATGACACTAAGAGACGTGAACCTTGGTTGTTTGGGTAATATATTTATCAGATCCTTGTTTTCAGTGATTTCAGTCGTACAATTTCTACTATGCTTCAAGGATCAGTCAATTAGAAATTGAAATTATGCTATGAAGTAACTGAGAAATTGCTGCGATAAATTCTTTATCTGTCAGTCATTGGAACAATTACAATGTTTATTTTTTGTCTATTTTTATTGAATTCTCCACTGAGAAAAGTACAACATCCATTTTGCCAACACTGGCAAATGTCTCTGTGGAATATTAGCAAGTTACGTGAGTTTAGGAAAACATAACCCATCCCTTTGAGTCAGATATTTGATTTTTATATATTGGAAACCATCTCATTCAGCACTAATCTTTCATGTTCTTGCATTGCATGTCTCGTTGGATGCTAGTGGATGTCGGCGTACAGATGCCTATTAAATCATAATCATTGTTTTTTTTTATTCCTCATGATCATCTCCACTGTTAGAGTTATTATAGTTTTTTGGCTGCCAGTTTAATCTACCAGCGATTCTTGTGAACATTGTCTACTTGTTTATTGCATTGTAAGCAATCAATCACCTTGACGCGCCTGTAGATTCCATCGACTTATTTCTTCAAAGCACTGCAGCTATTCCCCTTGAGAAGCACCTATTACTGACAGTCATGATTCCGTGTCATGTTAGCCAGTCTTTGCAATTAACCGCTGGATTTATCAATTTTTTAATCATTATTGAGTTTTCCAATTTCCAGAAACGCTAAAAATCTATGAAAATTCCTCTTATATTATCTCTATCTACAGTCATGTTTTTTCTGTGTTTTTTTCCAAGCAACGAAAAAAAAAGACCGAAAAAACTTCGATTTTTTTTTTTGATAGTTCGAGCCCTGTTTCATCGTGTCCCCGAAATATTAGATGAACTTTCTTGAATGAGCGTAAGCAATGTAATTTATCTCCTATATTGCTCAGTAACTGGGCTCGTTTGCAACCCTTGGTATCACGTCTACTAAAGGAAACCAATCTGATATGTTTGAGTCAAGTCAGCCAGATATGGAAATTAATGGCCCCCAGCAACTTCTTTACGGTGGCTGGAGGTTTCTTTTTCTAATGGGTCCTCGTAGAGCTTTTGGCGCCTGTGAGCTTCTGCTCTCTTTGCCATGGTTTTACCTCTGTTCTCGTGCGCTGTGCAGGGAGCAGAACACCGCTCGCATAAGGGAGGCGATTCACACTCGCTATTCATTGCTGCCGTACTATTACACGCTATTTAGGGAGGCCGCTGTGAGCGGCACCCCCGTGATGCGCCCGCTGTGGCTGGAGTTCCCGGGTGACCAACAAACCTACAACATCGGGGACGCCTTCATGGTCGGAAACAGTCTCCTTGTTAAGGGCATCTACGAGGAGGTGCAGTCCCTCTCTCTCTCTCTCTCTCTCTCTCTCTCTCTCTCGCTGTACTGTAAAATAAGGTTATTTACCGTTGCCTTCTTGAATCCAGAGGCAAAAGTCTGTGAAGGTGTATTTGCCTGGCAAGGAGCAGTGGTTTGACGTGAGAAACGGAGGGACCTACGCCGGAGGGAGATTCCATACGTTGGAAGCTTCAGAGGATGGCATCCCTGCTTTCCAGAAGGCGGGCACCATCGTCCCCAGGAAAGAAAGGTTCCGACGGAGCTCCACGCAGATGGAAGACGACCCTTTTACTCTGGTGCTCCCTCTGCTCTCTCTCTCTCTCTCGCTGTCTCTCTCTCTCTGTCTCTGCTTACACTGCTGTATTTGGGCAGGTGATAGCCCTGAACAGCAGCCTGGAGGCGGAAGGAGAGCTGTACATTGACGATGGCAAGAGCTTCGACTATGCCCAGGGGGCATTCATCCACCGGCGCTTTGTCTTCTCCAACCAAACCCTGCACTCCTCCAGCGTCGCCCCCGCCAACCCGCTGAAGAAGTTCTCTTCGAACTGCGTCATCGAGAGGGTCGTCCTCTTGGGGCTCCCAGTCAAGCCGAAGAGAGCCGCCATCTTGCCCGCCGGCGGCGAAGCGGAGGTCGAGCCCGGACCTCTCACACTCCGGCCCAGGGCGAGGCCGGCGGCGCTGGTGGTCCGCAGGCCTAACCTGCGCGTCTCCGACGACTGGTCTCTGAGGATCTGGTAGAGCTCTCTCCGAGGGGAAGATCATGGCTGAACCAGGTTCGCTTTCCCTAACTGGAACCGGGCTCAGATTCCTAGTTTTCCATTGGCTTTTTCATCCACGAAACCCAGGATCTTTGGAAGTCAGGTGATCATATATGTTTAACGGGAACTAGTTCAGATGTTGACTTTTCGAGAAAGATGTCGTTTTGGGCCTGATAATCGAGTGGACAATGCAAGTACGGAGACTTTCTACTGCTTCGACAAGTATTTAACCATGGCACTGATTGTACCATTATATTTAGTAAATAATGCAGAGAAAAAGTGTTGAATGGAGGGAGGGGAGCATCGCACGAGACAGACGGAAGAATTCTAGCCGCCGAGGAACCCCCTTTGTCTCCACAAATCCTGGGACGTGCTCGTATAAAAAATTTCATTTCGTTTCTTCTTTCCGGAGGTGATTTATATGTTTTCCGTATGTTAAATGCCCAGACAGGCGAAGAGGAAATCACATACTAAAAAAAGAAATCGCATGCTTGAAGGTCGATCACAGTAAGTGAGCTACAGTAAGTGAGCTACCCTCCCTCTCCGTTTCCCGGAGAAGAAGATCTGAGAGTTTTACCTACATGATGATGCTCCGATCGCCCTCCTAGTCGTCGTCGACTACGCCGCACTCGTCCTTGTCGGGATTCTCCTGGCAGAAGGACTCGAGGGGGTCCCGGCCGGTCTCGGCGAACCGCCGGCGGAGATTCGCCTTGGCCTTGCTCAGCTCTTCCACCTCGTCCCACGCCACCTTGCACTCGTCGGAACCCTGGCCTCCCTCGCAGGCCTCCTTCGCCTCCCGCACCTTCTGCTCGATCATCTCCGTCAGCCGCTTCTCCCTCATCCGCGTTCCCTTGTACTTCTTCACCACCGCCATGGCCCTGAGATCCCTCTCCCCAGCCCCAGATGTGACGCCGCTGGATGATCGTCGGAAGAGAACCGGAAACGAGCACGGGATCAGAGGCCGCCGAGGAAACGCCGCCGCGATCGCCACACCCACCGCCGGATGTGACCGTCGGAGGAGAGCCGGAGACGAGCACGGGATCAAAGGCCGCCGAGGAAACGCCGCCACCGCCACCGCCGGACGTGACCGTCGTGCGAGCGACGAAGAAAGACCGGCGTCTGAAGCTATGAAAGAAGAGCGAGTGGAAGACGCCATCGATAGATCGAGGGAGAGAGAGAGAGAGCCGAAGGCGATGCTTTAATTCCGTTTAAGGGAATAAGGTCTCCGAGAAATTTCCAGAAGCCCTTGTTCATTAAAAAGAATTATACAATTAATACGCCCGTTAACGGGATCGGCCCACCTGTAAGCAACTGGGCTAAGCCCAGAGATTATGTTAACGGACCGGGCTGTGGAGAGAGGCTATCGGGCCAATATAGGGTAGGGCAGACCTTCTTTGGTAGAGCCCGTTAAAGGGCAGGATTCCCGAGTCTGTCGTGGTTCTCCGCATTAGTGGGCATGTAGCAAATTATCAGAAAGTATCCGGTATTTATGTCTTGGGTACTCGAGTTCGTCAGATGGCGCAGTTTAGCGAATGTATCCGTTGTTGTGGGCGAAGACGCCTTATTTGAAATTTTGAACGCGTTTATCCTACCGAGGGTGAAAACCTAGAGCGAAGGGCACCCAACGTCTCTCTCTCTCTCATACCTCCGGCCATTTCCATGGAGGATCTGTTGGCCTCGCTGGATCCGGAGACCGAGTTCTTGGCGTCGAAGAGGCAGACGGGAAATGAATGGGAGTTGTTCAAGGAGAATGTAAGGCCGCTGAAGAGAGGCCGGAAAGTAGAGCTGCTAAACGAAGCTCTCAAATCCCAGAGTGACAACGTCCTCAGGAAAGCTCTCATTGATAAACGCAGGTTGGTGTATCTTCCAGACCTTTCAGACAAGCCGCCATGTTTTGTTTTCGCGGCGCTTTGGAGTGCTGCGGGTGTGATTTGTCTCATCCCTCGTCTTCAGGCGTTTAATCGAGGCGATTGACGAGTACAAAGGAGAGGATCCTCTGCAGCCATGGCTCGAGTGGGTGTTCTAAATCCCTGCTTACTGAGTTTTTCGCCCCTTTACCTTCGTCTCAGCATTTTTTTTTTGTGTTCCTTTAGAGTTTTGGATCTTACATATATTTTATAGTAGATTGCATCTCCTCTTCTGACATCTGGTTATTCGCCCAACGATGAGATTTCAGAATTTTTACCCCATCTCTTCTGCTTAACCTTATTTTCCCAGTGCCTCAGAGTTCATTTCCCAAGTGCTCTGAATGCATTTAATTTCTATTTGCCGCTGGATTGTTGTGTAACTTTGAATCTTGACGTGTGAAGATGTATTAAGTGGGTCCAAGAATCGTTTCCTGCTGGAGGAGAGTACTCGGGATTGGTTGTCATCTATGAACAATGCGTGCGGATGTTTTGGCACGACGAACGCTATAAGGATGACTTGCGGTATCTTAAAGTTTGGCTGGAATATGTATGTTTCAGAACCGCGCGCTTTGCTTTAGAAACCAAGAAATTTTTACATATATTTTCTTCAAATGCTGAACTATCAATTGTATGCTTTACAGGCTGAGAATTGCTTCGATGCAGAAGTCATTTACAGTTTCCTCGAGGCAAATCAGATTGGACACAATCACTCCATTTATTATGTATCCTATGCTCTGCACTTGGAATCCAGGAACAAGATGAAAAATGCGGATGACATTTTCAATCTTGGCATCGCCAGGTGAGCACAACTAGATCTCCTTGGTTCATTTTGGGGGAATTTTAACTGACACAAGTTTTATCCTCCGTAGTAATCATCCGAGTAAAACACGCTAGATTGGAAAAAGTAAGAACGAGTTGTATGCCTACTCAACTATTGCTACCTCTCCCTATTTTAAAATGTTTCAGAGATTGGATTTCCCTTTTAGTTCTTCCGATTCGATCATATGCAGAGAAATATTTAATAAAATGTATTTATAAAAGGTGTTAATAGGGACAAAAAAATGCAGATTTTCGAGTTAACTTGCGTTTGTACAAATTTTCGAGAAAGTTAGTAAACTGGTAGAATAGTACTGGTCTTCATGCTTTCAACTGTTGAACTATATGATTCAATGGTTGTCGGTAAGATAGTTGGGCTGTGCTTCGATCCAGATGGGTTAAAGGTGACGGCATTGAGGGGAATAAAAATATCTCAATCTTACGATTCTCTTTTTTTTTTTCATGCGTTGAGAATTCTGATAATATTCTGTGCTGGTTCGAAATAATATTCAGTTATTCAGATATTAATCTATTTTTGCTTAAGTTCTGTAAAGTCAGAACAGCATTCAGTTATTATTGAGCATTTTTTGCCCCTTTTCCTTCTTCCATGATTCTCATTCCAGGAACGCGCAGCCAGTGGCAAAGACTGAATCAGTGTACAGAAAATTTCTGGCACGATCAGCTCAAAGAAGCAAAGTTGCCGAGGTGAGGTTCTTCTCTCATGTACTTGGCTTGCTTTCACTCAGTCTGTACAGTCAGCTACAAGTCTCTTCGTCCTCGGATTTTTTTAGGATGAGTCAATGGAAAATGCTGGGCCAAATAGAAGCTTCGGGACTATTTTGACCTCAGGGGACCCTCGTAAGCTATCTCTTATCAGGGTTCTTGATTGCGAAGCCTGCTACGTCTTTGATGACTGAGTAGCTTCCATTTTGACAGGTAGGCAGCTCACGCAGAGGACAGATCCTCACAGAAAAAAGGCCCTTCAAAGGTGAGTTAAAAATTTACCAAACATTATGCCTTTTTTCAATCTAATTTTAATTGATGATGAATGCAAGACGTCATGCGGATTTGATGCGCTATTGATGATGCAGCGGTTATCTTGTCGATTCGATCCCTAGATCTCTCTCTCTCTCTCTCTCTCTCCCCCTCTCTCTCCAAGATTGGGGGTGAAGAAAGAAAGTAAATCCAAGGTTTAGATGTGATTTTCTTGCTCGTTCCTCACCCTTCAGGGTTGACCCGAACGCTCACATCTCTGTTTACAACGACGATGCGGAATCTCACCCGAAGCAGCAGCATCGACTCGATGCTGCAAAGAGCGGCGATTTGAAGCCGTGGCATGTCCTCGGGACGCAATCTAATCGGAACAAAGAGAACACCCCTCTTCCCTCCAAATGGACATCCCTCAAGGTTTCCACCATCTCCTCACCCAGTTCATACATCTTCCATTAGAAATTGCTCTTCTCCTTGACGATCATCTCATCTCCTCTCCGCCAGATTCCCCAGAAAGCCGGAGCTAATCCACGACCCACTGCGCCGACTCCGAGATCATCATGCCTCGAGATTTTCGTTGACGAGGAGAGCGCAGAGTAAGCCGAGAGAGCCCACAGAGGATGATTGTTCGCGATTTTCTGGGCATGGTCAATGTGCTGAGTTTGATTTCTGGATTTTTTTGTGTGCAGTGAGTTGCCGGCATCCGGGAATTCCATCGGCGCCGCGGCGGCGGTCTCTTCAACGGTGCAGCTGAGGCGCATAGACAATCACAAGCTCAGAAAGTGAGCCTTCGTCTGTCTCCATCGTTTTTTTCTCTGTGTTCTGGGAATGCCCCCGCCCCATCCCTTCTCACCTTCCGTTCTTCTTACCTGAGCAGAGAGTCTGAGCTGCTGAAGGAGAATCCACTGCGGAATTTCCCCACCAGCAGCTGCCTTCCCAGATGACGACGCCGTCCTTTCCATTCCCGATCTCCGTCATGCTTTTAATGTTCTATCGTGAGAATCGCCGGCTTCTATCTTGAAAGCTCCTCCCACTGTACTACTTCCCCTGATGGATCGTCCCCTTCTCCAGACACACACCACCCTCTGTTCGACAAGAGCTCTAGCGAGAGAGAGAGTGGCGGCCCTCCCTCTGCGACAACTCTTAATGGCGAGCATTGCGGGGCCTAGCTATCCTCGACCGCCGGTTCCCCACCTGTCCGCCGTTGCCGGCGCGGATTCCTCCCCTGAGCTGCCGGACTTGAATGCAGTCGACAGGACGACCGCTCGCGAGCTGACGGCCCCCAGACAGCCGCCGGGCAGCCCACCGAGGATCACATGCAGGGAGGAAAGGGACGCGGCCGCCACTCAGACACGTTGACCTTGAGAATGAATAATGCGACCGGGAGTAGTGCTCAACGCGATGATTCAGCCGAGGAGCAAGTCCACTCATTTTCACCACAGCTTGACTCAGAAGCTGGGTCAAAGTACGATGCTGCCGTCGTTAGAATGACATCGAACGGGGTCAACCACGTGGAAATTACGTCGCTCGTGTGGCTGACAAATTTTTACTAAGTCCCAGCTGGAGTCTGGTAACCCTAAGAGGGGCTTATCTATAATTAAGGCAATATGTGGAGCTTCATTGGACCAAACTATGGGTAACCCTAAGATCTGAACGGAGAAGGTGAGCTCTCCCACCGACCGCCCCCCCTCAGCCGTTGTTTTCAGACTTGGCCCACGCGTCGTTATGTTCCGGGGAGCCCCCATGATTATATTAAGAGACCGAAGCATGGTAGATGAGATGGTTGAGCTCGAGGGTGGAGCGTCGTCCCTTCCGAAGCTCTGACCCATGGGTGACATGAGCTGCAGATGCCGGCGGGGGAAGGGATTCCGGCTGAATTCCGCAAGGTTTTCGGTGCTCCGGCTGCGGCTGAGACTGCTGGGTCTGATCGGGCTCTTGCAGCGGTGTCTTCAGTGCATGAAGAAGGGCACCGGCTGCGGCGGCGGCGGCGTCGGCGACCGGAGGAGTAGAAGATCCGGGCGGCGATGGGGGAAGAGCGGCAGCAGGAGGGGTCTCATGGAGGACCTGAGGAACCGGGGTCAACAGGAGGGGAAGCTCCGGCCACCGGGGCGCTCCAACTCCTTCCACACGGAAGCCATCGCCGACTGCTTGGAGTTCATCAAGAGGACGTCGGTCTCCGTCAACGGCGGCTCTGATGGCGGGCAGTGATGAGGCGAGCAAAGGACAGGGGTCTTCTCTTATGCCGTCGACGGCCTTGGGCCGTCGGTTCTCTCTCTCTTCTCTCCCTTCCATCTACATCGTGGGAATGTAAATTTGCATCTGTTCTCCGTCGGTTCTTCGAGCTCTTCTTCTTCGTCTTCTTCTTCTCCGGGAGCTCGTCTGCGTTTCTTCTCCGGAAGCTTTGCTCGTCAGAGCTTACAATCACGACGGAACAGTATCATCAGCCCAGTCTTTCTATCACGAAGAGAGAGACAGAGAGACACAGAGAGAGGATGAGGAATCTTTCTCGGTCAAGGTGGTTCTAGACCAAGAACGTAGAAGAAGACCGCGTTCAGTGAAGAAACGATCAGAAGAAGGGGGCAGTTAAGATGAACGAGTCGCTGGCGAGAGATAAAAATAGTAGAAATACAGGCGGGAAAGAGTTGCGGAGGCCCATCGGAACGGCCGAACCGTCTCCGGTTCTCGCCCTTGGGACAAGGTCGGCCCTACGACATCTCGCCTTTTCTGGCAGCCTGGCACGAAAGATACAGATACTTCTTCTCGGGAATGGTCAACGGTTTTCTTTAGTCAGGACCCCGTTAATGCCCTCTCTTCTTCTTCTTTCTTCAAATCCGTGGCTGTAAGGAGAGAGAGTGATATGCAGACTGTGAAGCAATCTCTGCGAACCTCTCGTACGCTGGAGTAGCGGCTCTCGCCGGAAGAACTTGGCCGGCAAAAGGAACGGCGACAATGCCCCCACGCCGGCTAGGCGGCCCCCGGAGACGACATTCTGCACCACGTGGAAGCGATTGTTCGGATGGGGCGTCGTTTTCGCAGTCAACTCTGACGGAGGCGTGTGCGGAAAATTGTCGATATCGAGCGCAGGAAACGCCCTTGAGCAGAGCCAGCCGTCCGTTGAGCGATGAGCGGCGGTGGCAGCCTTCGTTTGAAACTCGCGTCCCTCCTTCGCAAAGTGGGAGTCCGAATCGTGGCCTCTACGACGAACCCTTCTGCAGCTCCTGCGACGACCACCGCCGTTTCTCCCCCTCCGAAGACGATCTCCACCTCCACCGGCGCCGGCGGCTCGCTCCTCATGGACGAAGCGCAGAAAACCCTAAAGACCAGGCTCTGCATCATCGGCAGCGGACCCGCCGCCCACACGGCGGCCATATACGCCGCCCGTGCGGAGCTGAAGCCGGTCCTCTTCGAGGGATGGTTGGCGAACGACATCGCCGCCGGTGGGCAGCTCACCACCACCTCCGACGTGGAGAACTTCCCTGGTTTTCCGGAGGGGATTCAGGGGCTCGATCTCACCGATCGATTCCGCGCCCAGTCGGTGCGATTCGGGACGCAGATCTTCACCGAGACCGTCACCTTCGTCGATTTCTCCTCCCAGCCTTTCAAGATCGTCTCTGATTCCACCACCGTGTACTCCGACGCCGTCATCGTTGCCACGGGGGCCGTCGCGCGCCGCCTCCAGTTCCGCGGCTCCGACGAGTTCTGGAACCGGGGCATATCCGCTTGCGCCGTGTGCGACGGCGCCGCGCCGATCTTCCGGAACCGCCCCATCGCCGTCGTCGGCGGCGGCGACTCGGCCATGGAGGAGGCGAACTTCCTCACCAAGTACGGCTCCAAGGTTTACATCATTCACCGCCGGGACACCTTCCGGGCATCGAAGATCATGCAGGCCCGGGCGATCGACAACCCAAAGATTGAGGTCGTGTGGAACTCCGCCGTGGAGGAGGCATTCGGCAACGAGAAGGGCGCCTTGGCCGGCTTGAAGGTCAAGAATCTGGCCACCGGCGAGCTGACGGATTTGCCGGTCTCCGGCTTGTTCTTTGCCATCGGACACGAGCCCGCCACGAAATTTCTCGGCGGCCAGCTGGAGCTGGACTCCGATGGCTACGTCGTAACGAAGCCCGGAACCACGAAGACCAGCGTGGAAGGCGTGTTCGCCGCCGGAGATGTTCAGGACAAGAAGTACCGCCAAGCGATCACAGCGGCTGGAACAGGTAAATTTCTAGGTCTCCTTTTCTTCCCCAAAACCTCGCGGCAACTTCTGGTTTTCATTTGAAATAAATCGTCTTTTGGCTTGGGTTCTTGCATCAAAATCATCGCTAGAAATCCCTGCAATTTGCTTGCATCATCTGGTTTTTGAGGGATTTGAATCCCCGAAGCGTCTGATATCTATCTGGGCACCATCTTCTTCAATCTCGCCCTTCTTTGAGCCATTTTAACGATTTCCAGGATTGATGTATGGTATGATGGGTAACGACTGCCATAGAAATTATAGAACTGGGTCGTCCCGTTTGGGTTCAGGAACTTTAGAAAATCTCAGAAAAACAAGCGCTCTTTCATTTTAGAGAAACATATGGAGCATTGCTGATCAAGTGCTTCAAGTTATCTTCAAACGCTACAAGCTCTTCCCTGATTACTGTGTTTAAGGCATCAAAGATCCGTAAAGAAGTTGTCGGGACACATTTTTGAAATTCCCGCCGTCGAACCCTTATAGAGCATTATCGATTCAAGGCCTCGGGTGTTCTTCAGTTGATGTTGATTTGATCAAATCTCGACGATGTTTCATTGCCGCCACGAATCTTGTCTGCGGTGATTATGTTTGAGGGAGAGAGAAGGTTGAGGGTTAGGGAGAATCGAGTGCTCATCACTGGAATGGTTTCCCGTCGGATTTCAATTCATGAGGTTGCGTTTCCCTTGCTTAATCCATCCACGCATCACCCCTTTCATGGGGAGAAAATCTTTCCATTCTGGGTAATACGATCGTTCTACTCAGATGAACTTATCTCGTTTGATATCAATGACGATTGAAGCCAAAAAGATTGCTCGAGGCTCTGTCACCCAGTTTTACAAGACTTTAAAAAAAAATAAATTGATAAATATTAGCCTTTTAGCTTTAATTTTAATGGGTATCCGCTTTGTAAAATCCGCAGGATGCATGGCTGCTTTGGATGCGGAGCATTACCTGCAAGAAATCGGTGCTTAGGAGGAGAAGGGGGAGTGGTCGGAGCCATCCGCAGAGATTCCGCCCGCTGCATCTCAGGAATCGATCTACGAAACTGTGGCGGAAATCATTTCTGATTTATCACACGACATAATTTATTCCCGAACCCATTTCTATTACTGGAAAAAAACCTGTTTGGAGAACTGCGTTCGGGGAATCAGGGGCTGTCCGGACGTCGCTCTTGAGAGATTTATGATCTCCGCTGAGTTCATGTTCCCCTGCTTGGAGTTGATTTCCGTTCTAGGGTTTGGCGCCGCCGCGGGTCATCTTCTATAAAACCGTCGGCCTTGGTAAAGAAACCTTGCTGGAGTTTTCTGGCCTTGCTAACCAAGACTTCTGGACTCATCAAAGCCCCGATCTTTTATCCTCTCTCTTTCTCTCTCTCTAGCTCTTTCTCTCTCTCTCTACACTGGGTAGAGAACATACAAAACAGGAAGCTTGGAAGATCGGAACTTGTGATGTTGGAGGTGATCGCATTTCAATAACTTCTGCTGAAGGGCATTGAAGCCCGCTCCATCAATTCTAAGAATCTCCGTGAATCCTTTCCAACATGGGTAGCAGAAGACGGAAATCCCTGTGGAGGAAGGAGGTGAGAGTTGGTCTGCTCACCTCACCATGACAACGATGCCTGCGTAGACTTTAATGGCGGTCAACATGATAAGAGAAAGGGGGGGCCGGGGGCGTGGCGATTGATTTGAGATCTCCTTCGTCACCTACCCATCATCCTTCTCCCCCCCTCTTTCATAGATCTCCCCCTGATGGGGACGACGATGACGCAGACGATGACTCGTCCGATTAAACTACGACCCGGCGCCCGTCTTTTCCTGCACTACCTTCCGAGTCAGCCATCGCCACCGCGCACGGTAGCGCCGCCTGATCCCGACGGCGCGCGGCGCACACGCTAATAGGTCTCGCCATTCCCCCGCCGTCTTCGTTCTTCCGGATCATCGAGGGTTTCAAACGCTAACGCTTCTCCAGCGGAACGGGCAAACTCTGGCCGACGCCCTCTGGAGACGTCGAAGCATCGGTTCCTTGGTTCTGATTTAATTATGCTCAGAGAACCCCAGGCCTTCTCTCTCTACAATGCCGCCCTAAATCGATCCGCACGACCTAATAATCTCTCTCCTTCCCGTTTCGGAATGACCTGCAGATCCCTCCATGCACACGCCCGCATGCAAAGGCCTCCCCCCCACCAGAGAACGGAAGGAGTGCAGGAAGAAGGAGACTCGGACGAACCAGGTGGGGCGGGCGGGAGGGAATCTCCTTTCATCTTCACGGAAAGCCGGGGACGATTGATAGGGAGAAGCTTCTTCCTCAAGTTGCAGTCTGGGCTTCTGGGAGCCTTGATTTGTGCTGTTAATGTGGTAGAATCTTACGGGTCAGTTCTCTATCCATTGCCAATAAATGGCCACCCACCTCATCTCTCGTAAAGCTCGGCCTCTCCCCGCCCCCAGTCCCTCCTCACTCAGCTCCCTCCATCCTTCTCCGCAGTAACGCTCGGTCAGTAAAGAGGGACGAGACAGGAGGTGGTCAGAGCTCTCTCACCCCCTCCTCTCCCTTCTTCCCGGAGAGAGAGAGAGAGAGAGAGAGAGCCAGACGTTGAAGGTACTCCACTGCAAAAGACCGGTACTTGTCTCCGGGTTCTCTCTCTTGCGGCAGGCGGAGGAGGAGCCCGCACATACCCAGAGGCGCGAAGGTTCTCTCTCTTGCCGCCCTTACGTGAAATCAGGTCCATCCGGTTGGCTTGTCGAGAACTTTGTTACCGTTATTTTATTGTTTTCAGGACTTAGGTTACCGCACAGTCCCGCCCGTTGAACAGAGGAAGACGCTGCTGCAGTGGAAGATGAAAACACACGGAAAGAAGAACATGGAGAGATTACAGGGAGTAGTATTCGGCGAACGGTGGATCGAAGGAATGAAACCCTAGAATGAGGCATCGATACATGACGGAGAAGAAGACGAACTTGACCTGAAAAACAATGCCTCTATCGTGTGAATCTACCAGCCTACCTCAGACGAGGGAGGCCGAGCCTGCATGCTCCAGTCTGACGAATTGGCGGAGGTGACCCGTGTTCTGCTGCATCTGCAGAGAGACCCCTCTCGTGGAAAGTCACCAATTGCTTGCGTTCTCTTCTTCCTCCTCCTCCTGCTCCTCCGCTGCCGCTGCTGCTACTTTCATGGAGAATAGAGTGATCTGACCTCGAGGTATTTCTCATCTCCCAACAATCCCCGGCGAGATAATCCACCATCCTCCCCTAGTAGGGTGGCCGAGAGGCGCCGCCGCCCCACCCGAAAGGGTCCCCGGGGAATGGATAAGCAGGCGCGTTCATTCCGAGGTTGAAGAAGGAGACCCCGCCGCCGCCACTGCCGCCGCCTCCACCGCCACCCTCCCCTCCCGTGACTCCCGAAGACTGAGATGCTGCAGGCTGCTGCTGCACCTGCCCTCCCACCGCCTCCTCCTCGCCCTCCAGCGGAAGCCGCTCGTACACCGCGTTGGCAAAGGAAGCCGCCATGAGGATCACCGGCCCCGCTGCCATCAGAGGACCCACTACGCTTCCTCCGACGACCTGGCCCTGCCCTCCGGCGAGAAAGACCGTGATTCCGCTCGCCCCCGGCGGCGCAGGAGGCGGCAGCACGGTGCCGGTCAGTGACAGAATCTCGAACCTCCCCCTGAGAGTGGCCACAAGGGATCCCGGCGGCGCTGCGCCGGGCTGCCTGATGGACACGTTCGCGACGGTGCCGTTGCCGCTGAGCACGCAAACTCCCCGCCCCCGCCGCCGCGCGTACTCCGTCACGCATTCCACCACGTCGGCGCCGCTGTTGACCTCCAAGACGTGGGAACGGAGCGAGTTGGGGCTGTCGCGGGTGACGATGATGGGGGGCTTCGGCTTATTCTTTGACCCCGGTGGCCGCCCGCGTGGTCTCCTGGTGGGCGTGGCGGAGGTTGTAGGGTTGTCGTCGCCTTCTTGCTCCTCCTCCTCCTGCGGCTTCAGGTTATTTTCCGGGGACTGCGTCGGCGATCCCTGCGGCGGCGGGGCCTGCGGTGGGCGGAGCAGGTGGTGGAGGTAGCGAGAGCCGCCGCCGCCGCTGCCGCCGCCGGGTTCCATGTCGGCCATCCCCGCCGCATCTATTCTCTCCCACCACTTGTTTGCCAGCTTCTCTTTCTTCTCTATACCCCCTCCGCTTCTTCACTCCCAAGGCTTCTCGAATGGAAAGCCAATGCTTCGGATTATCTTCTCCCGTCCTCCTCCCCGACCCAATACTTCTCCGGCAGATACTTCTCACCGGTAGCTTCTTCAGACCTCCACTGTTTGAGATCGGCGCAATCACGGAATCAGGAGAGAAGGTGCTCGCCTTCCTCTCCTGCCTCCCCCATGCAGGAGCCCTCTAAACTCCAGACGACGTCCGGTCTTCCTTCTAACCCTCACCTCAGTCGATCCGGGTGGAACAGAAACGGAGGAGCTCTCGCAAAGAAAACCCTACCTTCGGTCCCGATAGCTCCTCCCAGCTCCTTCAGACCTTCCCTTCCCTCCTATCTGCAAAATAACCCGGAAGTCGTCTTCGAGGAAGAGGAGAAGATCTGTACCCACCTCTCGCCCGCCGCCGCCACTCCCTCAGACAGCCCCTCCGCGACGCCCCGCTCCCTCCTCTCTCTCTTTTGCACCGACCGATCCGGATGTTCTCGCTCCTCTGCCAGGGAGAGAGAAAGAGCGAGATAGAGAGAGAGAGAGAGGGAGAGAGAGCAGGAGAGAGAGCAGGAGAGAGCTGAGGACGCGCCTGAAGCGAGCTTCAATCGGAGAGGATGATGACTTGAGGTCGGGGAAGGGAAGAAGAGGACGGGGGGGAGGCGTGCCCTGGGATATTAAAAGCGAACAACTGCACACGGAGGAGGAGCAACCCGGCGAAAAAAATAATGGCCACTGCGCACCGATTAACCTTCACACATCTTCAAGCATCCGACATTAAAAAAACAGCCACCTGCATAGAAAAATATCCCCGATTTTATAAATATGGCCCAATATTATAATATTTTGGTAATATAATAATGAGACGCGTAGAATAATCAAATATATTAATTATTGAATGGCCGTCTACCCTCTCGTCGCGAGCCCCGCACGCATATTTTTATAGAATATGTTGTCAGCTCCTGCAGCGATATGCGAGTGCCTCTCCAGCGAGACGGTCAGAGGGCATGCGCTGACCGGCTCGATCTCGGGGGCGCCCGTCTCAACCGTGGTTTGCCCCCCACCCCCGTGTTACGATGTTAACTGGGGGAGGTGGGCCCGAATCGGACGGCTATGATCGGTCAGCGTGGAGAGCATCTTTCCGAGAGGAGGAGCCGATCAAGTTGACAAATTTGGACACCTGACCCCCCTTTACTGGGGGTACATGAATCAAATGTTCCATTTCATCCTGGAGCAAGAATCCCGCCTTTACTTGAACAATGGGGACGTAGATAACTCCTCGGTAAAATAGAACAAACTTTTTATTATCAAAATAACTTCAACCATGACTTCAGCAAAGTCCAACGGTCAGCGCGAAGGTTCCACGACTTAACCGAGCGGGAGGAGGCTCTGAAGTCAGACTCCAGGGGACCACCGAATTCCGGATCGGGCAGCCGCTGATTGATTGGATTTTGATGAGATTGACGTGAGGATAGCCTACTGGTCGAGCGGGCCCCCCGGTCGCCAGCGAGGATCACCGGGAAGAGAGAGAGGGCTAATGGGCTCGCTTTCCAGGCCCAGACCCGAACTGTCACGCAGCTCGTTTCACGTGTGGACTGTCGCCAGCTTTCGGGCATGTGGAAAGACACGTGGTGGCCCATGGGGCAGACGCGATGGCCATGTCGGCGAGGAGAACGCCGTCTGATCTGTCTCTCTCTCTCTCTCTCAGAGTTCTGTCACGCATCCCGATTATTGAAACACTCAAACAAGGACACATGCACGGAGAGAGAGAGAGAGGGTTGACTTGGTGATTAATAATTTCAGGAATATTTAACAATATTGCATGTTCTGGCGCAGAGAAAATGCAAATCTGCTTATGAATCATGTGCACATCATCGCCGAGCAGGCGGAGGAGCGAGACCGTGAGAGAGAGAGAGAGAGAGAGAGAGAGAGAGAGTTGTGAAACTAATGAACGAATTCAATAACGTGGTGGGATGGATACTCGTACTTCGCTGCCAATCATTTGTCTGCCTACGATGTCCTGTCTGTTTACTGAAGACTCTCTCACTTCAAGAGAAATCCGCGGCTCCTTCCCTCATACGGGCGGGGGACCTGCTCAGTGTCCCTAAAAAAAGCCCGAAAATAAGCTTCAAAACAAACCGTCTGGGGACGGAAAAGCCTGTCCTGGCCCTTCGATGACTGCAGAAAAGAGAGGACATATAAATAATATTGTATTTTATCCGAAAGAAAGAGAGAGAGAGAGAGAGAGAGAGAGAGAGGGGGGGGGGGGCCGTCTGGTCTGGCTGAGCCGGGTCCATTAATCTAGGCGAGTTTAATTTTACTGGGCAAGTTGCAACGAACCCGTACCGGCCCAGAATTGACCGCTCCATTAACACCTTTATTGACCTCTCTTTTTCTTTTTTCAAGACCATTTTTATATGCCATTTAATTGACGACAAAACTAGGTTTCTCCGATGCTACCGTATTTAAATATTAAGCAATTTCCCGTTTGATTTTAAAATATATATATATCTAGAGTGCCCCAGCCTAGGATCTCTCTCTCTCTCTCTCTCTCTCTCTCTCTCTCTCTCTCATTAACCCACGATGTGCCACACATCAGGCTAAAAGGAAACGACAAAGGGAGGAAGAGATTAGCGTGCCTTTGACGGCGGAGAATCGCAAGCTTTAATCTAAAGTGGGAGTCGTTATATTAATAGTCAATACTGCGCCGGCTAAAAGAAGACCACGTTCGACGGTCGAGATTGCCCTCTTTACAGCCTGGTCGGCGCCTAATCGCGGGCTAAGGACGCGATCGATCGGTTCAGAACCGCGGGATCCGTGTGCCCCGATGATGAACCTATTCGTCCCGGGAAAGGTCGACTAAAGCGGCGGCGCACGGGAGATGGCCGGCGATTTTGTTTAATCCAAAGACGAGTGGTTTTTATATTTTTTTAATATTTTTTTAAGGGCGGCATGCGGCCCGGTGGCCCGTCGTCATCCGAGATGCGTGGTGGGCCGAGCCCATCGGGCCTGTGGCCTTTGTTTATCAATTAAATATACGTCGGGTGGACCGTACGCAGCTGGCGTAATGGGACTCCCGGGTGGGCCCGTGGGGTAGATAGCCAGGCGGGCCTATTCAAACCGGTAGGAGAGAGATAGGGGGGGAGCGGGCTCGTCCTTCGCCTTGTCCGGCTCAAATGAACGCAGAGGTAATGAAGAAAGTGGGCCCCAAATCCAACCAAGGACACTGCTTGCTATTTAAAGCACTTCGTTTCCGCGCACGTGCTTGTATAGGAGACCAAAGTTCGGTGCTTCTCCAACGGGTCTATGGTTTGGATGGGCCTAGGTGGACCCACCCTTGGGCTGACCAAGTTCAGGTCACCCGTTAATGGACTAACGGGCCCGGTAGCCCGTTTTTTTTTTCTTTTCTTGGTTTTACCACCCCACGTTGACTTCTCTCTCCGCGTCAGCTCCTGCCAATGACAGAGGGAAACTCTGAATATTATGGGGCCAAAATTGTGCCAAGCCGGCGCATTTTTCGGAAGCGCGGCCCCAAAGAGTGCGTGCGGGGTTGAATTCGGACAAACTGAATACACTTCTCTTGAGAAAGTCAAAGGAAGAACAAACCACGTGGCCTCGTGTTATAATTCTGAGTCAACTGGACTAAAAAAAATAAAAATCCTTGCTGCGGTTGTGGGTCGGTATCTTTAAGGCTTCGTAGCATAGGAGATACTTTCTCTTCCGTTGGGGTCGGGCCGGGCCCGGAGAGAGACGGGCCGAACCGGGTCGAGCCGAGTCTATTTTCCTTCTATGGGCCCGATTTTTCTAATCGGGCCGTAAGCCGAGCCGAAGCAGTGGCCCATTAGCACTCCCAAATTTAAGCTTGGTTGGTCCACTATATAGGGTCTCTCTGTAATAGAAATGACCATAATACCCCTATCAGTTCCACTAAGTTGCACCTGATGTATTATTTTTGGTGGTCATTTTTTAAAAAACGGCGGCATAAGTAAATAGTTACACGATAATCATACCTGTATTTGCATTATTTTGATTAATACCCAATTTCTCGAGTATTTCGACCAAAAAATAAAAACTCGGAACCAATTGACTGTTCATAATGTTATCGTAATTATTGCACGAGAACCCCGGCTGTGCGCATTCCAAGGAAATGAGAGGATAAAAAAAACTTTAAGCTAGTCAGAGGGGCTATATGGAAAATTACTGGTTTGCATCCCAGAAGACAGGAGACCTGCGGGGGGGCCCGCAAGCTCGCGGCGATATGTATCTCCTTCGGTTGACACTTCGGTTAGGCTTTCCGTGCTGTGCTTCGCTGTATAGGAGGGCGTGCAGTGTGATCCTCTCCCTCTGCCTTCCTTCCTCCCCCATCCAATCGAGCGGTGATTCTCGGGGGCCGGTGGTCTCCGCGGAGATCCTCGCCAGTGGTTGACCTCGCCGTGTCGACCAGCTTTACCAGGCATCCCTCTCCTTCTCCCCCTTGGATGAGAGCTAGGGTTCTTTTGGGTGATCTCAGCGTCACTTGATCCGGGGGATTTCCATTGTTTCCTCTTAGTTTACTGCCGTGGTCGGATTATCGTCGTGGTTTTTTTTTTTTTCCTCCCCGTTTAGGTTCCAGTTTCGTCCGCGGGTTCATGGCACATCGCCACGGGGTCCCGGTCTCGACGCCCGGATCGGGGTCGAGCTCGGGTTCCAGCCAGCCCTTCCCGAATTCCCCATTCGGGGACACCGCACACACGAAGCTCTTTGTGGGGGGTCTGGCTTGGGAGACGAGGAGCGAAGCTTTGCGCCGATATTTCGAGCGGTTCGGCGAGATCCTCGAGGCCGTTGTGATCACCCACAAGAACACTGGGAAATCGAAAGGCTATGGATTTGTGAGTGTTCCTTCCCGTGGTCTAGATGGGTTCCGCTCATTTTGGAGGGAGATGGCTTCATTTCTTATGGAGTATCTTTGCGTTGAAAGTAACAGAATTTTCTTCTTGCTTGATGATTTGTAATGGAGGGTTTTAGGTGACTTTCCGTGATCCTGAATCCGCGGTGAAAGCCTGTGCAGATCCAAACCCTATCATCGACGGTAGACGGGCAAATTGTAATTTAGCTTCGTTAGGCAGGCTTCAGACGTCTCCAAGTTATGGTAGGCTTCCTCTCCTCACCTAGCTTTTTTATCTGATTGTGAAAAAAAAAAATAGCCTAATGGTGGCTACGTTATTTTATGCCTCACCAGTGAATTATTTACGAATGTTCGCGTCAAATTGGTTAGTTATTTGCCCTCTCAGATTAGATGGATCATCCAGACATAATAAACTGGTTGTTTGGGGAGGTGCATTTCAATCCAAGTGAAAGGTGCATTTCACTCTATATGATCAGGTTGTCACAGTTTGCAATGTTTATTGCTGCATGTTGGCATGAAAATCACGTTGAGGTGCTAGATTGCTCTAACACCACTTTGACAGTTCATCGGCCATCTTCTTGTATGTTATTCTTTATTTTTTTTGTATTTAATTCATACGCTGTAAACTATGCGAATGAGTGGACGTTTATATTTAATCCGCTTTCAGGAAAATATAGACTCTAATCCTCTTATGCGAATCAGTAAAGAGCGAATTTTCTTGGCCAATCAATGTTCGTTTTTAGCCTTTGAAACCATACACACTGCAGATGTGTCCTTTTGGTAATAATTACATTCTCTGTGTGCAAGACAAAGTATTTCAACATGATGTGTCCTTTTGGTAATAATTACATTCTCTGTGTGCAAGACAAAGTATTTCAACATGTTTTCTTTCCTTCATAATAAAACTGTAGCTAATCAAGATTTATCTCTTCTTTTATGGATACTTGGATCTCTTGAATGCGCTTCATCCAGTTAAATCCTTCAATCTGTACATCTTCATCGCGTTTTTACTGTCTATTCGAGGAAATATATGATGCCTACTATGCCATCCACCAATAATCGCCATTCCTTTTCTTTTTACATGATCCACCGTTTCTTTAAGTTTCCTTTCATCTAGATACAGTCTTACTCTCTCTCTCTCTCTCTCTCTCTCTCTCTCTCTCTCTCTCTCTCTCTCTTCATATATGCATGCATATAACTAATTCACGGTGTGGTCTATCTTGTCATCATCCATCGTAATGACCATGGAAGGAGGACGAAGGTCGGCTGAGAATGATGGCCAGATCCCCCCCCTCCTCCCATCTTTATCTGCTCCATTGTCGTTCTCAGCTTTTCTGGCTAGGCCAGACTTTTACAGGCCTAGCGAGACCCCAGGTCTGGGCTGGACAAGCGAGGGCTGTCTCACCCCTCTGCATGGGTCGGACCACACCTAGAAAGACAGAATGCTCTATTCCTGGGGATCTCATTGGAATATCATGGCTTGCAATGAGAATCTTAATGGCTCATTGGAAAGATTTTTTTCTGGTTTCTTTCGTTTTTTTCTTACTAATCCACCACTAACCCAGATTTTTCTGAGTCGTGTTAATCCTGAGAGATGTTTTTTCGGATTATCAAATCTCAACCAAAAAAAAAAAAACATTTTAAAGAATCCCTCAGAGTTGTCTGCCTGCGTTAATATCCTTTGGTTCATCCAGCTTATGGGGATTCGTTCTCGAATTGTTGATGTTTGTCTTCTCTTGTGTCTTATTGACGAGGGAGATTTCTCTAGCTTTGACTGGGTTCTTCCACTAATTCTCCTTTTGTCCTATTTCAGCGCGTCTCAGGGTTGCAGCCCCTCATTTCGGATTGCCTTCTCCTCCCGGAGCTTATGTCGGAAACCCTGGGTATCCTCAGCCAGTTCCTTACGGTTTTCAACCCGGGTTTCCATATCAGATGTATGGGTATGTTGACTCTACTGCTCATCATTCCCAGCAGGCACATGAATCCCAGCGAAAAAAAGATACATAGGCTCTTCCACATCCTCTGTGAACTTGATAATGTAGGGCCAGTCTCTTAGAGAATTACATGCCTGTAGAAAAGGTACGTTATGGCAGGGTAACCTAAGGGTACCCCACAATCTTTCCAGAATGAGATGATTTTTAAAAGAAAAAAAAAGAAAAAAATATCGCACACAATCTTTCCTTTTTATCCTGCCATTACGTGGAAAATAAAATGGATAATTCTTTATTTATTTTCATTGGAAAATAAAAGTAAAACCATCGTGGGGATGATGGTCATGCATTTTCCATAATAAAATGGATAATTCTTTATTTATTTGCATTGTCCTAATGAAGTAAGATTCTTCCCGTTTTCTGTGCAGGTATCCAACGTATGGACCAGAGCACATGTTTCCACAGGTCCTCTCTTTATTTAGATACATAAGAGCTTCTCTTCTGAGTAAAACCTCTGTGAGCTAGTTAAATATCCATGTATCATTTATTTCTTGCAGAACTTGTATAATCCGTTCGTTGGACAGCAATATTTCCAAATCCATGGTGTTCCAGGGGTAGTCAATCCGACCTTTTACCCCCTGGAACAGTTGGTTCCTGGTGGGGGTGACTACCCAGTAATCCCTGGCTATGGAGTACCTACTCACCATTCACTACAGTTCAGGACGCCAAATATAAATTCGTCTGCACCAACCATCCCCACAATCCAACCGCCATATCCTACTGGTAAGTTTTCATGCTTTCACTAGTTCTAGAGGAAATAATGAGCATTCTTATTTATGGGCTGTATGATTATAAGTTCCTATGTTGCGTGAGGATTGTGGCACCAGATCTGCTTCAAAGTGGGTCCTCTGTAACTTGTTAAACTCTTCTTTCAGGCGTTGCACCAGTTCCTCAGGCCCAGTTCATGGTGACGCCTCATCCACTGCAGTTCCCACAGGGCGGCGGCTCAGACCAGACAACAGGTTGAAGGGAGTATTCAGATGGCCACAATCCTCAGGTATTTTGTCTGTCTTTTTTTGCCTTTTTTATGAGGGAATCCAGCAGTATTTTGGCTAATTCAGTGGAAGCCCTCTCCAGGATAATTCATGGATTGCGGAAGGATTGAGGGCAGCTGCGTTTGAACAGCATGCTCTGAATCTTGCCTTTGGAACTTAGTGGCCTTCGCGTTGTACAGGTGAGTTCAGGTTTTCTGCTTTGTAATAACTGGTTTGACTTCTGTCTCTTACAAGTCAGTTGACTTTGGGTGTAGAGACTTCCGACACTCTTTCTCTCTGCCCAATTCTACATGATCTACTTTACTTAAGTTGGTGATATTCTCAACTTGCAGGCGTCCGCAGAGAAGCACAGGAGAGCCAGGATTGCTCGTGTGCTGCTGTTTGTAAATCCTCAGACCTCCCCTGCCAGAGTTCCCAGTCACTGGCTGTCGGAAATGGAAATCTGATAGCTACTGTTCATGTCTGTAGATACCCATCCCAGGCCAAAAGCCCTGATTGAATGCCGGAAATATGGCTGTCACATATCATAAGAATGAATCAAAGAACCGATTCTGAAATGATTTGTTTGTAAAAATTGTCAATATTATCGATATTTTTTGGGCAAAAATTATGAACCAAAAGATTGAGAGCAGGTCCAAGACGATGGGCTGTGGCACGATTTTCACTAGCATTATGATGGTACAGGATTCCAAAATCTGATGATCAAAAACATAGATATTGACCTCCTACCAGTTTGCATTATTATAACTGCCAAAAAGCTCTCATGATGGTAAACCTGCCACCATATAGATAGTTGAATGTACATAAAGTTAGGGGGTGCCAATAATTTATACTAGCCCCAATCCAGCAAACAGGAGACTTCAGGTCACAAAACTAGGAAAACATGGTGCTGACAGATCTCCAATAGGAGGTGTTCTTCGGGTCATGCGGACTCACATGGGTGTGTGGCCAGTGAAGGAAGGAGATGTCATCACAGACAGCACGTCTGTCACAGAAGCCATGGAACTGAGAGCAGCCTTCAGGACGTCCTGTGAACAGCCGGGCTTCACAAAGCTCTTCACCTGCAAAACAAGGAAGTCGGATTATAGCAGACCGCTAAATCTACAGCGGTGGTAATTGGAAATGGAAGGAGGAGGCCTGGAGATGATTGCAGTAATTTTCTAGTATCTAATACTCAAACAGACGACGAAGTAGTAACAGGAGCACTGGTGGCTGTGGGGAACCTTGTCTAGGTACTCTTGAAGCTTCTTGATCCGACCCATGTAGTCTTGATCCTCAACGCACAATGTTATCGTCTTTGCATCGCATCCGGCTCCATCAAACTGGAGGGGCCCCGGGTTTCTGTAGATATCATCCATCAAGAATTTTGCAGCGTTTTGTCTCCATAACCTGCAGAGTTAAAGCACTTAACTGAGGCATGAACTTGACTGAACTGAAGAATCATTGGGACATAACTGCTTTACTTTCTATTGTAATATCTGATAAATGCGATGTGGTCAAAGAACATACTCATACGCCTTCCCTTTCAGGTCAACCGTGACAGGGTGAATAGCAGGTTTGCCAATCGAGCTGGCCCCAGGACCACGGGCCCAACGTTTGATAGTCATCATGGCCTATCAGCACCAAAAGAAAGTCAACAAAAACATGTGAAACCAGCGAAATCTGAGGTGACGATGATTTAGAAAGGCATAAATAAGAGGCAGCACCGTCAGTGGAGCAGCGCCACATCGCCACTTGTTTGAAGGGTTCTTCAAGTTGGTGATGGTGGCCATGTAACCGTTCAAACCGGCAGCCAGAATATGATAGCAGATATAACCAAGCACCTAATGGTAACCTCTCTGTCAGTGAGAAACTTGCATAGCTATGAAGGACAGTATAAAAAATCAAGGATTGTCGTCATACATAGCCATAGTCACAATCAAACTTCGAAGGTAGAGACCCTCGAGCTTGGTAGCCAAAAAAGTGGCAGATGGCGTTGAACTTCTTTCCTTTATATGTGCCTTCTTTCTGCAAAGATAACCATGATGTCCAGGTTACAAAGGGTGCCATGATTTCCTTATTTATTGCAACCGATCTAGTACATATCTTGATCTGACACAAACAAACTTACCATTCGTTTGTTGATTTCTGTCTCCACCAGCTGGGCCAAAAGTTTCTCCATCTCAATCTGCCCAGGAAAACTAATAAGAACATCTGTCACAGATTCCTCGTAGAGACGCCCAAAGGGTTATTTTTACCTGTGACAGTTGTGCAGAGTCATCTGATTCTGGAATAAGCAGCAGCTGCATAACCAAAGGATAAAAAAATACTGGGTCAGAGTCTATCCATATATATGTATATGTATATATATATATACGTGCATATGTATGTGTATATATATACATAAAGCGAGGGAGAGAGAGAGAGAGAGAGAGAGAGAAAGAGAACCTGTCTCCTGATGAAAGGGGGGAGAAATTCGAACAGAGCAGATGCCCATGGTGAAAGTTGAGTAGAAATATTGTCAACAGAGACACCTTGCTTATACAGCACATTAATTTCCTACATTCATTTAAATTTCGATAACTGTAAGCAGGAATATGATACAACCACCAACAAGGAAGAGTCAATATATGACGAAAGCATAGAAGGATTTCAAATCTATAACCGGGCAATCACCTGTAAGAGAGCATAGAGTTCTGGAATGCTTTCTACTAGTCCTTCAGGGATTAGTACAACCCCATGATACTTGTCTGTAACAAAAATGAACGACCATCAGCAGATGAAAACGAGGTCAATTCACAAGATCAGCCATCTCCTCGCAAACCCTTTTCTGTTTACCTTGTTCAGCCCTTGCCTGAACAGCATCACAGATTTGTTTGGTAATGTCAAAAATTGTGAGCTTGTATGCAGCCACCTCCTCACCTAGAATCACCTGAGAAAATCCCGTGATGAATTGGAGTTAAGTGGCTATTTTGTAATAAGGAACACTGGTTACTCCTCTTTTTGAAGTCATCGGTAGTGAGAAAATACATCAAAGAGAAGCTTTCCTCATTGCTTTACCCCGGAAAGGAAATCCCGAACAGTTGCCCCTTACGACATTTTGGAGAATAATATCAAAGGAAGTGGTCGAGTTAAGTAATCAATAACAACCAGATCACATCAATAGGCAGGTGAACAAAAACAATCGCACGGATTTGTACCCACAAGTGGGAAGGGAGTATTATTGACGAGAGGTCAGATTCCATGGACCAGGAGGACGATATCTGGAGATGTATTAATCTCCGGATAATGGACATACGTGAGCATTGGGCATGGTCCAATTGACGGCAGATCATGGAAACCTTTTTGCAGTCAGATTCTGTGAACCAGGAAGACGGATACCTGGAGATGTATTAATCTGTGGGTTATGGACAAAGCGAGCACTGTGCATGGCCCAAGTGACCGCAGGTCAGGGAAACCTTCTTGCCACAAGTGACAAGATCCAAGAAAGTCTATTGCCAACAAAAAGAAGGTACTCATCACAGAAAACACCATCCTAACTGGTCCTGACAGGATAAAGTATATTATAATCTCAACATATCGATCCTGGTATGCACCGGCAAACATAATAAAGAGGAAAATGAAGAATACTAGCAATTATAGGTAATCTGTGATGCATTTTTCCTTTTATTAAGAAGGGAGGGCAACGGGGACGATCTTAAATAAAAAGCAATTTTGATGTTCTTTTATACACCTGCTATGTTCACGATCGTTTCTTGCGGCAACAAAAACTTCTGAAATGAGGAAAGAAAAAATGAGATGATAGATGGTGAACCTAACCAAATTTGGGTGTGACTGAAGCGTGCATTCCAGTGCCACATGAGATGCCTTTCTGCCCATCAGTCGAATGAAATAATAATACTGAAAAGCACAGGATAACAACGGTTCAGTAAATTCCACTAAAAGCTAGAGATAGAATTAAAAAATGGGCGTAGTCATAACATAAATTGAATTCAACAATTCCATTAACATGCATAAAAATATGAAAAGTGAAAAGGATGCTGCATCTCACGTGAGAAGAAGATATTTGAAAACAAGAAAATTAGACGAAATCGTCATGTAATAGCCCGTTTCAGAGTCTTATCGCGAGAGTCTACTAACAACCATCCACAGCTGGGTGCAGAACAGTATGTCACCTTCTCTGCCGAGAGAGCATCAGTACAGACGTTGCTGATGAGTTGTGAGTTAACCTGAAAATAGGACATGCGAAAATGTATCAAAGCTTAACATCTCAAAGTGTCTCGATTCAGTTTTGTCAAAACCAGCGATGCCAAGGCAACTCTAGATTCAATGTAAAAAATGGCAGATTAGCAACTATAGCCCGTTCTGACGGCTGGCATCTGGGTGAGACACAAGATGAACACATGGACACAACAGTTGGGCATCTTATTTTCGAATAATGTGATATAATTCAGTATTCACAGATAATTACTAAAATGAATATCCAGAAAAAATAATATTCGAGAAAACTTGACGATCATCATGCCCTTAAATGACGAAAAAAAATCCATAGCTATACTAAAAGCTATGCGATGCTATTTAGTGAAATGGTGAGTAATATGCACAAAGCAAAACTGAAAAATCAGTAAAATAACACCATAAAAACGTAATAACTCTGGTTATAGATATACCTTGCTTATCGTGTCAAACCCGACGCTTGTCTCCACAAACTGATTCTTTAAGTCGCCATTCAATGTGACAGGGACGCCAACAACCTGTCCAGAAAACACTAGAAAAATAAGTAAATTGATTTGTTTCAGACCACGCGGTACTTATTCGGCAGAATGCCAAACAAAATAGGATTATCACCAAGAAATATGTATATTCAAGAAAATCTGTACCGGGAACAAGATATGAAAGAAATAGTATAAATATCTATGAAAAGCTAATGACAAACACCTTAGTCGGGGATTTTGCCACAGCAAAAATTTCTGCGAGATGAGCTGCATCTGTGTTGGACGTCACTCCTTCAAAAGATAAAAAAGTCATTAAACTGCAAACAGATATGTGAAACGGTGCATGCATTTCCCAGGAACTAAGAGTAAGAAAATACCTCCAATAATAACAAGGCCATCTAACCTAAGACTCCGACATGCAATTAGTGTAGCATTAACTTGCTCACTGGTTCTAATTTGATCTTTTGTCCGGCCCAGCAGATCATAGCCACCTTTTATATTAAAAAAACACCGACAATTAGAGAGCAAATACATCGCAAAACCTTCCATGAGGACCAAGGCTACTATATTTGAAACGAACCTTGATTTTTGTATGTAGAAACGACGTCTTCAGTAATCTCCAGAGTTTTTTGGGCAAATAAACCCTCAGTTCCACCTGACACCACAATACGACCATCTCACTGTTTCATTTCATATGGCATTATAACAACTCAAAAATAGTCAATCAAGAAGGTGGTAAGACCCTTGTGGAGAAAGTGTGGTATTGGCAAGTCAGAGTATACCGTCGTTAGGAGATAAAATAGGTAACGTGTCACCCACAAGATTAAAATAACAAAATATACAAAGTTACGTGGTTAACACCTCACTAAAATGTGTCATAATACGAACAGAAAAGAAAATATAAACACTGAGAAATATAAGGATAAACTGAGTTAGACGAAAGGAAATGGTGGAGCCATGATATTTCAAGAAGAAACATAAGAGGTGAAGACGCAAGATAAACACCGAATAAAAAACTAAATTCCGAACATGCACTTAAATAAATAACAAAGGAGCTAAAGAAAACACAATTTTAACGGGATAGAATATACAAAAGCATCATGAAAAAACAGACTCACCAACAAATCCAAGCAGAGTGCTGTTCGTGTTGTGAATTTTAATAGCATTGTATAAGCCCCATACAACATTATGTCCTCCAGGGGACTGCCTCCCACAAAATACCACTCCCACCCTGCAATTAGACATTTTACGAGCAGCTATATCATCAGATACAGAAAAGCATACATCAACAAGCATGATGGACCTCTGCCTGAAGAGAAAAAAAGAATCCTCCTTGACTGATACTTAGCTTCAGGCCTTTATGCAATTACTCCCTTTTTTAATCTTTACCAGTTTATCTTATCAATACAAAAGCCTTAAGGCGATGCGAGGGAATTTTCAGGGCAGGAGGAAAATACAAACTTTTACAGGTGCCGATTAGATACTAGATTGATTTTTATTTTGAATAAATAATAAGAAGAAAAAAAAAAAGATGCCAATGAATCTCGACTTTGTTTACTGAACCAACTGACCAAGAATTACATAAACAAAAAACTATACATGGTACGTTAGCACAAACCTTACGATAGGATGCTCTGTAATGATCTGTGCATCAGCGACTTTGGCTGTCGCTCTCAGAAAGTGAGCCAAAGGCTGTCCATAAGTGTGTGGAAATAAACGACGGATGACATGGTCACTAGATGGATCAGAAGTTGTCGTACGATCACCAAACTCCACCCTAACAGTTGTACCCTGCTCCAACCAAGGGAGAAAATAAATCAGCAATCAGGAAAAAGAAAATGCCAGAAACGTGAACAAACAAATCTCTATACTGCCAGAGCAAAAGAAAGCGAAATAAAAAGAGAGTGCAATATTGAAGAATATTACCACATTATGCAGTGCCCAATACCATCGCGAACTTTTTGTATGATTTACGGCTAGTGAAACAATCTATAATGAATTTAGCTGCTAGATTTCTAAGGCACCCTTTTTCCCGTTTGTGTGGGTAAGACTTATTGATATGCTCCCAGAAAATGCGGGAGGGGACTAATCCAAGGAATCTTCCAGTAACTCCAAACTTCAATTTTTAGGATTAGATACAATCAAAAAGGAAAAACTAGGACAACGGAAAAAATTCCCATGATGTGTAATGGAGACCACCAGTCAATATACTTTTTAGGTGATGAAACGGCCAGATATTTCTGCATTCGGCATGATCATCTCCGCCCACCTGGTGTATATAAGAAAAAAAGTATGGTCCCACAAGTACTAAATGTTCTCAGTTTTTTGGGTGTTTCAGCAATGAATACTTCGTAAAACATAACTTAATTCCCACAAGTAATTCTTTTTCATTTCTTTGGTTATCAAGAAATGCACATTCTTCAATTAATCTACAGTGCTCTGGATAATTCTACCTACAACGTACAGTCATTCACCGGACTATTCGAGACTGAGACAAGAGAACCTAAATTGAACTCAGTCAGCTTCATCCACCAAACTGAATCGTGTTTTACTCGTAAACAACGGAAAAATGCATCTTTGCAACATGCATGTATGGTATACTTCATAAAAATCAAATAATAAAAAGAACGAACAACTTTTCGAGAGTCAAGTGGAAATTTCCGACCCACATTACAGTGAGAAAGCACAAAAGAGACATCGAAGTTATCAACTTCCCCTGCGACCTAATCCAGTCATGTAGTATCTCTAGCAAGAATTGAACGGGAAACAGCCCTAGGGAAAAAAAAGTTGCCCGAATCTGAGGCAAACTGAAAAAATATGTGTCCGATAACGGCGCTGAAGTAGTGAATCTATCGGCACCACAGCAGTGGCATACAAGTTTGGACCTAACGGCCGGCCCCGTTACCTTTCGGCATGGGGAATCCCCGGTGGCAACAACCACGGTAGTAGTTGCGGAACTACTGGGCCGTAAACCGGAATTAGTTCCATATCACACCCACACATCATAATGAAGTCGAGACAGTAGGGAACAGAAGAACGAATGCATGAGACACATTACACGTTCCCACTACATCAAATAAACGCCGATCGGTTGTATACATCTGCCAAAAAAGATGAATGCACCAGAGGGAGAGAGGAAGGAGATCAGTCAACGGGAGTGAAGAAGACAAAGAAGAAGAAGAACCTGAAGACATGGGGGTATCTCTGGGTGGTACTCGGCTCTCTTCTTCTGGAGATCCGACAGCTCTCTGGGGACGCCGTAATCAGAATCCATCCTGCAACTCGCCCTTCTTTCTCTCTTCCCCTCTGCTTCCAACCTCGTAGATATCCGATCTCTTTCTGTGCGGCAATTTTTATACCGCCCAGTACTGCCCCTGCTCCCCAACGCCACCAGTTTTCCCGCATTGCCAACAAAAAACCCTCATAAACGTAAATATTACGAAAATGGCACCCTAGTGCTAAGGTCGGCGCTCAGAAACGTGGAGCCCGGAATCGAGACACCGCATCCCATGTAATCGTATCTAACCACTCGCCCTGAGACTCACTGCGGGTCGGACCGATTCTACGAGTCTTGAGCGGCCGTTTCCGATAAGAGCTTGGCTTTCTCCCGGCCCGGGGTTGCGGACAGCCCGAGTTCACTCGGTTCTCACGTGACACGGAATGAAACTCGTTCGCGGGTGGGATGGGCAAGTTTTCGCCGCACGGTTATCTTCACCGAATGGTTACCGGCCTCCCAACACCCCTGTTGCAATCGCCCTAGGTTTCCCCCACAAACGGACAGCCGAAACCTTATCCACAGGCGGGGGAAGATGACGTAGATGTAATCACGTGCCGATAGCCCCACCGTTTGGTAGCACGTGCGTACGATCTCGTCTAACAAATGAAAAAAATTAATAAAAAAAATGTTGCATAATGACCTGTCCACCGGTGGGATTATGTGTTAAGGTATTTCCATAAATATCGACATATCTGGGGTCTTTTAAGGAAATGGTGCCACGTATATTAGAATATTCGTATTTCTATCCACGAGACCGAACCTGTGGGCATGTCCACCGGATTTGACGGCCACGTCATCTTAATTGGAAGCCAAATCTTTGTTTTGTTGGGCTGTCGCCCCAAAGTTGTCTTTTGTCGCTGGAGCCCGTTTACAGGAACAACCTAAGTGGGCCTTATGGGCCGGCCCAGAAGTGGAAGCCACGCGAGAACCCTTGCCGCATATGAGCCGCACGTTTTCTCCTCCGCCGCCGGTCGCCGCCCCTAAACACGAAGCTCCGGCTGGGGAATCCACCGGGGGGGACCTTCTCCGTTCCTCCGCCGGCGGCCGCACCGGTGAGCTCTCTTCTCACGCTCAGACTGCACCGACGATGCATTTCCTCGACGGCCGTGGGAAGTTCGAATCTGATTGATCGATGCAGATAAGGTATTCTCTAAGCTTCGACAGGATGTCTCCGACTCTTTGAGCGGCAGAATCGCAGAATGCTGAGCGGAGCCCGCCGGCTTCATGCATCTCCTGTGCTGGCGACGATGATCCGGGTGCTCGGTGGCCACTGTAGATCCTGCCGTGGATGGATGTCTTCCACGAGGATGTACAGCTCGAGCGAGATCTCGTCGGGGGACGCCGCGAAAAGATTATGCAACATAATGGTGTCCTGCCCTAAGGCCGGCCTAGAGATCGCCCTCGAAGAAAGCGGCATCTGGATGACGCCGGATCTGGCAGAGGAAGTGCTGGAGAGGTTCGAGAATGCCGGAATGCTCGCCTACCGGTTCTTCGAGTGGGCGGGCAAGCAGCGGAACTACTCCCACAGCGTCAAAGCCTACCACACCATGATCGGATCCCTAGCCAAGATAAGACAGTATCAGATCATGTGGGAGCTCGTCAACGCCATGCGCAGCGAGGGGATCCTCAACATCGAGACCTTCTGCGTGATCATGAGGAAGTACGCGAGGGCGAAGAAGGTGGACGAGGCGATCTACACCTTCAACGTCATGGAGAAGCACGGGGTGCCCCTGAATCTCGCCGCATTGAACGGCCTTCTCAGCGCTCTGTGCAAGTCCAAGAATGTCCGCAGGGCCCAAGAGCTGTTCGACGAAATGTCCCACCGGTTCTCCCCCGATTCGAAGACCTACAGCATCCTGATCGAGGGATGGGGGAGGGAGCCGAACCTGCCCAAAGCCCGAGAGCTCTACCGCCGGATGATCGCCGGCGAGTGCGAGCCAGACGTGGTCACGTACGGCATCATGGTCGACGTGCTCTGCAAGGCGGGTAGGGTAGAAGAAGCAGTGGGGATCGTGAAGGAGATGGCCTCCAGGGGCAGCCTTCCCACGTCCTTCATCTACAGCGTCTTGATCCACACCTACGGAGCCGAGAAACGGATCGAGGACGCGGTGAACACCTTCTTGGAGATGGAGAAGGCCGGAATCAGAGCCGACGTGGTGGTCTACAATGCCCTGGTCGGCGCGTTCTGCAGGGCGAGCAGGCTGGAGAACGCCTTCCGGATGCTGCGGGAGATGGAGAAGAAGGGCGTCCCCCCGAATTCAAGAACCTGTAACATCGTCCTCAACGGCTTGATCGCGGTGGGGAAGATCGAGGAGGCGTATGGGTTCTTCCGCAGGATGATCAAGCACTGCGAGCCGGATTCAGACACCTACACGATGATGATCAAGATGTTCTGCGCGGACGGGAGAGTGGACAGGGCCCTGAGGGTGTGGAGATTCATGCGGCTGAAGCAGTTCATTCCCACAATGCACACCTTCTCTGTGCTCATCAATGGGCTATGTGCGAAGGGGGAGCTCGGCCGAGCCTGCGTCCTGCTCGAGGAGATGATCGAGAAGGGTATCCGCCCCCCCGGGTACACGTTTGGGAAGGTGAGACAGCTGCTCTTGAAGGAAGGCAGAGAAGATGTTTTGCGATTCCTCACGGAGAAGATGAACCTGTTGATTAAGGAGCCCCTGTGCGATTAAAGATGACTGGGATGGGGTTCGTGCAGCATGCGGGTTTGCTCCGAAGGTTGATTTCTCCGGGCTTTTGCACTAGTTTTCCTTCATTTGCTGTAAATTTTTCGCCCACCAGCTTACTAATTAGCTTGCATATATCTGAAAGTTGATGTTTTTTTATCTTCACAGTTGAGAGTTAGATTCATGTCACCAATTCTGTCTCAGTAACCCTAACACAGCATAATTTTGTTTGGATTTAGCCCTTGAAGTGGAAGTCAATAAAGGAAAAAAAAGGTTCTTGCACTCTCTCTCTCTCTCTCTCTCTCTCTCTCTCTCTCTCTCTCTCTCTCGCTCTCTCGCTCTCTCTCTCTCTCTCTCTCTCTCGCTCTCTCTCTGTATCCATCTATCTATTTATCTAGAAGATACTTGTCTTTAACATACTAGTCACAGTCTCCTCGCGCCCCCTTAAATCATATTAGGTCGAGAATTCTGAGGTTCATGGTCAGAGTCTACCAGGTTTTCGAGAGTTGGGTTTTGAATCAACAACCCGATTCAATTGATGAACTCACATCAGAACGTATTGCATACAGACTAGTATAGTGTGCCATCCTGGAAGCCATGTGTGGGAGGGCAAAGGTTCGCAGGAGAACGAAGAGAACAAAGGTACATAGCTCAACTAAGACTAAAACAAAGATGAACGACTGTACTGGAAGAAAGAAACCAACTGATGACCGAAAACCTGGTCCACGGAAGAGCAACTCTCCTTCATCTTCGTCTTCAGAGCTCTGCATCTTCGCCTATCAGAGATAAACCTTGATTCTGACCCTGTACTTCGTTTTTCACTTCCTAACCCTTCTGTTCGGATGGTTCTTTCCTGGCTCCTTGTTGCTCCGCTTGCTTCTGGCGGAGCCCAGGGTGGTAGGAAGAGGCACACGATGCTCACCAGCCAATACAGGGAACCCAACAGCAGGGATTCTGAGAAAAAATAATCGAAGACCGGAAAAAGGTTACATCGATTGTCAAGCAATAATTTGTTCCCACCAAAAATCATGTGTTTGAAGAGTCATTTCTTTCATGAGGGAAGGGAGATCGACATAATCCAGCATCTCTCTCTCTCTCTCTCTCTCTCTCTCTCTCTCTCTCTCTCTCTCTCTCTCTCCATCTATCTATCTACCTATTTATCTGTCTATCAATATATATACATACATATATGATTCTAATCGTCATCTGTCACCATGTACCATGAGGAGAATAACCTAATTAATGCCTACTTAATAAAACTAGACCTTTCACCGCATGCGTGACGAATATATCTAAAAATAGTGAAATAATCAGAGAAAGTTTTGCCTGATTTCCACCGTCTTTATTTCTTGTTTAACAGAATTTTCTAACGATAAAGTTAAAACTTATACCAGACTCACCCACTCGTCAGGTTAACAGATAACATTTGGTAGACGTGAGAATTCGGGGGCGTGAAATCTTAAAACCACATGATCGAACTTCTAATGTGAAGAGACTTCGAATTTTATCCCATTATTTGAGTGTCTAAACTTTTTTTTGTAGAACAGTGGAAAAACTAAATTGAGAACAAAGGTAGAAATGTGGCAAATGGAAACAAAAACAGCGAACGAAATCTTACCCACGAAGAGTACGGCAGACTCCTGTATGGCTAGTGGAACAGAAAGTGCCTTGGCCTTCGTCAAGGACTGGCGCAGTGCCATATTCTCCGCTGCACAGCAGTGAAGCGCATGTTGAAGACGCCTGACCTCTGAGGCCATAAACTTGCTCTTCATCTCCAGATCCTTGACGTAGATTTTCTTCCTTTCTCTTGATTTCATGGCGGAATCTCTATTCCTCATCTGTCTGAGAATCGCCAATGAGGACAGGACGCATGAGACTTCTGCTGAACCGTATATTTGAGAGTTCACATTCCACCAAAAAAAATCTACAGCGATCTTTATGCCAGAGGCATCAACAGTTATATAAAACAACACATACAACCCAAGAGAATATCGACTGAGCGAGTTAACACGGAGTGTTTCAGGAAGAATTTACATAGTTCGTAAAATTAATGCACAATCGCATAACCTTCTCCGTAAAATTTCGGATAGCAACACATTGTTATGAATAAAGTACAGAAATATAGACGACTACTGACCTCGTATAACTCAACTATGACCAAGATTCGTAAAACCCCGAGAGTTTCTAACTTGATTATACGAAATTACTCATACCTTCTGCGTTTCTTGCTGAGACTATCCTCATCTTCGTCACCCTTACTCTCGGAATACTCCCCGTTCATCTGCCTCTCGAATCCCGCCCCCGAAGCCGCGGCGCTCACGTCTGGTTCGGCGTCCTCCTCGCTCTTCTCCTCCAGCGCGTTCTCCGGGGGAGTGGCATCGTCGCCACTCGATACCGCAGATTCCGCGGAGCCGTCGTCGGATCCTGAGAGGAACACGTCAGCGAAGAAACTATCGGGCAAGGCCTCCTCCACCTCACGGACATCTGCACCGTCCTCCATCAGGAACCTCTCGATCTCGCTTATAGTCTGCGGCGACGTTGACTCCCCCGAGGCGAACGGCCGCTTCGGTGACGGATCGGCGACGGTGGAGGACTCCTGGAAGAGAAGGAGATGGAGATCGTCGGTGCCATCGAAGTCGAGGTAGAATCCGTCCAGGACGTCGAGGCTGTCGAGAACATCCTCTTCCACTGGCCCTTCCCCATCTTCCATGGAGTGACCGAGTTCGCCTCCCGCCGGCGCCACCCGACCAGAGAACCTCAACTTCGGTCTACGAGGGCGGCTGGTGCTTAAGGAGGCGGGGCGAGACGCGGTTGCTTCCTGAGCAAGGGAACAGCGTTTCTCTTCCGCGTCATCCGGCCAATGGGGGATCGTCTTCCGGAGACATATCCAATGAGAACTCCCCTCGTGTCTCGGGGCAATTTATAGTCGAGAAAACATGCCTACTTTTTCTCTCGAAATCAATTTACAAGTAATCTAATCAAAAATTTATATTAATTTTACATAATTCGGATATTCATTTACATGCAATGAGGATCCACCCCTGACTAGCAGCCTACATACAAAAATAATAGCTGCCCAGCAATAGACTTTCGTCAGCTTTTTTATTAATTCATAAAATAATTAATATTAATAAATATAATTTAGCAAAGTAACATAACCCCCCAACATTAAGCTATACAACAACGTCTTGCAAGATATTGTGTGGTAACTCGGTGGGGGAATAACGTCACTATTTTTTAATTATGATTTAATACTCCATAGACATGTACGAGTATAATTATCAGGGAAATAAGGTTATTTTATTTTTTTACCCATGTGGCATGAAAAATATAAGCACGTGGACTAAAAAATTGTTTGAAGGCCTAAAATGAAGCTTTAATTTGTAGGGTTTAAAGTTTTCTTTTTTTTTTCACTTTAATTATGAGTTTTATTAATCTTATGGCTTTAATGGATTTTTTAATATATTTATGCCTACTTACCCATATGGCATGAAAAATATAAGCGAATGGACTAGAAAAAAATTACGTCTAAAAAGAAGGTTACATCCAATAAAATAAAGTATAGAATACTAGATCTGTAGGGTTCTATGTTTTCTACTTTTTTCCTTTTTAAATTATTATTATTATATTTAAGGAAATTATTATATATTGAACCCTATTTAAAAATTATTTTTATGAATTTTAAGTATTTTCCAAATATATTTTTTGAAAAATATCATCATGTGGTCGTTTTTTTTAAGGCCTAAAAACGAAGGTTACACAAAAAAAAAGGAAACATTAGATCCGTAGGCTTTAAAATTTTTATATTTTTTCCTGTTTAATTTTGTTTTTAATATATTTTTAATAATTAAAGGATGCAATAATATATTTGACCCTATTTAAAATGCCTAAATATTGTAACCCAGTGAAGTCACGAATATTGTATTTTTTTTCAACTATCTAATTATATATATATATATATATTTGTGACCCTGTTTGCTTGTGGATTCAAGAGCATTTTTTATGATCGTAGTGGGTCCAAGAATCATCCCTACAAATATTTGTGGATAAAAAGATTAAGAAAACTTGTGACTTGTGGATACAAATATTATTTTTGTCCTTCTTTCCTCTAAGCTTCATGCTGTTGTGGATTCAATGCCTGAAAATCTATTTCACGTGGCTTTTATCGTGTCCATATTCAACTAATTTTGCAAAATACTAACTCATCATTATAATACCACAAATGATATTATATTTGATAATTATCACCAAATTCACGATCATTTTATTTATCACCTTGTCCGCCTTTTTTAACCAAATAAGGAATCTTGACAAAGAAGAGGGGAATTTGACGAAATAATTTCATTACAAATACCTCTTTATAATTAATTTTAATCAGGGGTCCCACTATGGAGTAAATAAATAAATTAGTACATATAATAATTACGGTGATAATATTAATAATTTAATTTTGAATGGGGGGGGGGAATGTAAGAGAGCCTCGTGCTTTCAAAACGAAGGGTACAAACTGAGGTCGTTGGAACTTCGAACCGAGTGGTGCTTTTTGTCCGCGGATCTCCTCCTCACCCTCGTCCCCCCCCCATCTTTCGCCTGTCCTCCAACGTATAGCCTCTCCGGGAGCTATGGAGTCCCTAATGACGGACTGCGTGCAGTACAGCCTTCGTCTCTTCATGAATCGGAACGCTATATTCGTCTGCGAGCGACTCTGTGCTGAGTTCCCCTCCGAGGTGCTCTCTCCTGCTCTCTCTTTCTCTCTCCCCCTCTCGACGACGTCTCCAATGTGAGGTGTCGAAAGGAGTTCCTCGTTGAAGAAATATCTGCGGACATTGTTGACAGTGCAGTATAGTAACCAGTGTTCAAGTGTCCAGATTCAAGGTTTCCATTCCTTTGGTCCATCTGGGATTGCGCCATTCTTTCGGCCAATCGGGATGCGAATTGCATTTGTCACCATTATTCTAGATTATAGTCGAAAGGGAAACATGTGGTTGATTTGTGTAATTTATATTTTAGGGTTTTACTTTAGCTTAACTTTTAATTTTCCACGCTTTTATGCACTGATCCATTTCGGATACCGTTTGTTCCATAGTGAAGTTTTGTGATAGTCAGGGTTTTGATGAATTCTAAAGGCTTTATGCCTTCTTACGTATGACTTATTTTGTGCAAATTCAACAGGTAAATTTGCAACTTCTGGCTACTTGTTATTTGCGGAACAATCAAGCATACTGCGCGTACCACATCTTGAAGGGTAATTGATCCCAGCAGAATGAGTTTTCCCCCCCTTTTTGACGCTTTAGTCACGTGTGACGAGGGCATAACGATCGGGTTTTATTTCTTTGATTTCTGTGATGATATATGAGAAATTTTTTCTCAATACTTTCGTGTCTGACCAGCCATATTATTTCACTGCAGCTCTATTATACAATGCTGTAACTGTTCATCCAGTCAATCCTGAAAAGTTATTGCCTACATTATCGTGCATGTTGTCCATCTTCATAGTAGAGGAAATTTCCCTTTGTCATCCTTTTTTTTTAATGTTTAAACTGAGGTATTGCAAATCATCTCTTTTATGTTATCAGCATGTTTTGAAGATCACCTGTGTCGATGTCTAATTGTATTTAATCTTTTGTTTTCTATGAGAAGGGAGAAAGATGCCTCAATCCCGATACTTGTTTGCAATAGCCTGCTTTGAGATGAATCTCCTTCGTGAAGCTGAAGCAGCTTTGTGTCCCATAAACGAGCGAAATACAGAGGTATTATTTTCTCGACAAACATCAGAAATATGAACTAAACACAAATTTCCGATTAGTTAATCAATTTTTCCGAACGTTTTTATCCCATTGTTATGGATTTCAATCATATTTAGTATAGCTTGCATCCTATATGAATGAACTGTGGGAAAGAAATTCACTGGTGATTGAATCTTCTGAATGATTACACCATATCCTTTCTAAGTGGAACTATGGTGGGATGACCTTAAATCATCGATTACTTTGATCCTAGTTGCCAGCTGTGTAACGTCCAGCATAGACTACATCAGATAAGAACAATATAGTAGAGGAAACATACCCCAGGCAGGGTACAAATGAAACAGCTAAATTTAGCAAATAACATAAACATTTAAGATATTTGTTCAAGTACCCTGAATAACGTAGGGATGAGGTTTTTAGCATCCTAGTGGGAGGGACTATGGAAACAGAGTGAATAAGACTAAGGGCGATGCTTAGGAGTTTTTGAAGAAAAGAACCATCTGACAAGGCTAGAACGTACAACCTTTGTTAAAAGAAATTTTCTTGAGGGTGCGCTGAGACATGAAACAGGTGAGAAACTTGGAGATGTGAGGTGTTGTCTTTCACCCTGTAATAGTCGAAAGGATTTATTTTTGGAAGGTCTACACTTCCAGAGCTATCAAGGCTACATCCAAAGCTTTCAACTTCCAAAATTGAACAATTTCTGATAGGTTTAGTCCTAGTGAGAATCTGGTGTCCAAGGCCCAGACTTAATCGATGGAAAGAATGAAGTGAACAACTTTAGAGTTCTCGTCAGTTACCTATAGTAGGATCAACCTCAACAAAGGGACATAATATTGACGATGTAAATTTCAAAGAAGACAAATGTTGCAGTCTAATCAGTCCGCCATAGTGTGCGAGAAAAGAAGAATCTGATATTAGATAAGCCCTCGAGTGTAGGATAGGGCTTCTCCACTGAAAGTGACGATTATGATATGTAGACTTCAGTGTGGAAGAAAAAATAAATGTGATGGTTTTCCTCTCTATATGGACGATGTCAGGCGTTCTGGCAGTTTATGTGGGACAGCTCGCGGCCCATTTTCACTAGAGATCGTGTGAATGTTCATTTAAAAAATTGCCGCATAATGGCACCTCTCTGCATTGATTTCGGGACTTTTATAGGCCACTAATTAATATTTCATTGCTTCTACGGTTTTTAAGTAAATGCAATTATATGCTCTAGAACATCGTAACTATGATCTTTTTTGCATTTTTCAACCTGACCATCCATACTATCAGGATTCATTATGGCCAATCTGACCATCAGATTCGAATCCTTGTAGTATGAATCTACTTGCTTTTGGATTCAATCTCATTGGATGCCTCATTGCTTACGATGTTTTGAAAAATGTGTGAACAACATACTGACCACAAATGTACCTCAATTTCTATTTTCTTCTTTTCGCCTTTATGCAGGTTCCGAATGGAGCAGCTGGTCATTACCTTTTGGGTCTCATATACAGGTGTCTCCTATCTTTCGCTTTTATTTGGTTTATTTTAGGTGCTCACTGCCTCTATTTGTTTTCAACGAGGCTTAAGTACTTTCAATCAAAATCTAGACATAACCTTTTTCTGAACCATCATTTTTTCCTTGGAATTAGAGATATGAGACCTTGACCAATCATTGCCAATTCCCTTTGTCATAAGGATATGAAAAAGTGACCTTATTGAGTTTTCTTCATCTAATGCCAAAAATTTAAATTACACCAAATAGCATATGAAAGCTTTGCCATTCCTCTATTCCTCAAAGGAAAGCACGATCTTCATGTGGAATTTGTGGCTGCTCGCGTTCTAGTCCAAACTAGCCAACATGCTCAATCTTCTACACAGAGGTTCCCCACATGAACTAAGAAGAAGTACCTCTTTCGTTGATTAAGTAGCCATAATTTCTCAAGTTTCAATTTCGTCTATTTATGGTATCCTCTTATTTTATTTTGTTGCTAACATTTCTTCCACAATCCTTTTTGTAGCGTTTGAATGTTTTCCGTGACTTCCTTATTTTCTATTTCTCTTGATTTCCCCTTTGTTAACCAAATTACAATTTGTGCTACCTTTTTTTTTTCTTGGTTTTCAGCGTTTGAATCACTTTGTAATACTGAAGTGCAGTGTATAGAAATATATTTGAGAATATTTAAAGACCATATTAATATATACTGAAGTTGTAAAAAGTTTAGTTTCCCTGCCTCGTACCTAAATGTTTGGAAAGTCTGGCTCAGTCTCACATCCATAAACGTTCAGTGGCATACTTGACATTATATGCATGAAGATGTGAAAAAGTTTCATCAGTCGTCGTTGTACTATACACCTAAATTCAGAATGCCGAATTTATTCGAGAGGGAGGCAGTACTGAGGTGGAGGGTCTTCACCTCAGAATCACATAAATGATTCACTCTTATCGGATTCAGATTGAACCTAATCATCTAGTGTCCCAATCTAATTTCGAAGTTGGTTTTTTGTGCTGAAAAGGTTAACCATCAAGCAGTAGAGTTGGTGCTATAATGGTGGAAGTGACATCAACATCAACAACAACATCCTCTGTGCTTTCTTTCTTTTTTCTGGCTAGATGCAATGGTCTAAGTAAATCTACTCCAAAATAAAGGAAAGATGATAGGAAATCATCTTATTCACATATCTGTTGGCATAGATCGTGAATGATACAGACTTGCCTTTTCTATTAGTTTTATTTATTCCATGGTGCAGTTAGAAATATCTTTAGTAGTGGGAGTGGAGTTCTTGCATTACTGTTGTCGGAATAGAACCACTCATTATATTGCATGCATTTTTTTATTCCTAGAGATTGTTCCTTGGCTCATGGTGTGCTGGTATTTGATGTGTGGTTCACATAGGTATACAGATCGGAAAGCAAGTGCAATTGACCACTTTACAAAAGCTTTGGCGATAGATCCTCTTCTATGGGTTGCATATGAGGAACTATGTGTACTAGGTAGTTCATGGGCCATCTTATTCTCTTGACTTGGTTTCATTGTGCTTTCACCTTTGTTACCATCATCACTAATTATTTCCTCAAAAGATGCCACTGATATAGTCATATCACACTTCGTTTGATTTAAATTTTCATTTATTATGCAGAAATTAAACAGAAACTGATCCTCAAGCTCAGATTGTTCGTGCGTAAGTTATCAATGGATTTTTTTATGTTTCAGGTGGGGCAGCGGATGCAGATGAATGTTTCTCTGACTCTGCTGCTGTTCGCGCTCAGATGCTCCATTTACCTGAATTAAACTCTCAGAACCTACTAGTTGGTGCTTATGACGGCAGTATAGCATCTGGTAGGGTAACTGTCTCAGATGACATGAGTCCTAGGCAGCTGAAGCAGTTACATCCCAACAATCAGAGAGAGGTCACTGGATATTCTCATGGAGGGCAACACATAAGCAATGGCCTGTCTAGTGTGCCACTCTATAATACCCCTTCGCCAATAACAGCACAGGTGGGATTGATTACGCCCTTAATGATCTTCAGTGTATTCATTCTGAAAGTCTCTGTATTTTATGAGTTGGTCACCCACAATTCGGGAAATTCTGCGGCAAATATGCTAGTGTTGGGAGGCTAGATTCTGATTACTTATAAATATATTTATAAACGTATGATCTATGTTTTTTTGATACATTGCTTTTGTTGGGACTCTTTATCATTTGATTTAGTATTCTATTTTGGTATATCCACACATAAAAAGTCTAACATGGGTTTTTAAGAAAATGATGTGCCCCTTTATTTTTTGTCATAATTGGTGGCAAATTTCTTCTTCTCTTTTGATGGATCATTATCCTAGGTATGATGTGTAAAATGTGTCGTGGTTTTAATATGAGTCATGCCTTAGCCTGAGAAGGTTTCCCCTCCATTGAGCAATAATCTTGTTTAAAATGGAATAATCTTCTGTTACTCCTCTAGTCAGTGTAAGTCGGGAAGTGACCAGTATCATGATTTTTATATGATCGTTTTCCAACGAAGGGTCATAAGTCATGTCGGCAAATGGTAAAGATTATTGATTTAAGTCTTGAATTTAAGGTAAAAATGTTGATATTTATATAGTTTTGATGGTGTGGTCTAGAGCCCATATTTTGATGCATTGTCAAGCTGGCTGAAAAAGGTGCTTGCCTTGGCTGCTGTTGCTATGATGATGATTTTTTGTCACCTTGAGTGCATTGTTTATCTTGTTCGTAACATTAAATGCTATCATACTTTACTCATGCCTTTTGTTCTCCAAGGGTGTTCTCAGAGATTGTTTTGTTGAACATCACAGTGAATACATTTTATAAAGTTCTCAAATTATACAATGAAATGCTTTATCTTCACTTTCGGCTCTAAAAGTTTGTTTGATTGACCCCAAAAGTTAGCGTTATTGAGTTTCATAGCTAATCTACACGCATAGGAATAAAGGCATTAAAAATATTTTGATGAGAATATCATCTACCATTGTCTAAAACCAGTTCTCAAGATTATTATTGTAAACAATTTGACGAAGGTTTTGGCGAACATCATGCCAGGGATGGCATATAAATGGTATTCATACATTTGATAATTCTTTGTTTCTATTAAATTGCCAGTAGTTTGATTCACTGGTCTAGGCTTATATTGTTGGTCTCAAGGATAACCTAAAGTGAAACAAGATGGGGGGGGAGATGAATTTCGTCTTTTGTAAAGTTTTCTAAATGGGCCAAATGTCTTCTAAGTTGGTAAAGACTTTTTTTAGACTGACGCATTGAGTCAGCAGACTGGTTATCTTCCAAAGTAGACAAACTGGGTTGATCCACGTAGTATGAAAGAGAGAACAGTGGGATACTATCTAACTGTGCATCAAGGTGGACATCAAAGTACAGTCTTGGCTTTCTTTCATGCTACTAGCGCTCGCCATTGAGTACTTTCATACTCGATGAGAGAAACAGGGATTGTTGCTCTCTTGGCTTTCTAAGGTTTTGTGTTAAACCAGGAAGTCTCTAAATGCACGAACTTGAGAAACTCAGATGACCTGAGAAGGATGTAATGGTGTCTTCTTCATGACTTTTAATACCTCACAAAACAACCTTTCTTCTCTATCTTCAAATGACCCTTGGTTGGGCTACTTATAGGCTCCAAAAGTTCGATTATTAGAGTTCAAAAAAAAAAGCAATGGTTGGTCTTTGGTCATGTGAGTTGACCAATCGAGTTGAATTTCTGTGTTGTTTATACTTCCATTGTACCAGTTGACTTGCTAGGTCGATCTTCTGATGGTCTTTTGGGTCGACCCAGTATTAATTGGGTCAGCCTGCTCTTCAACAGACTGCTATCTTCCGATTCTTTGGTAGTCTTATTACTATCAGCATGTTATGTTTTGACATTTTACTATTTTGACTAGTTGTTGTCTAGGTCAACGTACCCTGCAACATATCGTTATCTTCAGACACTTTTATTGCCATACTGTTGTCAAGTCGTCATGTTTTGACATCTGGGTTGACGAGTTTTAGTTTGAGTTAATTTGCATTTTGTTTGGGTCAATTTGCTTGTGTCTAGTGTTTTTGGTTGAGCTCAAGTCAATCCTGTTTAAGGTCTGGGTCGGATTGTGCACACCTGGGGTCAGCCTGTATATGTCTGGGTTGGCTCTCTTACTTTTGGGTCGACTCAAGTCGATCTAAATCAATCTTCTTTACATACTTGGTTGGAGGATTAATTTTTCACGATTAGTATCATACTTTTAATGCATTTACTTAAAAATGATCCTTTTATCCACATTTTTATTTGTTAAAATAAAACATGAAATTCAACATGTAAATCTTAAAACTTTGAACATTAAATTGTTAACTCTCTCTTGTGCAGTTATCAAGGGTTGTGCCACCACCACCTTATAGGAATGTGCAACAGGGTCTTCACACGCTGGCTGGAGACGGTTCTGCAAGAGCAACTGTTAATCCAGCAATTCAAGCCCCTAGGAGAAAGTTCATGGATGAAGGGAAACTGCGGAAGGTCAGAAATTGTTGTGCATCTGATGTTTTTTGTTTTTATGAATTGGATTTTTTTTCATTAGATGAACGCAATTGTTATTTGGGTGTTAAGGCATGATGTTATTTTGTGTCAACTTTTTAAGCTTGAATGCTTTCCTTTTTTTGTTGGTTTAACTGTTAGAACATTTTACCAAGGAAATCTTTGTCGATGAGAGTTACATATGATCCTTGTCTTTCCTTTGACATACAGATTTTAATATGATGGAAATTACTATGAATTTCTCTCTGATGTTCCTGTACTTTGTTCTTCATATTTCTTTTTGGTTTGCAGTCAGTCGCTCATGCACTTTTTTTGTGTTAGCTAGAATAAAGAGAAAATGAAAAACAATACCGTTCTCTAGAAGATGTAGTTACATTTTCTTTTGCATTAAATTATCCATCTACTGTGCTTTCTTTTGCCATTACATCATAGGAAAAACTATAGTATGATGCGTTTAACCTCTTATTTAATTCAATAATCTTTTGATCGCCTTGTGCAAATAAGGTTGGACCCAGCTACATCTTTGTAATCAGCCCATGAGATCTCATTTAAGGCGACCGTGCTTTTTTCTTTTGTCCCATCAAATCCATTGTGGGTTGAATGTGGTAGCAAAGCATCTGGTGCATATTCTATCTCTTCCTTTCAGATGTCTTTCTTTGTTCAGAGTCATGATCTATTGCTAAAAACAAAATGAAGGGTCGGCTGATAAATTACTTATGCAATGTAGGTTTCTGGCAGACTATTTTCCGATTCAGGACTCCGTCGCAGCACAAGGCTCTCTGGAGAGGCAGCTAGTTTGAATTCAAATGCGTCACAAGTGGGAGGAAATGGAATTAATCATTCTGCTGCAAAAATTCTAGGAGGATTTTCTACATCATCATCCAAAATCAGTTCTTTAAACTTCCGCTCTGTGACTGTTAGGAAGGGACAATCCTGGGCAACCGAAAGTCTAGATGAAGGTGGTGATACCTTGTTTTATATTTTCTATTTTAAGTGTTTAATTTCGTAATTGTGATTAACATCTTGATAAAGCTGTAATTATGGACTAATTATGAACAGATAATCAATATATATATATATTTTCATCTTGGTCCACTCTCTAGTTCCACCTTGAAGTTACGAAGAGAAAAATGAATGAAGATCAAGCCCTATCAAAGTGCTGTAATAAAAAGATTGACATATTTATTTAGAACATTTCCAATGCTTCTTCAACAGAGGTATCATACTGCCTTTCTAATCTGTGCCTCATCAATTATTATGATAAAAATGAATGCTATAATCCTGTCACGATCAAATTCCAATTGATTGCTGACAGGCATTCCGGCGGTTTACCCTGGTGTCAACTTAACTGATGTTTTGCGTGTCCCAGCAAAGAATCTTTAGCCATATTTGCTGTAATTTCTCTTCTTGTGTTGACAGCAGAAGAGAGTTTTGTGGTTTCAAATAGGTTTGTGGTTGTAGTTTTTGGCTGGTTTCTGTCATGGCGTCTTTCGAGTGAATGATGTCCCTGATTGGGCAAATTTTGGTGGAGGTTGCTGTTGCTAATAAAGCTAATTACTGTTAACTCGAAGCAATAACTGCTATCAAATTTTTTTTCCAGCGCGAAGTCCCAAGCTTAGTTGATTCTTGTGGTTAGTTGATTGGTCAACCATGTATTATTGACCCTCTTAATTTCTTTGCAGGGAAAAGATCTGAAGCTTTTGATGATTCCCGCATTGAAAGTACGGCAACAACTTCATCATCTGTGTCAAATATAATGGAGGCCAAATGTCCTGAACATGAAAGAACAAATAATCACGTAGTAGGGACTTTATCTCATGCTTCAAAGGTCTTAACGGGTACTATTGAGCTCTTGAACCTTTTCAGGATACTTGGGGAAGGCTACCGTCTGTCATGTACATATAGATGTCAGGTATAATGCTATTACTGTCGTCAGACCTAGAAATTCTCCATTTTAACTCCGGAATATAAGGAATATGTTGAATGAAGCAGGATGCGTTGGAGATTTATCTTAAACTACCAAGTCATCATTATAACACTGGATGGGTGCTTTCCCAGGTGCGTGCTTTTTTCCACTTGTATGCCTGACTTTAGTGGAGCCATAGATTTTTGATTGCTTTTCCTTATAAATTATCGTGTCTAGGAAGGCCTCCACCCCGCTTTTCCTTGCAATCATCCTGTTGACTTTCTATAAACCAATAAAATGACACACTGGATCCTAGTATGCCATTATTTCAATGAGTGACTCTGTGTATTGCTTTCTTTCGTTCTGTCTTTTAAATAATATTCATGATTTCCGTTCTGTATAAATAATATTAATGATCTCAAGGACAGTTTCTCTTGTCATCTGAATAGAAATGACGCAATCAAAATTTCCGTGCGGCAAATACCCTCGAAAGCAATATTCTTACCCCTGAAAGGAGTTGAGAGAAACTTGATGTAAACGGGCTATTAAAGTGACATAGTTTTGAAAAATAGTTAACTTTGTTCCATTTAGGTTAGCTTCTTGAGCATTTTTTGAGGTTTTGGTCATTGAATTCCAATTTGTAAATGGAAGAGAAGATTATAAGGTTGTATGCTTGTGTTTCTTAGTAATTAATTGTGACGTGCAAACAAACCTTCTTATATTTAATTTTTGACGTGTTCATTTTTGCATATTCATTGTCAATATTATTTCTGGTCATTTATTTCAGGTGGGGAAGGCTCATTTTGAATTGGTAGATTATTTTGAGGCTGACCGTGCATTCAGTCTGGCACGCTGCGTGTCACCCTACATATTAGATGGAATGGATATCTACTCAACGGTTCTTTATGTAAGCTATATTCCTTGGCGCAGGTTTATCAACCAATTTTTTGTATCGTTTGAATTTCCTACTGTTGAATTCGATTTTGATATTCATTGGCGATGTTCTCTCTCTTTATAAAATTTCTGTCTGGTAGTCTGTCAATACTTCCCCTCATGATTCCTTGTTCTTGGTGTAAATTTGAATTTCTGCAGATTTAATATGGTAGCCTCCATTTCTCTTTTTTTCTAGCGCCTTGTTAGCCAGCGTGAAACATGGATGATCAGTCATTTCTCACCCCAGAAGTAATGCAATCATAGCTTCTCTTGTGCTAATCTAGGGAGATAAGCTTTTTTGTCATTACTTGGATTATAGATACATTTTAAGGCCAGTCATTCCTTTTCAAGCTGGGAATTAAAATAACTTTTTAGATTATGAACGACAGCAAACCATGTCTTGTAGCATTCATTATAGTGACTTTTGATATTCATGGCATTGAAGAATCCTGATGTTCTTGCTTATTATTGGGTTTTCTATTTGGCAGCATTTGAAGGAGGAAATGAAGTTGAGCTATCTTGCTCAAGAGCTTATCTCAACTGATCGCTTGTCACCCCAAGCATGGTACGGGGTCTCTTTTTTTTTTTTTTTTTTGGCATTGTGCGGTGGATGATCTGGTGTCACATTAATGGCTTTTCTTATTAATGGTGGATCGAAGTGACAATATATTAATATCAATTGCAGTTTTGACTTTTTGATGGTAATAAACAACAATTTTTTTTTCTTCAGCTACCTTCAGATGATGGTCGACGCTTTCAGTTGATTGAAATTTCCATTGTTCACAATTCTGAGGCTGCATCACAATTCATGTCGATGTTGTTATATTCTGTCAGTAGCTAATGAGCACGAGACTTGCATAAAAAGCCATTTTGTTTCTTCTGGGATCTTAGTGCTTTATTAGTTTATTACTTGCTTCAACATTTGTTGCCATATTTTCATCGGTGCAATTGCATGCAGGTGTGCTATGGGGAATTGCTATAGCTTGCAAAAAGATCATGAAACTGCGCTAAAAATTTTTCAACGTGCTGTGCACCTCGATGCGAGATTCGCTTATGCTCATACACTTTGCGGTCATGAGTATGGTCCTACTACTCTCTTGTTACTCCAAGTGAACTGTCATGCTTAAGAGAAGGCACTTGAGTTTTAGTTGGTTCTCTTTGATTGGTGCAGTGCCTAACTTTGTTTTCATTTTTCACTGGTCTTTCAGATACGTAGCTCTGGAGGATTTTGAAAATGGCGTGAAGTGCTATCAAAGTGCCCTGCAAGTGGATGAGAGACACTACAACTCCTGGTATGGCCTCGGGATGGTCTACCTTCGTCAAGAGAAGTTCGAGTTCTCGGAGCATCATTTCAGAAGAGCCTTCCGCATCAATCCGCGATCATCCGTTCTTATGTGCTATCTCGGAATGGCGTTGCACTCTCTGAAGGTCTGATTTTCATAAGAAAACATTCGTTTTTCACGTTCCTTCTTCCATAAAATTGCTTTCTTTCTCGAATCCGAATGCTTGTCAAAACCCGGCAGAGATACAAGGACGCGCTGGAGATGATGGAGAGGGCCATTGTAGCCGACGCGAAGAACCCACTGCCCATGTATCAGAAGGCTAACATCCTTGTTAGCCTAGAAAGATACGACGAAGCTCTGAGAGTACTAGACCAGCTGAAGGAGTTCGCACCCCGTGAGAGCAGTGTCTATGCATTGATGGGCAAGATTTACAAGCGCGGCAACATGCACGACAGAGCGATGTTCTACTTTGGGCTTGCCTTGGATCTCAAGCCGCCAGCAACTGATGTCGCGGCCATAAAGGTACCCTCCTCCCCCCCCCTTCCTTCCGCAGTTCTCTGACTTTCTCCTGTTCTATATTGCCGGTGGTAAAACTCTCCACTTGATGGCAGTCAGCGGTCGAGAAGCTGTACCTGCCCGATGAGATGGAAGATACACTTTAGCCTCATATCATCCACCGAGAGTCAGAAGAATCGGAGAATCGGAGGGGACACGATCTTTGGGATCGAGCCGGCATCCCTTGTGCAAGGCCCCCCCCCTTCCTCCTGCTTGTGCTGTCGCCGAGTACAGAATGGAACAGGTCAAGCTGACTGCGCAGCTCGACATCCTCTTGCAGCAGGAAGGCGGGGTATTGCGTTCCCTTTCTTTAGCTGCCCTGATGCGGAAATGCGCAGGTTTTGTGGCCTTAAATATTATGAGAGATGATATTTTTCTAACCTGAGATGGTGATTCACTGAAGGTCACTGTACTAGCGTGTAAGACTTGTGAGAGTTGACTTGGCTAGATCTAATGAAAGAGGGGCGGAGTCTCCTCGTTCCTCAGTTGACTTTGCAGCATTTCTGTACGAAATTTCCTCGATGTTTGCTCGCTCAGATGGTTTCCTCGAATTTTTTTTAATACTATTAAGTAATTCGTCCTATCGATTTATTCGCTTTTAATTATTTCCCTTTAGATCGTTGTGGATTTATGGTCACTGGGAATCAGCCGCGGGTGATCACCCAAAGAGACGTCATCTTCTTCGCTGCCAGCGTTGTCTTGGTGCAAAAACACAAGCTGTGGTAATTCGAGTTCTTGCCCGAAATACGGCTCAACTTGCACGAAGCTCTCCCCAGTCAGACGGGTCTCTTTCTCTCTCTTTTGTCATGTGGATACTGCAACTTCGGAGAGCTCCCAGCCACACCAACTCACTCTCTCTTTCTCTCTCTCTATCTCTCTATCTCTCTATCTCTTTCCCCTGCCCATCGTCCTGCACACGTAAGTGTTGGTTTAGCCAAGCGTGCATTCGGGTAAGGTCTTCCTGTCTCGCAGGCCCACCTCTGCTTAGGCTGGCCGTTTCCAGAGTAGAGGAGGCTGCCGCCGTCTCACGGCGACTGTTCTGGCCGATCCGCGTTGATAGGAGGAAGGAGGGTCTTCCAGAGTACGATATATCTCGTTTCAGCCACCGTCCTCCTCCATATATCTACAACGGACAGGAATCGGTCTGCGTTTTCGCCCTCTTTGCTCGGGGTTCTTCTAAGGGAAGAGGAGGGGGTGGGGAGATGGAAGCATTGGAGACCAGCCGGCATGGTCTTAACGCCTAGATGTGGCTGTTTGACGGCGGGACCTCTTCTCTGTTCGATTAACCGTCGGTAGATAGTTTGTGCAGAATGTCTCGTGGCTGTCTAATTGCTCCTCTCATTATTGCTAGGGGCGACTCGTGCTAGGAAAAACAATATGGCTTACTAGCGTTTTGCTTTTCTTCGAAGGTGACGAGGTGTGGCTTCTCAGCGGGGTCAGGTTTGCTGATATTTAATTAATAATTATACTTCGCATCTACATTACATATTATATTAATTTTAACTTGAACTAATAATAATTCGACCCATCTACCATGTTCTTCATTTTAATGGGGATCAGAGCTAATTCTCTTTTTTATTAATTTTTAACCATATCAGAAGATCTTTTTCACAGAGAAGGAACGTTTTTCTTTAACCCTCAATGAAAACTGCCATGCATGAATTAATCTAGTTGATGAGATCTCTAAACTGGCTGATTTATTTGATGAAAGACATGCAACGTGAGTTGTCAATTGATTTGTTAGCCTTAACCGGCAGTAATGGTACTCTTAGCTACACAATGATTTTTCAAGAACAAGAAAGTTTGTAATGCTATCTAGTTTAATATTAATATGGCAATTAGAATGGAAAATTATTGAATTGAGGCTGCATTTTCTCCCCATAAAAGGCTAAGTAGGAGAGTTCTCGAGATATGGGTCTCCTCCAACTATTTGAAGCTTCATCGATACCGGTTTTGAATATGCTTCTGATGACTTGCGTTGGATCATTTCTTGCAACGGATAGTGTTAATATTCTCGGGGAAGATGCCAGGAAGCATCTGAATAATGTGAGTTTCCCTCTTGCTTCTTGATCATTTTCATGTTCCATCTTCACTGAATATTAGATTTTGTCCGCGCGTGCTCCTTGGGCATTCACTGAACCACTTATATTTATGAACAGATCGTATTTTTTGTGTTTAGTCCGGCTCTCATCGCAGTCAATCTCGCTAAGACAATCACCTTCGAAAGCTTAGTTCTCCTGTGAGTTTAACTTCAACTTTATATCAATGGGAAGATCATGGCTATGCTTCGATAACTATGTTCTTATTTTCTCTGCATCCATGAAGAGATACAACGCAGAGTTCTTCTTACTGAATTCTTTGTGTGGCTTTGCTTGATGAGAGTGATCTATCTATCTTTTCTGCATGCTGATGACAGACTCTTCACATTATACGCAGGTGGTTTATGCCAATTAATTTATTTCTCACGACTGTCATTGGTTCCGGTCTTGGATGGATCGTCATGAGAATCACCAAAGCTCCTGCCCATTTTAAAGGCATCATTTTAGGCAGTTGCGCTTCTGGTAATGTTGAACTTACAATGGTCAGGGGAAATAAATTCAGCGGTTTTATTTCCATGATAATGTTCTCATTTACGTTAATTTCTTTCAAACACGATCATGAACTAACAATGGGAATTATTTTTTTATTTGAACAGGAAACGTGGGCAATATTTTCTTTGTCATTATTCCTGCAATGTGTAAAGAGAGAGGCAGTCCATTTGGAGCTCCTGATATCTGCCGCACATATGGATTAGCCTACTCCTCTCTTTCGTTGGCAGTGAGTCTCTGTTCTCCGATATCTTCATGCTAGATCTTCCTCTGTTTTATTGGAAAAATTACCATGAAAGAGCGCCATATACAGAAAATGCGCGTATATACTTTGAATTAATTTATATTTATTTTATTCCACTGCGGTGCTGAAGATAGGGGCTTCCTTCCTGTGGTCTTACGTCTACAATATTATGCGCTCATCTTCGAAGTTGAAAGAAGAAGCGAGCTCATACACGCAACAGACTTCGCCCACGGAGGAATATACGAGCCTGCTCCCAGAGAGAGGTATTAATGGTACGGATTCCATGGCTAATGGGTCACTCGATGGTCATTCTGTAGATGCATCCGGACTTCCTCTCTCAAGCTCCGATGGCTCTACCTCAAGAAGAGAGGTCATTTGCCCATATTTCTCATTAAATTCTTGATTCAATTGTCGTGCTCCCATGCTCATAGAGAGACAAGTATCCTAAGTTTATGAAAGATTCTCCAAACTATGAACATGGATGCAGCTCGATCCTTCTCTGGATTTGGAAGTGGCCAGATGGAAGATATCATTCTTTTTTGTGTTTCAATGCTTCCAAGAAAGGAAAGAATAACGTAAATAAAATAAAATTGGAGATGTTATTTTTGTGCTGAAGAGGTATTTCTATTGTAGACATCGTATGAAGTCAACTATGCACATGGATTAAAACTTTTCATTGTCCGATACAGGAAAGATTTTCAGTCCGGATAAGTCATCTCCTGGGGCCACTTTTGGGTATTGACTTGAAGAAGATTTTCGCACCTTCAACAATCGGTGTGGTATGATCGCCACATATTTCTCCTTTTCTTTATGAGAATTATGATGCAGATTATGTCGCTATAACTTCGTCCCACGTTGATTGTTCCTTGCATTCTTCCAGAGAACTGATTTTCTATGTATCTTCTAAACAATCTCTCATGGTTAGGAGCCGGTGATCACATATTTAACCATGAAACAGGTTTTATACATGATATCAAAAACCTGGGCTTAAAGCCGCAGAAAAAAAAGGAGATTAACCCACAAATTATAAAAATATGCACTCATTTTCATGAGCTCTCATACTATTTTTTTTTTTTTTTCACATTCTATCTTAAATTTTGACTCATATGATTTCGTGTTTGCGGACTGTCATGGATTTCACGGATGTTTTTCCACAATATATGAGGAAGATACTCTTCTGCTGAAACATGCTGCAGGAATGAGCCAGTATTCATAAAAAATGTAAATATCTCTGGAGAAACAGTGGTTCTTGAATTATTTTTAACTATAAAGTAATCAGATAATCTCTCAGAGCAGAAAAGAAAGCCATTGTTCGATGGCCACAGATGCTCAGAACAAAGAGAGACATGTGCGTGAGCAAGCTGTGTGCACCTGTTAGAAATTACTTCAACAGTAAGAGAGGCAACTGTTTTTCGAAATAGAAATCCCCAGCAGAAAACTAAAGAAAGAGCTCCCAACTGAGCAACTGAATCGAATTTTCTTCAATATTTCGTTGCTTGTACATGCGATGGCCCAGAACCCAATATTTTTTGAAGGAGGCTCTACCTTATTCTTTTCTTCCAATGTCTGATGACTTATCTACCTTCATATTTTCATACTCTATTTCTGCAGATCATTGGGTTTACAATTGGAGTAATCCCACCAATAAGGCGGTTGCTGATCGGTGAAGATGCACCTCTTCGCATGATAGAAGGCTCGGCTTCTATCTTGGGGTATTAGCATTCTAATTTACCGTTGTTTGGATTGCAGTCTTCTATACAAATATGTCCTGCGTATTATGTAAATGAGCTAATGGGAAACAAAGATCCAAACGTAGGATCTGTGAACAAGTCATTTTGAGATATACCATTGCTTCTGGATATGAGTATATCATGTTGGCTAGATATTTCACCTGTTGCTTCGGATGAACCTGGTTTACTTTGATTTGGGCTACAGCAGGGATATAAACCTCGAGTTTTTATTTGATTTTAAGTATCGGACGTTCAGGAAACATTTTCAATAGCATTTTGGATATCTCCCTCTGAAAATCTACAAAATCTCACTTCATCCATTCTAAGTGCTTCTTTCGTCGAATTTCTCTCTTACCCTTTCTTTTTGTTCTTCCCCGGTGTGTAGGGAGGGATCAATTCCATCCATCACACTTATTATGGGAGGAAACCTCATCAAAGGTGGCAACTTGGCTCTCTCTCTCTCTCTCTCTCTCTCTCTCTCTCTGTGTGCTGATATCACGTTTATTTGTCTGATTTTCTCATTGGGTTGACCACAAGATGACTTTTGGCTGTTCTCTTACCAGGCCTATATGGATCTGACATCCGAAGCTCCCTCATTATTGGAGTTGTAGTAGTTCGTTTTATAATCCTTCCCATAATAGGGGTAGGCATTGTCAAATGGGCAATTCATCTTGGTCTGGTGCACTCAGATCCCCTGTACCAGTTCATTCTATTCTTGCAATATGCAGTTCCTCCTGCAATGAACATCGGTAAAGCACACCATCTTTTTTATCAGATTGGCATTTGGGTTTCTTCACGTTTCTCCTCTGTTCTGACTTGTGTTATCTGGTCAGTCACCATCACTCAACTGTTTGGCACTGGCAAGAGCGAGTGCGCAGTTATTTTTCTATGGACATACAGCCTGGCTTCGGTTTTCATGTCACTTTGGTGCACCTTTTTCATGTGGCTTGTTCTGTGATTATATTCCTCCTCATTGACCTCCCTGTCAGAAAGTCAACTCATAATTCTCATTAGCTCTGAGACTCGAGGGAAGAGCTCTATAATTTGAAGCATCTTCTTTTTGAAATGTAGCATATAAACAACTGGAAATTATCCGATCATTGGTGAAATATGTAATAGGCTACAGTTCTGATGCCAATCTTTCAGCCATCGTTTACCATTCCCATCAAGAAGTACACCATGAACAGGATGGAAGACATATATATGCTCGAGGGAAGCACTCCATGAACAGAAGGTTTCTGCCATACAGGATGATGACGACCACAACCCCCCCACCACACACACACACAAATCAAAGATTTGTTTTGTCCAGGTCCTCGAAATATGGATGATCCATGGCTTTCTTGGCAGAAATCCTCTTTGAAGGTTCATATTGGAGCATCCTCTGCAGCATAATCAAACAAGGAATTCCCCCGATCAGAGAGGTCGATACTTACAGAGACAAGGTCGATGAACCAGCTGATGAACCAGAGAGGTCGACACTTACAGAGAGAAGATCCACCCCGTTGGGTTCCAGGTTGGGGACAGCTGATGAAAGACTTTTGGGGATCCACTGGGGATACTCATGCCAATTCGGCAACTTGCTGACTCCTGGCCACACCTCTTCATTTGGGGTGCCAAGAAGCCTGCGCCAATATGACTTGAAAGGTCAGCTCAAAGACAGGAGATCTCAGTGGACATGGGCAGGTGCGTTGAGGAAGAACAAGCACCTGAAGATGTGAAGCAGTTGTTGCAGTTCAGAATCCCCGGTAAAGAGGGCTTCAGTTGTTGCCAATTCAGCTGTAGAAGTTGATCAGTATTTCAGCGTTCAGAATGAGATGAGGAAGAAGAAACAGCAGCTTCTTACCGAATATACAGCCCACTGACCAAATGTCAACGGGCGTTGAATAATGAGTCGCCCCAAGAAGCACCTCAGGAGCTCTATACCACAACGTCAGGATCTGAAGAAACGTCGGGGCATCTCAGTGTAAGACCAGCCAAGTATCATTAGTACAACCCTAAGAATGGCGGATCAGGTATACGATACCTCATGAGTGTACTTCTTGATGGGAATGGTAAACGAACGGCTGAGTCCGAGATCTGCTATCTTAAGCATCATCGTTTTCACGTCCATCAGCAGATTGTGTGGCTTCAAGTCCCTGTGAAGGGGCGATTGAGGCACCGGATAGTGTCATGTATGAGGCAAGGATCACGAGGATCGATCATACACATTACCTGTGCAGCACTCCGTGACCGTGGCAGAAGGCCACGCCCTTGCAGAGCTGATACATCAGACTCTGCATACATAGCTCGGTCAACCATGAACTCGAATGAGGAGGCATAACTCCCCGATGACATGATCGGGTAATAACGCTATTCGCCGTTGGATTACCTTCAGAGTTTTAGATGGAATCATAGTTCTCTGTTGGCGCATCGTCTTAATGTACTTCCGAAGGTCGGTGTCCATGAACTCGAAGACCAGGTACAGAATGGTTTGGCCCTCTTTATTCTTCCCCTGTTTGAGATCCAGCAATCTGCATCGAACGAGAGAGTCCACGGGTGATCGATCGGCGGGGAACGAAGATTCCTCTGAAAAGAAACCACCGGGAAACGAAACGGGAGGAGATTGATGGGGGTTACCTGACGACGTGAGGATCGATGGACAGCATCCGGAGCAGGGAGACCTCGCGGAGTGTGGTAGGCGGCACCCCCTCGTCGTCCTCGGGAAGGCGGGTCTTCTTAAGCGCCACAATCTTCCCCGTGGCCCGCTCCCTCGCCCGGTACACCTTCCCGTAGGTCCCCTCGCCGACCTTCTCGAGCTTCTCGTAGAGATCCATGACCCTCTCTCCCCCCATCTCTCTCGCACTCTCTCTCTTCTCCTCCGTCTCTCGACCGCTTTCTCGTACCTCTGAGTGAGAAACGAGGAAGAGGGGGGGGATTCTCGCTTTATTATGAGACCGTTGAGATTTGAAACGGTTCTCTCCTTCAAAATTCGAATGTGAACATAAAGAGGGGGGGATAGGGGTACGTGGGCGACGTGGCGCGAACCTCCCGGTGTCGGTAATCGGATCCAACCGTTAATACCGATAAGAAGTGATAATCGGAGCGAGAATTGTGATTTCTTACCGACTGTCTGTATTTTTACGTTCAAACCCCTCAAAAGTTGCGCTAGTCGATCCAATGCTTGTATTTTACTTAATGATTTACTAATACCTCTATCTGTTTAAATAATAACCAGTATAACATAGGAGCTGGGTGCTATGAAATAGGGGCCCAATATAGACAAGTGGGCCTCGAACGTCAACTGAGCAATTAAAGCGACAGCAACGTGGCAACAAGAGGCCCATATCGCTATTTTAAGGGGCTGGATTTGAGGAACAGGCCCAGTAGACCTTGAAGACTTTTCTGGCCTATTTAACAGGACCAGTGATTACTTAAGGAGCATTTAACGTGGTCGGTCGACTCTAACGGGCTGGGCCAGAGCAGGGACTCGGCCCAATACGCCGACGACGTCCGATGAGAAAAAAATAATGAAATAAAATGGGCACATTAAATATAACTACTAAGGTTTTTGGCCGGATATATTTTCCGATAACAGATTTGACAGGAGGGAGACCCGAAACCGGCTGCGCTGTTGACGAATTTTATCGCTATCTGGAACGCAGCCGCCAGAAAGAATCAACACGTGTCATAAATGTTAGCCTGGCGTCAACAGGCCGTACGCCGCTTCCGAGCCGGATCCAATGCCCGAAGGCCCGGCGCGGTACGGAAGGATATCAATTCTGGCGCGATTTGCACCGCCAGTATTACTCCGGGCCGGCCCGCCATGCGGGCCTGTCTCGCTGAGCGGCGGCCCGCTTGACCACTGTTTGACTCGTGTCACGTGCCTCTCTTCGGGTGTGGCGGCGCCGGAAAGAGCCGGAGGGAGAGATCGGAGAGGCGGCGGGCATCGGAGGTCTTCCTCAGGAAGCTGGGTCCCACGTTGAGGGCAATGCGAGAGCTGTGGGTGAAGGGGGAGGGGTTCCTTAATGGCTAGGACAGTGCCTTGCTCTTCGCCCCCCACGCCAATAAAGGCATTGGATTCAAAATCCCGCAGGTCGCCGGAGTGTGATTAAAATAAATCGGAGCGGCGGCAAGTTCGAGCGGATCGTTCCGAAGAAAAAAAAAGTATTTTTTGAAAGAGAGAAGATGACAGGGGAGAGAGAGAGAGAGAGAGAGTGGGGGAGGAGAGAAGGGATGGATTTGTTCAATCTTTTAAAACGATATCTGGTTGGGGGGAGTAATCACCTGCTACTGTTAATTGTTTTTGTTTTTACTTGATAAGGGTACTGGCCGGGCGGTAGGAGCGGGGTGGGGTGGGGGAGGTGGGGGGGCAATAAAGGGGGGGCGGAAAATCAGAAAAAGGTGGGCGGAATTTCCTTGGTCGGCGGGGGGGGGGGGAGGGGGGGCTTAGGCGGAGGGAGTGAACCCTCTTTCCCAGCTGGGGTCGGGGTTAATTTTCTTTGTCCGGAAGAGAAGATTCGCGAGTTTACGGTCAGGGTTTTGGCGAATTTCCCGTATTTCTCGGCGTTTGCTGGGCGATTTTCTCGTATTCCTGGAGGTATTGGGCGAAAAGGACGATTTTCGCCGGCAGATCGGAGGTCCGGGTAGGAGCTATTCTGTGATTTTCGAGCTGGATCTTCGCCGAGGCTAGACATTTTTACTGTTCTCATCCCGCGTCCTTACCTCGTCGTTAGGGTTTCGCATTTTTTTTCCTGCTAATTTCTTCTTCCTCGGTTTTGCCTTCACTTCTCCTGCGAATCTACTGCCTCGTTGTGATCCTTGTACCTTAAGAGGCCGCGGATTTGTGCTTTAGGGTTCGCTTAGATCTCAGGTCCTCCGGCGATCTCCGGCTCGTTCGCAGTCGATCTCACCGGAGCCCGTTTGCTCATTCTGCGCTTCTCTTCGGAAGCGAATGATACGGGAGCCTGCCAGTCTGCAGTTTGCTGAGTTAGGGTTTGTCGGTGCAGCTTCTGCTATCACGGAGTCTGTGGTCTCATTAGTTTCGTAACCATGGAAGTGAAATCCGAGCAGGGAGGTATGTCCAACCGGGAGCCGTTCGGCATGGGCTTGCAGACGAGCCCCATACAATCGCAGCCGCCGCTGATGCAGAACATGCGGCTAGCCTTCACTACCGACGGTACTGCGATCTACAAGCCGGTGGGTGTAGCTTCCCCGGCATTCCAGAACACCGGCGGCAGCGGAGGAACCCCCGGCGGCAACGGAGGCGCCACTGGCAGCAGCGGAGGCGCCCCTGCCGCAGGAGCTGGAGGAGACGGCGGCGCCGCCGCAACAATGGCTCACCACGGTCTACAGATATCCGCGGCGGAGCCGCCCCTGAAGAGGAAGCGCGGGCGGCCGAGGAAGTACGGGCCCGACGGCACCATGGCCCTCGCGCTGTCCCCCGTTTCCTCCGCTGGTGGGTCGGGGCAGAACGCCGGATCACCCCTTTCTCCGCTTTCAGGATCTTCGCCGGGCATGAAGAAGGCCAGAGGCAGGCCGCCAGGCTCCGGCAGGAAGCAGCAGATGGCTGCTCTCGGTAAACCACTCCGATTCTACCTGGTCGCTTCTTTAACGCCGCTCAATCCTCACTCTCCTGGTTCTACTACTATGGGTTGGAACCGCGTGAGTCTTCTCGTCATCTCGGTTTGACGGGGGGAGGGGGGAGAATGATGGGAGAGGAGAGGCCTGCTAGAATCTCCTTGGTCCCTGTTTTTCTCTCTGGTTGAGATTACCCATATACCCTTGCGATTTTTGGAGTTTTGTCGCCCTTTGATAATGGACAGATTGTCCTCCTATCATTCGACAATCTCTTTGAATCGGAAGAAAATTCCCCCAAGACGAGTATTTACTGAAAAAAGAATGCAACTTTCTTGATTTATCTCCGCTGCAGCCGTCTTCCACTCGATCTCATCAGGGGGGTAACTCCATGCCGCATTTGCTCTCTTGTTTAGGATATACCTTATTGACTTGTTTGTTCCTCATATCGTTTAGTCAGTTGCTTTGCAGGCATCTAGTTCTTTAGAACGAGTTTCTTTTCTGCTTTCGGGTTCATGTTTTGGGCATAAGTTGCTTGAAACCTAGTTGTGCGTAAATATGCTTTATTTCTGCGTTTCTCTTCCTTCATCTCCCCTCTCTCGTGGTGAATTTTCCGAAGAAAATTCCTTTTTTTTTTGTTTTGAAACTGTTCTTATAAAGGAAAGTGTGTGCAGGATCAGCTGGCATTGGGTTCACGCCGCATGTTATTACAGTGAAGGCTGGAGAGGTATTCGATTTTTCAGTTTTTTTTTTGTTAGTGTCTGGGTATTCATCCATGTGTCATCCCATATCCAATTTTCAACATTCCCATATTTATTTTTATTTCAATTAAATGATTTTTTCTCCTGTGAGTTTAAAATTTATTTGTTCACGATTTCCTCGATTTAATTCTTTGATGAAATGAATGATGAGTATTGGTGCAGCCTGGCCAAGATAATTGTGCTCAATAATCATCTAACAGAGTAACAGCTAAAAGTTACTATCTAAATAAGGGATAATTAAGCATATGGAAGATAGTAAATGACCCTTATAAGGATTTTTTTTTTTTTGATTTTTCATTGGTTTTCAAGGTAGTGTTTGTGTGAATTTGTTGTGCAGTTGCTTAATCACCAGCCATTAGCTTCTGTCGCCTGGTAATATTTGTGAATCTTTCATTGATTCGTCTGATTATTTCATTGGATGGGATCATCCAACTGGGTTCTGATCTGATTTCGGGCACTGCTTGTGCGAGATCCTGATATCGCATAAATTATCTTAATTTCCCAATAAATAAATTTCCTGATTTACACACCATCAGCGTCTTCTATATAAAAACTCCTGATTATTTCTTCCTTGTTCCCCATTATCTCTAATAATTTTCCCAAATGATTTTTCATTCATTATATACATAGTCTGATGCAAGTGACTTGGGTTCCAAGGGTTTTTTTACAATATTTTCTATAAAACGTCAACATAAGGAAATAAATAGCTCAATGAATGATAAAAAAATTTAAATATTAAGCATTTAATCATGCTATTAACCTCTGGGTAGTTCTTATGGAGGATATCTGTGATAAGTTGGGCCATCTTTTCCACACTTTTTGCAATAGTTAAAACCTTTGATACATATTAACGTAGATTATGATTTAATCCGTACAGAAGAGGGTCTGTAAGGCTCCCGTCCTCTGGGCTATTGGCCGTGGAATGCACTGCAGAATGAGTGGCAGGGGCTGTCCAGAGTAAGGGCGAGGATCTTGGGAGAAAAAAAAGGAAGCATAATAATTATTTTATAAAAAAATGGTTTGAATATCATACTGATGCTCTACATCTAGCCATGGTCAAAGTAATTGGGTTTCATATTATTTTTTTAAAAAATGAGCCCATTTATGAACAGGTTCCTTTTTTTTTCCTTCTCATTTTTTAGTTAATCGATGGTTAATAGGTTTTAAGACCTCCCCTGCATTTTCTGTGTAAATTTTTATCCTTCCATTGTGGGAATAATTTCACATTTGAGCAGGTAAATTCAATATGTGGTTAAAAAAAGGAAATAATTATGTTCTAGACAATCTGATAATGTTACATCCTTGTTCACTTATAGTTATAATAAATGGATCTACTTCCATCACTTTCGGGTGATTTTGAGTTGGATGGCCCATTTTTTTTTCCATATTCGTTCAATATTTATCTATTTGGTAGTTTGGTGTCGATTTCGGAGATTTTGAGGCTCGCGCCCTATAATAATAATCCACTGCCATAACAATTTCCGAGGCTTGAGATTTTTCTAGTCAATATATATTTTTAATTTTCCAGTCTTATATTTTTCAGTTTATAAGTATTGTCTTTGTTGCTGATGAAACAAGGTTTTGATGTGTATTAAATATGATGTAGAAATGGCATTTTCAGGTTTCCTGGTATAAAAATTGCGTTTTTAGGGTTCTTACTTCAGAACATATTACGGGGATTTTTTTTAAAAAAATGACAACGCATTTCAGGATGTAGCATCGAAGATTATGTCGTTTTCTCAGCACGGCCCCCGCGCAGTCTGCATCTTGACGGCGAATGGCTCCATATCTAATGTGACCCTCAGGCAGGCGGCGATGTCCGGAGGAACTGTGACTTACGAGGTTTTCTTTCCTCCCCCCTGCTTTCCCCTCTCTCTCTCTCTCTCTCTCTCTCTCTCTCTCTCTCTCTCTCTGTGTCTGTGTCTCTCTCTCTATCGGATGGCGGATGCAGAGGCTTAGAACTTCTTGACTTGTTTTCTTGCGGCGATTCGTCGCCGTTTCTCGGAAAATAAGATCAAAGATTAATCTTTGGTTATTCTCTTGACCACCCGAATGGAAGAGGATTTATGGGTTTTTTTTTTTGGTTCTTTCTGTGAACAGGGGCGGTTCGAGATCTTGTCCTTATCGGGGTCGTTTCTTCTCTCAGAGAGCGGCGGGCAGCGCAGTCGGACCGGCGGAATGAGCGTGTCTCTGGCCGGCCCTGACGGCCGTGTTCTGGGTGGTGGCGTTGCTGGGCAGCTAACGGCGGCCTCTCCCATTCAGGTGGGTCAACGCCGTCCGCTCACTTCGATTCGTGAAAACAGAATTCTCCTGATTAGCAAGAACACCGAGATCGCTGGGTTTCCTTCTTTTTAGGTGGCAGACGAAATTCATTAACTGTGGTTTGCGCGATGATTTTGGCAGGTGGTGGTGGGTAGTTTCCTCGCGGATGGGCGCAAGGAGACGAAGCCGGCGAGCCTCCCCGAGGTGCCGGCTCCGGCAGCCGCCGGGAACATGAGCCCCGGGGGCGGCAACGGCGGCGGCACCAGCCCGCCGTCACGGGGGACGCCCAGCGAGTCCTCCGGCGGGCCCGGAAGCCCTCCCCATCAGAGCTCCGGCAGCGCCTACAACAACGGGAGCCAGCCGGCGGTGCCCACCATGCTCTGGAAATGAAATAACAAGTCGGCCATGCGAGAGGGGAGGGAGGTGTGGTTCAGAACACAGAACTCCGAGAGTCTTTGGTTTCGAGACCTTCGCCGTCGTATAAATATTACAGTGGAGACGTGGTCTCCATGTAGCTAGCTGCTAGCTGTTAATGGAACTGGTTGCCGTCGAAGGTCTGGCCGGGCTTCCAGTCGGCCGGAGCGACATTGTACGAGGTCAGCGTCCTCCCGCCGCCGGTGGTGACCTCGAAGGAGAGAGGCTGGCCGAGGAGGTTGGCGGCGCAGTGCCAGTTCTGCCCCCAGTTCCTCGCCATGGGGATCCACCCGGTTCTCGACCCCTTCACCTTCACGGCGGCTACCTCCCCGTCGGCGCCGACATTCGATATCAGGACCTGGTAGAAGGAGGAGCTCCCGCTCACCGTGAACCTCACCCCCCCGAGCCTTTCACAGTCGACTCTGCACACGCCAACGCCGACACTCTCTCAGTGGAAACCCTAGTGGAAGGAAGACGAAACAAGGGTTTTCGTTTCTCGTACCTTCTGTATTGGACGGGGACTACGTCGGCCGCCTTCTCCGCGATGTCGGAGAATGAGGGCTCTGGGAGCTGGAAGTGTTCCCTCGGGTAGTTGCACCAGCCGCCTGAGTCGCCGGAGAGGCCGTAGTTGGGAGGGCAGAAGTCGGCGGCGGTGACGACGGTGGAGGGGCTGCCTAGCCGGCACCAGAGGATGTGATCCACGCACCTCAGCTCGTAGCAGCCGCCGCAGGCGCTGCCCCGGCCGAAGAGGGTGCCGCTCACCGCAGCACTCCTCCGGTAGGCCGCCTCCCGGAGGACGCCATAGCCGCAAGCTCCGCCTTCTCGGACCAGAAGGAACCCACAGAGGAAGCTTAAGCCCAGAGCTGTAAGAATCCCGTCTGACGCGTCCACAGGCGAGCAGGAAAGCTGGGCATGTACCTGTAGCGACGCCGGTGTCTCCGTAGTAGGTAGCGGTGGCGGACCTCCACTCACTGTACAGCGCCGCCGCTCTGCCGCCGGCGAGCGCTGACGATGCCGAACAAAGGAAGAAGAAAAAGAAGAAGAAGAACGTTGCGGCCCGAGGACGGCACATGGGAAGAAGAAGATGAAGAAGAAGTGCCCCTTCTCGCACCAAGAAGCTCCCTGTCTCTCTCTCTCTCTCTGTGGGAAAGGTGGCTGGTTGCTTTCTCTTACGGGGATTGCGAACTGCACGCGGCGAAGGCGTTCTCATGGCTTAGAGGCAGAGCCACCCAAAACAGGTTTTTAAAAGAAGAGCACGCCGGACGCGCGGGTCGACTCGCCGGGCCCGGGTCACGGGTCGCTTGCGTTGGCGTCGGGACCCGATCCGACTCATTTACTCCGAATTGCCGCTCGAACCCGTGACGGACGGTGGGACTCGGGCGGGCGCGGCGACTCGCGCCGTATGAAAACTACCGGCTGGCAGTCCCGAGGAGAACCGGGGGTTAACTCATCTCCAGTCGGGGTGCAGAGCGCTTTCCCAAGAATCAGGAAGAGAAGCAAAAAGGAGACCCCCATGGAATAAAATGAATGAGCGATCTACTGGGATCACAGAAAGAACCCTTGAAAAAAGGAGCCATCTTCACCACATTCTTACAGGCCCATCATAATCCTTGGGTCCGTCCAGACCCACACCTAGAGAGAGAGAGAGAGAGAGAGAGAGAGAGAGAGAGAGAGAGAGAGAGAGAGAGGTCATCGATTTGCCTGGGCACTAGCGGGAATCAGAGGAACGCACCTGGCCTGCCGGGCCTTTTTCAGCAGGAACCTCAAGGAGAAGAACCCCAGCGCGAAGGTCTGCCAGAACCAGGCCGCGGAGTTCTCCGGGTCCACTCTCTTGGACAGGCGCCAGGCGTAGACGGCTTCACCCACGTGCGCAGCCGCCGCAACGGTGAAGACGAAGCGGACCATCCACAGGGACCTGAAGACGAACAGGTTGAGGGCTTTCAACCATGCCAGAGGCCCCCAAGGGGGGAGGAAGGCGGCGCAGAAGAGCAGAATCATCCCGACTGTGCAGAAAGTCCAGGAATATATGCCGGGGCCGCCCACATCCTTTATCTTCTTCTCCTTCCAGTACGAGATGGTGGCCGCCATTCCATCTCGAGGGGATACTATGGGAATGTACCCCAGCTCCTCCTTCGCTTTCAGGTAGGAGAAATAATGGGTAACTCCAACCTGCCCAAGATATTTAAATTCGGTCACAGATGGAAGCTCGTGGGGTTGAAGATATGAGGCGAACTGGCTCACACCACAGCGGCTCTTCTTCCGCTGATATTTATTCGCGATCGCCAGTGAACTAACACCCGGCCAATTGGATCATTCTCTAAAAATCAGTCGACCTGGCTAAATACGAGCAAAATTATGGTGGATCTATCGGGAAGGGCACCCAATGGAACCCGTGGGCGAATGCCAGAGGATTCCCTCTGTGGTTCTTGAGGAGAGAAGACGAACAACTCACCTTGTGTACTTCTGCAGGAAGCAAGAAAGGTTGCGGAAGCCACCAACAATGCAACCATGGACGCAACACAGTATAAATGACAGAGATTGTACGGGCGAGCAACAGTGCCTGTTTGAGAGGCAGAGTGTTCTTGGGCAAGTCATAGTCCAGGCTCCGAAGCAGCGGGCTGAGGAATTCAAAGGTATCGATGGGACAACCTGCAACAAAATGCATAAATTTCTTGGAGAAAAACAGCATTTTCTGAAGAACAAACCCTCTTGCTAGCTCTGTTGCTACTTGGATTGCTCAAGAAAAAGGAGGGTTCGATGTGGACCGATGGTTGGATGATTAGTTCAGTCCTCTCAGCCAAAAAAGAAATAAACTTGAAGGAGATTCTCTTGGAGGAATGGACGTTACCATCAGAAACAAAATATGGTTGGCCGGCGGCCACTGGTTGACCTTTTCTGCTGGGGATACCATCTAAAAGCCCCATGCTCGCCAATATCAGGGCGAGGACGAGGTTGTCCACGTAGATCCAGTCTGCCTTCACACTGGGTTGCCCAACTTTGAAGAACAGCAGGCCCTTCTTCGCGAGGCCAAGAATCCTGGGGAGGTGTCTTTCCTCCCCTGGTCCATAGATAGCAGCAGGACGAACAGCGCAAGTGTAGAGACAGGCGCCATTCTTCTTCCTGGACCATCAAAAGCGATTCTGCATAAATTTCAGCTTAACCGAGGTTCCACAGGGTTTCAATTCTGCAAGTTTCTTGATAAAAATGCAAGCAGAGCAGGCATACTTGGAAGGGCGGCCATTACTCCTCAGCACGAGCTGTTCTGCAACCGATTTACTCCGGCCATACGGATCAACGTGGTCGTCAATCGGAAAGTATGGGAGGGTTTCGTTCCCGTTCACGATCTCCTGCCCGCCGAATACCACGTTGTACGTGCTGACATAGACGAGCCTCTTCACTCCGAATTCATTGCATCCCTCCAGAATGTTGCAAGTTCCATTGATGTTTACCTCATCCGTACGCCCAGGTTGGAGCATCTCCTTCCCCGACATTCCGTATGATGCGAGGTGGAACACGCAGTCAACACCATTGAGAACCCGATCCACATCCTTTCTGAGGGTCACATCACCTGCAGCATGGTAGGGAAGTAGATGACACAGTGAGAATTCCATTCCAGTGGGGTTTAATCCGGGACTGCAGACTTCCATTTCCTCGATTACATCCCTTGGTAATCCGTTCTGAAAAAAAAAACTGCTAGTCCGAATTTCCCGTCACACAGTAGTACCAAACAATTAACAGAGTCGAGAGATGAATGATTTTTCTCCTTGTCAAAACTTTTGAGGGAAATGAGCGAGGTTGGGGAATTCCCCCAGATCTACATCAATTCCTCTAGGGAAAACAGTGAAAGAGAAAAAGACGCGAATTATAGCCCCGATTATCCAAGAAAAGAAGAAGAGAAAGAGCGAGAGGAAAACGATGAGAGATGGATCGCAACCGACCTTGGACGCACTGGACGCCGGAACAGCGAAGATCGGCGGACCATGGAGATTCACGGCGGAGGTCGAGCGACCGTACCTGCGCGGCTCCCCGCCGCAGCAGCTCCAGACAGAGGGCGGCGCCGACGAACCCCAGCCCCCCCGTCACCACGAAGGTGTTACCCTCGATTCCCTCGTTCTCACTCAGATGCATCTCTCCTCTCCCTCCAACGCCTGCCAAATGCTATCCCTCTAAATCCCTCCGGTCCTCTCTCTCTCTCTCTCTCCCCCTCTCTCTCCCTCTCTATCTCTCTTGAATCCTCTGTTCCTCCCTCACCCAGTGGAAGACAGGGATTTCCTTTGACGTCAGAAAGAGAAATTTCAATGAAGCCCCGAAAAATGACAATTTGACCCTCATTATTTTCTCTATATGACAAGAGACGACTCCGCTGACTCGGTCTCCAACTTTTGTCTTGACTTGGGGATGTTATCGTCAATCGAAGACACTCTGGACCCATCGGGCAAGATCCGAACCATTGAAGAGTGAGAGCGAATCGGGTGAAGATCCGACGGACCCATTTTGATCCGCCAGACTGAAGAGTAAGGCTAGTGGTAAAAAGGAAAATACGATCATCTTCTGTAGGAGAAGAGGGGGGGGGCAACTCAGAACAGGAGTCAAACAAGGAGCGGGCAGGCGTTGACAAGGGATGTCGTCTACGGGGGACCAGAGCTCGGCCTTCAGGAAACTACATTGGCAGTAGCAGTGCCAGAACAGAGACAAGAGTCTCAGAGGAGGAGGAGAAGTAAAAGAAGAGAAGGAAACGGACTCAGAATGGAAGCAGTAGAAGGGGAGACCTATCGGGACGAGCAGGTAATGCTGGACTCCGGCGTGATGCCGGCGGCAACAGAGGAGAGGCAGATGGAAGGGCGGGGGGAGGGGGAAGACCCATTCATTGATCCGTGATTCAGTGAGATCATTATCAGAGAAAGAACGGGAGCAGTGCGGTTCAAAATCTCTACAGACTGGAAAATTTCAGCATGAGTTCCGGTGACAAAATTGTGACTCTGATCCAAACCAGAAATCGACGACTTCCAGGGATCTTCTCTCCAAAGTAGGCTTCCTCGGCCGGTGGGTCTCCGGCCGCCAGCGCCGGTCTAGACGGCGATGTGTTTCGTCGGAGGAAAGATTTCCTTCAGCGAAACCATGCACATCAAGCTGGTCGCCGCTCCTTTGACGCCGGTGGCGCCGCTGCCTACGCCGACGGAGTTCCCGCCGGAGGGCAGGAGGGTGGCCTGGTCGAGCGTCCCTTCCCTGTACACCAGCGTCCTCTCCTCATCGCCGCCCCGTCGGTCGTCGCTCATCCGCCGGAAAACCTTGTCGAACATCCGGTCGTGGACGCGGTGGACGGGCATGCCCCTGCTCATCGTCACAGTCCTTGAAAAGTCAGCAGGAACGATCTCCTCCTCCTCCGCCATCTTGGGAGAGACATGGCTAGGATTATGGAGCTACAGGGGTCTAGAAAGTCAACCGAAAATACGGATACACCGCTATCCGATCGGTTCCTAGGATCGACGCATACACGTGTCATCCCCTTAGAGGTCAGAGTCAACGGCGTAAACGTCACAATGGCAGATCCGTAATTTATGGCCGCGAGGAAAAGAGCGACCAGCAAGATCGTCTTTGCTCTGAGGAGTGGCAACCAAGTAAATTTATCAGAGAAGAAGGTCTGTACCTGGGAAGTGCTCGCCGCGCCGGAGAAGACGACGAAGGAACGGGGGACGATGGTACGGAAAGATCAAGCGATGCGGTGTGGGGGACGACGCACCTGACGTGGAAGTGATCAGGGACCTTGCCGACGCCGATATGGAAGCCGACGGCGTCGATGAAGGCGTTGTAGGTGAGGAGGTGGAGGCCGTCGATCCTCGGGAAGGGGAGGCGGGGGCGGACGGGAAGCTGCTGCTGCAACGCCGGCGCCGCCGGCTTGGGGCGGTCGCCTTGGAGGCGTTCGCCACGAAGGCGGTGCTCGTGGAGGCCGCTGCTCGGCTGGGGTGCGACGTGGAAGGCGTATTCCTTCCAGGGGCCCCCGTGCCCGGGTGGCGAGGCCACGGGGAGGGCCACAAAGCCGAGCACCGCCATGATCGGCTCCAGGTCGTCGTGGGTGAGCATGGGCCTGAACGTCTTCGTGTGCCACAGCGCCAACTTCTTCAACCTCTCTTCCATCCCAACAAGGAAGAAGGAAGAGGAAGAGGAGGCGGATCAACAGCGCGGAGGAAGACGTAGGCAACGCAGAGGGAGGCGAGACGAAATCGTCGGAGACGGCAGCGCCCTCAGCTAGTCGTGCCTTCCGCAGCCGTTCCCCTGGTTATCCGGATCATGGTGGCTTCGGCGGATGATTTGAGGGGGAGGTCCGAGAAGGGAGGGGCGAAAACCCCAGAGAGAGAGAGAGAGAGAGAGAGAGAGAGAGAGAGGGAGGGAGGCGCATTTATAAATGTGGGGTAGTGCGTTTACTGGCGGTTTTACAGATTAATTACATCTTTACCCTCCCAACAAGCGAATCCCGTCACCGCATCTCAACTTAAATCCCATCCCCCTCAGGAGAGGCGACGTGGTGAGCCGACCTGGCCATTAACTCTCGTAATTGGAAAAAAAATAAGAAAGTAACCAATGAAGGAAATGCTTGTTATGATAAGTTCCGACTCTTTAAATCCCATTAATTAATGACGGGAAATGAACACTAAAATACGCAGTCAGACCGGATGCGCCGAAATAGGAAGAAAATCCCCAAGGCGTAGAAAGTGCCACGTGGCATGAGATTAAAGTAAACACCCGGACTGTGACAGCGTATGTTGTGACCACAGAAGGGGTTTTACTAATCCCGTTCCGCTTACGCTAATGACGGCGGCCGTTTTGTAGCGATAGGTGGGCCCAGAGGCCCAAGAATCCTTAACAGGCTGCTTCAGCCCAAACCGGGCCCACCAAGGGAGGAGGGCCGGAAGATGGGGGAAGCCATCTCCCCCTTTCACCGTTCCATCTCTATTCGCCGCAGGAACCAGGATGGCGAAGAGCAGGGGAAGCTTCATCGGCGGTGTCCTTCCTCTCCTCTTCCTGCTCGCCTGCGCCACTCCGGCGGTGGTGGCGGATGGCGGGGAGGATGACGGTGGCGCGATTTCCAGATTCCAGCAGTACCTCCAGATCAACACCGCGCATCCGACGCCGGACTACGCCGGAGCCGGTGAGTTCATCCTCTCGCTGGCCCGAGAGCTCGCACTCGGCTCGGAGGTCCTCGAGTTCGTGCCTGGGAAGCCCCTCTTCCTTCTCAAGTGGGCGGGAAGGGATGCCTCCCTCCCCGCCGTTCTCCTCAATTCCCACACCGACGTCGTCCCCGTCGAGGCACACAAGTGGAGCCGTTCGCCCTTCGCCGCCTCCATTGATCCTGAGACCGGGAACATCTACGCGCGTGGCTCGCAGGACATGAAGTCCGTGGGGATCCAGTACCTGGAGGCCATCCGCCGGCTCAAGGCTGCCGGATTCGTGCCCGATCGGACGATTTACTTGTCCTTTGTGCCGGACGAGGAGATTGGTGGGAGGGACGGAGCTGAGGCATTCGCGGTGTCCGATAAATTCCGGGATATTGGGGTCGGATTCGTGCTGGACGAAGGTCTGCCATCTGCTGGAGGGGAATACAGGGTTTTTCATGGAGAGAGGAGCCCCTGGTGGACCGTGATCAAGGCTTTTGGGGCGCCTGGCCACGGCGCCAAGTTGTACGACAATAGCGCCATGGAGAACCTGGTTAAGAGCTTGGAGGTAATAAGGAGGTTCAGGGCGGCGCAGTTCCGCCTGTTCAACGCCGGGGAGAAGGCCGAAGGGGAGGTGATATCAGTTAACATGGTCTATTTGAAGGCCGGGACACCATCCCCCACTGTAAGCTCCTCATCTCGCCTCTCCAATTTTTTTATTCAGGAAATCCATCTCAGTAGAAGGATAAACAGCAAACGTGAGCCGAATGACTGGATCGCACATGATCTTCTCTTGATCTGAAGTTGATCATTGCCGCCGGTTTCATGAGAAATATTGTGCATTCTCGTAGACTTAGAGCAGCAGTAATCTCTTCTTAGCTCCCCCTCTGAGATTATTCGTATTCGTTGACCTATTCCCTTGCTAGAATCCATGGATGCTCCTCTCCCTTTCCAGTACCCACTGGAGAATCTCCTTGTCTTCTGTGTTTCTGGTATATTTTTTCCAGACAGATTACATTCCTAATGATGGCTTCTTATGAAGCCTCCGTCATTAATTTTGACGATTTGTGGCACATTTAGTTGACACTTTGATTCTGTAATTACTCCAATTGAGGTACATTTAAATTTGACATCCTCTCCACTGATTATATTCACAATGTTTTCTGCTTCCTTCTGCGGATGATATGACTTCCATTCAGAAGCGGCGTAATTTCTCTTCTGTTCTTGCTTGATGGTTGACCAATTCCTTCTCTGTGCTTTCCCTTCTCAGGGTTTCGTGATGAACCTGCAGCCATCTGAAGCAGAGGCGGGTCTTGATATCAGGGTTCCTCCAAATGTAGATACTGAAGCCTTGGTGAGAAGGATTGCCGATGAATGGGCTCCTTCTTCACGTAATATGACATTCGAAGTAATCATCTCTGATTGAAATTTTTCTCGGCTTCCTCACCTAACAAGAGTTGACTTCTTTGAATATTTATATTTCTGGTTGGTTTTTTAGAAACTCGTTCATGGTTCTTCCCATGTTGGGTAGTTTAAGGTGAAGGTGCCCGTGGAGGACATGTACGGGAAGCCAGCCATCACCCCTGTTGATAGCTCTAATCCCTGGTGGGCGCTCTTGGAGGATGCTGTGAAGAAAGCTGGTGGCAAGCTCAGCAAGCCGGAGATCTTCCCCGCTTCAACGGATGCTCGCTCTTTCCGTCAACTTGGCTTGCCGGCGATCGGGTTTTCTCCCATAGCGAACACTCCCAGTCTCCTCCATGACCATGACGAGGTTAGTGCCACCTTGGGTTCGCATCCAGATCGTCAAGAACCCTTAAGAAGCCTATCCTCCTTCATCAGAGGTTCATCATATTACCCTTTTGCTCTGCAGTATCTGGGCAAAGCTGAGTATCTGAAAGGAATTACAGTCTATGAATCGATCATCAGAGCGTTTGGATCCTACACTCTGGAGGGCTCGAGGACCAAAGACGAGCTGTAGGATCGGTGGGTTCAGTGCCTCCTTCCTGTTGCTGGAGACTCCAGGGATCTTCCTCTAGCTGTGGGAGCGTTGTAACTGGAGCTTTCGCCTGAATCCACAGATGAACATCTGCTCTGGATCATTTGACAGCCATGGATGGAGCGCAGGTTGCTAGAGGTTGCCTCTTTAGCTGATGCCCAGATTGTGTCTTTATTTTACGCTGAAAATAGGTTACTTTAGCCTGGATTTACATATTTTCTCTCTCTTCTTGTGCAGTATTTTCTCTCTCTTCTTTAATCCAGCAATTTCTTTGATTTCGACGGGTTTCTTCGCGAGATTCAGATTTTTTTTTCCTAATTTATTCTAAAATGCATCAATTAGACCCGTATGATCTGCAGATATCATGATCGTAGACAGATCTTCCCCGCGGAGAGAGAGAGAGAGAGAGAGAGAGAGAGAGAGAGAGGGAGAGAGAGAGGGAGAGAGAGACGCGAGCTATTCGACTCATTTCATTCCTGGAATTGGTTCTGGGAACTTAGACCTTGGAGGAAGCTGGGCTGGCCAGAGATGCCGCCGCATCTCTGGCCACTTGATCTTTGTCTGTGACAGGGCCGGTTGACGGCGATTCCCAGCCGCTAGATGCCCTTCGATTTAACGAATTTTCACGGACGGCTGCGATGAGCTTCCGTCCTCAGCGAGCAACAGAAATCGCATTTTTCCAAGAATGCGACAAAAAATTCTATATGAGAGCCGTCGGAGGAGCGCTTTCTGGTTCAGCGGGTCTCCCTCCTTCTCCCTACCCCCTCCTCTCTGAGGAGTAAAGGGCCGTCGCTGCGGTGGGGATCATCGTCCGACGAGGGGAGGGCGGTAGGAGGAGAGGGCGAGATGGAGAGCACGTCACCGGCGGTGCCGTTCCCGCTCCTCCAGACGCCGATCGAGTCAAAGTATAGGTCCTGCACGATTCCGTACCGTTTCCCCTCGGACAACCCTTGGAAGGCTACCCCCGTCGAGCTCCAGTGGATAGAGGTCTTCCTGAACTCCGTTCCGTCTTTCAGGTGCGGGCAAGTAAAGAGGATAGTCCGTGAAGTCGTCGATTCCTGTGGCTTCGATCACATGGTGAAATGAACCATCGTTTCACTCCGGAGTCGTCTCCTAAATTTTAGTCCGGAAGAGTTGCCAAGATATTTTTTCCCCGTCTTTAGACTCTATTCTACTCGGTAGGATCCATCCTTCTCCGATGGATGATCGATCTTAGGAGTGAATCTATTTATGAGGCGATGCCAATACCTGTGTTCTAAGTGATAATATACGGCAGAATCATACAGCGAATATATAGATCATATGGATATGTGAATTCGTCACGAAACCTCCGTCCTGCTACCGATACTTGATGCTTTCCTTTATGCTCATTTTTCAGGCAGCGGGCCGAGAGTGATCCTACCGTTGCCGATGCTCCTGCTAAGGCAGAAAAATTTGCCCAGAGGTAAATCAGTATCTGGTAGATGTTTCCTTTTCTTCTGAAATAGTTATCCCTCTTTGAATTTGGTGTCATGGAAATGTTACTGTTATGGATGTGTTGCATCCAAATGTTGCTGGGGGCTTCATAATTTCCACGATATTTTCCTATCCACGACAATTATTTTAGACCATTTTTAATTTATGACTGGAACCTAAAGGATTCAACATGTTGAGCAGCGATGTTTGGGATAATCTGCTGTCTTCTGGACTAAATTTGGCCATGATGGGTAAGATCCTGTGCTACAGATTCTTACCAATCATGGGGAGTATAATGTGGGTGACCATCAACAAGTTTCTGCGAATTTGGTGTCTAATGTCCGATTTTAAAAATATTATCCTTGCATGATGTAATGAAATTGTTTAATTTATTCATATTTACTTAGTCCGTTAAAGTTAGCTACGATGTCAAGATCAAGATTATCACGGTAGCTATGTTGACAAAATTTGAAGTGTTGGCTTTTGAATGATAGATGTTTCAGATTAATGCGTTAATTACCTCTACATTGTTGGGAGTTCGACTTCTCTATGTCTACCTGTACTAAGGCATACTATTTTTATTTGAATATTTCCATGAATGAATCAGTTACTCCCAGGTACGAATCACTATGTACATTGGCATATCTAGCTTGGGAGATTAACGCGTGTTTTTTTTTGTTTTTTTTTCTCTCCATATAGCTTGGGAGAGCTCCTGTCTGCTGTTTACTCTTTTTCATATTTTTCGTGAAATTTCAGGTGCATATGTTTTTTTTTTATTGCATAATTTGTTTCCGGATGTTCTGTTCTACTGGTTGATCGAGATTGAGATATTCACTATTGTGTTTGCAGACCCTTGTCGACTCTGTTATGTTATTCTTTTGGGATTGATATATCGAAGAAAAAGCTTGCATCTGTATTTAAAATTGCTATATATGCACATTCTTACCTTCACCATTATGCCATGTTGCAGTTGTATGTTATGATTTATTGAGCGCATTCCTTTAGGGTTTTTTTGCGCTCATACCCTTATTGACCAAAGATTTCTTTTCTCCAACCCGGACATTATGTATTTGCAAATGGACAAGTCTTTATATTTCAGTAGGAGATGATCTTTTATGCATGAACTCCAGAGAAACTGATTATGCTCATTTTATGAAATCTGATTAATTTGAGGATAAGTAGCGCATAAAAAAGGCCTATTTTCTAGACGTTGGCTAGGGTGATCTCTTGATTTTGTCATTGTTATGTCGTATGCCTTTTTGCGGTCAGGATTTATTGGTTGTCTGGTGATATTGAAAGGTACACAGAAATTCTAGAAGACTTGAAGGCAAATCCTGAGTCCCATGGTGGACCGCCAGATTGCATTGTGAGTTTGCATGGATTATACAATGTTCTTGATGGAATGTCTCTTGTTGATTATCATATAAATAAACATGTGGTTACAAGTTATTCCTTGTAATTGGTTTTGAGTTGGATGGCCTAAGAACTCCCAATGGTATCCAGTTCTGTTATTCAAGCAACAGATTTTTTGGATTTTTTTTACTTTTTTGACGGGTCTAAACCCTGTTGCTTCTTTTATAATCTCCAGTTACTCTGTCAGCTTCGTGAGCAAGTCCTTAGAGAACTCGGATTTCGGGATATATTCAAGAAGGTCAAGGTAAATTCAACGTTTCTTCCTCAATTCTGTCAGTATTTGTGGTGTTTTGAGATTTTTTATGACAATTCATCAATTATGTAAGTTTGAATGTTTTAGGATAACGAGAATGCTAAAGCTATCTCGCTCTTTGAGGACGTGGTCAGGCTTAATGATTCTATCGAGGATGGGACCAAGCGTGTGGAGAACCTCATCAGGGGAATATTGGCGGGGAATATATTTGACTTGGGTTCTGCACAGGTTGAGTTTGTTTGGACTTGCAAGACACATTTCGTCTGTAGGCATTACCAGATAGATTTTAATGCCATGATTTTTCTTAGCTTTTCTTCTAGATCATGGAAACTTATTTATGTATCTTCTGTAAGACTCATAATATCTTTCTTCATGTTCATTCTCAAAAACATAAACAGATTTCGGATATCATGCTTCTTCTACCCTTCTTCTTCCTTCCCCTTTTCCTGTTTGTGCGTACTCATGGTCTTTTACGTTTTTATTTTCTTTGATTCTTTCTTCGTTTCCTGTTTGTAGGTGTTTTTATGTGAAGTGGGCTATTGGCCATGCAGATCCTAATATTGCCTCCCCCCCCCCTCCTTCCCCCTCCTTTTGGGAGGATACATAGACATTGGCCAGAGTCACTGTGGGAAAGGAAAGTTATGAGAAAACTTTGGGAGCCCAATGCTGGCCTTGAGGGCAACTTCGTTCTTTTAAATCATATTTTTTTTAGTGTTGATGCCGTAATCTATGCATTTTCCTGCCTCATGTGCTTACATTCTTAGTAACTTTCAAGTATTGTTTAACGCGTGTTTTGTTCTAACTTGCCATTTCTCAACTGGGGTGTTCTTTAAATCATGGCGCATGCTCATACATACTCCTGAAAGAAGAGTTCACATTAAGCGTTGATGCTGCTCTTGAGTCTGTTCCATGGATGTTCTAAGTAGTTCATGTTAGTTCATCGTCTCAGAATGCACCTGATTCTCTCAGAAAAGCCTATCTCATCTATGGCGAGATTGTTGCTTTTTCACTGACTACTTACATAGTTTCCATTATTTTTTGAGTGAAGCTTGCCGAAGTTTTTGCTAGAGACGGGATGTCATTTCTGGCAAGTTGTCAAAATCTATTGTCTCGCCCATGGGTGATTGACGATTTGGATGACTTCAAGCTGAAATGGAGCAAGAAGTCTTGGAAAAAGGCAAGTTTCCAACTGGCTATCTTTTCTCTGTCCGTTATTCCTCTAGATTTGAGAGTGGATAATGCATTTTGTTATTTTTGAATGAAGCAATCAATATTGCTGTGAGTTCCTTTGTTGACCTTTACGAAGTGTGCTGTGGTTTATTCATCAATTATCACGTGGCTAAATATTATACTGAAGATTCTTCGAATGATTTAATGTACATTTGTTCTAGAGAACAGCGGCCATCTTGACCTGTTTAGAGTTTGAAATCTCTCTTGGACTATTTGGTGTTGGTGCCACCACACCATCGCTCTGGTTTATTGTCAGTTTGCAGTATCTTGCTTTCCCCTTGTAGAACAGGGGAAGATCATTAGAGCTTTGGGCGCCGAATCATCCACATAGCTCTGACAAACAGGAAACCAGCCTTTGAGGGACTAACATGCTTTGACTCTTGGAAATGGCCCGTGTCGTCTGTACAATCCCTTGAAATTTCGAACCTCAATTCACGGAATGCTTCTTTGTTGTGAACAGGCTGTTATTTTTGTTGACAACTCGGGTGCCGACGTTATCCTGGGAATCTTACCATTTGCAAGGGAGCTGCTGCGACGCGGCACAGTGGTAAACCTCGCTATTTAACCGTGTTTTCGATCACACGCAGTTAAAACCATCATCGTCGTCCTCATCATCATCATCACCAGCACCGTCGCGAATGCACTTAGTTTGTGCTTGGCTGCTCCCTTAATATGTCCTTGGCTGTGGTGCAGTAGAAGGCCACAACGTTAGCTCACGGAATTGAGTAGCCCTGTATTGGGTATTGCTAATCAGTTTTAATGGCCCAATAACTCCAGCACGATCCTGGGCTGATGATTGCCGCTTGGGACGACATACCCTACCTATGCTGTCCGCATGTCAGAGCCCAAAATGTCGGCTTGCCTGAGAGAGGATGTGTGTTAAGAATAGCCCCATGTTTGTGCATGAGATTATAATGATTGAGCCTTCGCTAATTATTGTCGATGGGTTTTGATTTGGATTGACCCAATTACTCCAGTCTGGTATCAGAGCCGATGATCGCTCTTTGGTTGACCTTTCTCTGTTTTTGTAGTTCAATTGGCTACTCCCCCTCATCAGATAGCCTCAAGGAAGAACTGCTCTGCTCCGTCAGCTACAGAAAGTTGAATGATCGCGGATCTGAAATGCATTAACCATAGTCCAAAATAACGCATTTCAGATTGTTGAAGTTATTATGATCCCTGTGACCATAAGGCTGATGGGTTCTGATCTAGATGGCCCAATAACCTGAGCACTGGTCATCGCTTAAGCTAAATAGTGCCGCCGGTGTGGATAGACCTTAGCAGCCTGGGTTTTCTAGGCAAAACTGAATCACCAATGCTTGTATACCGATCCGAATTACTAAATATGTGTGCACAGATTTGCATATATTTCTCAAATATTCTCATTTTTTTCCCAATTCGTGAACCATTTTCGAGTCTCATTTTCTGCGTCATTCCTTGATAAATGCAGGTCGTCTTAGCGGCCAACGACCTTCCGTCCATTAATGACGTAACCTATCCCGAGTTGATTGAGATCGTCTCAAAGGTTAGGGAGTGCTTAGTTTGACTTTCATGGCTCTTTATCCTTGAGCTGACTCAGACATTCCCCATCGCTCTCCAGCTGAGAGATGGGAATGGACAGCTAATGGGGGTGGACGCCTCCGGTCTCCTGATTGCTAATTCTGGCAACGATTTACCGGTGAGAAGCAGCACAACCCCTACTTCCCGTTGGCGAGCACTTCTCCAGCCCACAATTAACCAGCCCTGCCGCTCTTCCTCAGGTTATTGACCTTGCGAGTGTCTCACCCGAGCTGGCGTACCTGGCGAGCGATGCTGATCTCGTCGTGCTGGAGGGAATGGTAAGCCAACAGTGGATTTCTACTCTGGTTCTTGGTGACCGATTAAGGTTTTCTTCATTTTTCCCGCAGGGGCGTGCATTGGAGACGAATCTTTATGCCCTATTCAAGTGCGACTCAATCAAGATCGGCATGGTAATACTCTCTCTCTCTCTCTCTCTCTTATAGCTAGCTGAGATCTTGCATGGCAGGTTAAGCACATGGAGGTTGCTCAGTTCTTGGGTGGGAGGCTGTACGATTGTGTGTTCAAGTACAACGAGGCCCCTTCCTACTGATCCCGATAGAGGCAAGCTTTTCTCCATTCCAAATCCCGATCTCTGTTGCCGCAAGCTTTCCGTCGTTTTAGTGAAGGGAGCTTGTGTTCATGGACCAGAGATGGCCCGGCCATCGCTCCTCTTCTATGACTGGCGGTGTAAACCTGCGAGTTTCACCGATTGAGCGGAGAAATGAAGACTCCGCGTTTGTCAAACTCCTGGGCAGCAATCTTCTTCTAGTCCTCGGGGAACGAAACAGATAAGGGTAATTGGTGACCCCTACAAGGCAGAAGTCACCGACATGGTACTCTCTCTCTCTCTCTCTCTATGTATACAAAGATGGCCCGGGCTGTTCTTCGCAGACCAGGGGATGGAAACGGAGTTTCAGAGTTCGTTTCAAGGTGGCGATGGAGGATTACTGCGATAAATAGCCAGCTTACAGAGAGAGGGGAGGAGAGGTCCCCCGCGCTGAAGAGGATGAGTCGAATGCCGTCACCTTAGATGCTCGTTAGGGTTCCCACCGCCTAACCGACTCGTCCACCGTCTTCTTTCTTCTGCCAGTGAGCCTTCCCGACAGCTGTTATCTCGTGGGCGTCGGCAGGATGACGAAACGGCGAAGCGGGGACGCTGAAAAGACCCCCTATCTATTCGGACTCAACGACGAGCAATCCTTGTCCACACATCTTCCTCTCTCTCTCTCTCGCGCTCTCTACTTGAATTGTACCGTGCTTTCATAACTACGATAAAAGCGTACGACCTGGTCTACAGATGTCGAACCAGGTGTTCTCTCCCGCCTGTTCTACCGTCAGATTCCACCTGCACCGCGAGGTCTTTCAGTGGCGTGCTCTCTCTCTCTCTCTGGGCGGTGGGTTGTCTTCTCAAGAAACATACCCTCTACCAAATGATAAATTTACTAACCATTAGAGAGGGATATGTATACATTTATAATATATATGTAGAGAGAGAGAGAGAGAGAGAGAGGCAGATGAGCGCATGGACACGGGCGCTCCATGACCGCGGTGGAGGACAGAGAAGGACGATTAAAAGAAAAAAGCAAGGCTTCTGCTGGTAATTGACAGTAGGGAATCGGGAGGAAGAGGAGAGCGCTTCATGGGCCCCATCCACACCCCCATACGAGAGAAAACCAGCCTGTTGCAGAGCTGTTCATCGAATAAATACCTCCCCGCGTCTTCCTCTCGTATTATTCTGAGGGAAACAACGATAGCCAGGAGGCCGACGGACCAACGGCACCACGCAGAAAGAGGAGGAAGGGGAAGGAGGGCGAGGGATCATTCCTTCTGCAGTCTCTTCTCGAGAAGCCGCCATGAACTCCCTCCTGGAGAACTTCCAGAAGAGGAGGTTCCTCCCATCAAGGCCACTGCAGGACGACCTTCCCGTGTCCCGGGCGGCGGCGGCGGAGGCCAAGATCGGCCTGAGGAGAAGGCTCTCCTCCTCCGTCAGCATCCAGTCGCTTTCCTCGGCGGCGGCGGCCTCCTCCACATGGGCCTTCCGGCGATCCAAGTCCATGTCCTCCGTTGGAGAGCTCGCCGGAGGATCCCTTAGGAGGTGGTGGGACTGGGGCTGGGGATGGGTACTCTCCCGGAAGCCCTCCTTCACCCGCGATCTCGAAATGAACGACCAGGAGACGGCGCTTCTCGGCTGCCACAACAAGGGCAGCTTGCGGCACTTCTTCTACAAGGTACGCTCGGAGCTCATGAGGATCGTCGGCTCCGGCGGCGAACCCGCCGACAACTACGCCCATCACTTCCACGCCGCCGCGAAGGCCGACGGCTGACAGTGACGGTGCCGCGGGAAAGGGAATTATCCTCGTCTTAGAAGAACTCTATTACTTCATTTTTTTTCCCTTCAACAGCGCTCGTGCTTCCTCTGTAAAGTACATCTGGGTTTGTATTGTATGTGAACGAAACCATCTGCACTAAAGTTCCTGCAGTATCAAAGGTTTTCATCTACGAACCCTTCGGTCTCTGTCTTCCTCATTTCTCGGCAGATTTCAGCTGCCCGATGGGGGCATCGAGCATGAAAAGATGTCTTCTTGGACATCTGAATCTGCTGTTCTTCGTTCCTCGACCCATTCGATCGGAAAATGTTGGAAGACGGGTCACGAACAGGCGAGATATGCCCCATCCAGAGGCGTTAAGATCCCTCTCTGACGGCAAAAGAGTGTTGCCTTTGGGTTATTCATGGTGGGTATTTCACGTGGTTACGAGCTGCCTTGGTCGGTGGCTCTCCACTGGTTGCGCTGCCCGCCGTCAAAAAGTCGGTGGGTACCATTTCCGATAGAAATAGTTATTAATATATTTGCAAGTATAGACAGGTATATACATAGACACAGACAGAGAGAGAGAGAGCCCATTGAAGTCCTCCCACGTGAAACAGGGCGGGGCCAAGGCTGCAAGAAGGGACGCGTACACTCAAGCGTCTGGAGTACCCCCACCACACCGACAGGTCAGTCAATGGGTCGGGCCGGGCTGAGCCAGGGCCGGAAAACTGTTCATATATGGGACCCTAAGGGCGGGCCATTATTGAGCCCTTGCCCGGCCGGGATTAACCGGGCCCACCATGCATAACCATCACTTATCTTGGCAAGGCGAAACGGGCTTTTGGGCCAGAACCTGATGAAGCCCGAACGCTTTTCAGAGCATGGCCCAGACCAGGTTCTGGGCTTATCTGGTCAATGGACAACCCTAATTCTACAACCACTGGACCTTAACCCCAAAACTAGATATTATAATTTCTTTAACAAATAGAAAGTGAGGAAATCTGGAGAGTCAACTCCCACCATCGTGAAGGTTCTTGATCTCGAGTAACCCAAACCATGGAAACAGCACAAAGTTTCTCCTCCTTTGAAGGTGCGCATCAACATTAAGCTATCTTTACCTTCCTTTGCCTGACGTGATTACTCGGGATTAACTTGCAAGTATACGGCAACTGCCTTGAAGATGAAATTACATATAATACAGAACAAGAGGATTAATGTCTGAATCGGAGGTATTATCGTAAAACATGTGTTCAAGATTTGCCATATGCCTCCAGTGTTTTTCATTAGATTAGCTAGAAGAAGGGCCAAATTATATTGAATAATAGGGTTCATAATCGATGTAAATAGTAGAAACCTACCCATTCTATTACCCATTATAAAAAAATCAAATCTTGATTTAGGCTTTTTCATCTTCAAAGGATTAAGCGAAGGAGCTGTAAATTTCCGTTTAACTGCTGCAAGCGAAGACCTCAAAAGTAGTTCGAACACCCGCACAAGGGCTTGTTTAGGCTCCACGGCCCATCAGACCCATTTATCTCCCTCTCAGAGGCTCAAACCGACCCGTACGAACTCGCATGCTCTTGCTTGTCATCCGGACTGAGTGGGGGGAGAAGAAGACGAAGAGGAAGAAGAAGAAGGAAAAGAAGCGGGGGAGCCGTACAGAGAAACGCGGGGAGAGCCACAGGGAGGCGAGAGACACAGAGAGGAAACCCACCGCGCCGATCCATGGCAGGAGCAGCAGCAGGAGCTGCTGCTGCAGCAGCCTCCTGCAAGACGATCTAAGCTCCACTGTTTCCGGCGAACGTAAACCTTCTGCAAATGGATAAAACCCCTGGTTACTCGCACACCCATTAAATCCCCCTTCTCAGGCCCTCTGCCGCTGGTGGACCTCCGGTGGCGTTATTTATGGCTCAAGGCGGAGGGAGGGGGGGACAGCTTAGATTTGCCGGCCTACGCCGCGTAGGGGGCGGCGGGCTTCTGTTCACTGGCGGTGACAGGCGGGGTACGGCGGCGACGAACAGTAGTGGTGGCGGAGGGCCGGCCGGCACTGACGAGCCCTGTCAAGCGTGTGCACGAGCGCCGCCCCGCGACGTCTGGTCATCTCCGGCGCCCGCGTGTCGCACGTGGGCCGCTTGGCACGAGGGCCCATCCTCCGCTGTGTTGGGATCCCCGCGTGAATAAACAACCAGAGAATCCACTGGGGCTCCTCCCATCGGTGGAATCCCCGGTGGGAATCGTTATAAATGCCGGCTGTAAGTAACGCCTCATGAGTACGTCTTCCATTTAATTCTCCTCATAATCAATCTATCTATCTATATATCTCTACGCGTCTACGGAATGGCGGCGCATACCAGAGTTTGTATAGTGTGCAAAATTGTCGCCGAAAATGTTACAGATTCCTTGAAATGAGGGCTAGGTTTCTCGTTTATTCAGGAGCTTGAATGGTGTCTCAGCAGCCATAATCCGATGACAGAAGGTGATTTTCTATACTCAATGTGTTGTATCATTGATAAATGAGGCCATATTGGTAGCTTTTTGCGCATTCCGATTCATGTTTATTCAGGAAATGTGATGCCAAGGCTTTTCTAAGCTTTTTGGGCATTCATGTTTATTCAGGAAATTTGATGCCTAAGTCAACGTTGTTATTTTACTGAAATATGAGAACATATTCTGAGCTTTTTGCATGGTTCGAGTCATATTCGTTTTGTTTAAGATTATTCTGGGTATCTTGATAACAACAATGGGGGGGGGATAGGAACTAAAGATGCACTGCCAAGTCTTTGGATGGTTCGATTCATTGTTTATCTACAACGTGTAGGGGGGATCTTAATAGAGATAGTGGGATGTCCAAAAGTATCGACCTAAAGAGTCAACGGGCTATACTATTGGAAGAATTGACGATCATCCATTAGGGTTTCGAGCTGGGGCTACGAATCCGTGCCACTTAGAGGCAACCAATCGCGTCGCTGCGCTCTCGTTCTGTCAGCTACGATGAACCCTAAGCCCGCCTGATACTCCCCAAGAACTGACTACGAGGTACCCGTGAATCCGGCGGACCAATGCCCAATCATGTTCATGATTGAAACTTATAAAAATTGAAAATAGTGCACTTTGAACCGGGCCCTGTTCTATTACTCTCGGGCTTATCCATCACAAGGAATTGAAGAACGGTAACAAAAGTAGTATTTCTGTTACGTCTGTTTCAGTCCTAAAAAATCTATTTTTTTCACCTCTCTCTCTCTCCCCTCCCTCTCTCTCTATTAACTAGACCCCATTTTCCAGTTTTTATTTAGTCCATGTCAAAAGTCACTATGGCTCGGGCTGGACTCGTCAGCGCCCTGGGCATCATATGTGAATACGGGTATATATATATATATATATATATACATGTAAGCGTGTGTGGAAGTACGAAGATAGCAGATTCTTATGTATATTATCGTCTTCTTAGGTATTGGTGTTAGATTAGAGAGCCAGTAACATGAAAACCAGAGCCTCTGACTTTGCTTCCTCTACCGTCTCTCCTCGGGCATATCATATCACAGGTGCCGCCCATCTAGCTGTCCTCTCTCCCCCGCTGCCGCAAATCTTTTCCCCTCATCCTCACACCTTCCCAAACGCCCCTCCCCCAACCCCTCCCCGAAACAGCAGTTGCCTGGCCGCCACTGTTACCGCGTCACCAGTCGGGCCAACTCCTGGCGCAAGGGGAGGACGACCCAGATCGAGAAAGACCTGTCTCTGTGATGGGATGAGCTCCGAGCATCGTCCCTGACGCGACCCCATCGATGAGTGGGAGGGCATCACCTAGGGTCGCAAAAGCAGGAACTTATCGGTGAAAAAGGGCATCGCTTGGCTCGTATTGTACGAGCTCCGTCGAGTTCTAGCCGTAAGATTCTGAGTGCAAAAACCGGGCTTTGGAAATATCCCGACTTATGAAGAAAGTTTCTAAGGGTGAACAGGAGGAAGTATGAGAAAACTCCCAGATTATAGCTGCCATTGATGATGCTGTTACGATCATCAGAGGGCATGAGATAGCGAGAGAGAGAGAGAGAGAGATCTGTCCCATGCACACCCTGACCGCGGACCAGGGACGCATTTACTCCAACTCTTTCCTTTCTCGTTACATATCTTTTCTTCCTCCTGCCCGCACACCCCCCAGGGGCTGCTCTCCCGTACAGGAGGAGGACTATTCACCATTAATGAACCCCCCAGTCCAAAACCCAGAAGAACTCTCATCTACGTCTATAGCTCTCCTTCTCCGGTTTCAGTGCTCTCCCTCTACATATACGCACATCCATGTGGTTAGGGCTTCCCCCCACTACACGACATCTCTCTATGTGGCTAAAATCCCTCTGAGGCTTCTTTTTCTCCTCCTCTTCAAAAATCCGCCGGCAATGGAGGAAGTGCTCTGGGAAATGATGGGCGAGGATACGAACGAGCGGGGGCTTCCACCCGGGTTCAGATTCTATCCCACTGACGAGGAGCTGGTGACCTTCTACCTGGCCGGTAAGGTGTTCAATGGGGGCTTCGTCGGCGTGGATATGGTGGAGATCGATCTCAACAGATGCGAACCGTGGGAGCTTCCGGGTAGAATTTCTGCGTCTGGGCTCCTTCCGAGGGATGAAATACTTAGATCGATCTCTTGATCCATGCACATTATGAAGCCACACTAACTTCATCGCCATTCTTTCTATCACCCCATAATTCTCAGTCAAAAGAAAGCCAAATGTTGTGTACTTCAACCGAGGGAGAAGAACGCGGTTTCGCGTGTATGCTAGAGGTTTCTCCTCCACGAATGCTTTGAGCCGAACTCCCACCTGTGTCTGGAAACCTTTATACTAACTCCTTGAAACCTAGAAGCCGTAGGATAGTCGATCTTGACCATATCAGTCGTTTTTTCCCCCCGCAAATGCTCGGCTTTCTCATGTCACTACTTTCTCTTTTCTCGTTCTTCCATGGTCCAGACGTGGCCAAACTAGGAGAAAGAGAGTGGTACTTCTACAGCCTCCGAGACAGGAAGTACCCAACGGGGCTCCGGACGAACAGGGCCACAGGTTCCGGGTACTGGAAGGCCACCGGTAAGGACAGGGAGGTGTGCAGCGCCTCCGGCGGCGTTGTGATCGGCATGAAGAAGACTCTGGTCTTCTACAAGGGTAGGGCGCCTCGCGGAGAGAAGACCAAGTGGGTTCTCCATGAGTATCGTCTCGAGGGTGACTTCTCCCGCCGCCTCGCCTGCAAGGTCCGCTCCCCTCTCACTTAAGCAGGTTATGCTCAATAGATCAGTTGAATTAGGCTCAAAAGACTCACGGTGCCCTTAAAGCTCAGATATTCCTTCCTTCCCCCTGACCGGGTTTCCTTCTCACCCCTTGAAGCGCTTCGAACCACGTCGCTATAAGGGGGAAAGAGATTATAGTGCTAAGTCGACGTCCTGGCATTCGTGCTTTCTCTCTCTCTCTGGGCCTCTCTATCTCTCTCATTCTTTCTTTCATTCATTCATTCGCGGCAGAGATACACTGCAGCAATAAATGACCTTTTCCTTTTCTTTCTTCGTATTTACGTCCAGGAGGAATGGGTTATCTGCAGAATATTCAAGAAAACAGGAGGCGAGAAGAAAACCTCAGCTTTCCAAAACTTCGACTACCTTTTCGACCCTTCCCCTTCCTCCTCTCCACTCCTTGCATACCCCTCGCTTGGTGAGATGCAAAGCCTAGATTCTCCAATGAGCTTCTTCTGCAAGGGCAGCACCTCCCACTTCTTTCACCCGGACGATGACCTCCACCGCCGTCTTCCTCCGGTGGATCCCACCCAGTCCTTTATACCACCTACCATCCCGTCGCTTCTCAAATCCGATTCCCATCAACACCTTCCCAAGGAGATCAATCCTGCTCCCGAACAGTGTAGCTCCGTCTTGTCCACCCCAGCTGGACAAGCCGTCTTCAACCTGGTTGACGCAGACCCACAGAACCCTCTTGTCTTCAGCACGTTTCCTCCCTTCTTCGGTCTTCACGACGCGCCGGCCTGGCTCGGCGCCGCCGGCGGCCCGCCAGAGTCAGGAGCTCTGGTTCCCTGGGATTGCGCCCATGCACACGTATGGCAAATGTAGAAGTCTCTGTCCAACCTACGGCGACTCGCTTTGGTCAGCGTCGATCCCTCGGCAGCCCGATCACCCGACGAGAAGTCCCGAGACGTCCACTCATACACTGACCATGTACAAGAACCCTTCTCAGTGTGAACTGAAATGAGCTGCTTAATGCGATGTGACCTTGTCCGAAACATCACCTCACAGGTCAACTCCTAGTTTACTCTCAAGTTCACTCCAACTGGTGATGGATAAATGTGGCCGCTTGCATGGATGGTTACATGCATGCATGTAAGCGTTCGGGGAAGGACCCATTATGTGCGAGCATCTTAAATAGATAGGACTGACGAGACTCCGGTAGCTGTGGCGTAATTCCGACAGTTCGTTGCTTGCGGGGATGCTAATCCTTTCACCCCTACGAGATTCTTATACTGTTGATACCTGAATCCCGTTATTCCATGCTGTAAACGCCACGAGTAGTTTATGAGAGAGAGAGAGAGAGAGAGACGATGTGGGGCACTATGCATGGCCTCCTCTTGGTATCTCATGAAACCATCACAACGTATAATTAATGCAATGTCTTTGACCAAGGCGCTACACTGTGAGATGAACGGTCACGTAAACTATATACGGACGTTGTTTGATAAACATTGGACCGTAGTACTTCTGCATATAAACTGCACTGAAGTTCTATAGATCTCAACTGATCCATGGGACACCATCGATCAAAATCACTATGAACATTCTCACTGCTGACCCCAAAATGATCTGGTATTTTGTCTCGTCTTTTTGTTCGAAGTAATTTGATCTTTAAATCGGCAAGATTTTCATAGATAATGTGACCCACTTCAGGCCCAAGTGATCCAAATTTCCATCCTAGATTTCGCTGTCTCAAAACGATGGACTTATTGTGACTAATGTGACTCGGCACCTGAACATGATATCATAGTGGATCATCGTACCTTCTGTCCAATAATATCGCTTGCTTGTTCTAGAAGTCAACGCTTTTTTCAACTACAAGGGCATATTTACAGTAATCCCAACCTAAAACTAGTAAATAAGGTCAGAGCTATTGAATTATGGAGTAGATGATCCATGGATCTTACTACGACCGAAATCCAGCGCTAGGCATGTTAGAGGATACAAGACCTTTCCAATAATGCCATAGATGGTATGAAGTGGGGGAAAAGCCCTCGATTGAATTATACGCACACTTTGACTGAAGTATGTTACCCAAAAGGTGACATGGACTTATTTATTTATACACGTGCTCTTGGATTTAAGTATTGACGTTAATATTTATATCCACAGTCACACATCATCAAGATAGTTTGGCCCGTTGACCCTAATTGCTCTTGGAAAGAGACGCGCATTCCTGAAGTAGACCAGCCTCCTTAAACCAGGGGCGTAAAACTTCTCCCGGAATATCCTTGTGAATCTATCGACGTTGACTGCTTGGTTAGGTTCGGAATGTGCTCATTGTGGGTCCCTCACTACAGAGATCACCCAACGGCAGAGAGCAGGCAGGGTCAAAATCGCTCCTGTTGGTTTTCGTCTCTCGTAAGTTAGCTTCGGCGATAAGCGAGATGCAGGGTTATATCGGTCTTTTTTATCGTGTTAGCACAGATCTATAAGACATCGAATGCAGAATTCCGAATCTTCTCCGTCGCCGGTTGAAGGGGAGAATGGTGGAGCAGCAGCGCGGCAGCGCCCTGAAGTCGGCGCTGGTGGTGGTGGGGAGCTTGGCCTTCGCATGGCTGACGGTGGAGATGGCCTTTAAGCCCTTCCTTGATAGCATCAGGGGGGCCATCGCGAAGTCTGATCCAGGACGTGACCCCGACGGAGATGGCGAGGAGGCGGGAGGGCCGGCGGCGTCGTCCCCGATTGAGACTCCCTCCGGCGAGGAAGCGAAGGGCAAGAAGGAAGACAAGTAGGCGAGGGGAAGGGAAACGAGTGGGATTCCGAGGGAGAAACCGATAGCAAATCGAGATGTTTTTCTCCCCTTCCCCTTCCCCTTGTCCCGAGGTCTATTTTCAATTGTGATTTCTAGGGTTTTGAATGGGGAATCCTTTTAGATTCTCCTGAAAGAAATTGAAAGAAATAATTGCGGTAGTATTAGGGGACGAGCTCTGATCTCTGTCGTCTGTACACGTTTGCGTTTGGAAGAAATGTTGCTTCTGGATGTGACCTCCCCCGCTTCTTTCTCTCATTGAATTCTCTGTCGACGCGGAGCTGTTTTTGTCAGATGATGTGGTAGCTTTGGAGGTGACAGGAACGCACAAAGAGCATCTTATTGGCCTCGTAATTTGCAAAAAAAAGGGAAGATCCAGGTGAAGCACGGCTGAACATCTCCCAGATTTCAGCCTCCAACGCTGCTGTGTACGAGAGATTTCTCCATCCTTTTCTGTCTCATTGAAGCCCTTGCCCAGCCCACTCCATCCCACCTTCCTCTCGCCGCATAAACGTTCGAAAGGAGAACAAAAACTCCGCTGTTCGCAGGACTCAATTCGGCCATTCTGCGCCGCAGCCGCTCCGCCACTTCCACGTCGTCGTGGATCCGGCAGCCGCTCAACATCGCGCTCCAGATGGCGGCGTTCGGACGGAGTGGCATCGAGTCGACGAATCTCTCTGCTTCGGCTATTCTCCCTGCTCGGCTCAGAAGATCCACCATGCACCCGTAGTGGTGCAGGGACGGAGCGATTCCATAGTCACTCCTCATGGCGTCGAAGTATCTGCGTCCTTCCTCCACCAACCCGGAGTGGCTGCAGGCGCTGAGAACCCCGATGAAGGCGATGCCGTCGGGGGCCACCCCATCCTTCTGCATCGCCTCGAAGAGATCCACGGCCTCGTGCCCACGTCCATGGCTGCCAAGGCCTATAATCATCCCAGTCCATGCCACAACATCCTTCCTCTCCAACCCCCAGAAGACCTGAAAGGCGCTCTGTACATCCCCGGCCTTCGCGTACATGTGCGAGAGAGTGGTCCGCACCTGGACATCCTGGCTGCAACTGGTCTTCTCGACGTAGGCATGAACCCCTAGCCCTAATCCTCGATCCCCTCTCCTTGCGCAGGTTCCCAGCAGACCCAGAAGAGTCACCTTATCCGGCCGCACGCCATGGCCACGCATTTCCGCGAAGAGCTCCACCACCTCATCGCACCGCTCATACTGGTTGTACGCAGTGATTATGGCGTTCCAAGAGGCCAGGTTTCTGTGAGTCATTCCGTCGAACAGCTCCCGCGCGGTCCTCAAGCTCCCGCAGCGCGCGTACATGTCGAGAACCGCGGTGGCGAGTACGACGTTAGATCGGATTACGTCGGGCCCGAGACGGTGAAGCCGGCGGAGCGCCCACCTGCCGGTATCAATGTCTCTGATTCTGCCGCAGGCCGCAAGAACATTCGCCATGGTGACTTCGTTAGCCTCGACGCCTGCGAAATCCATCTGCTGCAACAATCTGACGGCGTCCTGAGTCCGTCCTGACTTGACATACCCGGCGATCATGGCCGTCCATGCCACCACGTTTCTACGGGGCATTTCCTCGAACACCACCTCGGCGGACTCTACGTCGCCGCAGGCCGCATAGCCATGTATCAAGCTGGTGGAGACGTAGAGGTCTGATTCATAGCCAGACCTCACCACGCGGCTGTGAACGCAGCCGCAGAATTGGCTGTCTGAGGTGGCGGCGCAGGATCGGAGCACGAAGGGGAAGGTGAAGTTGTCCGGCCGGTGACTCCGCCTCTGCATATCTCTGTACATGGCCAGCGCCTCAGCGGGGAGCTCGCTGCTGGAGAAGCCCCGGATCATGGAGTTCCAGATGAAGACGCTCGGGTTGTCGATGCGCAGGAAGACGGACCGAGCGTAGTCGAGATCTCCGGCGCCGGTGCAGAAGTCGACTAGCCTGCTGAGGGGGACGACGTCCCTGACGAGCGCCGTCGTGGTCATGTAACCATGTACTTGCTTCAGCTCCCGCATGCTCCGGCAGCCTTCCAGCAGGGAGACGACGCCTTCCCTGCCGATGATCATATCTCCTTGCTCTTTGACTTACCCCCGAACGCGGCATCTCGAGTGCAGGAGTGTTCCTCGTCGGCGTCGGGGACAAGTCCAAGATTGGGCTCTTTTTGTTGCACCTGAACAGTTCTTGTGAGCCCATAATTGAATGGCATTAAGCCCACGCTCTTCTGTTAGCTAACCCTTCCTCAAACGCCTACTGTTTGGGGAACCCCCCGGCTCTCTCTCTCTCTCTCTCATACACACACACACACACAAAATCTTTGGGTTCGAACGCCCATCTGTCAAGAGTTGAAGTACCATTATCTTTCTCAGTTCCATCTTTAGATTTTAGCGGATAAATATGATAGTTGATTGGCCAAAAACACAAGTTATCATTCATTACACACTATCTTAGGTTTGACGTTATCTATCTTGATCTTTCCTCCTCTCATGAGATCTTTCAATTTTAGCACCCACAGTTGTCAGTAAAAGATCTTTCCTCCTGAAACTTTAAATTCCTATTAAATGACCCCCTTTGAGAGAGATCTTCTACCTCTTTGACCTTCTAAAAACTTTCATCTGCATTTCTATCTAAATCATTCCACCTTTTATTAAGTTTCAGGATTTTAGCATCCAAATTTTTCATCACTAGAGGAGAGGGAACTGCCGACACGTTTCTTAGGAGAGGTATCAAATTGCTACATCATGGACTTAACACATGTCCCATTGTTGAGTACTAGTTGAAGCATTCCAAGTGACTGACGGTGCCAAGTATAGACACGCAGTGAGAGCACGATTTATATTTTTACTTGATGAAAATTTATGGAGCTCGTTAATAATAAAATATGAAATATTTTCTATTGAATGATAACTTGAAAGAAGCTCTTAAATTGATGTTTGTGAAAGTGAGTTGACTTTTTAAGTTTGATGATTTTTTCAAACCTTCAAGATCAATAGATTAAGGCTTTTTGTTAGACAATATATTCTCAAGATATCTTTTAATAAACTTGTACGAACATACAAAATATTTATTTTTTCTTAGTCAAAAGTTACTAGATATCTTAAAATTGATAAGCTCATTTAAAAAAACATGCACCTTTTAGGTGTAGAACCAAATACAGTGATGTTTTCAGAAAAAAATGTATCATTTTTTCCTTAGATGTGAATTTTAAGAATATTTCTGAAATAATGTGCACCTTATGAAGAAGTTAACCTTTTCAATTAGACAGAAAACAAGAGATATTTATAAATCAATATGCATGTGATGAACATAGTTAAATGTTTCATTTTGACAACACATCACATATATTTCTAAATAATATCCACATGATAACCACATGTAACCTATCTATTCTAATAGAAAAATGAAGGATATTACCTAATTAATATGTTTTTTATTAGCAAATTTAATATTCCAACTAGACAAATAAATTAACAAATATTTATAAAATAATATCTCAATAATAAGATAAAGTTTATCTTTTCAATTAGATTACAACTTAATAGACATTTATAGTCAAAATATTAATGACTAAGAAAGTTGATGTTCCAATTAAAGATAAGTTGAGACAATTTTAATTGATATTTTTCTAAGGAATGAAGTTGAGCTTGTTCAATAGTGGTATTGGACTCCTGACCCACTAAGTCCTATTACCTAGTCATGTATTATATTTTTATATTTTATGAATTCTAGGGTTTTACCCTCTTGTGTCAACATGGTATCAAAGCCCTAGATATTCCTCGTTGTTGTCCTTCTCTCCAGTGCGCCGCTTGTCTCTAGCGCACCGCTCTCCTCCTTGTTGGCTCTTCAGCGTCACCGCTCTTCCCTCTTCTGACGTCGTCATCTCTGTCGTCGCTCTCCTTTTCCTTTCAGTACTGCCCTCTTCACCACCGTCACCCCTTGCTAGTGTTGTTGCTCTCCTCCTCTTCTCTGGCATCTTCACCGTCATTGTCGCTGTCGAGGTCCTCCTCCCCATCACACCCTTGCTACTGCTACCATTGAGGTCCCTCCTCACCATCGCATGCCTTTGCTGTTGCCCCCTTGCCGTCATACCCTAGCCCCCTCCGTCATTATCGTGTCAACACCATTGCCGCCCCTCACCCTTGCCACCATTGCCGTTGCACCGTCGCATTAGCCCAATTGGCAATTTACTTCCAAATCGGCCCAACTGGACCCGCCGGCCAACCGGCCCCAATTGGCTTTGCCGTTCCCCGCCGGCTCTACCAACCCCTCTAGACTGGCCAATTGGGTCCCAATCAGCCTGCCCCACCCGAGCTGGCCCCACCGCCTGCCTCATGACGTCGTCTCACCCTCTTCTATTGTCTACCTCCGAGCCTTCTAAGCTTCTTTCGATTGTTGTTCTCCCTTTTATACTAGTTCCTCTAACTCGTCACTTCATCATGGTGCAACTTACTCAGCCATGTACATCTTCAACGGCTACAATCATGCGTCATAAGCCTCTAGTTTCGAGCTCTTTTTTTAGTCTCACAGTCTCTTCTATTACCTCTTAGAGGACCCACCTAGCCTTTGGGACCCCTTGTATGCGACATGGTCACAACTCGACTCGACCATCATTACATAGATGCTTCAGAGCATCGAGTATAGCATTGTCAAGCCACTAGCACACATCACCCTAGCTCGTCTCTTATGACTCACTAGGGAGACTATGTACACCAACTAAAAGAACATCACTCGTATTATTGAGACAATCTCTCTCTTCAGATCTACTACGACTCTCTCCAAGCCCTCATCTATGAGGTTGATATCTATTAGCCCCTTACTACTGACCTCCTGACCCTCCAACATTATTGCTAGGAGTTTATGTTAGGGTTTATCTTAGTGGGCTTCATCTGTCCATCACATCATAATCTAGGGGTCTATTATCTCTAGAGATCCTGTGCTTGATCTCGTCTTCATCTTCTCGTAGTCTTTTCGGTCATTATTGATATGCTCATCTACTTTTCTTCTTCAAGTGTCACCTTTACTCTTTTGACTCTTGGCTTGATTGCTTTGTAGGCTCAAGATGATACCGCTCCTCGTCCTAATGGTGGTCATCTTATTTGCAGACGTGGGTGTAACACTTTTCCTCATTGTCTCTACTACAGGAAGAAGAATCATCCAACTATTAAGTGTTAGAGGCAATTTGGTAAGTCCGCTTCTACAGAACTGGTAATGACTTATTTGACTTTGGCATCTCCCACTCTATCTAATGTTTCAACTTCTAACTTTTACATGACCTTAATACTTGTAGAGTATGACATCCTTCGTTGCACTAGTGGTATCAAAGCTTCTACCTCTGTCAGTCTTACTTTGCTTTCAACTAAGTTGAAGGAAATAGAGAGAAGCCAATGTGACATCATGACTTTTGATCGAATAAGTTCACTCATCGATAATGGTGATATAGAGATGGGTCGAGATAGGTTGATAGGAGGAAAGAATAGTGAAGATATTAGTCATGTGACTGGAGGCCCTCGAATCAATAATCTATGACATCAAATAATAAGTAAGGAGAGCATGTGTACTTGGCATGGAGGAGGTCGAAAGTGAGGCGAGACTAGCAAAGGTGAAGCACCGGTACCACTGATGCGGCAAAGGGTGTCATACTCTACAAATGTCAAGGTCACGTGTTAGGTATGTGCTAGAACACGAGATAAAGTTGAAGATGTTAGAGTTGGAGAAGTCATCACCAACTATGCAGAAATGGGCTTACCAAATTACCTCTAACACTTAGTAAGATAGTTTTACTTCTCGTAGTAGAGACATAGAGGAAAAGTGTTGTACCTACGTTGACGAAGAAGACGACCACTATCAAGACGGGAAGTTCACCCTCACCTAGGGGAAGTATTCCTTCGACATGCTTCAAGAGATGGGCTTCCTTGAGTGCAAGTTGGAGACTTCGTCGATGGAAGCTTTCCCACGGTTCTGAAACACTTCATCTCCCTCACTCGAGGATGCTAATTGATATCAACCATTGTTAGACAAGTCGATATATCTCACTATCACTCGTCCTAACATCGTGTACACAATTAATGTTCTGAGTCAATTCATGTAGGAGCTTCAATGAATTCATTAGGAGGGAGTTTTACTAATTATCGTCTACATCAAGTGAGCCCCAGGAAAATGACTCATCTATTGGTGACACATCCATCTCCGTATTGTAACCTACTTTGATGCTAATATGTAAGTGACAAGGGTGACTAGAAGTCTACTACAAGTATTGCACATACGTTGACAGTAGCTTAGTCACCTAGTGGTTTCAGAAATAGAGGGTGATGTCTTACTCTAGTGTAGAATCTAAAAATCGAGCCATAATTGAGACAGTGCAAAAAATAATATGACTTCAATCACTTTTCGACAATTTTAGCATTACTTCTCTCTCTTTAGTGTTTATGTATTGCAACAATCAAGTCGTTATCTTTATTATCATCATTCTCATCTTTCGTGAGTATATGATATATATTAAGATCGACTGTCACTACATTCAAGATAAGGTTGTATTTGGACTTATCTCTACTCTTCATGTGACATTATCTCATCAGCTTATAGATGTCTTCACAAAGAATATGATTGACATCTCCTACAATGCCACGTGGACCAAGTTGAGCATGTTCAACTTATATACTCTAGCTTGAGGGGGAGTGTTCGATAATGATATCGAACTCTCGGCCTACTAAGGGCCATTATCTATCTCTCTCTTCTCATCTCTTTTCTCTCTTATATAAAGGTCATGTATTCTACTTTGATATTTTATGAATTCTAGGATCTTCACTTCTTGTGTTAACAAAACTTTTGAAATAGATGAAAATGTAACATATATCTTTAAATTATTCTGTTGATGATATTAAGGATCATAATAACTCTTTCAGATATAGCCTCTTGAAAAACCTCAAGATGAGACAAGTTTGTTTTTCATTTCTCTCAAATTGTAACAGCAAAGGTCACCCCCTAGTTATAACATAAGGTTAGGGCAACCACCTAAGGACAAAAGACATAAATCACCCCTAATTCAAATTTTACACTGAGGTGTGCCCCCCATAGACTTCTGCCATTTGGAATGATTATTGTCTACACATCTCAACACAATGATGAAAAGTCAACCTTTTCTATTAGATGACAGAGTAAAGAATATTTCCAAATTAGTACTCAACATGATGGAAGGGTTTGACCTCTTTGATTATGTGACAAATTAACAGATATTTATAATTCAATATTCAGATGATGAACATGGTTAACATTTTTAGGGTTCTTCTGCGATAGCCTGGCAAAGCTTCATCATCGGTCTTCTACATTTCCTCGAGCTTGATTCCATGATGGATTATTTGGTGGGGACAAACCGAGGCCTGGACGACGCAGAAGACCCCATAAAAATTATGAAGGGACGACGACAATTATTTTCCAAAATATAAGGGTCAGACCGATGTTTCATACGTTTATATGGACGGAAACTTGATTCGTGAAACTGGATGCTCCACAGTTCACTAGATCTCTGAATATATCCGAGAGTTTGAGGACGAACCAGCCACAAATGTCCCCAATGCAAGCCAGGCTGCTGATGACTCTATCCTCGGTTTACCAGCTGTCGAGCGTATATCACAGGCGGCGAGGAGCGAGAAGATGGACAGTAGGTTTGGATCTTAAATCAACGGTTGTCTTCCTCGGAGCGTCTGAGGACAGCAGCTTCAACATGATGGAAGCCCTCCTTCCCTTCGCCGCATTGGTCGACAGAGATTTATGAGCTGACACGGGGACTCCGAGGGCTCGAAGCTGCTCATAACCCTCACCTAACATCTATCGTTGCTTCTATCCGACCTTTCCATTTGTCCGAGACATCGGCAAAAGGCTCTTCTATTTAATCTCCTCCCTATCCCCCTTCTCCTTTCGTCAGGAGCTCTCAGTCAATTGCGTCCCCCTCCCCCAGGCATGGCGCCCCCCAACCGTGTGGAAAAGATGAAGGCGCTGGCGCGGCTTCAGTCTCAGCGCAGTCTGAGAATCAGACCCTCCGAGGAGGAGCCTGAGTACCTGTGCCAGATCTGCACGAAGTCGTTTAGCAGCGCACAGGCCCTTGGGGGACACAAGAACGCCCACCGGCGGGACCGAGAGGAGACGAGGAAGGAGCTTGCTGGGGCCGCTCCTGGCGCTAGCAGGGTCCCACCGCCCCCAGCTGGTTTCCCCTGCATGTATTTAATGGCTCCGCAGCAGGCTGTGTACGTGCCCAGACGTGGATTCTCTCATCAAGCGCCTGGTCCCGGTCTTGTGCTCCCGCCTGGCATCTGGCCGTCGAAGCATTTCCTTGTGGGGGAGGGGTCAGTTACCGTGAAAACGTCCAGACTCTCTCGGGAGGCTTCGAGCTCTTCTTCAAAGAAACCAGGGGCGGGTCTGCGCGCTGAGCATAGTACATGCCAAGTGTCTCATCCCTCTTCTCAGCCCATGATGATGATGCCTGCCTACAACCACTTTCAGAATGGAAACGTAGAGGAGGAAGAAGACGAGCTCGACCTGTCACTACATCTGTAGAGTTTGAAAGAAATACTTTCATTTCATGTCATGGAGGAGTTGGATGCTTGATGGAATAAGACGTACGAGATTTTGCGTCAAGTCAACGCGGAATCCGTCTGATTCTCGTGTTTTATTGATCGAACTAAGGGGTATTGTTATAAATAAGATCTAATTGTAACAGAAGCGTATGCCTTCATGCACTCGCAGACTCTTTCCTTCTCGAGAGAAATCCAATCGTTGCCAAGGCAAGCCAGAATGAAAAGCTTGATGCTTTCTGTCTTCTTCATTTAGTAACACGGCGAGATTTGAGAATCTTATGATTCATGTTTGGAAATAAATGTTCTCTCTCTCTGATAACACGTCTGGGTCTAATACAGAAGGCGAGGGAGAATACTAACTGAGAATATGTGCAGATCTTGTGGCCCAACTAGAAAGCACCTGTGAACAATGAATGTCGCACAATCCAAGAAGATTTTGAAAAATTCACTTATTGTTGGAGTCTGAGCCTTCGAAAAAGACGGGATTTTCTGAGCAGATTTTGGAGGATTCATCATTTCGGGTGATGCTTCTTTATTGAGGACAGCCGCCGGAGAAGACGTTGGAGCAATATCAGAGCAAACTTGTCCTGAATGTCCTATCCCTCGATTGAGCCACGACCCAAGAAACGAGAACGTATACTGTTTAAAATGAAGATGCGATTAGCAAGACAAGTTCATGGCGAAAGCCTGGGTTTATTCAAACCACTCCAAGAAGAGATCGAAACCCTAATTATGAACATCTCATCTTTGTTCAAATCTTTCCTATAAACGATATGTGAGACACAACGTAAACCATAGACAATTTGCTCCGGCAGCACGAATATATCGAAACCCTAAGTGTGACCTGCTGGCAGACACAACTCCAAAACGTGTTGTGCTATCAGTTGTTTCCTTTTGCAAGCCCCTCTTCTTTTTCTTGTTCGTGTGATACGAAGTAACTCCATGCAAGTACAAAGAATGGCGTTATCGCGCCGCCAAACACCTGTCTGGTTTGCATGCTAGCCGGTAGCCCGGGTTTTCCTCTTTGTCGGAACAGGTGTCGCCGATCTCATCACAATCCAAGAACCATTATGAGGTTGTCTTGCTTTTTCTGAAACAGATCCAGATATGAGTGAAACGAGCCATCGGAGAGGAAGACAACGAGACGATGTTCGCGCAGATTAGAGAGAAAGAGAGAGAGAGAATGACTAAGCTGTGGCAATGATGGCACAGATCCACACCCAAGATTATTCCTTTAGCTCCGATTCTGAAGAAGTAACTTCCGCTAAACCCATCGAAGTTCACACATAAATCGTCCCCCTCAATGAATTTTAATGCTTTTGGATCGAGGGACGAGAAATCACGGCAGGCCTCCTATCAAACCATGCAGCGTACACTTCTCACTCTTCTATCCTCCTCCGGATCGTCATCATCAATGGCCAGTACGAGGGCTTGCTCTTATAAGGAATTCCCTTGGCCGTCTCTGCTTTGTATCCTCAGCCCCTGCCCTCCGGCAGCGGTACATGACGAAGCTCTTATCCACGGGGGGCGGGGGCGCTTGCACTAGGCCATGGAAAATCCACCGCCCTAACGACTCCTCTTGCTCGACGGCGAGGAGCGCCCCACCGGCCACCGCCAGGCTCCCGAGAAAGCATGCTGACAGCACAAGCTAAAGCCCAGGCGTGTGCGGAACGCGGCGGACACTGGCGACTTCGTCTGCCCATCTGCGCGGGGGGCTTCGCCGTGAAGCGGACCGTGGGAGGCCACAGGAAGATCCACAGGGAGACCAAGAGTCCACAGCCATGCCTTAGGAAGATGCCAGACGCCTCCCGCTCCTCCCAGCGCCGTCGGTGACCTCCTCCGCTGGAGTCCATGGCTTGCCGGGCAAAACAGCGGCCAGGCTCTGGCGAACTTTTATTAGGAGACGACCCCTCCAGACCCGGATGAAATGGACCTGAATCTCCGCTTGTGGAACGGCGTGCTGCCTTCCCCATCCTCTGCTTTAATTCATATGCCGTATCACTCTTCGTATTCCCTTCCCTGCCGTGTTCTTGTTCTTCGTTTGTGCATACGTAGTCAACGATAACAAGTAAAGCTGTTTGACCATCGTTGCTTACCCGTTTCATATGTTCCACTCCAGAGATCGTACAAGATCATATGGCACAGGGTCAAAAACCCCCCCCCCTCTTTCCCATGACGATGAGTCCTGCGGAGATGATATCAGAAGAGGAACCCTCTCGCCCGGTGATCTTAGATTTCGACCGCAGATCCAGTTGGGAAGAACCCAACGCCCCGCTTCTCTCCTTCAGGCATCATTCGTAGGGACCGATTCCGGTCACCTATCCGCAAGCAGGGGGAAGCACCAGAGGTACGGTAACCGTGCCTCGAATCCCTTTCACCTTTCTTCCCGACAGAGAAGAGACGGATTCGGGCGATCGATGGCCTCGAAGATGATCAGCTATAAATTCAGGCAGCCTTTTAACCCTACCTCCTCAGTCATCAGCTTCTACTTCTAGTACATGCAAGGGTATTGCAAGATCAGATTTTTCTTTCTTGTGGAGGTTCCAATAGGACACTAATGCCCAACAAGAAAACAATGTAATTTTTTTTTATGGTGATAATCACCATGAATTCATTACTTTGAATGTTACTAAGATATCAGAAGTTAAAAACTTGTGATGAAATAGTAAGATTTACTACACCTCACTAAGTGAATATTCATAACATCACAAAGGTTATATCATTGATTAGTAACCGTAATAGATTTGAAACCAAACTATTAGGTTGATAAAATTTATGATATTTTCAAATTAATACAAATATATTATAATAAGTCTTACTAGATAAGCAAAAAATTGAATATGTTTCCTAATCTATAGCAATGGGCAAAAAGAATCATCAATCATTTTAGTAGAATGACAAACATAAAGATGTGTGGATCCAATAACGTCGATCACTTAATCCCCCATGAACAAATGATAATTATAGATATGTTAGTTAATCAATAGACGTGGAAATACACTCAATCTTTAAGGCTGGAACACAAATTCAAAGATTGTCTACATACATAGCCACATGAAAACCAATAATTAATTTTTTAATTAGATGACAAATGGTGGTAGTGGCATTCATTCTCTACTACTTAAGATTACCCACCGATATCAAGATGATAAGAATTTTTCTAGAAGAGAGTTGTTCTTTATAATATTAAAAAAATATTTATAAAAAATATAATCTCAATTAATGAAAATTAATTTTAGAAACTGATGAAGTTAGACAATGTCTAGAATAAAAATATGAGTTATGTCATGTGCAGTAAATGAGTGTCGAAGAGTAAAAAAAGTGAACGTGCTTAGTTAATCGATCCACAACAATTAAGATTATATTGAACCTACCTCAATTGAGCAATTTTTTGCCAATATTTATTATTAAATCATCTTAACTTTTCTCTGAAATAGATAGTAATTATAAAAAGTCAACATGAAAAAGTGATCTAGATTATTATTCTAACACATCAAAGATAACTACATATCTCTTTGATGCATCTCTTCATTACAATCCATCTGACATTTTGTCTAATCTAAAGATAAGTCTATAGAAATCTTGATACTCACTAATTGTTGAGTTGTGAAACTCCTCCAAAATATTTAATATTATTAAGGAGAAATTATAAATTATTAATTACTTATAGTAGAACAAGTAACCTTATCCAAACAAATAATTGAGGCATTTCTCATTCGAGGGAGAGTTCAACAATATGGTGTCAAGTTAAGGATCTTTTTGATTTTGTTGTAAGATTCAAGTCAAATATATCAATTTTAGTCATGATAATTCTACAACTAGAATCAATCCAAAACTTTTGACAGTAAGTCATCAATTTTATTTTTTCTCTTACTTTCTATTTGATCTCAAAATCATAATTAATAATCTTCAAGAGCTATTTATGATGATCAAATAAGACATGATATTGGTCTAAGATGAATTTCAAGCTTTTTTAATTTAAAACAATGATAATTTTTTATCCTAATAAGTTATGTTTTAACTTCAAGCTCATAAGTTCTCACTAATAAATAGTCTTTAGTTTTCTAATGGAGGACATGGACTTGGTTGAAGTATATAATTAACTTCTTTTGATGCTAGAAAATAATCTAAACTTACAACTAGAGGCATCTACTATAGCTCAAAACTTAAGAAAAAAGTTAGGAAGAAATAATACCATGATTGAAGTCACAGTGAATCCTCTTGACTTATTTGAAGTATGATTTTACTTCTAGGCTTCAATTAAATGTATCATACTTGAACTACTTAGTAAAAGCTCATATGATTATTTCATATTCCACAATAAAGTAATGATAATATTCTATCATACTGAAAAATCTTAAAGCTTGTGAAAGTTGAGGCACATTCTCAAAACCTTTGTGTCTTTTCTGTCAAAGAGTTTAAAGATAATGCATGTGGAATGAGGCACACTTTTGAGACATCCACAACACATGTGTCTAGCACACAATGAATGTGTATGACACAAGTGAACTTGTCAACAAATTAAGAAAACTTAGATGGAGTGAGTTTCAAAATTTAGATCAATTCCGTTAGATCTAGGAGAGATCAAAGGATTCCTCATATAAATAGAAGAAATGGTCTACACTAAAAGGTGGCTGATGAAGGAAGGTCTAAACGAAGAGGGTTTTCTAGGCCTCTCCCTCTATAAAATGGAGAGAATGCTGCCCTTTAGAAGATAGAAGGAGAGAATGAGGCATAAGTGAGAGCTGCAAAGAGAGAGAGAGAGAGAGAGAGAGAGAGAGAGAGAGAGAGAAACTCTCATTTGTAAGAGAAGGAAAGCTATTGAGTGAGAAGAGGAGGGCCTAGAAGGAGTCGAAGAAATTGGAGTATGAGGCTACAACAAGAGAGAAGTCAATAGTGGGTTGAGAAAGAGCTAGAAATTGAGAAGAGGAGAGGAGCAATCATGTTGGACTCTTCTCTTTTTATATACATCTCTCTTGA